TACGACTTGAAAAAGTCTGACTTGTCTGCGTATCTTTTCGGGCGAGTTTCAGCCAACGGAGTACATCTTACGGGCTATTTCTTCCCAGCCAAACGCGCTCCAGCGCTAAACTCCTCTTGGAAATCGCCAAAAACATGCTAATGTGTTGCAAAAGTTAAAAACAAGGTCTCAAAAGCTTTTTTGAGAGTCTCATGAATGTCTAAATTCAAGGGAGCCCTTTCTTCTACGTCAAACGCGCTCCAGCGTTAAATACCTTCCGGAAAACATGCTAATGTGTTGCGAAAGATGAAAACCAGGTCTGAACACCTTTCTTAAAAGTCCAGCGGTTTTAAAAGTTTCTGAATCGTTTCTCGTTGATTTAAGTTTCCCCTGTTCTTGTCAACACACCAGATTGACCACGACTCGAAAAAGTCTGACCTGCCTTCTTCTCTTTTCGGACGAGTTTTGGAGAGCAAAGGGAGTCTTAAAGGCTATTCCTTCCCGGCCAAAGCGCCCCACCGCCAAACCCCTTCACGAGATCGCCAAAGAACACGCGAATGTGTTGCAAAGGGCCGAGTCATTTAGTTGTTTGCGTGGCGATCGTTGGGCATGCCGCCCTGCCACATGACGGTCCTTCTCGAAACGAGAAAGAGAAAGAGATTGTGTGATGCAATCGCCTCAAGGTACTCTCCGGGTTCTATTTGGGAAGCCTTCGGGCTGTCCTGTCGCCACAATCCATCATTTTGATCTCATCGGCGACACTTTTGCCCCCAGTGTTCACCTGGGTCTCAGGAATTATTAGCCGAGATCTGGACGATTGGAACGACAAGAAAACATGACCAAACTCAAAAAATGGTCAATCAAAGGTCCTGACACGAGAAAAACTTACAGTACTCATTCTTGCAGAAAGTGAAACAGTTTTTTCAAATTTTCAAAAATTCCAACTCATCCTCAGACTTTGGTAACGCGAATAGAACGTGTCGGGGCATTTCTAGTGACCCCTTAGTAGCTTCAGCACTCTTAAGTGGTCCCTAGGAATGCCCAGAAACGTCCGGAGCACGTCCGTCACTATTTTATAATTAGAGCGCACAAGGTATCAGAAAAATGAGCTAAAGAAGATAAAACCCAAAACTACAGCTTTAAAATTAAATTTTCAGCCTTTTTTCAGTTTTCCGAAGACTATATGAAAACTCAGGTACACTCGGTTCAAGTTACAGGTCCTGGAACAAAAAATCAGAAAAAAGAGTCACTTACGGTACCCCAATTATTCTTAAAACAAATTGTGCTTGAATCGACTATGAGTCAATTTTTCCGATTCTCCTCCCAAAGTGAAACTGTCTGACCTTCCTGCGCTCTCTTTTCTCTCGCCAACGTGGTTCTTATGAAAATAGCACACGGAAAGGAGAGCGTGATGAATTTTTGAGGTAGATGTTTTTTTTCTTCATCTCCCTGAACTTTTTTTTGATTTTATCGGTTTCAGAAAGGAGACTTTGCGGTTTCTTAGACGCTTGATATCTTAATTTAGTGCGGATATTTTTTATTCCGTTGAGATGTATGTAACATATCAAAAAAAAAACCGTCATTTTTTGGATCTTGATGCTCATTTCCACCTCCCACAGAACGTTTTTGTCATTTAGCAAGCGGCAAGGGATGAAAAAAGTGCGATTTAACGAGGCACGACAGCCTGGAGCAATTTGTCGCGAAATATACGTGCTCGTTACCGTTGTAAAGTTGGGATGCTCGAAAAGTTTTTGCCTCGGCTGATGGACAGAGAAAGAGTTTTTTTGGGAGTTGTCAAAACAATGATATTTGTTGTGACGGCTAGCAAGAGTTCTGTTTGTTAAACAGGAAAATATGAGAAGTCTGATGGATTTCTTGACAGGTGGCTGTTTTTCGCAGATCTTGTTCGCTCTGTTGATAATACGGAAAAAACACCAGCTCCTTCTGCTTTTTGAATTAAATGATTATACGTATATTGCTTCGAATCTTTGTCACGTACAACAAAATCAATAAAGTGACCACTACCTTCCATTCCACCGTTTTTTCACGAGTCCACCAGATCTGCCCTCAGAGCACATGAACTCTGAGTCTTCCTCGGATGTTTATCGAAACGATGCCCCTTAAGTGGTCACTTGAGGAGAGCTGTCTCCTGTCAGATGCCGATTGACAATCCCTGGAGCGATCATTCCGCATTTTCCACCTGGAAAAAAACCCTCAAGTGACCACTTCTTTCGAACTTCTCATTTTTGCATCCTAGACTCTTTGCAGTTTCAAAATTAAAATCACTAAAGTGACCACTTCCTTTCATCTCCTCATTTTTTCACAAGTCCACCAGTTCAGTCCTCAGAACACATGGACTCTGAGTCTTCCTCGAATGTTTATCGAAACGACGTCCCTCAAGTGATTACTTGAGGAGAGCTGTCTCCTGTCAGATGCCGTATCGAATCTACAACTTGTCAATCCCTAAAGCGATCACTTCGCATTTTCCACCTTAAAGAAATCCCTAAAGTGACCACTTCATTAATTTTCTCTAAATTTTCCGCAAGTCCACCATGTCTACCCTCAGAGCACATGGACTCTGAGTCTTCCTCAAATGATTATCGAATTGAAACTCCTCAAATGATCACTTGAGGAGAGCTGTCTCCTGTCAGAGGCCGCGTCGAATCTAGAATTTGAATAACCCTGAAGTGTCCACTTCCTTCCATTTTCAAAATTTTTCACGAATCCACCAAGTCTGTAAAAGCACGTGAACTCTGAGTCTTCCTCGAATGTTTATCGAGAGGAAACCCCTCAAGTGATCACTCGAGGAGTGCTCCTGTCAGATGCCGCGTCGAATCTACAATTTGACAATCCCTGGAGTGACCACTTCCTTCCATTTCCCCATTTTTCAACAAGTCCACCAGGTCTGCCCTCAGAGCACATGGACTCTGAGTCTTCCTCGAATGTTTATCGAATCGAAACCCCTTAAATGATCACTTGAGGAGAGCTGTCTCCTGTCAGATGCAGCCGCCTTGCCGGCGGCATTTTCAGCCACCAATCTTTGTTTTATGTTTAGCCCCGCTGCCCTCTTGTCTGTTTAAATCTCATTTTGTTGAGTGCAGTTTCCAGTCGTTCTTAGGCCTTTTTCCCTGGGCTTTATGACGGTTTGATGGCTCTTTCGATGGCGACAGAGCTGGTGGGATTTCTTGATTATTTTCCCACTTTTCGCTGATTACAGTAAGACAAGATCTAGGCGTTCTAGGAATAGAAGTTTGAATGACTACAGATACTTTATTGGTTATAAATTTAATAAAGTTCTTCCAAAAAAAGTGAAACTCTCAACAAAAAAATCGGGAGAACTTTTTGGTCATATTTTTTTGAATTTTTTTCTTATTTTCTTAGACATCAACTTGTCTTTCTAATCACTTATACCTTATCAAATAGAAATAATTTCCTAAAAAAATGAAAAAAATAAATAAAAAAATTCCAAATATGAAATGTCCTCATCAAAGTAAAATTCGAAAAAACTCAAAAAAAATATTTTTCCACACAAGGCCATAGCTAAATTTCACTAAAAAAATCATCTTTAAAAATATTATTAAACCGAAAAATGAAAAATTTCAGAGAAGTCAAATATTTCTTGTCTCACTTTATATATAATATTTTTCACCTACAAAAATTAACTCACCTGAAAAGGTACTTTGAAATCGAATTCAAAAGTCAAAAAAGGGCAAAAAAGGTGTTCTCTGAAAAATTGGCGTCCATGAAAAATTCATTCAACTCTGTTCCAAAATGGAGAAAAAATTGGACTCGAGCTAAAAAGTTATCCTTTTCGAAGTTCATGCCAAAGACCAGCCAAATTTTTTTTTTTTGCAAAAATGACTGTTTTTCAGAAAAATTTTTTTCAGAAGCTCTGGCAAAAAAGGTGATTTTGTTTTACACTCTGGAATTTACTGAAAATTGACCAGAATACTACGTGATGCTTTAGGAAAGGATCCTGAAAGTCCCAACTTTCAAAAATTTTTAACTTTCGAGAAAGAAGAGCTCTGAAAGTTGTTGTGAGATTTTTTCAGGCCTATCTTCTCAAAAATTAGAACGAAGGGAATTTTGGGCAAATTTCAAAGAATTTCAAAGTCCGAAGAGAAATTCCCATCCTTAAAAGAAAGCCTAATAATAAAGATGTCAGTTTTGAAAAATTTCTATAAATTTCCTCGAAAAATTCTCTGCAGGTCTATGTAGATGAAGATTCCTCGAAATGGCTACTTCAAAAAAACTTCAAAAAAATTTGAAAAACTTCAATTTTTCAAAGCTGCAGCCTGTAAGTAAACTTTTAAAGTTTATATCTTCAAAATTCCGGGTAGAAACTCTAAGAATGCTTCATTGGACCTTCAGAAAAGTGTTCGGATAAAATTATAGAAAATTATAGAAAATTTCAAGTAAATCTACCTTCCTCGAGGACGAAAATGCCTATAAATGACAAAGTTTAAGAATTTTTTCGAAACTTGCTGAAATGGTCTCTGAGGCCTCTGGTTAGAGATCCGAAGTTATCGTTTTCTCAGACTACGTCTTTCTGAAAAGCCACTGCTGAGATCTTCTCTAACCAGGGAACGTTTTACCTCCCCCCCCGGTTGAACTTTAGCTAAAAATTCGCTTAAGTGTACGAACAAAAAGATAATTTCTCGCGATAGATCTTGTTTCCGAGTTATGGAGCTTCAAAGTGTGTGAGATACGCAAATTAGGCCAAAAAGAGCTATTTCAAGCTTTTGAAGTGTCCTAACTCGAAAACGAGATCTATTGCGAGAAATTTTCTTTTTGTTCTGGAATCAGGGGGTCCTAAAGTACACTTCACCAAAGCTTCAGCAAAAGTTCAACCGGGGGTAAAAACGTTTCCTAGTAAGACCCTGATCATCGGAAAAATAGACTAGCGTTCTATAGAGCACCGCCAAAACCAGCCATGTTCAAGCCCAGGAAAAAAAAACAATCAGATCAACAACAACAAGAAGAGCACATTTCGTTTGCGGAAAGATACACGAGTTTCAAGGATGAAAAGGGGGGTGGCCGGGGGAGCAGCCGCCATGCCGTCGTCGCCACGAAGGTGCCGTCGGTCCGAGGTTTTGACGGCCGACCGAAATATTACATCCCCCTCCGCTACAGCCGCCGGCCATCCGCCACTGCCTCATCTCCCTCTTCTAAGCTTCCAAGCGCGATATGATGAATTTGTTGCAATCCGATCTCGCTTGACCTCCTCACTCATTTGCTCTTATTAATTGCCGGTATTATTGCGGTTTTTTTTAAATTGCAAAAATCCGAAGAAACAATCCTCATGAATCTTGGACAAAGCTCAGAAAATGCCCTGATTACCTAAAAATTTACTTTTAAACTTATTTAAGCGACCCGATCTTGCTTCCTGTCCTCACTCGCTCTATATTATTGCTGATGTTCTTACGTTTTTTTTTCACAACGTATAGATCCGATTTTTCAGCTAGATCAACCAGATCCAAAAGTCACCATTAGGTTGACAAAAAGACTCGTGAGGGTGACCTAAAACCGGTTCTAACTTATTTACTCTTTTTCACTTTGTGGATGAATAAATAATAATTATTAAGCTTTTGATTATTTCTCACTTGACCTCCTCATTTGCCTAATTGCCGGTGTTTTTTTTTGGTTTACTTTTTTTGAAATTTAAACTTGTTCAAGAAAACGGAAGTTTCCATGAATTTTGAAAAACTTTAATAGCTGACTTTCTGTGAAGTTTGCTTTCAACCCTCCTTCTTCTAACGATCTTTTGTCTTTTAGATTTCCATCAGTTGTGCCATGAGAAGGTACTGCGCTTTAAAAAACTTTCAGAAAAAAAACCAAACACAATCCAAAGATTATTCTCTTTTCCTGATTATGAGCGAAACTTCTTCTTTTTACTAGAGAACGCTTTTTTACCTAGAGAACGCTTTTTACGCCTTTTGTTACTAGAGAACGCTTTTTTACCTAGAGAACGCTTTTTACGCCTTTTGTTACTAGAGAACGCTTTTTTACGCCTTTCGTTCTAATTTGCGTGTTTTGCAAACTTTGAAGCTCCATAATTTGAAAACGAGGCTTATGGCAAGAATTTTTTTTTCTCGTTCTGCAATCAGGAGGCCCTCATACATTTACGCAAAGTTTCATCAAAATTTCAACCGGGGTTTAAAACGTTCCCTAGTTAGAATTACTTCCAAAGCTCAAAACCTCTCAAAACCTCCCAAACCTCTCCTAAAATCCATCAAAAAAGTCCAAAAGACCTCTGCTCAATGTTGACGTGTTCATCTGACTTTCCCGCAACTCTCCCGCAACGTTCGAGTTGCAAATTCCCGTCCGATTGTTTATAGGAAAAAGCTGTGTGTTGATTCGAATGCCTGGTACAGTCAAAACGAATTTTGCAAGTCTATCTCTTCCCAAATCGAAACCAAGTTTATTCGACGTCGAAACTATCGTTTTTCCAGCGTTTTTTTTTCTGCTACGTCTAACTTTTTCTGTTTACAATTTTTGCTCGGGGCTTGCAAAATAACACCGTTTTGATGGGTCTACGGTAGCTCATTTAATCGTCTGTTTTGCTTCATTGGCGCATTTTATGGCTCTAGAGAAGGCGCAAAGATTTGCCGAGAAAATCGAAGGAAAATTATTTTTGCCGAGGTTTATCCATGTAGCTTCATAGTAGTCTTTGCTCCCTTGTTCTTTTTTTTTGGGCTGAGAGATTCAAAAAAAATCCTTGAAGAGGTCGTTAGGGTCGAAAAGGACAGGAAGCTCGAAAAAAAACGTTTTATTTTCATTGGAACCTGTAAGTTATTTTTAGGTCACTAGATTAATTATTTAGTAAAAAAATGAGTCATAGCTTAACTTGAAAGTTCTCAGACGCCATTGGGATGACCTAACGGATTTTTTGAAAATGCGCCCGACCAAATACAACTTTCGCGATGTAGTACCAAAAAGCATTAGATTTGGCTATTCCACTTGCGACAGGGCATTCTAATCACTTGCGGATGAAAATGTTCAAAATTCTGAATCAATTTTTTTTTTTCGAGCTTCGGTACTTTCAAAAAGCCCATAGAGGACAAAACTCAAAACCTTCTAAGAATTTTTTCGCTTTCAAACTTTATTCATGAGCGTTTTGATGAGCCTGTATTTCCATTCAAGGGCTAACCATATTTACTTATTTTGAGATTTCAAAGACCAACTTACTCTCGAAGTTTTCTACCAATCCCAAAATTTCCCCTCCTCATTTTTCTTTCTCTTGCCCAAAAAAGGGTCAAAGGTACCAGCTGGACACGGCTGTTGACAGTTTCTGTTCCTCTCAAAGAAATTCCAAACAAAGCCCTTGGTTTTCTACTCGGCTCTCCCTTCTTCCCAACCTCTTCTTTGTTAAAAGCATTTTAAACTATTCAAAACTAGGATCCTGATGACATCGCTCGGCAAATATCTTAATCGATTCCAAGAGCAGGTGCTCGAGTCGATTTTGACGAGTTTGTCGATTTTATTGAGTCCGTTTCGATGGGTTTAATAATGCTTCGAGTGGACTTCTGATGGGATTGCAGCCATTGAGATTTATGGGTTATTTTCTGAGTTGGAGAAGTTTTCAGAGCAGCTTATTTTATATCCTTCACCAAAAACCATGTCAAGTTTAATTTAAGTTGAGTTCCAATTTTCTAAATTGATGAAAAAAATTACAGAGATCATAAATTTTTGGCGGAAAGCGTTTTAAAACCTGCGGAATTCCATATTGATGAATAGCAGACCTCATGTCTTCAAAAATTAATATTTCGAATGATTTTTTTCACTTCAAGGTTAATTTCAAAAACTTATAAAGGCTTCAAAAATTTTTGCAAGTGTTCAAAAAACCTCGTCGAAAGCATCGAATTTTTCAGATTATTTGTACTTTATTCGCTCCTTTTGAAAATTACTTTTTTTTTCAACTTCTGCCTGCCTTCTCAAATCGAATGAAAATCCTCCCCAAATGTTCCTTATTATTCGCTTGAAAAATATATAAAAGTCCGTGTAAATTCTCTTGTGTTTTTGTTACCCGAATCCAGAAAATTTTCTTCTTCTTAACCGTTTTTTATTGTTTTTACCTTCCTGATCCATAAAAATTCCAGTTTAAGATTAATTGCCGAAAATTCTAACATGCCACCATACAAAAATAAGCGAAAAGGCCTCTAAATCCTTAAAGGAAGGTATTATACCTGAAAATTCTGAACTTCCTCAAAATCAGCCAGAAAATTCTTTGATGCATCAGATGGAATTCTTAAAGGTCTCAACTTGGCAGAAATACCTTAATTTTTGAGAAAGGACACCTCAAAGCCAGAAAGAAAAACCGTCAAAATTCTTCGAAATGAGCTATTCTGAGGGTACGATTAATCGATTTTAAGCTTGTAGATTACGATTTTTCATCCAGGACCTGAATGAGTTTTATGTTCAACTCCAGCAAATTCCGAATTCACAAGGAAAATAACCTCCCTTGCAAGCTTTTGCTCCCAAAACTCAGCAATTTCTCTTCTTCCCAACTCTTCCTTATTGTTTCTACCTTCCCGATCCACAAAAAATCCTCCAACTCCTCGGGTCATTTGTCAAAACTTTTCGCAGGCCATTCCATCCGATGCAGCTGTTTTCGAATCGGTGGCCCAGAGGATGAGTCAAAATCCCGGCAAAAAGTCCACTTTTTCGTCTACTTTTTGTTGCTTTTTCGGCCCCAGCTGAGATTTCGGATTGATCGATGCCCATGGAGCTTCTCGCATTGTCTGTTGATTGATTAGATCATTCAATGATCCATCATTGGCTTTCTTTTCGGCTGTGTAAAGTTTTCCGGTGTTTTTCGGTGTTCTCAGTGTTTCCGATAGTTTGGTTTTGTCTAGGTTTCAGTGAACTCGCTTTCAAGTTTTGGCTGAGGAAATAGTTTTTTTGAACTTTATAGCTATTCATAAAAGTTTAAATTTCATTTTTTGAAGATCTCGAGAACCTTCCTAACTTTGAAAATTAAATTTAATGAAAAAATGACAGAAGTCTAAAATATCTGATTTCCTTAGCGAAAAAAAAATTCCTTTCCAAAAAACCTTCAATGTTGAAATGAACGCTTGCATATCCTTTTTTTAGACTTGGATTTTCAAAGAATTTTTTTCCAACAAAAACTCGATTTGCCTATCTAAAAAGAATCGTTTGAAAAATGGTCAACTAAAAGGAGAAAAATCTCCATTTCTTTTTTTTTCTGAAGCCAATTATGCTCCCTCTTTTTCAAAACTCCTTCTCAGAAGAGCTTTGATTTTATTTCTCGAATTTCTCCGGCCTTTTTGAAAATGATAATCCTATCCTTACCGAGCCTAATTTTTCCTACTTCCACGGTAAAAAAACGTATTTTTCAAACTAGAACGTCCTAAAAGCCTGCTGAGACTTTAAGACGTTCTGTCTCAAAAAGTACAGCCAGTAACTGTACCTAGCACTTTATAGAAGGTTCCAGTCGGATTTCCGAAAAATTCCAGAACTTTGAGTGAAACCACCGTCCCTGTAGCTGTCTATCGATCATCTCAAGTAGGATTATTTTCTTTTGAAATTAATAATTGACCTTTCAGCACCCTTTTTCCACCACTTCCCACCATTTCTTCACCATTTTTGCACCCTTTTGCTGCCGCTGCCTTATTTTACCCTTTCTCCAGCTTTTAAAATTCCAGCCAAAGGAGAAAGGCTGGGAAAATGCACCAGAAATGGCCCTTTTCGCACCCGTTTTCTACCATTTTTCACCATATCTCTACCATTTTTTCACCCTTTTTGCTACCGCTGCCTTTATTCACCCTTGCTCTGACCTTCGCAATTCTAGCCTAAGACAAAAGGCTGAAAAAAGGCACCAGAAATGGTCCTTTTCGCACCCGTTTTCTACCATTTTTCCACCCCTTTTAGCTAGAGCTGCCTTTTACACCCTTCAAAATTCTAGCCAAAGAAAAAAGGCTGAAGAAGGCAGCAGAACTGGCCCTTCCAGTGCCCTTTTTCTCCCATTTGCCCACCATTTATTCACCATTTTCAATCCCTTTTGCTGCCGCTTTTTTCACCTTTCGAAACTCTAACCAAAGAAGAAAGGCTGGAAAAAGGCAGCAGAAATGACCCTTTTTGCACCCTTTTTCCACTATTTTCCCACCATTTATTCACCATTTTCAACCCCTTTTGCTGCCGCTGCCTTTTTTCCCCCTTAAAAATTCTAGCCAAAGAAAAAAGGCAGCAGAAATGACCCTTTTTGCACCCTTTTTCCACCATTTCTTCACCATCTTTCCCTCTTTTTGCTACTGAGGCCTTCATTCACCTTTTATCTAGCCTTAGACATTCTAATTACAGAAGAAAGGCTGGGAAAAGGCAGCAGAATAGGCCTTTTCCAAGCCTTGCCCAAGTATCCATCCCATTTCCAGAGGAAAAGCTGTCATACGGTAGTTTAAATGTTGCGAACACTGCGCGAAAATGTTTATGCGACGTTCGTTTTTTTCTCTTTTTCTCTCTGTCTCTCCCTCGATATACTTTTTCTGCCTGCTGCACTTTTTTGCAGCACAACGAAACGGAACAAAAAAAAAACGGGCGAGCTCCACCCCCAGGATCGGCGCTCCCCGCCCTATATTACGAACTTTTTCTTTGTCCTTTTCACCCATTGGTTCATGAATTACGCTCCCTTCAGCGTGGGTCTCTTTCCAGATGCTCGCAAGATTCTTTGTTTTTCTGAACCTTAAATCAACATCTCTTTCGAATCTCAGTGTAGTTTTGAGTGTCACAACGGAGGTCATTTTACTTTACGGTTGGGATTTTTTCTGAAAATTGGCTAGGACACTTCTTGACATACCAGATGGTGAGGCTAAGAATCAAAACCTGCACAACTTGTTAGTTTTTCCGAAATGAGGACTCAAAGTCAACACTCGAAATTCGTTAAAACAGGCCATTTCGGTATTTCGATGCTCAAAATACTAGAAAGTTTTGCAGGTTCAGACTTTCGTTATATTCACCTGATGTATCCAGAAGTTTCTTGGTCAATTTTCAAAAAAAAAAACCGCAAAGTAAAATGACTTTTCTTGTCAGAAAATGTTTCTGGTTCATTTTTCTCTGGAGTTTTGGATCTCATGGAACGTTCTTAACATAGTCCAATCCTATAGTGAATTCACTCTTGGCTTCAAAAAAACTGCTGAGGTAATCAGATGGATAATATTCGAGGAAGAATAGATTTAGACGCCTTTAAATCATATTCTTCACCGAATTATCTTTTTTTCTGATATATTTATTTAAAGAATCGTATCTTTCAACTTCTACCGCTCGTCAAAGTATGAAAATAGAACCAATAGGTTATTTTTCCTTGAGTTTATATACCATGTTCGCTTTGAGGTTGACCCACTGGTATCACTGTTGTGCAATGAACTCTCTGACCTTTCTAGGCTTTGATAGCTCTCTTTTTTTTATTTTTTTTTTTTCATGTTCCAAACTATTCAGCCCCCCAAAAAAAGTTTCAAAAAAATCTTTTTTTCGCCTTTTTTTTCCAGCATTTTCACGGTTTCCAGAAAAATGTCTCTAATTTTTTTATCAACTTATCATAATCTCCATGAATTGTTTTTTTGTTTGAAATTTAAAATTTGTTCTGCCCCTTAAAAAAAGATGTTTTTTTCATTTTAATCAACATCCTCCTTACAAAAAAATCTCCTATGCCGTTTTCCAGCATTTTCACGGTTTCCAGAACATGTCTCTAATTTTTCCTTCAAGTCTTTATTTGTTGAATAAACTTCACATGACCAACTTCAAAAGGTCTTTCCTATTCAATATGATTTTTATTTCCGAAAATTTCAAAGATGGTCGTTTCCTTCAACTTTTCAAGAAAAAAAAAATCCACATTTTCATTTTCCAGGGCAAGAGCTTCACCTCGTCGCTGTATGGACTCGAAGATCGCCACACGAGTCAAAATCTAATAAGTGGGTTCATTAACTTCAGAATTCATCTAGGAGCAGACCTTCAGAAAACAAACTGGTCAAGCTTTTCTACAACTTGTGCCGCTTCAAAAATAAATCGAAATCGCAGAAAAGTCTCCAAAAAAAGCATCGAAAACGGCGTTGAACAATATAGTTTTGGAAGGTTTTACATCGTCATTCCGGCGATTTTTTTTAACTTTTTCAACTTCCGAAAGTCATAATAATCGATTTTGTTCGGAAACAGATCTTTTAACTCTCTATTACGCACTCAACTCTACAGTACTTTATCAAAAAATCGCCCAAAAGTCCAAAAAAACAACTTATGACCTTCTCCAAAGTCCACTTTTACATTTGCTTCCAATTTTTCGACTTCCCACCCAAAATAAAAAAGATACACATGTTTCCGCTTAGAGCCTCTTGGCCGCCATTGAACGACTTTCAGGCGATCAACCAAAGTGACGACGAAAATGCGGGTGCTGCTGGCCGCGCTCCTCGCGGCGTTCGTCGTCCCGTTCTGCGCACAGGTGAACTTTCACCTGTTTATTAGATATTTAATTGATTAGAGCTCGGAAAGCTGATTCCAATGGTATAAATTTCATTGGGAAAACTTAGTCTACTTATGAATGTTCTTATATTTTTTGAAACGCCTTGAGTTCAAGTATCAAACTCCATACAAAGCCAATCTGCGTCTTCAAGTGGTAACTTAAGTTTATTGTGTTTCTTAAGATTAGACTAACTCGAGGTCTCTGAAAAGTCCGAAAAAAAGGCAAAAAAATCAAAAAACCGAGAGGGGCCGATCCCAAGACCTTCCAATCCAAAGCCTAGCTCTCAAACGACTCTACCTGGTTTCCTTCAAGCAACCTGGTCCCTTAAGTGATTTTAAGGCCTCTTAAGTGCTCCACCGACAAACTTAATACTCAGGATTCCCAACGAATTCCAAAAAAAAGGCAAAAAAATAAAAAACCGAGAGGAACCGAACCCAAGACCTCCCAATTCAAAGCCTAGCTCTCAATCGACTCTACCTGGTTTCCTTCAAGCAACCTGGTCCCTTAAGTGATTTTAAGGCCCCTTAAGTGCTCCACCGACAAACTTAATACTCAGGATTCCCAACAAATTCCAAAAAAATAAAAAACCGAGAGGAACCGAACCCAAGACCTTCCAATCAAAGCCTAGCTCTCAAACGACTCTACCTGGTTTTCTTCAAGTCAACTGGTCCCTTAAGTGATTTTAAGGCCCCTTAAGTGCTCCACCGACAAACTTAATACTCAGGATTCCCAACAAATTCCAAAAAATAAAAAACGGAGAGGAACCGAACGCAAGACCTCCCAATCCAAAGCCTAGCTCTCAAACGACTATACCTGGTTTTCTTCAAATAACCTGGTCCCTTAAGTGATTTTAAGGCCCCTTAAGTGCTCCTTCAAGATGACTGAACACTCAGGGTCTTCAATAATCTCCAAATAAAATGGCAAAAACGCAGCGAGGATTCGAACCCTAGACCCTCTCCTCCACACCCAAACTCTCAACCGACTCTACCTGATCCCTTAAGTGATTTTAAAGCCTCTTAAGTGCTCCTTCGAGATGACTGCATTCTCAGGGTCACCAATAATCTCCAAATAAAATGGCAAAAACTCAGCGAGGATTCGAACCCTAGACCCTCTCCTCCACACACAAACTCTTAACCGACTATACCAAACTGTTCCAGGAACTGATACCGACGTCAGAGGTCGAATCTCTGGCCCAGGACCTGCAGATCCAAGAATGGATGCGCACGTTGCGACGCGTCAAACGCGCGCCGACGAGAAGTTAGTTTTTGTCCAATTCTTTTCGACAATTTCCCAGTTTGCTCTGTTCTATCTTTCTCTCTCTATATCTATATCATCCTCCATTTCATTCTGTGCAGCAGAAAATCGAAGGAAAATGCAATTAAAAGACGAATTTCGCTACAGGTTTTATCAAAGAGTGTTGCACGCTGCGGTCGTCGAGCCGACGCAAGTTGCCAGGTGAATTTGATGAGGGGAAACCGGGAAATGATATTAAATGGGGGATAAATGATATTCGGTAGGAGTGGGTATGTGACAAAAAAGCTTTAGGAGGAGTTAGCCTTTGAGCGAATTTTCCATTGGCTATGAGAAAAAATTCCGAATTCTCATTAGAGCGCAATTTGTTCTTCAAAACTAGCCAAACTAAATATTGACTTCTAATCTTTTTTCTGAAGCCTTTGAAAAAACAGAGAGCTTCCGAAGTTTTCAATGGAGCCTATTAATTATCTTTTAATCCTTCACTATATTCATTATAGCCTTAAAGCTCAAAAATTCTTTGGAACAACTTTTTCATTTTTTTTTTTTTGACATAGAAGCTCAGACCTTGGGGAACGCGAAACGGACGCGAATCAGACTTTTCGGGGCATTTCTAGTGACCCCTTAAGTAGCTTCAGCGCTCTTAAGTGATCCCTAGAAATGCGCAGGTATGTCCGGAGCACGTATCCGTTCCGTTACCGAGGTCCGAGAGCCTACTCGGACATTGGTAACGCGAAACGGACATGCTCCGGACGTTTCTGGGCGATTCTAGGGATCCCTTAAGAGTGCCGAGGCTACTAAAGGAGTCTCTAGGAATGCCCCGACACGTCCGATTCGCGTCCCGTTCGCGTTACCAAGGTCCGAGTAGTTAACATAACTTCCAAATTATCATCAGAGCGCACTTTGTTCTTTAAAAATAGCCAATTACTTTCTGAAAATCAGTGAAAGTATCTGATGGCAGAACATGGTGAAGAAAAACAAAAAAAAAATATCGCTTTTTTGTCATATACTCACTGGGAGGCACGTAGGATCTCTCGAAACGGGTACAGTGAAAATGAAGGCGATCGAAGACCGAAAAAATGACAGAAAGATTTTTTTCACGCTAAAATCATACTATATATTGTTTTTTTTAAATTAAAAAAAGCAGCTCAAAAGCCTTCATTTTCTCCACTACCCGTTGTGTGGGCGTTTTGGTTGTTGGTTGGAATGATTTCAGGATCTATACTGTCGCTAGAAAAAGAAAAAAATTTAAAATGAAGTAATAACCGAGGAAAAACAGCCATTGATTATAAAAATAATCCTTTTTCTCTTCAATTAGTAAAAAGTCTATATCATTTTGTCATAGGGAAAGCTTAAAAAGTCCAGGATCATTGAAACTGTAAAAATACTTAATTTTGGATTTTAGGTTTCAAAAGGTTCTTATTATAACTTGAAATGCCAAGGAACAAAAAACATGTTTTTCTAGCTATTTTTAAAGTTTTAAAGTTCAAAAAGACCTCCAATTCGAGTAGACGGTATTCATATACCCCGAAAAGTTCTACCAAACCAAATTTTCTATGAACTAAAAACTATTTTTCTGAACATCTCCCTTGGCTTCAAATTCATAACTATAGAAGATCACGGTTCTGATAAAAAAAAAATAGAAAAAAGAGAACTAACATCATAAAAATCGTAGCCTCAAGCGTCCAGTTCCATTTTGGCGATTTTCAGTTCCTCCTTTACACGACATTTTGGAGACCTGAATATAGTAACTTTATCGGCTTTCAAAAATTTCAGCTCACCATTTGAATTCCGCAAATTACTTGTACATAGCTTCCTGAGCCCTTGAAAGAAGCCTTAAAATCAAAAAAGTTGAAGTAAAATGTCAAAATTATGGAAACTGTAGACTAGCTTCTTGGGACGGACCAATGCGTTGCGATCGCGTAGCGTCTTCTTCAAAATATCAGTAGGTCTCTTACTAGAGAATGGTCTCCCTAACTTTTTTCACAGACCTCGAGGACAGTTTTTGTGATCAGATTTGGAATCAGCGTGAAAAACTACATCTAGTGAACCTAGTCTCATTCAGAAGTCCCACTGCGAATGGAAACCTACTTCCGCATGGCGATATCCTAAAGCGTTAGGAGGAAACCGCTCAAGGTCGGGCGCAGTTACAGAGCAGGCAAAACTAATTCAAACCGCAACGCAACCGCGACGCATTGAATCATTCCTAGCGGTTCAAAGCCGTCAAAAATCGGGAATAGAGTTCAAAATGTTTCACAAGACTACAACTACAAAAATTAAAAAACATCCCTCAAACTATTCCTCAAGCTTCTATCTCCACTCAAATTTAAAGATGTACAACCGATCCTGGTTGTTCTGCCGGGATTTGATCCGAGCCGCGCTTCGCCCTACTTCCAGGACCTTTTGTACCTGGAGCCATTGGCGCGACGCCGCGTCAAACGCGCCAGATACTGTCCCATCCTAGGTGAAGAGGAATGCGAGCATGACCCCCCAAGAAAGTTTGCCGCTTTTACCTGGGAAAGGGCTGAATTTACCTGGAGACAACTTTTAATCGAAGCTATTTTCGTTTTGTGCCAAAATCATCTTTTAAAAATGAGTATTTTTTGACGAATTCTCGCCAAAAAAGCGTAAAAAATCGTGAAATCCTGACAATGGGTCTCGAAGTGAAAGCCCGTAAAAATTGCTCGAAAAAAAAGGAACCGGTGGAGGCCCCAAGCTTTTTCCTCAATCGCTTTGATAACTTCAAAAAACTGCAGCTTCTATCTTTTTCACGCATTGCTTCTACCCTTGCACATGCTTGATCATTAAATGTTTTTATACTTTCCTTCCATTTCTCGAAAAAAAACTTTAAGTCTAAATTCAAGAAAAAAAAAATCAAACATGACGCGATTTTTGGTTCAACACTTGTCATCATTCTAGAAAAAAAAAAATCAACTTACTCAAAAAATCTTTATCCTTTCCGTTCGAAAAATCAAAAAGATAATAATTATTGATAATCTAAAGGCTGAAAAAAAACCACAGGAATATAATTAAATTAAGAAGAAAATGTCCCCGCAAAATATATATTGACCGTCCTTCTGAAACAATATCCTCATCTTCATTTTTTTCTTCATCAACCAAATTTCTATATTTTTATTTTCATCATTTTCGTCTTGCTTGGTTTATTTATTATTTTCTTGTCGATTCTAAATTTCCCACTCCTTTTAAGGAAATTGAGAAATCAATGCTTTTTCTCCAAAAATCATACACCTGACCTTTTTTTTTTTTACCTCAACCTCTTTACCTCAAACTTGTTTTTTTATAGATCTCGATCCGAACTCTGATTCAGGCCTGATTCTTCTTATCTTTAAAAAATATAGTCCGCTTTATTTTTCGGCATTTTTGTCTTTGAATCAAAATTTAAGAGGTAAAAATATTCTCAAGGTTCATTTTTTTTTGTATTTGGGTAACACGGAACAGATCGCAGTTTACTGTTCATCGCTACAAGACCTTCCACGCAAATCCACATAAAAAGTCCCTTGCAAGGTTTTCCGTATAGCTTACGCTCTGCGCCGTTTAAAAATTTCCGGAAAAAAAAAATCTATTTTTGGCCCATATTCTGTCATGTAGACGTAAATCTTCACTTTTCATCCTCACTGAATTCTCCTCCTCCTTCTCCTCCTCCTTCAGAACGCTCAAAAATCCCCTCCAGACGAACCCAGGTTCAGATGAAGCGCCTTCAGTAGTGGTGGGGGCGAAAAACGCGACAGGCCGTTGCGTTTTGTCCTCGGACCGCGCCTCCCACTTTTGCGGCCTCGATGAAGAAGGTTTCCAGTAGTACTAGTTGTCGTGGTCGTCGTCGTTGTCACTACTCATTCCTCGTTGTAGAAACTCATCGTCGTGTCGTGGGCTGACCTGAACTGGAACTCATCTCTGAAACTCACCTTGGTGAATAACCGGGTGGAAATTAAAAAGTACCCCAAAAACATGGAAAATAACGCTTTACCTAACCTGTTCCAACCTGTTCTAATCCCGAAAATATCTAACAAACCATTGTGTCGTGCCGAATGTGATATGGTGAAAATAGTCGATTCGAGGAAGAGACTCCAATTTTGAAGAAAAACTGATTTCCTAGTTTTTTAAAGGTGACAAGCTAACGGTTAGACTATCGACCCAAAACCTTGAACTTTTCGAAACTTTGAAACTACTAGATCTAGATGTAAAGGTAATTCAGTTCTATCCGATTCTCACTCTAAATCAAAAAAAAATTTCTTTTTCGAGTCGACTATACCACGACTAATGCGCTCTACCGTACTTGCTGGTGAATTGGTGATGGCTGTATGAATATATCGGGTCAGAATAACTATTGGATGTTCGAGCATGAAGTCTTGTCGTTGTTGTTTTTTTTTCTTTAACCTTTATTGTTCCTGTCAATTTTGGGTGTGTCTGGAAAAGGTGAAAACCGACGAAATTTCAGTGTCGGCACCACCGATACCGCCGCCAGACGAAGGCAAATGTGTCATCTCCAAGGTATCGTTTCATTCTGAAATTTATTCTAAAATCAAAAGATATTATATATTACAATCCTCCTTCTTTTCCTTCAAACTATTCATTTTTAATCGTTTTCAGTTAGGTAAACATAGTCGCACTTGGAATGGCTCAAAACGTCGCGGTCGGGTTTTTAACAGTAAAACTTCCAGCTCACTCCAAAAATTTCCGATACCATCTTGCGAGAACCGTCGTTGAGTCGGACGCATCTTTAACCAATCTCAACCAAGCCATTCCAAGTGCGACCGAGCGATTTAACCTATCAGGGTTTTCCGTTGCCTAACCACCAAAGATTCCAGGTCATGTAGAAGTACAAAAATTTACCTTCTTGATGAAACTTTTTGAAAATTCTTACACCAGTTCCTCACCAAATGATCACCAAAAAAAAACGCAAAAAATCTCGATTTCAAGGCATCTGGCCGCGAGATCTGCTACCCAGAGTACAAGGAGCTCGACACGAGCTGTACAGACGTCCACGGATCGTCCAACTCGCTCGTAGTCCCTCCAGTCGTCCCTCACGCAACGTAGACCATTCAACTGGACTAACTTAAAGTGATCACTTCAGGGTCCGCGCAATGGCTTTTGTGCCGCCGGACAATCTACGACGACTCGTAATACAGTACTACCGACAGCAGGGCAAACACATGCCGAAAAATGCGACTTTTTCCCCAAAGTGAGGATAATTTCTCAATACTATTTCCTATCTAATTCCAAAGCTGACTCTGATCTTCTGATTTCACAATTGAGGAACAGAAAATCAATATTTCCAGGTCATTCCTCTTCGTGAAATACCACTGCGACTACGGTTACGAGATGATCGACGAGGTTGACACAATGTTCTGCCAGGACAAACAGTGGGTTCTGACCCAGCCAGTTTGTCGAGGAAAAGGTCCATTCGAATATTTTGAACTTATCAAAACGTCCGCACTTTCCAGGCCTCTGCGCCGAGAACAACGGCGGCTGCAGTCACACCTGCATCTCCTACAACGACGAGAAGATCGAGTGCAAATGCCCGCGAGGCATGACCCTCGACGTCGATGAGAAGACTTGTATAAGTGAATTTAACTGGAATTTTATGTCGGAAGATCCAAGAACCTTTTTCTGCTTATCATCATTGCTGTCTTCAATCTCAAAAACATCCTATTTCCGTACAAGTACAAAAAACCATTTTCTTTCCAGAACCAGTGCCCAAGCACCTGTGCCGTTCCCTAGCCGGATGTTCGTGCACAGCCATCAACGAAAATCAGTTCTCTTGCACCTGCGCCAAGGGCAGCAAGTGTTTACGTGAGTTCGAATAAAATTATTTTATTTATTTTTTTGTCAAACTTCATTGATCGTCCTGAAGCTCGTTAGGTCTTCATAGGATCCTATATTTTAACTTTTTTTTATTCAAGCTACCATGGTTCTTTTATTTGGCTCCCTTTCGTTATTATTCATCAGTTTGTTCCATCGAAATACAATATTCAGTGATGGCGGGACCACCCAAACTCTACGTCGAGCCGCAGGGACCATATGAAGTAGCTCCAGGCGGAAATATCAACGTTACGTGCTCAACAGTTGCCTATCCGTTTCCCGATATTTATTGGACCAGGTAAGATTCTCAATTAGAAAATTTAGGTCACTATTTTCGGTATACTTCTTTTCAGTACCTATTGGTTAACCAGAGTTAAGACCATTTCGCAGTTAGCTTTGAAGTAAATAAACTATTCGGCCTTCTGCTGATCAGAATTGAAAGTACCCCTTCTTTTCTTGGTTAGAGCACATTTGACTGAACAAACGAGCTCCATAGAACATCAAAAATCAACCAAATTTACAGAGGCGACGAGATCGTGGTCGGTGGAGGCGCTCTGAAATCCGGCGCCGTCAAGAGCGACCAAATCTTGATCATCAAGGAGCTGTACCGGAACTCGGAGTTCACATGCCGAGCCAACAACACTCACGGCGTCGCCGAACGCAACGTTTCCATCGTCATCACAGGACCTGGCTCGGCTCCGATTTTGAAGTCGGCCAGCGCCGGCAGGACCTCAATCACGATCCGTTGGGACCCGCCAGCGATTATCAACCGGCCAATCACTACCTACACCGTCTATTACACCAACAATCCGCATCAACCCATCAAGAACTGGAAGAAGACTGAAGTTAAAGGTGATATATAGTTATTGCTTTAGGATTTCAAGCTAGAGTATACTTGACTTCACTGACCGAAAAAAATTTTTATTGAGCCTATGAACTCCATTTATTTAACCCTGAAAAAGTTCAACTAAAAATCTCAACTTTTACTTAGAACCAACACGAGAAGTGACCCTACAAGAGCTACGACCCGACACACCATACTACATACGCGTCCGAGCAAACGACCAGCTTGGACCTGGAAAACTAGGAAATCAAGTCAATATCCGTTCTTTGAGACCAGGTGAATAAAGATTCTAAATTTTCTATCTTAAACTGAAAATTTAGCTGTCCGGCCGTACGTTCAAATCAGCGAGGGCGAAGAGTTGAAGGTTGTTTCTTACTAATTTTTTCAACCATTTTTTCTTAAACCGAAAAAAAAAGACTAGCAACTGAAGCCCTATCACCGTTCCTTCATGTGAAAATTGTTTTTCAAGGTCGCTCCAATGACGCCTTTCGAAATCGCCTGCAACGTAACGAAAGCCGACCCGACGCCTGTTCTTGTCTGGCAGCACAAGTAACCAAAAAACTTATGTATGGAATTTAATTTTGATGAAAATTAAGAGGACGACCACTGAACAAAGGAGAACGGAGCAATCACATGCGGATGCAAAACGGCGGAATTATCGAAAATACTGTATTTTCTTGTATTGCTGAAAATGAAGCCGGAAGAAGCACGAAACGGATAAATATCACAGTCACTGGACCAAGTGCGCCGGAACGAATTCGCTACCAGATTGACGGCGACAAGGTTGGTGAAAATTCTGAGGAAACTTTATTTCGTATACTTCATTCACCGCTTGTTTGAGATGAAAATTCCATCAATTCCTTCTTTGACAGTATCTATCTGTTTCTACAAACTTGAAATTTCGATTTTTCTTTCCAACTGAAAACTTAATTTTTTTGCTTTTTTTTCAAAATGCTTCACCCATTTTTGTATTCTACTTATTTTTTGAAAAAATCAACATTGTTTTCCCAATTCAAATTAATTTCCAGGTAACTCTCCAATGGGAACAGCCACAAATTACCAACGGACCAATGGCCGGCTACGACGTTCTCTACACTGAAGACCCGAATTTGCCTCGAGATGAATGGAAGGTAAACCTTTTCAAAAACTTTTCATGGAAACAATCAACGCTCTCCCATCAAAAACCGAGAAAACTAAAATGTCTAAATTTTAGGTACACCACATCGACGACCCACACGCCAGATCGACTACCGTCCCAAGGCTGAACGAAAAAACGCCCTACACTTTTGTGATTGTCGGAAGGAATCGTCTGGGTCCTGGACTTCCAAGCGCTCCATTCAACGCCACGACTTGGCTGGCTTCCAAGCCACCGGTCGTCGAACTATCGCCAGCCGATGAAATCGAAAAAACGCCTAGCAATGACGAGCTCGTGATCGAATGCGAAGCCCAAGGAGTTCCCAAGCCGAAAATCATCTGGTTGTGGAGCGGTCAACTAGTGGAAGATGGAAAGGTTTGTTAAATTTTGAATTAGCTTCGGACAGATATTTCACCCAAATGTGAAGCGTACCAGCTCAAAAGTGAAAATCAAGAGCGTTTTAATGTGACTTGGAATAACAATTCAGCTCGAACTTCCACATTTCTTAAAATACTCACTCTCTTTCAGAACGGTTTTAATGAGATTTGAAGCCTAATCATTCCTAATCTTAAGATCAAAACTTCAGGACGAGTTCCGAATCTACGACGTCACGCCTCACGATGCTCAAGACAGATCGATCAGCAAGCTCACCGCCCAAAGTACATCGAGAAGTGGCGTCGCTACGTGTCAGGTAAACCTATAGTTCTTTATTTCTTTTGGTTCTTATGCATTTTTTCTCTCACCGTCTTCGAGAACTTTTGATCATGAATTTGTGGTTACCCAAGCTTCTTAGTACGTAAATTGCATTTTCCTTAAGACGAAATTATCTCAAAACTCATTTTTTCCAGGCAGTCAACAGTGACGGATCAGACGAGAAGAAGGTTCCAGTAAAAATCTTAGGTCCGGGAAGTGCTCCGCTGAACATTCTACCGACGCCTATGCACACCGGCTTCGACATTTCCTGGCAGCCGCCCAAGATTCCGAATGGAAGGATCACGGTAACATTCTCAAAACGCACAAGAACTTGGCTTGCTTCAGAACTACGTCGTCTACTACACGAAGAATCCCGACTCCGACATTGACGAATGGCAATCGGAGACAGTGCCCGCGGAGAATCGCAATCTGACAGTTCGTGTCGACGACGAGGACACACCGTACGTCGTCAAGGTCCAGGCCGTCACGGACGACGGACGCGGCATCATTTCCGACACGTACGAAGTCACAACTGGCCGAAAACGTTTGAAAAGGGGATAATAAACTTAATAACCATTTTCAAACTTCAGAAGTGCCACTGGCCGTCAGAATGGAGATCAATGACCCGAAGATTGCCGATGGTGCGACTGAAACGATGGTTGAACCAACCCAGCCGATCCACTTCAGGTGCTCCTTTTTTCGTAGATCTCTTTTATTTTTGAAATGATTGTTAACGGATAAACTATTTTTGTTATCAGACGGAATTCCATTGCTCCACAAGTATTTCAATCAATTCTTCTTTTATTTAGATGTGTCACCGATGGAAGACCGATGCCAAGCGTCTCCTACAGTTGGCTACCCCTCAACGCTACTGAAGGCGGCGATGTAACCTTCGAATTATTTTTTTTTTGAGATCATGAATTTTTTGTAGGAGCCCGTACCAATCCCCATCAACGCCGATGACCAACAGCCCCACCGCTACAACTCCATCCAGGTTCCTTTGTACGATTTTTCTTAAATAACTTCGAGTTAAGGTCTACGCCACCACTGCCACGAAACGAATTTTGCTGTGCCAAGCAAGAAATGCCGACGGAACTGTTGAGGACCGTCACGTCTTCATTGTTAACAGTAAGTTTTTCCATCATATAGTTGCAGTTCTTGGATATTGTCATTACTATTATTATAGTTAGCTCCAAAAACGATTGTTCAAAGGGGCACGTCAAAATCACAAAAAGGTTTTGAGAAGAAGAATTGATTTTAATCATATTTCAGGTTTTCAAACATTTTTTTTTGTTTTCGTTCAAGTGTGTAAACCGTATTGAATCTGAGAGAGAGTTTCCAACCAAACATATTTTCAGAACCTGGCAGCGCGCCTCAAAACGCCGAAGTCATCGTGGACCCTGATAATCGCGTCACGATCACTTGGCAACCTCCCAAGCATCCCAACGGCGATATCACGGTACCTCACTTCCTCATATCCAGTTTCAAGAACGAATTCCAGAAATACAACGTCTACATCACCCAAGATCCATCATTACCCATCGAACAATGGCAAATCTATTCGGTTGACGAGGTCGAAGATCCGAAATTGGTTCTTCAAAGGGGAGAACTCCTACCAGAAACTCCTTACTACGTGAAAATCGCCGCAGTGAATCCGCATGGCGAGGGAATTCTGACGGATCCGAAACCATTTGAAACTGTCAGTGGAGGTATGAGAGGAAAAGTGTTGAAACAGGCTCGTAATATTGACTTTAGCACCAATTGACGCTCCTACCGACGTTCTGCCGTCGGTGGCCATCGACAACACTGTCAACATCACTTGGTCGCCTCCTTCACAGCCTTTGGGTCCGATTAAGGTACTCAAGTTTGTTTAGGAGAAGCGCAGACCTTTCAAAAAAAAAAAACAATCCAATGATCTTCCATACCAATATTTTGGCTGAGCGTGACTGAAAATCTACGCTAAAAACGGAGCCCGTTTTCCACAAATTTATCCAGAGAATTTCTCCATTTCAGAGCTACACGGTCTACTTCAATCGGGACGACGGAACCGGCGATGAGGACTACAAAAATTGGCCTCGCGTCGTTGTCGAAGCCACTGGCGACCACGGATTGGTCACTCTGGACAAGGATCAACACACAATCTATCCTAACACTCCCTACAAGGTACTGAAAAATGGAAACAGTAGCCTTGTGAGAAAACAAAGTTCTTCAGGTCCGAATCTCCGCAACCAACGACCTCTCGGAAGGACCGGCGTCTGAAGCGACACACTTTGAGACTGGAAGTGGAGGTTTTTATGAACAAATTGGACTTTGAAAAAAGTAAAAATCCACAGAAATCCCGCCTACGATCACATTGGAGCCACAAAACTCGACCTATTTGGTGCCGCCAAGAGGAACTGTCACCATCACTTGCAGTGCTCAAGGAGTTCCACAACCGACTGTTCGATGGACCAAGGAAAATGGCGAGGAAGTTGAAGGACCGACGATCGTCTTGTATGACGTCACAAAGGTACAAAATCGCTGAATCCTCCGTTCCGAAGAAACTTCCTGATTTTTCAAAAATTCGGTTCTTCGCTTCTAATGGAGATTATAAGATGGCGAATACGGCATATTATTCAATTATTTTCCTCGCTAGTTAGAAAGGTCCTCTTAAGAGAACTCACGAACTTTTTTGAATTTTCTCGGAAAAACCAATTTTTTGAGGACACCAGCGCAATCTGCTCGGCGAAGAACAACGCAGGAAAGACGCAAGAAAACGTACACATTATGGTCACAGGTAAGCCTAGTACAAGATTTTCACCTATAACATTATTAGGCCCCGGCTCGCCACCCAATGAAATCGTACTGTTGCCGATGCCAAACCAAGAAATCAACGTCGAATGGACGACTCCTGATGACGTCAACGGCCAGATCACTAATTATGTTATCCATTTTGCGGAAGTTGACGAAGGCGAGTTTAATGATTAGGTTTCAGAAGCCCGTTATCATTATTTTTTATAAGCAGCTTGAGAGGACCATATGAACTTCATTTCGAAATGTGTTATGTTAGATGTCAAGTCATAGCTGAAAACTCCACCCTTTATGTCCATTATTTAAACGTCGAGTTATAGCTCAAACTACGCCCCTCATTCCCCTATTTTGGATATCAAGTCATAGCTAAAACTCCGCCCTTTATGCCCCTTATTTAAAAACAAAGAACCAGCCATCCACAGAGCTTTTTTGGCGGCGGAGTTTGCTGCTTGACATTCAGAATCTGAACAAACTACATCTCTATCGAAATGAAAAAACTTATACAAGACCAAAATTTAGAATTTTCTGTCAATGCTCTCAAAATCCTCTATTTTTCAAATTTCAGACGGAAAAGAACCGACCGAATGGAAGCAGGTGACGATCGGCAGGGAGGACGTCAATCACAAACTATCGGAGCTCGAGCCGAAGAAGAAATTTGCCGTCAAAGTCCAGGCGATCAGCGACCGAGGCCCCGGTGTCATTTCGGCGCCACAAATCATTACGACCCTACCTAAAGGTTCATATTTATTTGTTGTTTATTTTATTCCCTAGTCCATTTTTCGGCTTGATTTTTAAATGCAAAGTACAGTGCTTAGAGTTTCCTTGTTAAAAATACCGACAGAGATCGAGAAAGATAACGCAAATTGAAAATGTCCAACTTCAGAAAATCAGTTTGAACGCGTCTTAAAAATTGCCAATTGAAAATGCGGAAACTTCGAATTGGCAACAAAAACGCGCCGCGACCGCTTTGCACATATGCTGCGTTTCGAATCAAGAAGAGAAAAATATTCACCACGATTTTCAGCACCGGAACAAGTGAAAGAGCCGCACGTCACAGTTCACGACAATAACACGGTGGTCATCGATTTTGAGCCGCCCGTTGATCCGGAGAATCCTGATAAGCATATCAAGGTTTGTGAGATATAGTCGTTTCAGATTTTGAACGTTAAGTCATAGCTCAAACTCCGCCCCTCATGCGTAAATCAAACCGATCAGAAAATCTGCTATCCACAGAACTTTATTGGGGGCGGAGTTTACTGCTTGACATTCGTAACCAGAACAGACTATAAAAAACTGTCGAAATCTTGAAATCGTGAAAATTTGTCCAAAAGATTAAGGTGATGAAAAAGAACAAGACCAACATAGTTGTTTGAAGGACAGAAAAAATAAACTTTAAAAAATTGAAAATCAACATCAGATCCAAAAAATAGGGCAAGTTTGCCAATACTCTTTCCATACGGCGACATATCAATATGGTTTAAAAAAATCAATCAAAAATTTAGAAGACGTAAAATATTTTAATTATGCCTAAAACTGTGACCAACTATTGATAAACTTCGAAAAATGTTTTCACCTCAAAGAATTCAATAAATGAAGGAAAGCCTTGTTGTTCCAGGACTTTATCATCCAATACACGGAGGACGATCCGTTGAGTGAAGACACCGACTGGAAAGAACTCAAATTTGTGGATCCTGATGATACGGACGACAAAGCGGTATTCATCTTTCCGATAAACTGAAAAATACAATTATTATTTAGACGGTCGTAATTGACGGCGAAAACTTCAATCCGGACAAGAAGTACAACGTGAGGATCATCGCCCGCGGCGAAATCGATTCGACGCCGAGCGAGCCAAAAGATTTCAACACCGGCGATGGAGGTATGAACTGAAATATATAATGGGTTGAGAACAAATCATAACAGAAAAATAACGGGAACGTAGAAAAAATCAAACGACAGAATTTTTGGGGAATTACTCGAACATCTGACTACTTGGGAAGAAAAAAGGCACGAAAAGATACCTTTTAAAAATATAATAGAAATTACAAAATTGTCTCTCATGAACAAAAAAATATAGGTCACTTAATTTTGAATTTTTTCGTGTCTTCGATAAATGATAGGAATATAAATAACTTCTATAAAAAAATGTTAAAATTATAAAAAAATTGGTGAAAAAAATACATGAATTTGCTTCCAAAGCACTTCGACCACACAGGAATATTTCTACACTTTCCATAATTTTTCCGATGAATCAGCTAAGAACAACCGAAACATCAAAAAAATTGAAGGAAGAAATTACATAAAAAAATATGAGAACATTTCAGACTTCAAAAATTTTTTTGATCAATGAGAACAAATATGCGCGTCGAATATGATGCTTCCTGCATACACGCCCACGTGGATTCACAACCCACAAAAGAAAACTCAGAAGAAACTGAAAAAGAACATATTTTCAAAGACACAAAAAACCTTCACATAAAGAAAAAAAAATGTTCATTTCAGTTATCGCACCCAAAAAGCCGACATTCAACGTCAACACGGATAATGGAACAATTCGTGTACCGGCGGGGACCGATTATCAGATCACTTGCCTTTCCGAAGGCTTCCCACCGCCCTACATCCGATGGGTCGATTCTCATGGAAATGTTTTTGTTTTTCTCAATGAATCGTGTCAATTTTCTCCTTTTGCAGCAGCTTTCCGATGGACCAGTGCTCAGGATAATTGACATCAGGAAAACGCTCAACGCAAAATGTTTGGCCGAGAATCGAGGCGGCTTAAAGGAGACGGATCTGACGGTCTTTGTTGCTGGTTCGTTGTTGATTCATCATGTCTTTGGATTACTCTAGGATTTCATAAGCTCAAGCAAGGCTGTGGAAGGTAGAACCAGCCAAAAAAGGCTATAAAGGCCATTAAAAAGGCAGCATAAAGGAAATCCCATTTTTTTAGGAACAGTTGAAGGCAACCTTGCCAACAGTACCTTTTAGAAAAAAAAATTCTATTTAAAGGACCCGGCACGGCGCCAGAAAACATCGTGCTCAGCGCCAACAAGCCGACGACGATCACAGTTCAGTACGATCCACCTACGATTCCAAATGGAAACATCACCAAGTACATCATCTACTACACACCTTTGGATGACCAGGTGAGAAGTGAAAAAGACCTTTTCCAAAGTTTTGAGCCAGCCAGGGAAAGTCGAGTTTGGGTACCTTAAACAAAGCATATCCAGTTGAGCTTCTCCATTTGAGAGATTCACAACTAAAAACTTTTTTGACCAGAAAATCAGAAGCATTTTTCAATAGGATGCAATGTTCCAATGTTTTGGTGGAGGAAAATTTTTTCGAAATGTGCTTCATTTTTAGTTAATATTGATCCTTAAAACCTCTTACCGCCGAATTTCCAGGACCCCGCCCACCAACTCGGCCAAGTTCAATCGAAGCCGATCAACGCTTGGCAGAACGTCCATGACGTCAACGATAAGGAAGGACCTCGGAAGGTGGACATCAAGGACTTTGTCCAGACCGACACCGCCTACGCTGTCGTCGTGCAGGCCATCAATGACGACGGTCCGGGGCCCTACTCCAATCAATACACTGTCAGAACCATGTCCCGCGGTAAGCTTTTTTTCTAGGGAGATAAATTTGAGATGTTTTTAAAAACCGGAATGTTTTGAAAAGCTTCTCGTTAAAATTTTTCCAGTTGCATCAACTCTGAACATTTGCTCTGTTGAAGCCAGCCTTACTAAACCTACAAGCTCTGAGAACTCATTCCTAATCTTCAGCTCGAGAAGGACCTCCAGTAGACCTGCGAGTAGAGCCGGATGGACAGAGATCGGCGGCGGTCGAATGGAAGGAGCCGACGACGTCGGATGTGCCGCCAATCGGCTACGAAATCTTCTACATTCTAGGAAACAAGAGTATCGACGTCGACGACAGCGTCAGCATCACTGATTGGTTAGCTTTATTAACTTTTACTGTCAAAATAAAATACGACTGGGTGAGAAAGATTCTCAATTTTAAACTTTTTAAGACCCCGCTCATAATACGAACATCCGTCGATCTTAGAAAAAGTTTATAAAACATCCTAGGGACCGCAAAGCCACGCCCCTTTTCGCGATAGAAAAAGTGGCTTTTTTTTGGTTTTCAACTTTCATTTTGCTGTAGTTGCAAAATATGTGGAACTGGATAATAAACTTTGACACACATGTACAGAAAAGCTTCCTCTTTCGTTTAAAAAATATTTCACGCTTTTTTGATGCGTTCTCGCGGAATGTCGTACAAAAACGTGAATGGAACTAAAAATTTTTGTCGTTTTTTGCTTTTTCATGTGTTTTCAGGTCGAACGCACTCTTTCTTTTTTTATATAATGGTTCTGATTCAAGTAACGGTAATTTTAAAACAATAAAATAAAAAATTCGTCTTTGCCAAAAATTTTAGGGAGTGCCGAAAGTCATAATTCAAAATATCGTTAATAAGCGAATATAATCGAGTTTTTTTGTTTTTTTCAAAATTTAGACCATGGGCTTACTTAAATTTTTTTCTCCACAGCATCTGTGTTTGAAAAAAAGTTGTGTGATACGCAAAAAAATGCTCTTGAAAAATAGAGAATAAAATTAGCGGCGTTTATCACACAGAAAGCGGTCGAACGCAGGTTTTTTTCAAACGATTATATACATTTATTAGTAAAAAAATCTTTCAATTAAAAAGAATAAAAATAAAAAAATTCGTCTTTGCCGAAAAATATACGGGGCCGTTTTAATGCAGCGATCGTTAAATGAGGCAAAAAAAGCACTGAAAAAAACAGTTTTTTTCGAAATGATTTTCCACGAAACGTTTGAGTAAAGATTTGCGAACATATTCTGATAAAAATAGCTTAATTACTTCAAGTTTTTCTTTTTGAAATAGGCAATCTGTGCTATTTAAACGGCTCAAGGCTAAGGCGGATGGAAGCTCCCCGCGTTAGACCTGACAGCTTGGCGCAGTGCGTGCGCTGCGATTTTTCATTTTGAGGTCGCGAGTTCGATACCCGCAAGCGTCAGTTTTTTGTTTTCTGCAAAATACCGACTTTTCCGGCAAAATAGCTGATTAGCATCATTTTAGCACTCTATTATAATTTGTTACATCATAATAGACCAGTATCAAAACTTGTTCTAGAAGAAAAATCGAGAAAAATGTCAAAAATGGATAATACCAAAATTTCAGTACTAAAAAAATGGTGCGCGGCGCGCCACATTTTTTGTCATAACTTTTTTCATCCTCAATCTTTTTTGAAAAACTAAACGGTTCTGAGTTTTGAATCGAAACAGCTATCAAACCATACATAGCTCAATGCTGAAAAAAATTTTTTGAAAATTCGTCTGCGGTCCCTAAAACATCCTTCCAGGTCCAAAATCACCATCGACGACCCCTCAAAGCTGTCCTACAAAATCCAAAACCTGCTGCTTCCCGACACCGACTACGTCTTCAAAATGCGAGCAATCTATCCAGACGGCCCAAGCGTCTTCTCTGAACCTTGCATCATGAAGACGCTTCCTGATGGTACTAATCTTATATCACATTCACCACGAACTAAAACGGTCGCTCCCTTGTTCTGCCATGTTTTTCTTTGTTTCTGCTACCTCGAGAAGAGAGCGCAGACGCGGTAGACTATTTCAAATAGTTATCAATCCTGGAAGGAACTTCCTCTCTTCTGAAGCCTCAAGTTAGCTCCAGTGAAGTCCAGATTTTTTCGAAAACTTCAAAAAAATTCAGAAAGAAGCTCTTTACTGTCAAACTTTACTGTTGATTACAGGAAACGCGCCCTACATCCAAATTTCCACTGGAGACAATGGAATCGAAGGCAGCACTACGATTCAGATTCTACCTGGCTCGCAAATGAATGTGGCTTGTAATGCTACCGGAATACCTCAGCCACAAGTCAAATGGATCAAGGCCGGCAGCTATGAGATCGATCCGAGCAGAGTAAGTCTATAGTCAGCCGTTTTTAAGCTCATAAAAGGTACAAGACGCTTCCAATGGGTTGGGTTTTACACATCTTTTCAATATTATCCCAGTTGTTTCTTTCTTGATCGAAAGTTCGCACTTGTAAGCTTCAAAGAAAAAACTCCTGATTCTCCTGATGAAAGTGGAGAAAATAAAGAAAAAAGACTTTTTCTCAGCTTATTAGTCCCTTCTTACCAAAACCTCATAGCTCCTTCCGGACTGATTGAAATTAGAAAACCTTACGCGATTCAATTTTTCTCAGGTCGAAGCCGAGGGAAACTATGCCAAATTCTCGCTGACAGTTTCAAATATAACCGAAGATACGACATTCAACTGCGTCGCACAGAATCCACTGGGACATGCGAATTGGACAATCAATGTCAACTTGATCGATGGTGCGTTTTGAAAAGAGATCGAGAGTCGAGAGCTTCTTTTGTTTCAACACCGTGTTGAAACAGTAAAAGGCTCCTGACGTTTCTGAGCAGTTTTAGGGATCACTCAAGAATACTGAGGCTACTAAATTAGTTACTAGTAATGCTCCGACACATCCGGGGCGCGACCAACGTCAGAGTAAAAAGACGATTCTTGAAAATTTTCGTTGGAGCGCATTTGCATAGAAGCACTGCGGGCTTTCTTTCATTTACAGTGTTTTTGGTAGGAAATAACTACGATAGCAAGAGCGACACAAGATAAATTTGCTTATTTCTATAAGATCCTAACCCAAATCCTCCACATAAGTCCCAAAGAAACCAAACTTTCAGGCCTTGAACCAAACTGGCGGGACGATTTCGTTCGCTCGAAGACAGAAGGTGGTCAAACCGTCTTGGTCTTCACCGACGACTTGCCAGACTATCTAAAGACACCGGTAAATCTACATAACTCTTCTAAAAATGGTCGATTCTTCACAGAATGAATGGACAATCTACTACACCGACGACGCCGAGGAACCGAAAGATCAATGGGAGCAGATTCCATCAGGAGGAGGACCGCTGAATCGCGTCGAAGTGCCCGACATGAACCCTGGAACCTACTACTATTTGGTCGTTGATAACCCTGAAAAGGGCATTCAGACGCCCACACTCGTCGTGATGACGCCAAGTGAGTTTCTCCAGCCTTTCTCAGATTCTGATGTTCTTTTTAGAGCCCCCAAGTGACATTCGATTCGGAAAGAACAACGACGACGAGCAAATTATCGATTTCAAGCCAGCGATCGCTTCAGAGCCAATCAAGGTTCCTTTTTCCTGGATGAAAGTTAAAATTGAGAAAATCAGGAGTACACAATCAAAGCCTGGAAGTCAGATGACCCGTCAGATTCTAAGACTTTCCGCACACCGACGGATCAGACTAGTGGGGTCGTACTTGACGGCCTAGAACCTAACACGGACTACAGCATTCAAGTAAGTTTTTTGAAAATACTCATTCCATGACAAAACGAACTGCTAAAGAAAAATATTTTACACCTTGATTGTTTTGAAGCTCAACATTTAAAGCATTTAACTCGAAATACATCTAGAACAATAAAAAAAAACAGAGTAAGAACTTGACAAGTTTGCCAACAGACTCAGATTGTGAAGTTCATTTTTTTCTCCGGCAATCTTTCTCTGGTTTATTTTTCACAATTTTCTGTCTAATACTAAAACAAAGTATTGAAATAAAGGTTGCCGCCGAGTTCTACGAGGGTGAAGACTTGCCGAGTGAGCCCATCTACGTCAAGACGCCTCCCCGAGGTATACGAATCCCCTGACCCATTCCGAAGAATTATCTTCAGACGTCTCCTGCGATTGCGAGCACGCATGCAGTTTCGAAGACGTCGATGGGGAGCTGAAGCCGCAATGCTATTGTCACAACGGCTACCACCTCGCTGACAATGGAAAATCTTGTGAGCGGGACCTTGACGACGCGACATCGCAGAAAGTTCTAACGGTATGATATAGGATTTTTTTCTTGAAGTCAAGGAGCATGAGAAAATGAGGCCTGATAAATCAACGTAATCTCGTAGACCTTTCCATTGTTTGTCGGGCTATACACTGGGAAAGGTTCTTAATGAATTTACTTCAAACTAGAAGAAAAAAAGTTCTAAAAGAATTCGGAATGAGTGGAAAGGTTCATTTTTTCATCTTTTCAGAACTTATACTATGATCTTACAAAATGAGTTTCCAGGTAACACCGCCATCAATCACAACCGCCAAAGAGCCAGAGGAGCTGTCAACGACCATGGCCACTTACGATGCAATTCCACTTGTCGGACCAGACGGTGTCCCTCTCAAAAAGAACAAAGAAGGCAAGCCTATCGATAATTCTGGCCGCCCGGTCAAGTACGACGAAACAGGAGCCCCTGTTGGTCCAAGCGGAAATGAGCTTAAAAAGAACGAGAAAGGCGAATGGGTTTATCCACTCGTTGACAAAAAAGGCCGACCTCTTCCAACTGATGCCGAAAACAAGCCTATCATCACGATCATCGACGAGAAAGGCGATCCGCTTGTCAAATCGCCAGAGGGTGACCTCGTTTCTTCGGATGGAAAAGTTTATCCTATTGATTTACTTGGTCGTCCGCTGGATGAAAATGGCAACCCATATGAAATCGATGAAAACGGGAAGATTATGGTGTCAGATGTTGGACCAGTGACGGAAGCCGAAGAAGAGAAAGATAAAAAACCTTACATTCCATTTATCATTGTCGATGGCGAGCCCATTCGCGAAGAAGATGGCAAAATGTACGATGAAGACGGCAACGAAATACCCACAAACGAAGATGGAGTTCCGATTGATGGACAAGGAAAACCCTATCCGCAAAAAGAAGACGGAACCTACATTATACCAGCCACAACTCACGCGACAATTGTTGATGCAGAAAACCGACCACTGCCGACCGCCAAAGATGGTTCATTTCTTGATGGAGACGGTAAACCAGTGCCAACAGACTCGATCGGAAGGCCTCTTGGAGAAGCTGGATCACCTTTACCCACGGATAGTCAGGGCAACTACGTCAGTTTACCGAAAGAAGGTGACGCCACTCAAACATTACCAACTGATCAAACGGGAAGGTTTCTGCAACCAATTACGAGACCCGATGGTTCACCACTTCCAACCGACTCCAGTGGTAACTTTATCACCGAAGACGGATCCATTGTAGAGAGAGACGATGAAGGCAAACCTCTCGGTCCTGACGGCCAAGTACTGCCAACAGACTCTGCTGGAAACTACATCTTCCCTATCATTGGTCCAGATGGAAGCGTCTTGCCAACAGATGAGAACAAGAAGCCAATTTATCCTGTAGTCGGACCTGATGGAACTCCTTTGCCGACAGATGCCAGTGGAGCTGCGATTGGAATCGATGGAAGACCGATTCAAACAGATTCAGCTGGAAGACCTCTTGGGGAAGACGGTTCTCCGCTTCCAACTGACGCTTCGGGCAACTTCGTCAACGTCCCTTCGGCGACTGAAACGAGCAAAGTCTTGCCAACTGATGAATCTGGAAACGTCATCTATCCTATCACCAAGCCGGACGGATCTCCACTTCCAACTGACGCCAGTGGAAACTTCGTCACAGAGGAAGGCACAATTGTTGAGAAGGACGACGAAGGCAAACCTCTCGGTCCTGACGGCCAAGTACTGCCAACAGACTCTGCTGGAAACTACATCTTCCCTATCATTGGTCCAGATGGAAGCGTCTTGCCAACAGATGAGAACAAGAAGCCAATTTATCCTGTGGTCGGACCTGATGGAACTCCTTTGCCGACAGACGCCAGCGGAGCAGCGATCGGAGTTGATGGAAAACCAATTCCAACAGATTCAGCCGGAAGACCTCTTGGAGAAGATGGTTCTCCGCTTCCAACTGACGCTTCGGGCAACTTCGTCAACGTCCCTTCGGCGACTGAAACGAGCAAAGTCTTGCCAACTGATGAATCTGGAAACGTCATCTATCCTATCACCAAGCCGGACGGATCTCCACTTCCAACTGACGCCAGTGGAAACTTCGTCACAGAGGAAGGCACAATTGTTGAGAAGGACGACGAAGGCAAACCTCTCGGTCCTGACGGCCAAGTACTGCCAACAGACTCTGCTGGAAACTACATCTTCCCTATCATTGGTCCAGATGGCAGTGTCTTGCGAACAGATGAGAACAAGAAGCCAATTTATCCAGTTCTAGGACCAGATGGAACTCCTCTGCCTACAGATGCCAGTGGAGCTGCGATCGGAGTTGATGGAAAACCAATTCCAACAGATTCAGCCGGAAGACCTCTTGGAGAAGATGGTTCTCCGCTTCCAACTGACGCTTCGGGCAACTACGTCAACGTTCCTTCGGCGACTGAAACAAGCAAAGTTCTGCCAACTGATGAATCTGGAAACGTCATCTATCCTATCACCAAGCCGGACGGATCTCCACTTCCAACTGACGCCAGTGGGAACTTCGTCACAGAAGAAGGTACAATTGTTGAGAAGGACGACGAAGGCAAACCTCTCGGTCCTGACGGCCAAGTTCTGCCAACAGACTCTGCTGGAAACTACATCTTCCCTATCATTGGTCCAGATGGGAGCGTCTTGCCAACTGACGAGAACAAAAAGCCAATTTATCCTGTAGTCGGACCTGACGGAACTCCTTTGCCGACAGACGCCAGCGGAGCAGCGATCGGAGTTGATGGAAAACCATTTCCAACAGATTCAGCTGGACGACCTCTTGGGGAAGACGGTTCTCCGCTTCCAACTGACGCTTCGGGCAACTACTTCAACGTTCCTTCTGCGACTGAAACAAGCAAAGTTCTGCCAACTGATGAATCTGGAAACGTCATCTATCCTATCACCAAGCCGGACGGATCTCCACTTCCAACTGACGCCAGTGGGAACTTCGTCACAGAAGAAGGTACAATTGTTGAGAAGGACGACGAAGGCAAACCTCTCGGTCCTGACGGCCAAGTTCTGCCAACAGACTCTGCTGGAAACTACATCTTCCCTATCATTGGTCCAGATGGGAGCGTCTTGCCAACTGACGAGAACAAAAAGCCAATTTATCCTGTAGTCGGACCTGACGGAACTCCTTTGCCGACAGACGCCAGCGGAGCAGCGATCGGAGTTGATGGAAAACCAATTCCAACAGATTCAGCTGGACGACCTCTTGGGGAAGACGGTTCTCCGCTTCCAACTGACGCTTCGGGCAACTACTTCAACGTTCCTTCTGCGACTGAAACAAGCAAAGTTCTGCCAACTGATGAATCTGGAAACGTCATCTATCCTATCACCAAGCCGGATGGATCTCCTCTTCCAACTGACGCCAGTGGGAACTTCGTCACAGAAGAAGGTACAATTGTTGAGAAGGACGACGAAGGCAAACCTCTCGGTCCTGACGGCCAAGTTCTGCCAACAGACTCTGCTGGAAACTACATCTTCCCTATCATTGGTCCAGATGGCAGCGTCTTGCCAACTGACGAGAACAAAAAGCCAATTTATCCTGTAGTCGGACCTGACGGAACTCCTTTGCCGACAGACGCCAGCGGAGCAGCGATCGGAGTTGATGGAAAACCATTTCCAACAGATTCAGCTGGACGACCTCTTGGGGAAGACGGTTCTCCGCTTCCAACTGACGCTTCGGGCAACTACGTCAACGTTCCTTCTGCGACTGAAACAAGCAAAGTTCTGCCAACTGATGAATCTGGAAACGTCATCTATCCTATCACCAAGCCGGACGGATCTCCACTTCCAACTGACGCCAGTGGGAACTTCGTCACAGAAGAAGGTACAATTGTTGAGAAGGACGACGAAGGCAAACCTCTCGGTCCTGACGGCCAAGTTCTGCCAACAGACTCTGCTGGAAACTACATCTTCCCTATCATTGGTCCAGATGGCAGCGTCTTGCCAACTGACGAGAACAAAAAAAGCCAATTTATCCTGTAGTCGGACCTGACGGAACTCCTTTGCCGACAGACGCCAGCGGAGCAGCGATCGGAGTTGATGGAAAAACCATTTCCAACAGATTCAGCTGGACGACCTCTTGGGGAAGACGGTTCTCCGCTTCCAACTGACGCTTCGGGCAACTACGTCAACGTTCCTTCTGCGACTGAAACAAGCAAAGTTCTGCCAACTGATGAATCTGGAAACGTCATCTATCCTATCACCAAGCCGGACGGATCTCCACTTCCAACTGACGCCAGTGGGAACTTCGTCACAGAAGAAGGTACAATTGTTGAGAAGGACGACGAAGGCAAACCTCTCGGTCCTGACGGCCAAGTTCTGCCAACAGACTCTGCTGGAAACTACATCTTCCCTATCATTGGTCCAGATGGGCAGCGTCTTGCCAACTGACGAGAACAAAAAAAGCCAATTTATCCTGTAGTCGGACCTGACGGAACTCCTTTGCCGACAGACGCCAGCGGAGCAGCGATCGGAGTTGATGGAAAACCATTTCCAACAGATTCAGCTGGAAGACCTCTTGGAGAAGATGGTTCTCCGCTTCCAACTGACGCTTCGGGCAACTACGTCAACGTTCCTTCTGCGACTGAAACAAGCAAAGTTCTGCCAACTGATGAATCTGGAAACGTCATCTATCCTATCACCAAGCCGGACGGATCTCCACTTCCAACTGACGCCAGTGGAAACTTCGTCACAGAGGAAGGCACAATTGTTGAGAAGGACGACGAAGGCAAACCTCTCGGTCCTGACGGCCAAGTCCTGCCAACAGACTCTGCTGGAAACTACATCTTCCCTATCATTGGTGCAGATGGAAGCGTCTTGCCAACAGATGAGAACAAAAAGCCAATTTATCCTGTAGTCGGACCTGACGGAACTCCTTTGCCGACAGACGCCAGCGGAGCAGCGATCGGAGTTGATGGAAAACCATTTCCAACAGATTCAGCTGGACGACCTCTTGGAGAAGATGGTTCTCCGCTTCCAACTGACGCTTCGGGCAACTACGTCAACGTTCCTTCTGCGACTGAAACAAGCAAAGTTCTGCCAACTGATGAATCTGGAAACGTCATCTATCCTATCACCAAGCCGGACGGATCTCCACTTCCAACTGACGCCAGTGGGAACTTCGTCACAGAAGAAGGTACAATTGTTGAGAAGGACGACGAAGGCAAACCTCTCGGTCCTGACGGCCAAGTTCTGCCAACAGACTCTGCTGGAAACTACATCTTCCCTATCATTGGTCCAGATGGCAGCGTCTTGCCAACTGACGAGAACAAAAAGCCAATTTATCCTGTAGTCGGACCTGACGGAACTCCTTTGCCGACAGACGCCAGCGGAGCAGCGATCGGAGTTGATGGAAAACCATTTCCAACAGATTCAGCTGGACGACCTCTTGGAGAAGATGGTTCTCCGCTTCCAACTGACGCTTCGGGCAACTACGTCAACGTTCCTTCTGCGACTGAAACAAGCAAAGTTCTGCCAACTGATGAATCTGGAAACGTCATCTATCCTATCACCAAGCCGGACGGATCTCCACTTCCAACTGACGCCAGTGGGAACTTCGTCACAGAAGAAGGTACAATTGTTGAGAAGGACGACGAAGGCAAACCTCTCGGTCCTGACGGCCAAGTACTGCCAACAGACTCTGCTGGAAACTACATCTTCCCTATCATTGGTCCAGATGGAAGCGTCTTGCCAACTGACGAGAACAAAAAGCCAATTTATCCTGTAGTCGGACCTGACGGAACTCCTTTGCCGACAGACGCCAGCGGAGCAGCGATCGGAGTTGATGGAAAACCATTTCCAACAGATTCAGCTGGACGACCTCTTGGGGAAGACGGTTCTCCGCTTCCAACTGACGCTTCGGGCAACTACGTCAACGTTCCTTCTGCGACTGAAACAAGCAAAGTTCTGCCAACTGATGAATCTGGAAACGTCATCTATCCTATCACCAAGCCGGACGGATCTCCACTTCCAACTGACGCCAGTGGGAACTTCGTCACAGAAGAAGGTACAATTGTTGAGAAGGACGACGAAGGCAAACCTCTCGGTCCTGACGGCCAAGTTCTGCCAACAGACTCTGCTGGAAACTACATCTTCCCTATCATTGGTCCAGATGGCAGCGTCTTGCCAACTGACGAGAACAAAAAAAGCCAATTTATCCTGTAGTCGGACCTGACGGAACTCCTTTGCCGACAGACGCCAGCGGAGCAGCGATCGGAGTTGATGGAAAACCATTTCCAACAGATTCAGCTGGACGACCTCTTGGGGAAGACGGTTCTCCGCTTCCAACTGACGCTTCGGGCAACTACGTCAACGTTCCTTCTGCGACTGAAACAAGCAAAGTTCTGCCAACTGATGAATCTGGAAACGTCATCTATCCTATCACCAAGCCGGACGGATCTCCACTTCCAACTGACGCCAGTGGGAACTTCGTCACAGAAGAAGGTACAATTGTTGAGAAGGACGACGAAGGCAAACCTCTCGGTCCTGACGGCCAAGTTCTGCCAACAGACTCTGCTGGAAACTACATCTTCCCTATCATTGGTCCAGATGGCAGCGTCTTGCCAACTGACGAGAACAAAAAGCCAATTTATCCTGTAGTCGGACCTGACGGAACTCCTTTGCCGACAGACGCCAGCGGAGCAGCGATCGGAGTTGATGGAAAACCATTTCCAACAGATTCAGCTGGACGACCTCTTGGGGAAGACGGTTCTCCGCTTCCAACTGACGCTTCGGGCAACTACGTCAACGTTCCTTCTGCGACTGAAACAAGCAAAGTTCTGCCAACTGATGAATCTGGAAACGTCATCTATCCTATCACCAAGCCGGATGGATCTCCTCTTCCAACTGACGCCAGTGGAAACTTCGTCACAGAAGAAGGTACAATTGTTGAGGAGGACGACGAAGGCAAACCTCTCGGTCCTGACGGCCAAGTTCTGCCAACAGACTCTGCTGGAAACTACATCTTCCCTATCATTGGTCCAGATGGCAGCGTCTTGCCAACTGACGAGAACAAAAAGCCAATTTATCCTGTAGTCGGACCTGACGGAACTCCTTTGCCGACAGACGCCAGCGGAGCAGCGATCGGAGTTGATGGAAAACACATTCCAACAGATTCAGCCGGAAGACCTCTTGGAGAAGATGGTTCTCCGCTTCCAACTGACGCTTCGGGCAACTACGTCAACGTTCCTTCTGCGACTGAAACAAGCAAAGTTCTGCCAACTGATGAATCTGGAAACGTCATCTATCCTATCACCAAGCCGGACGGATCTCCACTTCCAACTGACGCCAGTGGAAACTTCGTCACAGAGGAAGGCACAATTGTTGAGAAGGACGACGAAGGCAAACCTCTCGGTCCTGACGGCCAAGTCCTGCCAACAGACTCTGCTGGAAACTACATCTTCCCTATCATTGGTCCAGATGGAAGCGTCTTGCCAACAGATGAGAACAAGAAGCCAATTTATCCTGTGGTCGGACCTGATGGAACTCCTTTGCCGACAGACGCCAGCGGAGCAGCGATCGGAGTTGATGGAAAACACATTCCAACAGATTCAGCCGGAAGACCTCTTGGAGAAGATGGTTCTCCGCTTCCAACTGACGCTTCGGGCAACTACGTCAACGTTCCTTCTGCGACTGAAACAAGCAAAGTTCTGCCAACTGATGAATCTGGAAACGTCATCTATCCTATCACCAAGCCGGACGGATCTCCACTTCCAACTGACGCCAGTGGGAACTTCGTCACAGAAGAAGGTACAATTGTTGAGAAGGACGACGAAGGCAAACCTCTCGGTCCTGACGGCCAAGTTCTGCCAACAGACTCTGCTGGAAACTACATCTTCCCTATCATTGGTCCAGATGGCAGCGTCTTGCCAACTGACGAGAACAAAAAAAGCCAATTTATCCTGTAGTCGGACCTGACGGAACTCCTTTGCCGACAGACGCCAGCGGAGCAGCGATCGGAGTTGATGGAAAACCAATTTCCAACAGATTCAGCTGGACGACCTCTTGGGGAAGACGGTTCTCCGCTTCCAACTGACGCTTCGGGCAACTACGTCAACGTTCCTTCTGCGACTGAAACAAGCAAAGTTCTGCCAACTGATGAATCTGGAAACGTCATCTATCCTATCACCAAGCCGGACGGATCTCCACTTCCAACTGACGCCAGTGGGAAACTTCGTCACAGAGGAAGGCACAATTGTTGAGAAGGACGACGAAGGCAAACCTCTCGGTCCTGACGGCCAAGTCCTGCCAACAGACTCTGCTGGAAACTACATCTTCCCTATCATTGGTCCAGATGGAAGCGTCTTGCCAACAGATGAGAACAAAGAAAGCCAATTTATCCTGTGGTCGGACCTGATGGAACTCCTTTGCCGACAGACGCCAGCGGAGCAGCGATCGGAGTTGATGGAAAACCAATTCCAACAGATTCAGCCGGAAGACCTCTTGGAGAAGATGGTTCTCCGCTTCCAACTGACGCTTCGGGCAACTACGTCAACGTTCCTTCTGCGACTGAAACAAGCAAAGTTCTGCCAACTGATGAATCTGGAAACGTCATCTATCCTATCACCAAGCCGGACGGATCTCCACTTCCAACTGACGCCAGTGGAAACTTCGTCACAGAGGAAGGCACAATTGTTGAGAAGGACGACGAAGGCAAACCTCTCGGTCCTGACGGCCAAGTCCTGCCAACAGACTCTGCTGGAAACTACATCTTCCCTATCATTGGTCCAGATGGAAGCGTCTTGCCAACAGATGAGAACAAGAAGCCAATTTATCCTGTGGTCGGACCTGATGGAACTCCTTTGCCGACAGACGCCAGCGGAGCAGCGATCGGAGTTGATGGAAAACACATTCCAACAGATTCAGCCGGAAGACCTCTTGGAGAAGATGGTTCTCCGCTTCCAACTGACGCTTCGGGCAACTACGTCAACGTTCCTTCTGCGACTGAAACAAGCAAAGTTCTGCCAACTGATGAATCTGGAAACGTCATCTATCCTATCACCAAGCCGGACGGATCTCCACTTCCAACTGACGCCAGTGGAAACTTCGTCACAGAGGAAGGCACAATTGTTGAGAAGGACGACGAAGGCAAACCTCTCGGTCCTGACGGCCAAGTACTGCCAACAGACTCTGCTGGAAACTACATCTTCCCTATCATTGGTCCAGATGGAAGCGTCTTGCCAACAGATGAGAATAAGAAGCCAATTTATCCTGTGGTCGGACCTGATGGAACTCCTTTGCCGACAGACGCCAGCGGAGCAGCGATCGGAGTTGATGGAAAACCAATTCCAACAGATTCAGCCGGAAGACCTCTTGGAGAAGATGGTTCTCCGCTTCCAACTGACGCTTCGGGCAACTACGTCAACGTTCCTTCTGCGACTGAAACAAGCAAAGTTCTGCCAACTGATGAATCTGGAAACGTCATCTATCCTATCACCAAGCCGGACGGATCTCCACTTCCAACTGACGCCAGTGGAAAACTTCGTCACAGAGGAAGGCACAATTGTTGAGAAGGACGACGAAGGCAAACCTCTCGGTCCTGACGGCCAAGTCCTGCCAACAGACTCTGCTGGAAACTACATCTTCCCTATCATTGGTCCAGATGGAAGCGTCTTGCCAACAGATGAGAACAAGAAGCCAATTTATCCTGTGGTCGGACCTGATGGAACTCCTTTGCCGACAGACGCCAGCGGAGCAGCGATCGGAGTTGATGGAAAACACATTCCAACAGATTCAGCCGGAAGACCTCTTGGAGAAGATGGTTCTCCGCTTCCAACTGACGCTTCGGGCAACTACGTCAACGTTCCTTCTGCGACTGAAACAAGCAAAGTTCTGCCAACTGATGAATCTGGAAACGTCATCTATCCTATCACCAAGCCGGATGGATCTCCTCTTCCAACTGACGCCAGTGGGAACTTCGTCACAGAAGAAGGTACAATTGTTGAGAAGGACGACGAAGGCAAACCTCTCGGTCCTGACGGCCAAGTTCTGCCAACAGACTCTGCTGGAAACTACATCTTCCCTATCATTGGTCCAGATGGAAGCGTCTTGCCAACAGATGAGAACAAGAAGCCAATTTATCCTGTAGTCGGACCTGACGGAACTCCTTTGCCGACAGACGCCAGCGGAGCAGCGATCGGAGTTGATGGAAAACCAATTCCAACAGATTCAGCCGGAAGACCTCTTGGAGAAGATGGTTCTCCGCTTCCAACTGACGCTTCGGGCAACTACGTCAACGTTCCTTCTGCGACTGAAACAAGCAAAGTTCTGCCAACTGATGAATCTGGAAACGTCATCTATCCTATCACCAAGCCGGATGGATCTCCTCTTCCAACTGACGCCAGTGGGAACTTCGTCACAGAAGAAGGTACAATTGTTGAGAAGGACGACGAAGGCAAACCTCTCGGTCCTGACGGCCAAGTTCTGCCAACAGACTCTGCTGGAAACTACATCTTCCCTATCATTGGTCCAGATGGAAGCGTCTTGCCAACAGATGAGAACAAGAAGCCAATTTATCCTGTAGTCGGACCTGACGGAACTCCTTTGCCGACAGACGCCAGCGGAGCAGCGATCGGAGTTGATGGAAAACCAATTCCAACAGATTCAGCCGGAAGACCTCTTGGAGAAAATGGTTCTCCGCTTCCAACTGACGCTTCGGGCAACTACGTCAACGTTCCTTCTGCGACTGAAACAAGCAAAGTTCTGCCAACTGATGAATCTGGAAACGTCATCTATCCTGTCACCAAGCCGGATGGATCTCCTCTTCCAACTGACGCCAGTGGGAACTTCGTCACAGAAGAAGGTACAATTGTTGAGAAGGACGACGAAGGCAAACCTCTCGGTCCTGACGGCCAAGTTCTGCCAACAGACTCTGCTGGAAACTACATCTTCCCTATCATTGGTCCAGATGGCAGCGTCTTGCCAACTGACGAGAACAAAAAGCCAATTTATCCTGTAGTCGGACCTGATGGAACTCCTCTGCCGACAGACGCCAGCGGAGCAGCGATCGGAGTTGATGGAAAACCAATTCCAACAGATTCAGCCGGAAGACCTCTTGGAGAAGATGGTTCTCCGCTTGCAACTGACGCTTCGGGCAACTACGTCCACGTTCCTTCTGCGACTGAAACAAGCAAAGTTCTGCCAACTGATGAATCTGGAAACGTCATCTATCCTGTCACCAAGCCGGATGGATCTCCTCTTCCAACTGACGCCAGTGGGAACTTCGTCACAGAAGAAGGTACAATTGTTGAGAAGGACGACGAAGGCAAACCTCTCGGTCCTGACGGCCAAGTTCTGCCAACAGACTCTGCTGGAAACTACATCTTCCCTATCATTGGTCCAGATGGCAGCGTCTTGCCAACTGACGAGAACAAAAAGCCAATTTATCCTGTAGTCGGACCTGATGGAACTCCTCTGCCGACAGACGCCAGCGGAGCAGCGATCGGAGTTGATGGAAAACCAATTCCAACAGATTCAGCCGGAAGACCTCTCGGAGAAGATGGTTCTCCACTTCCAACTGATTATCTGGGACAGTTCATCGCACCTAAGTCTACAGATATCTGCAGTTTCCGAGGACCTGTCGAATATCTTGTTCTAGTCGTGGAGTGTTCTCACACAAGCGCACCATATTTGAGAGAAACAAAGAAGCTTCTCAAAAAGTTTTTGAATAGGATTCCAAGGGATAAAGTTCCGAAGGTCGGAAAGATCATTTATGGCGCGACGACAGAAATCACGGTGGACATCGGCAGTTATGGATCATTTGACGAGCTCTACAACTCGGTTGATGAGATTCGGGAAATCGGGGGCAGCCCAGACGCAAGCTTGGCCCTGCAGACAACTCGGCATCTACTCCAAGAAGAACACAGTGGTGAAACGCTCGTTGTTCATCTTCACGCCACGCCGTATCCGTAAGTGTTCATTTATTGAGGCTTCCATAATATAGAAAAGAAAAACTGAACGAAAAAAATCAATATTCAAGAAAAAAATAATTGAATATACGATAAAGATCGTTCTTTTGCTGTATTCTGAAAAAAATTGATTTTTTTCTTAGAAAATGGCAAGAAGCGCAAAAATTTTTCTTCTTGTGATCTTTAGCGTTCGCCAATTTCAAAAAAAGCCTGAACTTGAAAAAAAGTCAAACGTACAAACTTTTTTTAGAATTGATTTCTTTTTCTTCCCAAATATATCAGTAGGAAAAATTAATTTTTGAAAAAAACGTTATATTTCAGTTCAGTTTTTTTACTTTCATAAAAAAATGTTCTTCATATTGATTTTTTTGACAAGTCAATGGTTTTAATTTATATGAAAAATAAAGTAGATATGAATCATCAAATAATATATAAATAGAAATAGTTGAATGAGTAGATTGGATTCACAATATGTCGCGCTGCCATTTCGAATGGTAAAAAGTGGACGGCTTAGAGGGTGACTGTCATATATTTGATTTAAAAAAATAAAAAAATCAAAAACTCATAGTAAAACAGTGAAATCATCTATTTCAATATGTAATTCAGATGCTCAATATCATAGTTTTCGTATCTATTATTCTTGCCTTGTTAGTAAAGAGTATGTCTCACCAGGGAATGGTCTCTGGTCGCAGTGGGACCTCTCAATGAGACCATTTTTTTCAGGTGTAGTTTTTCACGCTAATCTCAAATCTGGTCTCAAAAACTGCCGAGGAGCTCTGTGAAAAAAGTTATGGACCCTCAAAAGTCGAAAATTTCAGTGTTTCCGATTAAGCTCTTTTTTGAAGAGTCTATAGATCTTGTCCCTCTGGTCACGAAAAACTATCAAAATGTATTCAAAAAAATTTCAGTGAAACTGAAGATCGGTTTTTTGGAAAAAAAAATTAATTTTGGCGCTCAAAACTTCTGAAGGAGAATTTTCCAGTTGTATTCACTAACTCATGGTTTTTTTATCATAAAAAGTGAATTCGAGTGGAGGCCTATTTTGCAAGAGTTGAATTTCGAGGGCTCAATGTCGGCGGAATCCGTTTCAACCAGCATTATTTTGATTTTTTTCGAAAAATTTTTTTATAACAAGATAAAAACGTGTCATCCAAAAATTGATTTTTAAAATCAAGTATGAATAATGTAAACTTGAAGTTTCACCCTGCAGCATTTTGAAGTTCATTCTAAAAAGTTCAGAAAAAAACGATTTGTGAGGGAAATTTCAAGCTTCATTTACAAATATCTATTTCAGTACTACTTCTATTTATTACTTCCCAATAATAACTTTTTTTTCAAGTGAATTCGGAAATCGAGCCTAACTGGAAACTTAGTTGAGACAACTGAGATGTTACCACTGTATTCAATAAACTTTGAAAGATTCCTAGATACCTTTGTAAAAACCTAACCATAAGGTAACCCTTCCAAATTGATACGTATCGAAAATTCTGAACCCGAAGATGAACATGGAGAAAGCGGACATCCCAATGAACATTAGGCTTCTCGAAAAATTACTCTTTATTTTTTGTTAAAAAAATGAAATTTTTTGAAATTGCAGACGAGAGATGAGTGAAACTGAATTTTTGAATTCCGGAATGCAGAATAAAAGGTTTTTTTTCGCGGAATGCGGAAACAGCTCCCCGTACAAATCATTTGAATTATTAAAGCGATATTGATGTATTTTTTTTCTTTTCAGATGGTAATTTTTCCACAGTTAGCGGGTGAAAATGATAATTTCACTGTAAGTATTTTCAAAAAAATCTCATTTTTCAACTTTGAACTTTTTATTGGTTTGTTTTCCGAGCCTCCCAAATCGGAAAAATCACACGTAAAGGAAAAAAAGATCATCCAGGAAACACTGAAAACTTCAAAAAACTTGAGCTTCGACTAGATTAACAACCAAATATTTTTTTCTCACACGAGAAGATATGTAAAACTATACCAGCTAATCAAGGAAACTTTGCAGAAAACAAGCTCGATCGTCTCAGGCGAAACTGGAGAAGAGAGGGAAAACACGTGTCCTTTCACTGCAACAATCAGAATTCATTTCAAGTCAACAACCGATGGATCAACTCATTTCAGAGCTCTGCCTATTTGAACGTAAGCACACCTCTAATTGGGCGGAAAATCAGAGAGTACTGCCTTTTTCATATATGAAAAGACAGTTCTAGAAACACCTAAATCGCGAAAATCTAGAAGACAAACCCGAACTACAGAACAGCTCACATTTTACGAAATGCGGAATGAGTCTTAGGTTTCACGGTTTTCAGTTTTGCTCTAATTATACCACTTTTCAATCGTGGATCTTCAATATTCATACACAACACATACTTTTCGAAATTTTTTATGAAATTTTGTCACTATAATCACCAAAAGATTCGAACTTTGATTTGCAGGGCCTGCGCTGGTGACCAAGCCCGATGGATCTCCACTTCCAACTGACGCCAGTGGAAACTTCGTCACAGAAGAAGGCATAATTGTTGAGAAGGACGACGAAGGCAAACCTCTCGGTCCTGACGGCCAAGTACTGCCAACAGACTCTGCTGGAAACTACATCTTCCCTATCATTGGTCCAGATGGCAGCGTCTTGCCAACAGATGAGAACAAGAAGCCAGTTTATCCTGTAGTCGGACCTGATGGAACTCCTTTGCCGACAGATGCCAGCGGAGCTGCAATCGGAGTTGATGGAAAACCAATCCCAACAGATTCAGCCGGAAGACCTCTTGGAGAAGACGGTTCTCCTCTTCCAACTGACGCCTCGGGCAACTTCGTCAACGTCCCTTCGGCGACTGAAACGAGCAAAAGTCTTGCCAACTGATGAATCTGGAAACGTCATCTATCCTATCACCAAGCCCGATGGATCTCCACTTCCAACTGACGCCAGTGGAAACTTCGTCACAGAAGAAGGCATAATTGTTGAGAAGGACGACGAAGGCAAACCTCTCGGTCCTGACGGCCAAGTACTGCCAACAGACTCTGCTGACAACTACATCTTTCCTATCATTGGTCCAGATGGCAGCGTCTTGCCAACAGATGAGAACAAGAAGCCAGTTTATCCTGTAGTCGGACCTGATGGAACTCCTTTGCCGACAGATGCCAGCGGAGCTGCAATCGGAGTTGATGGAAAACCAATCCCAACAGATTCAGCCGGAAGACCTCTTGGAGAAGACGGTTCTCCTCTTCCAACTGACGCCTCGGGCAACTTCGTCAACGTCCCTTCGGCGACTGAAACGAGCAAAGTCTTGCCAACTGATGAATCTGGAAACGTCATCTATCCTATCACCAAGCCCGATGGATCTCCACTTCCAACTGACGCCAGTGGAAACTTCGTCACAGAAGAAGGCATAATTGTTGAGAAGGACGACGAAGGCAAACCTCTCGGTCCTGACGGCCAAGTACTGCCAACAGACTCTGCTGACAACTACATCTTTCCTATCATTGGTCCAGATGGCAGCGTCTTGCCAACAGATGAGAACAAGAAGCCAGTTTATCCTGTAGTCGGACCTGATGGAACTCCTTTGCCGACAGATGCCAGCGGAGCTGCAATCGGAGTTGATGGAAAAACCAATCCCAACAGATTCAGCCGGAAGACCTCTTGGAGAAGACGGTTCTCCTCTTCCAACTGACGCCTCGGGCAACTTCGTCAACGTCCCTTCGGCGACTGAAACGAGCAAAAGTCTTGCCAACTGATGAATCTGGAAACGTCATCTATCCTATCACCAAGCCCGATGGATCTCCACTTCCAACTGACGCCAGTGGAAACTTCGTCACAGAAGAAGGCATAATTGTTGAGAAGGACGACGAAGGCAAACCTCTCGGTCCCTGACGGCCAAGTACTGCCAACAGACTCTGCTGGAAACTACATCTTCCCTATCATTGGTCCAGATGGCAGCGTCTTGCCAACAGATGAGAACAAGAAGCCAGTTTATCCTGTAGTCGGACCTGATGGAACTCCTTTTGCCGACAGATGCCAGCGGAGCTGCAATCGGAGTTGATGGAAAAACCAATCCCAACAGATTCAGCCGGAAGACCTCTTGGAGAAGACGGTTCTCCTCTTCCAACTGACGCCTCGGGCAACTTCGTCAACGTCCCTTCGGCGACTGAAACGAGCAAAGTCTTGCCAACTGATGAATCTGGAAACGTCATCTATCCTATCACCAAGCCCGATGGATCTCCACTTCCAACTGACGCCAGTGGAAACTTCGTCACAGAAGAAGGCATAATTGTTGAGAAGGACGACGAAGGCAAACCTCTCGGTCCTGACGGCCAAGTACTGCCAACAGACTCTGCTGGCAACTACATCTTCCCTATCATTGGTCCAGATGGCAGCGTCTTGCCAACAGATGAGAACAAGAAGCCAGTTTATCCTGTAGTCGGACCTGATGGAACTCCTCTGCCGACAGATGCCAGCGGAGCTGCAATCGGAGTTGATGGAAAACCAATCCCAACAGATTCAGCCGGAAGACCTCTTGGAGAAGACGGTTCTCCTCTTCCAACTGACGCCTCGGGCAACTTCGTCAACGTCCCTTCGGCGACTGAAACGAGCAAAGTCTTGCCAACTGATGAATCTGGAAACGTCATCTATCCTATCACCAAGCCCGATGGATCTCCACTTCCAACTGACGCCAGTGGAAACTTCGTCACAGAAGAAGGCATAATTGTTGAGAAGGACGACGAAGGCAAACCACTCGGCCCTGACGGTCAAGTACTGCCAACAGACTCTGCTGGAAACTACATCTTCCCTATCATTGGTCCAGATGGCAGCGTCTTGCCAACTGACGAGAACAAAAAGACAGTTTATCCTGTAGTCGGACCTGATGGAACTCCTTTGCCGACAGATGCCAGCGGAGCTGCAATCGGAGTTGATGGAAAACCAATTCCCACAGATTCAGCGGGACGACCGCTGGGCGAAGATGGTTCTCCGCTTCCAACTGACGCTTCGAGCAACTACGTCAATGTTCCTTCTGCGACTGAAACAAGCAAAGTTCTGCCAACTGATGAATCTGGAAACGTCATCTATCCTATCACCAAGCCTGACGGATCTCCTCTTCCAACTGACGCCAGTGGAAACTTCGTCACAGAAGAAGGCACAATTGTTGAGAAGGACGACGAAGGCAAACCTCTCGGCCCTGACGGCCAAGTACTGCCAACAGACTCTGCTGGAAACTACATCTTCCCTATCATTGGTCCAGATGGCAGCGTCTTGGCAACAGATGAGAACAAGAAGCCAATCTATCCTGTAGTCGGACCGGATGGAACTCCTCTGCCTACAGATGCCAGTGGAGCTGCGATCGGAGTTGATGGAAAACCAATTCCCACAGATTCAGCGGGACGACCGCTGGGCGAAGATGGTTCCCCGCTTCCAACTGACGCTTCGGGCAACTACGTCAACGTTCCTTCTGCGACTGAAACAAGCAAAGTTCTGCCAACTGATGAATCTGGAAACGTCATCTATCCTATCACCAAGCCGGATGGATCTCCACTTCCAACTGACGCCAGTGGAAACTTCGTCACAGAAGAAGGCACAATTGTTGAGAAGGACGACGAAGGCAAACCTCTCGGCCCTGACGGCCAAGTACTGCCAACAGACTCTGCTGGAAACTACATCTTCCCTATCATTGGTCCAGATGGCAGCGTCTTGCCAACAGATGAGAACAAGAAGCCAATCTATCCTGTAGTCGGACCGGATGGAACTCCTCTGCCTACAGATGCCAGTGGAGCTGCGATCGGAGTTGATGGAAAACCAATTCCCACAGATTCAGCGGGACGACCGCTGGGCGAAGATGGTTCCCCGCTTCCAACTGACGCCTCGGGCAACTTCGTCAACGTCCCTTCGGCGACTGAAACGAGCAAAGTCTTGCCAACTGATGAATCTGGAAACGTCATCTATCCTATCACCAAGCCCGATGGATCTCCTCTTCCAACTGACGCCAGTGGAAACTTCGTCACAGAAGAAGGCATAATTGTTGAGAAGGACGACGAAGGCAAACCTCTCGGTCCTGACGGCCAAGTACTGCCAACAGACTCTGCTGGCAACTACATCTTCCCTATCATTGGTCCAGATGGCAGCGTCTTGCCAACAGATGAGAACAAGAAGCCAGTTTATCCTGTAGTCGGACCTGATGGAACTCCTTTGCCGACAGATGCCAGCGGAGCTGCAATCGGAGTTGATGGAAAACCAATCCCAACAGATTCAGCCGGAAGACCTCTTGGAGAAGACGGTTCTCCTCTTCCAACTGACGCCTCGGGCAACTTCGTCAACGTCCCTTCGGCGACTGAAACGAGCAAAGTCTTGCCAACTGATGAATCTGGAAACGTCATCTATCCTATCACCAAGCCCGATGGATCTCCTCTTCCAACTGACGCCAGTGGAAACTTCGTCACAGAAGAAGGCACAATTGTGGAGAAAGACGACGAAGGAAAACCACTCGGCCCTGACGGTCAAGTACTGCCAACAGACTCTGCTGGAAACTACATCTTCCCTATCATTGGTCCAGATGGCAGCGTCTTGCCAACTGACGAGAACAAGAAGCCAATCTATCCTGTAGTCGGACCGGATGGAACTCCTCTGCCTACAGATGCCAGTGGAGCTGCGATCGGAGTTGATGGAAAACCAATTCCCACAGATTCAGCGGGACGACCGCTGGGCGAAGATGGTTCCCCGCTTCCAACTGACGCTTCGGGCAACTACGTCAACGTTCCTTCTGCGACTGAAACAAGCAAAGTTCTGCCAACTGATGAATCTGGAAACGTCATCTATCCTATCACCAAGCCGGATGGATCTCCACTTCCAACTGACGCCAGTGGAAACTTCGTCACAGAAGAAGGCACAATTGTTGAGAAGGACGACGAAGGCAAACCTCTCGGCCCTGACGGCCAAGTACTGCCAACAGACTCTGCTGGAAACTACATCTTCCCTATCATTGGTCCAGATGGCAGCGTCTTGCCAACTGACGAGAACAAAAAGCCAATTTATCCTGTAGTCGGACCTGATGGAACTCCTTTGCCGACAGACGCCAGCGGAGCTGCAATCGGAGTTGATGGAAAACCAATCCCAACAGATTCAGCCGGAAGACCTCTTGGAGAAGACGGTTCTCCTTTTCCAACTGACGCTTCGGGCAACTTCGTGACTATTCCGAGCGAAGGTGGAGCAACGAGACCATTGCCCACTGACGAAGCTGGCAACGTGATCTACCCCGTCGTCTCATCTGACGGCGCTCTCCTACCAACTGATTCTGCTGGTAATTTTATCGATCACGAAGGCGAGGTTATAGAAAAAGATGAAGACGGTAGACCGAAAGGACCAACTGGAGAATTATTACCAACTGACGATGCAGGCCGTTTTGTCTACCCACTTACTTCAAAGAATTGCGAATTGTCGTCTTCTTTATCAGATGTCGTCTTCGTAGTGAACACCGCGAGCGACAAAGAGGCTTCCTTCGCAGCAGGAAAGAAGTTGGCGATGGATTTCGCCGCGAAAATGGATTTATCACCAGACGTTTTTCGACTTGCTTACGTGGCGTTCGGCGACGACGTTGCTGTAGTCCTCCCACTTGGTGGCTATCAAGAAAAAGAGCATATGGAGAAGATTCTCAACGACTTCACGATCGAGCCATCTACAGGTCAGGGCGCCGTCGACGTCGCCGAATCTGTCAAGCAACAATTCACGACTTTCCCGCGAGCAAATATTGCTAGAATCGCAATCGTCTTAACATCCTCATCGGAAAGGTAATTTTATAAATATAATAATAGCGCTTCATTCACGACAAATAATTATCATTGGATTGAAAAAATAATCAAAATTCGTCAGAGATTTTGTTCAAGAGAAAAATTCATAATTATTCAAACAGAAGCTGACAAATTCGCTTGATTGAGTCATAACGGCAGACAGTCACTCGAGCCTTTATCATTCGAGTCAACAAGATCTCTTTCCTCTTAATAATAGAATACAGCCTAGTACTAGGATTCTTCAGGCCGGTAGAGTCCTAATAAACTATTAGATAATGATAAACACGTGCCGAACCTTACAAAATATCACAAAAAAGTAAATGGCGTGTTGGAACTTTTTCGACAGCTCTCAGTCCTTCTAAAAGTCTAAAAAGCTTTTAGCCTGAAACTTTGTTAATATGATAACAAAAACTCGCTGAAAGAACAAAATGCAGCCATGCATGTTGGTCCATTATAAAATTGAGAGAACTTTCAAAACAAGAATAAATGAAGAAAATGGAATCAAAATGATGATCAAACCTAAGTGTGAAATTACCTTCAGAACAAAAATTGGATTTTGATTTTGAGAAATTGTTTCCCTTTCAGATATTTTTTTTCGATCGAATCTGATGCCTTTATGAGGAGGCTCAAAAGAAAAAAACGGAATAAACTTTTTTCAAGCGATTTTTCGCATTTTGAAAATATTATTTCTCGGCTTTTAAATAATAATTTAACTAAGGCTTTATACAGAAAAAAACTTTATCGAAAACCAAACAAAATTTTTTCAACCTGGAGGATATTGAAACATTTTTTTTTGTGATCCGGGTTCGTGTATTTCTAGGAGAAAGCTTTTTGGAAAGAATGTTTACTACTGCTCTTTTTGAAGCTAAGAACAAATCTAGGTTTGAAGTTTGAGGTTCACAATCGTGAACTGACGGAGAAAATGTGAAAAATCAGTTATTCGAAAGATTCAGCTTCTGTAGTTAACCAACCTTTGAGAATTCTTTTTTTTTTCAGGTACCCCGAGACCGGCGACATCGAGTTCTTCTACGTTGACCCGCAAACTTCAGACGCAGATGAAGTCATCGCGAGAATCGAAAAAGCCTGCAAACAAGGCTTGTTAGACCTTCCTCAAGATGCGACGAAAACCGTGGAAGACAGCAAAGTGAAGCCAACAACTCTTCCAGTTATTGTAAGTCAGAAAGGGATACCGTTGCCAACAGACTCGGCTGGGAACTACCTTGACAGCAACGGTGACATAATCGAGACAGAAAATGGTGCACCGAAACCTCTCGAAGGCCAAGAAATACAGAAAAACGAAAAGGGCGAATGGGTGTACCCGCTGCTCGACAGAACCGGCAAACCAGTACCAGTCGATTCGAAAAACAATCCGAAACTGACAATAACTGATGAGCAGGGTCGTCAGATTGAGAGCAGCGACGATGGAAAGTTCATAGATTTGGATGGCAACACTTTGGACACCGATGAGTATGGCAGACCAATAAACTTGCAAGGAGAGCCTTTCGACGTCAGCGAGAATGGTGTCATCACAGTTGATGACCTCAACAACGTTCGTGAAAAAGTAGAACCATCAACAACGGCTCCACAAATTCCCTTCATAATTGTTGACGGAGAACCGATCACAGAAGACGACGGCAAATACTTTGACCAAGATGGCAATGAAATACCGACAAACGAAGAAGGCAAGCCAGTCGATCAGAAGGGAGCACCACTTCCCCAGAACAACGAAGGTCAATATTTGATACCTGCGAAATCAACCCCAATGCCTATTACGATTGTGAATCCCGACGGTTCCATAGTTCCGAAAGATAGTGAAGGCTCAAATATTGGAATCGATGGAAAACCAATTCCCACAGATTCAGCGGGACGACCGCTGGGCGAAGATGGTTCTCCGCTTCCAACTGACGCTTCGAGCAACTACGTCAATGTTCCTTCTGCGACTGAAACAAGCAAAGTTCTGCCAACTGATGAATCTGGAAACGTCATCTATCCTATCACCAAGCCGGATGGATCTCCACTTCCAACTGACGCCAGTGGAAACTTCGTCACAGAAGAAGGCACAATTGTTGAGAAGGACGACGAAGGCAAACCTCTCGGCCCTGACGGCCAAGTACTGCCAACAGACTCTGCTGGAAACTACATCTTCCCTATCATTGGTCCAGATGGCAGCGTCTTACCAACAGATGAGAACAAGAAGCCAATCTATCCTGTAGTCGGACCGGATGGAACTCCTCTGCCTACAGATGCCAGTGGAGCTGCGATCGGAGTTGATGGAAAACCAATTCCCACAGATTCAGCGGGACGACCGCTGGGCGAAGACGGTTCTCCGCTTCCAACTGACGCTTCTGGCAACTACGTCAACGTTCCTTCTGCGACTGAAACAAGCAAAGTTCTGCCAACTGATGAATCTGGAAACGTCATCTATCCTATCACCAAGCCGGATGGATCTCCACTTCCAACTGACGCCAGTGGAAACTTCGTCACAGAAGAAGGCACAATTGTTGAGAAGGACGACGAAGGCAAACCTCTCGGCCCTGACGGCCAAGTACTGCCAACAGACTCTGCTGGAAACTACATCTTCCCTATCATTGGTCCAGATGGCAGCGTCTTGCCAACAGATGAGAACAAGAAGCCAATCTATCCTGTAGTCGGACCGGATGGAACTCCTCTGCCTACAGATGCCAGTGGAGCTGCGATCGGAGTTGATGGAAAAACCAATTCCCACAGATTCAGCGGGACGACCGCTGGGCGAAGACGGTTCTCCGCTTCCAACTGACGCTTCTGGGCAACTACGTCAACGTTCCTTCTGCGACTGAAACAAGCAAAGTTCTGCCAACTGATGAATCTGGAAACGTCATCTATCCTATCACCAAGCCGGATGGATCTCCACTTCCAACTGACGCCAGTGGAAACTTCGTCACAGAAGAAGGCACAATTGTTGAGAAGGACGACGAAGGCAAACCTCTCGGCCCTGACGGCCAAGTACTGCCAACAGACTCTGCTGGAAACTACATCTTCCCTATCATTGGTCCAGATGGCAGCGTCTTGCCAACAGATGAGAATAAGAAGCCAATCTATCCTGTAGTCGGACCGGATGGAACTCCTCTGCCTACAGATGCCAGTGGAGCTGCAATCGGAGTTGATGGAAAACCAATTCCCACAGATTCAGCGGGACGACCGCTGGGCGAAGACGGTTCTCCGCTTCCAACTGACGCTTCTGGCAACTACGTCAACGTTCCTTCTGCGACTGAAACAAGCAAAGTTCTGCCAACTGATGAATCTGGAAACGTCATCTATCCTATCACCAAGCCAGATGGATCTCCACTTCCAACTGACGCCAGTGGAAACTTCGTCACAGAAGAAGGCACAATTGTTGAGAAGGACGACGAAGGCAAACCTCTCGGCCCTGACGGCCAAGTACTGCCAACAGACTCTGCTGGAAACTACATCTTCCCTATCATTGGTCCAGATGGCAGCGTCTTGCCAACAGATGAGAACAAGAAGCCAATCTATCCTGTAGTCGGACCGGATGGAACTCCTCTGCCTACAGATGCCAGTGGAGCTGCGATCGGAGTTGATGGAAAAACCAATTCCAACAGATTCAGCCGGAAGACCTCTTGGAGAAGATGGTTCTCCGCTTCCAACTGACGCTTCAGGCAACTACGTCAACGTTCCTTCTGCGACTGAAACAAGCAAAGTTCTGCCAACTGATGAATCTGGAAACGTCATCTATCCTATCACCAAGCCGGATGGATCTCCACTTCCAACTGACGCCAGTGGAAACTTCGTCACAGAAGAAGGCACAATTGTTGAGAAGGACGACGAAGGCAAACCTCTCGGCCCTGACGGCCAAGTACTGCCAACAGACTCTGCTGGAAACTACATCTTCCCTATCATTGGTCCAGATGGCAGCGTCTTGCCAACAGATGAGAACAAGAAGCCAATCTATCCTGTAGTCGGACCGGATGGAACTCCTCTGCCTACAGATGCCAGTGGAGCTGCGATCGGAGTTGATGGAAAACCAATTCCAACGGATTCAGCCGGAAGACCTCTTGGAGAAGATGGTTCTCCGCTTCCAACTGACGCTTCAGGCAACTACGTCAACGTTCCTTCTGCGACTGAAACAAGCAAAAGTTCTGCCAACTGATGAATCTGGAAACGTCATCTATCCTATCACCAAGCCGGATGGATCTCCACTTCCAACTGACGCCAGTGGAAACTTCGTCACAGAAGAAGGCACAATTGTTGAGAAGGACGACGAAGGCAAACCTCTCGGCCCTGACGGCCAAGTACTGCCAACAGACTCTGCTGGAAACTACATCTTCCCTATCATTGGTCCAGATGGCAGCGTCTTGCCAACAGATGAGAACAAGAAGCCAATCTATCCTGTAGTCGGACCGGATGGAACTCCTTTGCCGACAGATGCCAGTGGAGCTGCGATCGGCGTTGATGGAAAACCAATTCCAACGGATTCAGCCGGAAGACCTCTTGGAGAAGATGGTTCTCCGCTTCCAACTGACGCTTCAGGCAACTACGTCAACGTTCCTTCTGCGACTGAAACAAGCAAAGTTCTGCCAACTGATGAATCTGGAAACGTCATCTATCCTATCACCAAGCCGGATGGATCTCCACTTCCAACTGACGCCAGTGGAAACTTCGTCACAGAAGAAGGCACAATTGTTGAGAAGGACGACGAAGGCAAACCTCTCGGCCCTGACGGCCAAGTACTGCCAACAGACTCTGCTGGAAACTACATCTTCCCTATCATTGGTCCAGATGGCAGCGTCTTGCCAACAGATGAGAACAAGAAGCCAATCTATCCTGTAGTCGGACCGGATGGAACTCCTCTGCCTACAGATGCCAGTGGAGCTGCGATCGGCGTTGATGGAAAAACCAATTCCAACGGATTCAGCCGGAAGACCTCTTGGAGAAGATGGTTCTCCGCTTCCAACTGACGCTTCAGGCAACTACGTCAACGTTCCTTCTGCGACTGAAACAAGCAAAGTTCTGCCAACTGATGAATCTGGAAACGTCATCTATCCTATCACCAAGCCGGATGGATCTCCACTTCCAACTGACGCCAGTGGAAACTTCGTCACAGAAGAAGGCACAATTGTTGAGAAGGACGACGAAGGCAAACCTCTCGGCCCTGACGGCCAAGTACTGCCAACAGACTCTGCTGGAAACTACATCTTCCCTATCATTGGTCCAGATGGCAGCGTCTTGCCAACAGATGAGAACAAGAAGCCAATCTATCCTGTAGTCGGACCGGATGGAACTCCTCTGCCTACAGATGCCAGTGGAGCTGCGATCGGAGTTGATGGAAAACCAATTCCAACAGATTCAGCCGGAAGACCTCTTGGAGAAGATGGTTCTCCGCTTCCAACTGACGCTTCAGGCAACTACGTCAACGTTCCTTCTGCGACTGAAACAAGCAAAGTTCTGCCAACTGATGAATCTGGAAACGTCATCTATCCTATCACCAAGCCGGATGGATCTCCACTTCCAACTGACGCCAGTGGAAACTTCGTCACAGAAGAAGGCACAATTGTTGAGAAGGACGACGAAGGCAAACCTCTCGGCCCTGACGGCCAAGTACTGCCAACAGACTCTGCTGGAAACTACATCTTCCCTATCATTGGTCCAGATGGCAGCGTCTTGCCAACAGATGAGAACAAGAAGCCAATCTATCCTGTAGTCGGACCGGATGGAACTCCTCTGCCTACAGATGCCAGTGGAGCTGCGATCGGAGTTGATGGAAAACCAATTCCAACAGATTCAGCTGGAAGACCTCTTGGAGAAGATGGTTCTCCGCTTCCAACTGACGCTTCAGGCAACTACGTCAACGTTCCTTCTGCGACTGAAACAAGCAAAGTTCTGCCAACTGATGAATCTGGAAACGTCATCTATCCTATCACCAAGCCGGATGGATCTCCACTTCCAACTGACGCCAGTGGAAACTTCGTCACAGAAGAAGGCACAATTGTTGAGAAGGACGACGAAGGCAAACCTCTCGGCCCTGACGGCCAAGTACTGCCAACAGACTCTGCTGGAAACTACATCTTCCCTATCATTGGTCCAGATGGCAGCGTCTTGCCAACAGATGAGAACAAGAAGCCAATCTATCCTGTAGTCGGACCGGATGGAACTCCTCTGCCTACAGATGCCAGTGGAGCTGCGATCGGAGTTGATGGAAAACCAATTCCAACAGATTCAGCCGGAAGACCTCTTGGAGAAGATGGTTCTCCGCTTCCAACTGACGCTTCGGGCAACTACGTCAACGTTCCTTCTGCGACTGAAACAAGCAAAGTTCTGCCAACTGATGAATCTGGAAACGTCATCTATCCTATCACCAAGCCGGATGGATCTCCACTTCCAACTGACGCCAGTGGAAACTTCGTCACAGAAGAAGGCACAATTGTTGAGAAGGACGACGAAGGCAAACCTCTCGGCCCTGACGGCCAAGTACTGCCAACAGACTCTGCTGGAAACTACATCTTCCCTATCATTGGTCCAGATGGCAGCGTCTTGCCAACAGATGAGAACAAGAAGCCAATCTATCCTGTAGTCGGACCGGATGGAACTCCTCTGCCTACAGATGCCAGTGGAGCTGCGATCGGAGTTGATGGAAAACCAATTCCAACAGATTCAGCTGGAAGACCTCTTGGAGAAGATGGTTCTCCGCTTCCAACTGACGCTTCAGGCAACTACGTCAACGTTCCTTCTGCGACTGAAACAAGCAAAAGTTCTGCCAACTGATGAATCTGGAAACGTCATCTATCCTATCACCAAGCCGGATGGATCTCCACTTCCAACTGACGCCAGTGGAAACTTCGTCACAGAAGAAGGCACAATTGTTGAGAAGGACGACGAAGGCAAACCTCTCGGCCCTGACGGCCAAGTACTGCCAACAGACTCTGCTGGAAACTACATCTTCCCTATCATTGGTCCAGATGGCAGCGTCTTGCCAACAGATGAGAACAAGAAGCCCAATCTATCCTGTAGTCGGACCGGATGGAACTCCTCTGCCTACAGATGCCAGTGGAGCTGCGATCGGAGTTGATGGAAAACCAATTCCAACAGATTCAGCCGGAAGACCTCTTGGAGAAGATGGTTCTCCGCTTCCAACTGACGCTTCGGGCAACTACGTCAACGTTCCTTCTGCGACTGAAACAAGCAAAGTTCTGCCAACTGATGAATCTGGAAACGTCATCTATCCTATCACCAAGCCGGATGGATCTCCACTTCCAACTGACGCCAGTGGAAACTTCGTCACAGAAGAAGGCACAATTGTTGAGAAGGACGACGAAGGCAAACCTCTCGGCCCTGACGGCCAAGTACTGCCAACAGACTCTGCTGGAAACTACATCTTCCCTATCATTGGTCCAGATGGCAGCGTCTTGCCAACAGATGAGAACAAGAAGCCAATCTATCCTGTAGTCGGACCGGATGGAACTCCTCTGCCTACAGATGCCAGTGGAGCTGCGATCGGAGTTGATGGAAAAACCAATTCCAACAGATTCAGCCGGAAGACCTCTTGGAGAAGATGGTTCTCCGCTTCCAACTGACGCTTCAGGGCAACTACGTCAACGTTCCTTCTGCGACTGAAACAAGCAAAGTTCTGCCAACTGATGAATCTGGAAACGTCATCTATCCTATCACCAAGCCGGATGGATCTCCACTTCCAACTGACGCCAGTGGAAACTTCGTCACAGAAGAAGGCACAATTGTTGAGAAGGACGACGAAGGCAAACCTCTCGGCCCTGACGGCCAAGTACTGCCAACAGACTCTGCTGGAAACTACATCTTCCCTATCATTGGTCCAGATGGCAGCGTCTTGCCAACAGATGAGAACAAGAAGCCAATCTATCCTGTAGTCGGACCGGATGGAACTCCTCTGCCTACAGATGCCAGTGGAGCTGCGATCGGAGTTGATGGAAAAACCAATTCCAACAGATTCAGCCGGAAGACCTCTTGGAGAAGATGGTTCTCCGCTTCCAACTGACGCTTCGGGCAACTACGTCAACGTTCCTTCTGCGACTGAAACAAGCAAAAGTTCTGCCAACTGATGAATCTGGAAACGTCATCTATCCTATCACCAAGCCGGATGGATCTCCACTTCCAACTGACGCCAGTGGAAACTTCGTCACAGAAGAAGGCACAATTGTTGAGAAGGACGACGAAGGCAAACCTCTCGGCCCTGACGGCCAAGTACTGCCAACAGACTCTGCTGGAAACTACATCTTCCCTATCATTGGTCTAGATGGCAGCGTCTTGCCAACAGATGAGAACAAGAAGCCAATCTATCCTGTAGTCGGACCGGATGGAACTCCTCTGCCTACAGATGCCAGTGGAGCTGCGATCGGAGTTGATGGAAAACCAATTCCAACAGATTCAGCCGGAAGACCTCTTGGAGAAGATGGTTCTCCGCTTCCAACTGACGCTTCGGGCAACTACGTCAACGTTCCTTCTGCGACTGAAACAAGCAAAGTTCTGCCAACTGATGAATCTGGAAACGTCATCTATCCTATCACCAAGCCGGATGGATCTCCACTTCCAACTGACGCCAGTGGAAACTTCGTCACAGAAGAAGGCACAATTGTTGAGAAGGACGACGAAGGCAAACCTCTCGGCCCTGACGGCCAAGTACTGCCAACAGACTCTGCTGGAAACTACATCTTCCCTATCATTGGTCCAGATGGCAGCGTCTTGCCAACAGATGAGAACAAGAAGCCAATCTATCCTGTAGTCGGACCGGATGGAACTCCTCTGCCTACAGATGCCAGTGGAGCTGCGATCGGAGTTGATGGAAAAACCAATTCCAACAGATTCAGCTGGAAGACCTCTTGGAGAAGATGGTTCTCCGCTTCCAACTGACGCTTCAGGCAACTACGTCAACGTTCCTTCTGCGACTGAAACAAGCAAAGTTCTGCCAACTGATGAATCTGGAAACGTCATCTATCCTATCACCAAGCCGGATGGATCTCCACTTCCAACTGACGCCAGTGGAAACTTCGTCACAGAAGAAGGCACAATTGTTGAGGAGGACGACGAAGGCAAACCTCTCGGCCCTGACGGCCAAGTACTGCCAACAGACTCTGCTGGAAACTACATCTTCCCTATCATTGGTCCAGATGGCAGCGTCTTGCCAACAGATGAGAACAAGAAGCCAATCTATCCTGTAGTCGGACCGGATGGAACTCCTCTGCCTACAGATGCCAGTGGAGCTGCGATCGGAGTTGATGGAAAACCAATTCCAACGGATTCAGCCGGAAGACCTCTTGGAGAAGATGGTTCTCCGCTTCCAACTGACGCTTCAGGCAACTACGTCAACGTTCCTTCTGCGACTGAAACAAGCAAAGTTCTGCCAACTGATGAATCTGGAAACGTCATCTATCCTATCACCAAGCCGGATGGATCTCCACTTCCAACTGACGCCAGTGGAAACTTCGTCACAGAAGAAGGCACAATTGTTGAGAAGGACGACGAAGGCAAACCTCTCGGCCCTGACGGCCAAGTACTGCCAACAGACTCTGCTGGAAACTACATCTTCCCTATCATTGGTCCAGATGGCAGCGTCTTGCCAACAGATGAAAACAAGAAGCCCATTTATCCTGTAGTCGGACCGGATGGAACTCCTCTGCCTACAGATGCCAGTGGAGCTGCGATCGGAATCGATGGAAGACCGATTCCAACAGATTCAGCTGGACGACCTCTTGGAGAAGATGGTTCTCCGCTTCCAACTGACGCTTCGGGCAACTACGTCAACGTTCCTTCTGCGACTGAAACAAGCAAAGTTCTCCCAACTGATGAATCTGGAAACGTCATCTATCCTATCACCAAGCCGGATGGATCTCCACTTCCAACTGACGCCAGTGGAAACTTCGTCACAGAAGAAGGCACAATTGTTGAGAAGGACGACGAAGGCAAACCTCTCGGCCCTGACGGCCAAGTACTGCCAACAGACTCTGCTGGAAACTACATCTTCCCTATCATTGGTCCAGATGGCAGCGTCTTGCCAACAGATGAGAACAAGAAGCCAATCTATCCTGTAGTCGGACCGGATGGAACTCCTCTGCCTACAGATGCCAGTGGAGCTGCGATCGGAGTTGATGGAAAACCAATTCCAACAGATTCAGCCGGAAGACCTCTTGGAGAAGATGGTTCTCCGCTTCCAACTGACGCTTCGGGCAACTACGTCAACGTTCCTTCTGCGACTGAAACAAGCAAAGTTCTGCCAACTGATGAATCTGGAAACGTCATCTATCCTATCACCAAGCCGGATGGATCTCCACTTCCAACTGACGCCAGTGGAAACTTCGTCACAGAAGAAGGCACAATTGTTGAGAAGGACGACGAAGGCAAACCTCTCGGCCCTGACGGCCAAGTACTGCCAACAGACTCTGCTGGAAACTACATCTTCCCTATCATTGGTCCAGATGGCAGCGTCTTGCCAACAGATGAAAAACAAGAAGCCCATTTATCCTGTAGTCGGACCGGATGGAACTCCTCTGCCTACAGATGCCAGTGGAGCTGCGATCGGAGTTGATGGAAAAACCAATTCCAACGGATTCAGCCGGAAGACCTCTTGGAGAAGATGGTTCTGCGCTTCCAACTGACGCTTCGGGCAACTACGTCAACGTTCCTTCTGCGACTGAAACAAGCAAAGTTCTGCCAACTGATGAATCTGGAAACGTCATCTATCCTATCACCAAGCCGGATGGATCTCCACTTCCAACTGACGCCAGTGAAAACTTCGTCACAGAAGAAGGCACAATTGTTGAGGAGGACGACGAAGGCAAACCTCTCGGCCCTGACGGCCAAGTACTGCCAACAGACTCTGCTGGAAACTACATCTTCCCTATCATTGGTCCAGATGGCAGCGTCTTGCCAACAGATGAAAACAAGAAGCCCATTTATCCTGTAGTCGGACCGGATGGAACTCCTCTGCCTACAGATGCCAGTGGAGCTGCGATCGGAGTTGATGGAAAACCAATTCCAACGGATTCAGCCGGAAGACCTCTTGGAGAAGATGGTTCTCCGCTTCCAACTGACGCTTCAGGCAACTACGTCAACGTTCCTTCTGCGACTGAAACAAGCAAAGTTCTGCCAACTGATGAATCTGGAAACGTCATCTATCCTATCACCAAGCCGGATGGATCTCCACTTCCAACTGACGCCAGTGGAAACTTCGTCACAGAAGAAGGCACAATTGTTGAGAAGGACGACGAAGGCAAACCTCTCGGCCCTGACGGCCAAGTACTGCCAACAGACTCTGCTGGAAACTACATCTTCCCTATCATTGGTCCAGATGGCAGCGTCTTGCCAACAGATGAAAACAAGAAGCCCATTTATCCTGTAGTCGGACCGGATGGAACTCCTCTGCCTACAGATGCCAGTGGAGCTGCGATCGGAGTTGATGGAAAACCAATTCCAACAGATTCAGCCGGAAGACCTCTTGGAGAAGATGGTTCTCCGCTTCCAACTGACGCTTCGGGCAACTACGTCAACGTTCCTTCTGCGACTGAAACAAGCAAAGTTCTGCCAACTGATGAATCTGGAAACGTCATCTATCCTATCACCAAGCCGGATGGATCTCCACTTCCAACTGACGCCAGTGGAAACTTCGTCACAGAAGAAGGCACAATTGTTGAGAAGGACGACGAAGGCAAACCTCTCGGCCCTGACGGCCAAGTACTGCCAACAGACTCTGCTGGAAACTACATCTTCCCTATCATTGGTCCAGATGGCAGCGTCTTGCCAACAGATGAGAACAAGAAGCCAATCTATCCTGTAGTCGGACCGGATGGAACTCCTCTGCCTACAGATGCCAGTGGAGCTGCGATCGGAGTTGATGGAAAACCAATTCCAACAGATTCAGCTGGAAGACCTCTTGGAGAAGATGGTTCTCCGCTTCCAACTGACGCTTCAGGCAACTACGTCAACGTTCCTTCTGCGACTGAAACAAGCAAAGTTCTGCCAACTGATGAATCTGGAAACGTCATCTATCCTATCACCAAGCCGGATGGATCTCCACTTCCAACTGACGCCAGTGGAAACTTCGTCACAGAAGAAGGCACAATTGTTGAGGAGGACGACGAAGGCAAACCTCTCGGCCCTGACGGCCAAGTACTGCCAACAGACTCTGCTGGAAACTACATCTTCCCTATCATTGGTCTAGATGGCAGCGTCTTGCCAACAGATGAGAACAAGAAGCCAATCTATCCTGTAGTCGGACCGGATGGAACTCCTCTGCCTACAGATGCCAGTGGAGCTGCGATCGGAGTTGATGGAAAACCAATTCCAACGGATTCAGCCGGAAGACCTCTTGGAGAAGATGGTTCTCCGCTTCCAACTGACGCTTCAGGCAACTACGTCAACGTTCCTTCTGCGACTGAAACAAGCAAAGTTCTGCCAACTGATGAATCTGGAAACGTCATCTATCCTATCACCAAGCCGGATGGATCTCCACTTCCAACTGACGCCAGTGGAAACTTCGTCACAGAAGAAGGCACAATTGTTGAGAAGGACGACGAAGGCAAACCTCTCGGCCCTGACGGCCAAGTACTGCCAACAGACTCTGCTGGAAACTACATCTTCCCTATCATTGGTCTAGATGGCAGCGTCTTGCCAACAGATGAGAACAAGAAGCCAATCTATCATGTAGTCGGACCGGATGGAACTCCTCTGCCTACAGATGCCAGTGGAGCTGCGATCGGAGTTGATGGAAAAACCAATTCCAACAGATTCAGCCGGAAGACCTCTTGGAGAAGATGGTTCTCCGCTTCCAACTGACGCTTCGGGCAACTACGTCAACGTTCCTTCTGCGACTGAAACAAGCAAAGTTCTGCCAACTGATGAATCTGGAAACGTCATCTATCCTATCACCAAGCCGGATGGATCTCCACTTCCAACTGACGCCAGTGGAAACTTCGTCACAGAAGAAGGCACAATTGTTGAGAAGGACGACGAAGGCAAACCTCTCGGCCCTGACGGCCAAGTACTGCCAACAGACTCTGCTGGAAACTACATCTTCCCTATCATTGGTCCAGATGGCAGCGTCTTGCCAACAGATGAGAACAAGAAGCCAATCTATCCTGTAGTCGGACCGGATGGAACTCCCTCTGCCTACAGATGCCAGTGGAGCTGCGATCGGAGTTGATGGAGAACCAGTTCCAACAGATTCAGCTGGACGACCGCTTGGAGAAGACGGTTCTGTGCTTCCAACAGATACTACAGGCAATTTCGTAACTGTGCCCAGTGAAGGCGCAGCAACAAGACCGCACCCTACAGATTCTTTCGGGAACGTCGTTTTGCCAGTCGTGAATATCCATGGAATTCTTCTGCCAACTGACTCAACTGGAAGGCACATCACTGAAGATGGAAAAGTGGTAGAGGTCAATAACGATGGTCTGCCACTGGGTCCAGATAGTCAAGTTTTACCAACTGACAACGCTGAGCACTATGTTTATCCATTCGTTGGTCCTGATGGAAGCCCGATTCCTACGGATATCAACAAGCGGCCAATTTACCCCGTAATCGGTAGAGAAGGCACGCTCCTGCCAACCGAAACATCTGGTCGCCCTGTCAAGTTTGACGGCAATGTGGTCCCCACTGACACTTCTGGAGTACCACTCGATGGTTATGGATCGGTCCTTCCAACAGATAGTTCACGGCGTTACACCTTGGTGCCTTCGCGCAGGCCTTCAGCCTTCTGCTACGTCTCTTCGCACATCGACCTGCTACTTGTCGTCGACGCCTCGAACCACATCAAGGTGCTCGACTACCGTGTCATGAAAGAGCTTCTCAAGAACTTCCTCACCGATCATTTCGACCTGGCTCCTCACAAGGCGAGCTTTCATTACTGCTAACACTCCTTTCAACTTGTAGATTTCAGGTACGCGTCGGTTTGATCAAGTACGGAGAAGAAGTGAACGTGCCAGTGTCACTCGGAGACTACGACACGGACGAAGAGTTGCTCAACCGCATCAGCGAGTCTCGGCGCGTGAAAGGGGCCGCGAACCTTGGCGCCGCTCTGCGTGAAGCCGTTGGAGAATTCGCCATTTCTGGAGTTGAAGGCGTTCCGCGCGTTGTGCTCTTGATCAAGAACGGCGAAGCCAGGTTAATATATCATCATCAAAGAGAAGTATTCGAAAAGCCGATGGTACACGATACCACAAATTTCCTTCGAAACTTGAAAACTTGATAATCAAACATTTTGAGGTGTCAAAAAATAAACATTCTTATGTAGAAAGATTTAATTTTCTAAAGAAATTCAAGATTTTGTCAGATCTGAAATTTCTAGTCATCTCTAGACGCCGCCAATGCTTTGCTGAACTACTCGGAAAAAATAAAACCGAAATTTCAAGTCCCTCGTCTAAAACCCTTCTGAAAGAGCAAAAATTCCCAACGACGACTACCTCAATCGAAAAACTTACAATGATTCGAAACTCTTAAAATAACTCAACTTGAAAAAAACTTTTGAAAAGAAACAAACTTCCTGACGCGAAAAAACAAAACGAAAATTTCCAGCGACGACTACCTAGCTGCCGCCAAGGCACTGAAGTCCGACTCCAACGCGAATCTGTTCATCGTCGAGGCTGGAGACAACGAAAGTCAAGACCAAAGCAGGGAAATCACCGACTCGGACAAAATCGTTTCGATTGACCAGTGGAGAGGATCCAATTCGGAGCAACTTGGCCCTATCGCTGACATTATTTGCAAAGTATTATTCTATAGGAATTCGAAAAGTTATTCGCATTTTTCAGCTTTATCCTAACGTCGACACCAGCAGAACTTGGCCTCAAAGACACAAGGCCACCACTCCCAGCGGAGTCGGCCGCGTTTGCACCAAGATCGATTATGAGGTACAAATCCCATTCTCATACTTTTTACCACAACAAATCATTATTTTATAAGTTCTCATGAAATGTGATTAAATTGAAAAAAAGACTGTGAAAAAAACGAGTTAGAAAAAATTTTCCAGGGGGAAACGAGAAAAATTGGTCATCTCAAGCTTAATTTTTTTTCTTGGTTTTATGTTCTTTTTTTGGATCAATTTCTGTTTTTCGTACGTATTGTTTTTATACGTTCCGAATGCACCAGGAAGAGTATTAATATCAAAAAAATCATTTTTTTCTCGTTTAAAGTAAATCTCCATGATACAACTATCAACATAAAAAAAATTCTATCAAAATTCAGAATTTTTAAACAAAGAAAATAGTCGAAACTAAAAGATTTTTGCTAGTTAAACTTGCCAAAAGATTATGTTAAATAAAAAATGACGTACCAGGCCGACGTTGTTGTCGTGCTGGACTCGTCGGAGAACTTCTCCAACGACGAGTTCGTGGCGATGAAAGAGAGCGTCGCGGGGTTGGTCGACGACGGTTTCGACCTCGCTCCAGACGTCGCTCGCATCGGATTCGTCATCTACAGGTTCAAGAATTATACTTAAAATTTTCAAGCTTTGTTTACAGTGACAAGGTGGCTGTTCCGGTGGCTTTGGGCCATTACGACGACAAAATCGAATTGATGGAGAAGATCCTCGATACCGAAAAGATCAACGATGGCGTCGCCATCGCCCTGTACGGCCTCAACGCGGCTAGGCAGCAATTCCAGGTATTTTGACCCTAAAAACACACAATTTCAATTTCAACTTTAAGCTTCACGGACGCGAAAACGCAACACGATTGGTTATTCTTATCACGAGCGGTAGAAACAGGTGAGAAATAAGTTTTTAGACTCAGTTTGAATACATCTAAAATTGAGAATAGTCGACTTGGTTTTTCGGTAGCCATTTTTCAAAATATCTAATCTCCAAAAATAAAAAAATAAAAAAATTGAAAAAGTTTTCAGAAAAAAATAATTTTTTTCAGTTTTTGGAAACAGAGCTGCTCCAATGTAAAGCTTCTGAGCTCTTGAGTGGAGTTATCGATCGATTTTTCTTTAGTGATTTTTTTTTCATGCCGTGTTCAAAGTAATTTCCGCGAAATGCAAAATACCCGTTAGAGAAAGGAAAAGATCACTAAATTTTGGAGAGTCAGAGATCATTTTGCATTTCGCGGAAATTACTTTGAACACGGCATCATTTTCATCGATCTATTCCTCTTTTCTCTTCTTTTAGGTGCAATTTTCTTATTCTTTTTCGATGATTTATATTAGTTTTAATTTTATCGATTATCAGTTGAGAATTTGAAAACTGTGAGCGGTTCCCATTTGTCGAAAAAGTTCTTTTTGGCTCCTTCTTCAACTTTTTGTTGTATTTCAGAGGAAATGCTGCTGCCGCGGCGGAAGATCTTCGAGACATGTACGGCGTTCAACTATTCGTCATCGCTGTCGGTTCCAACAACGAAGAACTTTCCTCTCTACGACGTCTCACTGGTTTCAATGACCAACTATTATAATGAAAAAAAAAACTTGTTGAAGGATCGGAGAACCATGTGATGAAAGTTGCAAGCTCGCACGATATTGACGATGAATTGTCGACGATTACAAAGAATTTGTGCGGTTCTACGATGCCGGTTTCAACGCCAACCGTTGAGCCAATGCACAGAAGTACCAGGCGCGACGTTGAATCTCAGAAGTCCGTATAGATTTCGTTTTCCGAAACTTTCTTTTGAATAACCAGTTTCTAATCTGTTTTCAAATAGACATACTTTGATTTTTTTTTTTTCGAAATTTTTGACGCTAAAGTTAACCGTTATACGACTATACCATTCACATACTATTTCCTATGGTGAAAATTTACCGCCTAGCAATTTCCTTTTGACTTGAACAACGTATTTTTGCAAACTTGCTCCAAATATCTAATATAAACATTTAGATTCACGACGGCTCCAGCCAGAAGAACTACGCGCGCCGTCTCCTCTGGTCTTTGCAACAACGGCGTCCGAAGACCTTATCACTTCAACATCCTGGTCGACGTCACCACCAGATCGGCTCCAGAAGTCTTCCGCAGCGTTCTCGACCAGCTCTCGGCCTTTTTCACTGATCGCTTCAGAGATGAGCCTGAAATGGCTAGGTTTACCTGAAAACTTGAGCTCATCTATTTTGTGACTTTCAGTTTCAACGTGATGACGGTGAACAGCGAGAAAGTTCAAGGGGTTCTGCCGTTGTTGAGCCTCGCCGATTTGGAAGAACAGATGGCCAGCGTCGGGCAAATGAAGTAGGATTGATAATTCTGGGTCTATAGAAGTTCAGCTCAGGGAACACATAAATTTTGAGCCCAAGAATTTTTGGCCTCCGGTTGAACTTTTGGTGAAAACTGGCCGAAGATAACATGAAAAAAAATTTTCGCGGTATATTTTTTTCAAACTGCAATGATTCTGAAGTACGTAAATTACGGTGTAAAGGCGTTATTCGATTTTTTTTTTGCTTTTTGTTATCTGTAACCCTGAATCTGAGTGTTTGATTATTTAGTGGAAAGGTAGAAGTTCTGAGCTGAATTTTTATACACCCACTGCAATTTAAAAAAATATATATGTAAATTTATAGTGACGACACGATTTCGGCGAAACTTGGTACTGGAATCGACGCCCTGGTCGATCTTTCCAATGAGAATTATGTCTCTGGAGCCCTGAAGATCATGATCATCGTCAGTGCCGACGGAACATCTAGGTATCCATTCCAACCTGAGCATCCTAATCAATCTCATTTTCAGCGATGAGGCTGTCCCGGCGGCCGAGAACGCCGTTGGCGACTACCAGCACAACATTATTGGAGTTTCGATTCGTGAACCCGCCACGGACATTTTGTCGAAGATTGTTGGATCTCCAACTCGGTAGGATATCAGGCTGGAAAAAAAATATAGGGCTCACAAGTTGATTCATCTTTAGAGTTATTATTCAGGGGGACATTTTTACTTAAAACGAGCTGAAAAATACAGTTTCAAGTGATTTTTTTTTTATAGGAACGTCCAATGTTTGCATTGAACTCAGCTTATCAACTGCCCTTTTCGTCGTTTTTTGTGGAGTTACCAATAAAATTCAGTATTTTTGGATTTATGATGAGTTCAATATTAGTAATGTACAAACTTTTCACTCCCGTCTTTTGAAAAATTTAGATTTTTTTTAAATGTAGCCATAGATACACTATAACAAGTTTGAGCCTTAGGCAGGAAGTGTTAACTTCGATTTAGTCTAATTTAGGCTTTTTGTTTTTTTGGAGCTGTCATTTGACTTTTTTAATTGAAAACTTGAGAACATAACTGCCAAATTTACTTCATATTTCAAAATTTTGAAAGTTTCGGGCAAAAAACCATGAATACGATTAACTCATACCTAACTCATAATTTATTTATAGTAAGCTTTAAAATTTTACAGAGTGATCAACCTTGTCGATTGGTCGGCCAACGATCTTTTCACCGGCTGGCTGACCTATTCGATCTGCGACTACGCTTCAGCGACAACTACCAAAAAGGCTACGACCCCGAAAATGACGACTTTCAAGCCGACTGGTTGGAGATGTTCAAAATAAGTGAAATAAGGAAATATTTCAGGACGCGATGCTTCGCGAGTCGACGCCACCAACATTGAAGTCGTCCCGCTTTCCCCATCATCTCTGTCTGTTTCCTGGACCTGCTGTACTAACAACAAATCGGTTTCGAATGAAACATTTGTCAAAATTAATGGAGAAAATCCTATTCAGAATTACACGATCCTCTACACGCACGACACGAAGATCCCCAAGAAGAAGTGGCAAAAAATGGTCGCCACTTGCCGAGACAGCTTTGGAACACCCATCAAGGTTCAAATTTAGGAAGAAAAACTGAAAATTAAGGAAAAAAAAGTTTAGGACCTCCCAACTGACCACGACTACACGGTTTGTGTCATGACGACGTCCAGAGTTGAAAATGAAACGGCTCTGGAAATCGATAACAACTGCGAGACGGTTCATCTCGACTTGAGTGAGTTTCAGAAAAACTCAAAGGGGTGGAAAAATGATGGTACAAGGATTTTGTGGGATAACCTCGAGCAAAAAAGAAGTATCTTGGCGCAAAACGAGGAAATTTAATTTTTCAGTTTTTTGTGAATTCATTGAAGTTTGAAAAGTCCATTTATACCTGAAAAGTGCTGATTTTACACGAAATTTTGTACTGAGAGATCTAAAAATGGCATTGAAATTGAAATTTTCATCGTTTTTCTGAATTATTGGGTTTTCCGAAAAATGAAAGTTCAAAAAATGTTACGTATAATTTTTGCACATTTCCGTAGTTTTTGAATTTTTTGGAAGCTTCAAACGTTAGAACGTATTAAAATTGAGAAGTAGAGAGTTTTTTTCTTCTCTGAACGTCTTCTCGTTTATAGGGGCTCTTTAGATTTCCTAAGATTCGTACAAAGATTCAGAAAAAGGAACGAGAATTCAGAAATTTAACACTTTTTTTCTCAAATTTCAAACATGCTGGCCTATAAACGCTAATGCGTGATAATTTTGCGAAACGGGTGCTTTTGCCGATAACCCGATATTTTTCAACGATTGGGGTGATCCCCTGGACCTAAACGGAAGCTCAGAGCGTAAATTGGCGTGCGCGGCTAAAATTTGCGTTTCGGTGCTCGGCTGTAGCATCCGCGGGTTCTACTGGCCAACATGAGAGATAATTCTCGTGTATTTTGGGAAAAATAAATTGATTGATAGTGCCTCTGTTTGCAGATTCGACCATGCCTGACGACTACGCAGCCCCGAAGACGTCAAGCTGCAACTGCCAGTGCACGGGAGGAGAAGCCGTCCTGCGAGCGACCTGCGACATCGTCATCGACCCCAGCCGGCCAGTCTCGACCCTCCCGCCGGCGACAACCGAAGAATGTCCTTGCAAGGTCAAGGCGCACGGCGGAAGATGCCCCAAGGGCTACATCTTCAAGGACGGACAATGCTTTGGTTGGAAAGGATTATGAAGATAGAATAATGAAGGAGCTGTGCAGATCTTGACGAGTGTGCGGCGAGCAACGGCGGCTGCTCCCACGGCTGCGTCAACACTCCCGGGTCCTTCTACTGCGCCTGTCCGCACGGACTGATGCGTGATCCGCTCGATCCTTTCGTTTGCATCAACACCGCCAACTCGTGAGTCTATCTTGGCCGTGTTCAAAGTGGATGAGGCGTGAAAAATTCCAGTTTTTTCGATTGGGGGCTGAATGAAATTTGAGGGCTCTACCTTATTCTAGAATCCGCTCTTTGCCCACAGTGCTAAAGGGGGGTTAATTTGAAATGCCTAAGAAATCTTCAAAAAAATCCCCCCGTCCGTCCGTCCGAAAAAAAGCCCTCCTCGAGACAAATTCCGATTTGTTAGAGATAGAATCAAAGAATTTTTGACAGGGGGGCTTTATATCTTATTTAACCCTCCCCCCTACATTGCTGAAAAGGGGGGGGGGTTAGGATGCCTGGTCAATGTTCAAAAAAAAAAACCCTCCTCTTTTTTTTCGACATTTTGTAGGGCCTAAGTTTTCAAACGGCTCTTAGAAATGCCTATTTGTAGTGTTTCGTGTGAATTTAGACTAGTACAACGTCAATTTTGGAACTTCTAAAATCCATTCGAATATGGCAAGAAGCTCTAATATATTAACACCGTAAAATTATTGTCCCGACCTTTTGGGGCAATTTTGAAGCCGAAATTTTCATTCTGCGAAATTTGAATCGAGGAGCCGTTTTGAGAGCCTAAAAGTGGTTATTTTCGAAATTGACGAGAAAATGCGAATTTTTCTCATTTTGTGAAAGATTTCGGAAGACAAGCTTATGCTTGAAAAGCTGTCAATAACGTTATCATTTCTCTTATTCGCTTAAAGGTTCTTTTTGACAGCCTAGCTGGAAATAACAGCTGTAAATAAAAAAATATGATTTTAGATTCGACAAGATTGCCCAATTGCTGGCCAACTACCTTCAATCCAGCGTCGACGGCAAAAAGGCCCAATTAACTTCACAAAAAGAAGGCGAAAAGACCAACTACAAGGTGGGATCCCCTATTTTCTGAGCCAATCTGAACCTCATTTTTCAGGCGACGATTCGCTCCGATGACAACAAAACGATCACTTTCGAGTGGTCTTCCGTGCCAGCCGCCATTCGCCGAGCCTTCAAATGGCTCTTCTAATTTCTCCCAATATTTTCATACTTTCCCCCTGATTCAAACGGTGCTAATTACTCTAGACAATGAACAAAAACGCCTCAATTCGGTGATTCAACTCGAAGATTCCATGATTGTGAGACTGATCTTCAATTTTTTAAAACGTACACATTTTCAAAAAAAGAATTCTTTCATCTTGTTTCTCTTATTTTTTTTCTGATCCCGACTGCCATTTTACCCAAAATGAAGTTGTTATTCTAAATATTTCCTTCTCGTGCCTTGTAGATTTTTTTTTCTGTTAATTCAATAAATATAAATAAATTTATTGTTGATTCTGAGCGTCGGTGACCAATCCGACGGCCATATTTGAAAAAGAAATAAGTTATCAACATTAATGAAAGGCTGTGGCGGGAATGACGTGTGGCGGGATTTCCAATGGTTTTTTTTTTTTTTGAAAGGCGCTTCGACCACAGAAATTAAGAGTTTTGGGAGAGAATGTGCAGGAGCGGCCCTTTTTCGACCTCTTTTAACAGAATCCGCAAGTTTTTGGGCATTTGGAGGTATAAGCAGCCATTTGGGTGTTGTTGCAGAGGTTGGCCATCACCAGGCAGTGACCTTCTGGAAAAATATTTTGATTTTTCGGTGATTTGCATATTTGAGCTATTTTTTCGATTCATCAACTCGGAAAGCGTTTGAAAACTTTAAGAAAGTCGAAAAAATAATTTTTTTTTCTTGTTTGATTTTATTTTTTGAAATTAAGAGTTTTTTCACAGCTCTTGAGATCATAGAACAGAAGAAAAATGGTTCAAAACCGTCAAGCAACGAAATAATGAAAATAATTTTAATTTTAATTTTTTAACTCATTCGTCATTTATTTAGAAAAAATATGAATCGATAACCCGTGAGATTTTCTTTAATTCAATAATGGTACTGAAAAAAAGATGCAGACTTGTTTTCTTCCATTATTGAATAAACATCGCTTCAAAAAAATTTCCTCGTTTTTTTCAATTTTTTTAGAAAGGTATGAAATTATAAGAATCTTACGTATTGATTTGAAATTTCTATTTTTTTTCGCAAGTCGTAAAATTTTTTTAGCTTGATTGGGTTTTCGCTAGTCACTTTTCATCAAAATTAAAAAGTCCCCCATGATAAAACTTGAAGAATTTTTTGAAAATCAAACCTAAAGCACTTTGAAGTTTTGCAGGGCCTTACCACGAAGATATAGTTGAATTAAATTTGCAAAAAATCTTCACAAGAATAAAATCGAAAATCCTTAATAAAATGTCCTCATGGAGTGCAGAAAATTAGTGATTTTAATAAGTTTTCTTTTTGTACCTTTTTGGTGAGCTGTCCCTTTTCAAGATTTAAAAAAAAATTGCGAACTTCATTAAATCAACGAACTAGTATAGTCTGTTCAGATTTTGAATGTCAACCAGCTAACTCCGCCCCTGCTGAGATGGTACCTTTTCGCGTCGATGTTTTATCGCGCGGGACTAATTTTGATCTTTTTTGATCTAAAAGATAGAAAAAGAAGTCAAAAATGCAGCATTATTAAAGGTTCATCGTCATCTGGATATAAAACATTGACGCGAAGGATATCTCGGGCAAAACTGAAAAGCTCCCCAAACATAGGTAAAACGGAAAAGTTCCTTTGAGGATCCTTAAAGGATCCTGAGAGGGAGATAAAAAGCTTCCTCTAAAAGCTCCTAAAATGATGTAAAAAAGCTCTTGAGCACCTTTTTCATAGCCTCAGAGGATCCTTTTTGAATCCTCTCGGATCTTTTTAGTTGCTTTCCCATAGGTAAAACTGAAAAGTTCCTTTGAGGATCCTTAAAGGATCCTGAGAGGGAGATAAAAAGCTTCCTCTAAAAGCTCCTAAAATAATGTAAAAAAGCTTTTGAGCACCTTTTTCATAGCCTCAGAGGATCCTTTTTGAATCCTCTCGAATCTTTTTAGTTGCTTTCCAGCATCCTTTTTGTCAGAGGATGTGAAAAAGACGCAAAAAAGAATTGAAATGATGTAAAAAAGATCTGCTGGGGACCCTTTCAAGGTCTTTTTTTGAGAAAAGCTTTTGGGGAGCTTTTCAGTTTTGCCCGAGAAAGCTTTTCTCAAAAAAAGACCTTGAAAGGGTCCTCAGCAGATCTTTTTTACATCATTTCAATTCTTTTTTGCGTCTTTTTCACATCCTCTGACAAAAAGGATGCTGGAAAGCAACTAAAAAGATTCGAGAGGATTCAAAAAGGATCCTCTGAGGCTATGAAAAAGGTGCTCAAAAGCTTTTTTACATCATTTTAGGAGCTTTTAGAGGAAGCTTTTTATCTCCCTCTCAGGATCCTTTAAGGATCCTCAAAGGAACTTTTCCGTTTTACCTATGATTGTAGCCTTGGGGGTGGAGTTAGCTGCTTGACATTCAAAATCTGAACAGACTATTAATAATAAATCATATCTTTTCAAAATTTTGCAAAAAAAAAACTGACCCGGATCGTCCTTACAAGCGTCAGCAACAGCCAAAATAGCGATGAAAGCCACGAGAACGTAGACGAAAAGCTGAAAAATATTTTTTGAAGTTCATATTTGTCAGCTAAATAAAGCTCACCTTGAACATAACGAAGCGAAGAGATAGTTTGGTGTTTTTCTCGGCTCCATCGCCACTTATATACCCCTTGAGCTGGCTGGGACGGAGAAAAGCACCTCACAATAGAGGAAAAAAAAACTGATTGTTGATTCAGCTGCGCTTTAATGAATTACGAATCGCGGCAAAACGGTTTTTCAGACACAGCGTAAATATATAGTCACGATTGGTTTTTTTCTTTTGTTTTGATGAAAAAAAATTGACTCATCCAGATAGTTCGAAGGGCAAATATAGTGTTTCATAGGGAAAAAAAATTTGTGACTTGTTCCAAAACGGAAAATTCACTGTTTTGGAGCAGCTTTGGAGCGCCAAAAAGCGCAATTTTTCATTTATAGAAGGCCGCGAAACATTTTCCATGCTATTTTGAGTTATTTAAAACTTCTGAACCTTCATAGTGTCAGAACAAAACGGGTGCTACGAGTTTTCCTTCTCCGAAGAGTACTGTATATGAAAGTCCGCTTTTGGCGTATGCAATTTGCGTGTTTGCACCTTTTGAGTGTCCCCCGCGCTTTTTACATTTTTTTTATTGTTAGTTTTAGTTTTATATTTAGCCAGATTAAGTTGATGTAAGTCATAAGTTTCTTATAGTTGTGAAATTCCAGCCATTCTCTTCATTTTGAACGAAAAAGTCAGTTTGGGTCGGAAAATTGAGCTGTTTCCGAATTTTTTTTTTACTAAAGTTGGTCTAAAAGATGTTAATTGATTGATCACCTATATCTTCGTCGGCTTAGGTGAAGGTTGACTTATGAGAAGCAGCTCCGTCTCCAATCATAACTGATTTTTAAGATCGGACAGAGTGAAAAGAAAAAATTTTCTTATTAAAATATTATTTTCAACAACCTCTGAAGAGTACTCTCGAAATTTCTTCCCTAGCTTTTGAAACAAGATCAACTAACCATTTCGTGAAGAAGGTGTCTACTACTGCCCTCTTTCTGGTTCAGAACCTAACCTTTTTTTGCTGTGAAGAGAAGACTTCCCATTTCACCTAGTTATAAAAGTTAATCCCGTGTTCAATTTGATTCCGCGAAATGCAAAATGATCTCTGACTCTCCAAAATTTAGCGATCTTTTCCTTTCTCTAACGGGTATTTTGCATTTCGCGGAATCAAATTGAACACGGTATAAGCTTTTTTTCTGTTGAAATGAAAAAGAGACGTGAAGATATGGTTAACAGATTCATTTTTTTTTTATAATGTTAGCAGTGGTTCTCGCGCTTTTTATTGCGATCATCGCGGCTTTTGTTAGTTTTTTTTTTTTTATCATTTTAAACTCAGCCCGACTTCGAACTGTTTCAGAATTGCGTCAAAAAATCGTACAACCTAGCGCCGGTTAGAGATGTCGGCAAATCTGTACGCACCGAAGCGGTAAGTTAATTCATTCCGTTAAAAATACCTTTTTCTTTGATGAAAAAAATTCACAAAAAATACATTTTAGCAGTACGTGAAGAGCCCCAAAGAGACGCCCAATAGTAAGACTAACCTTTTTGCGGAATCCAAAATTTTATTTTTCAGCTCCTGTTTCGAACTCTGGGAGTGTAATGAAATGTGAAACTTTCTTTTTTTAATATAAAAAAATGCCTATTTTTTTCAGGACGTGGACAGTTGCAATGAGGCTGAAAAAAACTAACGCTTTTCAATCTAATAACTAAAAATAAATTTTTTTATCTCCTCTTTCTCATACAAATGAAGCGGAAAAATGAATTTTAAAAAAAGGAATCAGAAAAAAACCAGAATCCTTTTTTTACAGTGATTGCTCTTAGTGCAGATTTTTTTAAAGGCTTGCTGGCGTTAGCAAAAAACTTGATTTTATAAACTAAACGTGCATCTTTGAATGTTCTGATTGTATTTTTTTCTCTGAATTTTTTTCTATTTTTTTCGTACAAAAAAACTCGTTATTATAATAATATTAACGAAGATATCGCCCAAAAAAACTGCGATCGGTGTATGCGCAATTTAAACCCTGTGCCAAACCGGACCAACAGATGTGAAATACCAAGTTTCTGAGACTCAGAAGAAATTGAATATCAAGCATACTAATGGATTCTTTAACGATTTTTTTAAATTAAGATTAACGGCGAAAAAATTTGGTCAACGTCGGAGCTCCAATAGTTTCAAGTAAATTTTTATGAGGTTGTTTAGGCCGTTGATCAGTACTTGTGTTGCTGTCACAAGGTTTATTTTGTCACCTTTTTTCTTTCAAATTTTACAATTTTTAGCAAAATCGATGGATTCCTCGGTCATCGCTGAAGTTGTGGCGAACGACTCCACTTTTTTGTCTATATCGAAGATCATTTGAATCTTTTTCTTTTCAATTTCTGCAACTTTCATGGCTGAAAAGACAGTCTAAGGTTAATATCAATATTGCAAAGGGTTTCCCGCTCACAAAATTAAATTTTGGCCTTTTCAATATTTCGTTTCCACGTTTGAATTTTTTGATGCAGAAACCAACAGAAAATATAGTTTGTTCATTTTTTGAACGTCAAGTACAATGACGTCATTCGAAAACGCTCTGTGGATGGCTCGCTCTCTGATTGGCTTATCGGGCCATTAGGGGCGGAGCTTTAGAAGCGACTTGACATTCAAAATCTGAACAGACTATAAACTTTATGCGCTTTCTTCACGTTAAATGTCATTCAATTTAATTTATCATTATATTCCTTCTCAATCCGTAAATTTATGTGTTTCCAGTCGGGAACCTCGATTACGGTGCAGAAGAAGCAACACTCCGTCAACTTTTCCGCCGGGTCGGACTAGTCGGGGGCGGCATTGCTCAACTGGAAAAGACTCATTTCTAACGTCCGCGAGGTCGTAGGTTCGAGTCCCCCCGAGGTCGACCCAGCCTTTCATCCCTCTGGGGTAAATGAGCTCTCCGTTTTGTGTTGTTTCTAATATCTTTAAATAAATGGAATTCGTAACTTTGTATTGTTTTGAAGACTTTGGTTGGATTTTCCGACTGAGATACGATTTTATTGTGTCACGCGCTTCATTGATAAGATCTATGATAAAAAAATATATAAGAGGCTATTTTGTTCTGTCTTTTTTTTTCATCTAGTTACCGTTCCTCTTGTTTCGAATTATTATAGCCTATTCCGCGCCAGCTTGTCACGTTTTTCTTCTTGCCAAAAAAAACCGTATAATGAATTTGATCAAATTTGACCAACTGAGCTCTATGACCATTGTTTCTTGCTGTTTGAAGAGCGGAGTTGCAAAAAAATCTGTTTTTAGGGTAGCCTTCATGAACTTTTTTTGCTTTCTTTTTTTTTTGCAGTTTTTCAGAGTTCCGCGCGAGACGGTCGCGTTTTGAAGCACAGCAGAGAAAGGCTACCCTAAAAACAGCTTTTTTTGCAGCACCTCGCATGCTGATCAGGTGTCTCAACGGGTGTACCCGTATTAAACCCGTGTTTCTGAGGTTATTTTAGTCTCAGTTGGGCTAAAACGGGGGAACAACGGGTGTAAGAAAAATATGTAACCCAGCTGGGCTAAAGCGGGGTCTCAGTTGGGCTAAAAATTGGCAAAAGTTCTATCAGCTGGGCTTTTACGAGTTTAATACGGGGGCACCCGCTGAGACCCCGTGTTAGCACGGCGGGGTTACCCTGCTCAGCATGTGAGTCTGCTCTTAAAACAGCAAGAAACAAAGGTCATAGACTCGCATGCTGAGCAGGGTAACCCCGCCGTGCTAACACGGGGTCTCCGCGGGTGTATTAAACCCGTATAAGCCCAGCTGATAGAACTTTTGGCATTTTTTAGCCCAACTGAGACCCCGCCTTAGCCCAGCTGGGTTACCTTTTTTTCTTACACCCGTTGTTCCCCCGTTTTAGCCCAACTGAGACTAAAATAACCTCAGAAACACGGGTTTAATACGGGTACACCCGTTGAGACACCTGATCAGCATGCGAGGAGCGAAGTTGGTCAAATTTGATCTAGTTCGGTATGTTTGGCGGGAGGGCAAACTTGACAAGCTGGAGACAAGGATTTCCCGCTATTTTCCTGATACTCGAAAACGACTACAATTAGTTTTTTTCTGACGGAAATTGTTTTTTTATCCGAATCTTCCTATAAAGCTTTATTATAACAGGTAAAGTCAAAATCAAGAATAATCTAGCGAGATTCAGGCCTTTTCTGATTTCAGGAAAATGGCGGAAAATCATTTTTCACTTTATTGTTTCTCGTACCTGACCAGGTAAGAGTACTATATGCTCTTGCCTGGTTATTCACGAGCGGAAAAAATCATGAATATTGAAAGTTTCTCAAAAAAATAAAGTGATTTTTTTGAATTTTTTTCTGTTAATGTTGTTGATGAAGTGTCTCGTGACCGACGAAGACTCGAAAAAAGTTAACGATTCCAGACCCTGGTCTTTTGTCGCAATCTCGTTGTAACACGGTTTATGTTGCCTATTTTTTTTCTTTTTTTTTCGAACTTTACACTTGTAGCGGAACCGACCGAACTTCTCTTGTCTTGGAAATCAACGGATTCCGTCTTCGCTTCCCGAATTTCATTCTTCCGTTCTTGTACATCGCAGAACGGTGGAATTGTCTTCACCACTGGCGAGTTCCTGATCAAAATCCCGTCTTTTTTTTTTGACAATCTCAGGAGCCAATAAAAAAACGTAGTTTGAGAAATTTATGCCATCTTGGTGAGCTGTTTATTTCGTATCGAACGGTTACTGAAAGCTTTTTCTCGGGCAAAACTGAAAAGATACCCGAAAGCTTTTCTCAAAAAAAGACCTTGAAAGGGTACCCAGCAGATCTTTTTTACATTTCAATTCTTTTTTGCGTCTTTTTCACATCCTCTGACAAAAAGGATCCTGGCTCGGGAAAAACTGAAAAGCTCCCCAAAAGCTTTTCTCAAAAAAAGACCTTGAAAGGGTCCCCAGCAGATCTTTTTTACATCATTTCAATTCTTTTTTGCGTCTTTTTCACATCCTCTGACAAAAAGGATGCTGGAAAGCAACTAAAAAGATCCGAGAGGATTCAAAAAGGATCCTCTGAGGCTATGAAAAAGGTGCTCAAAAGCTTTTTTACATCATTTTAGGAGCTTTTAGAGGAAGCTTTTTATCTCCCTCTCAGGATCCTTTAAGGATCCTCAAAGGAACTTTTCAGTTTTACCTATGTTAGATGATACCCCTTGGATTATATAGTTAATTCTTTTTCCTTTTGCATTCTCCGTCTGGAATGCTGCAGGGATTTGAACTGAAAGATTCTAAAAAATTACATACTTTCCAGCAATTTCAAGCGGGAAAAGGTCTTCAAACTCATGTTTTTTACTGGCCTCTCTAAAAACAAACTCTAAAAATAAAGTCAAAAATGAACTGATTTTTTTAAAAAAACATGCGTTTGCAGAATTGTTTTCCGCAGAACTATTTTTTTATAGGAAATTTTTAAGTGAACTTTTTCTCTGGACACCTTTTTTCTGTACGAAAAGCTGTATAAAATTAGCTTAAAGTATGCTCATCGGTGTTCGCGGATCTGTTCTGCTTCTCTCTCTTCTTTTTTTGACTCCTCAAGTAATCATGGCCTCCGATGGATTCAAAGTTCGCGGTTCGTTTCACGTGATAGATAGACTGTCGATTATCAGCACAACTTCCTGATTTCCGAGTAAGGACACTTCAAAGTCTGAGAATGGACCACTTTAACGGATCTTTTTTTTTTTCAAAAACCAGTTTTTTTTGCGGATCTAGACTATGAGGTTCTTGATCAAGGAATATTTTGGCCAATTTTGAAAACTCAATAATTGGCTTGAATTTTTGTGAAGCAAAAAGTTAGACATTATGAAACTTCACTGACGTCGGGTTCTAAACCGAACTCATTTTTTTTAACAAAATTTTTGGTTTTTTCTCGCGACAACACATCCGAGTTATTTTGAATTTTCAGTCGGAAACGTCCCATACCAGGCGACTGAGCAGGAAGTCGGGCAATACTTCAGCGCTGTGGGCGAAGTCAACACCGCAGAGTTAGTTTCAATTTTGAAACAATTTCAATGACGTCACTCAAAATTTCGCTCTGCGGCGCTCGCTTCAGTATTGGCTTATTGCGGTATCAAGAGCGGAGCTTGAAAGATGACATTGAAAATCTGAACAATTTACTCGTCTTCAGGATCGTCTACGACAAAGAAACTGGTCGCCCTAGGGGATTAGCCATCGTCACGTACGCAGACGAGTCTGGGGCTCAAAGGGCAGTAGATGAGCTCAACGGCCAGTCGTTCAACGGCAATAATCTCATTGTTAGTCATGAAAACTAGTGAATGTCGGTTATAAAGTAAACCTTCTTAATGAGTTCGATTCATATATATAGTTGGTATCATTATTATTCTTCGTTGGATCGCTTCAGAAATAAACATTTTCAAATGAAAAGTGTTTTTTTGTGTTATTTTTTTGAAACAGAGACTTTGATCGTCAAACTTCGCATCGGAAAAATACGGTTTGGGATGATTGACTTCATCTTCCGAAACTTCGCGTTAAATCGCAAACCGCTACTCCCTGACGTCATCCCTATGACATCATCTTCATTTGCAAAATTCGCACACGCAGCCATATCATTTTATTCATTTTTTACGTTCCAATTTATGAAATTAGATTCGACGTGAAAACTTTTCTGGTCACATGAGAAACAGAAAGTTATCACACTTGAAAATCCCCTTTTGATTGGAAACTTTTTTTTATTCTTCTATTTTCTTACTTTTTTTAGAAACCTTTTAAAGGTTTGGAATAATCCGAGGCGTCGAGGCCCACGCTTACGCACAGTATGCTCCTTTAATTTTTTTTCCTTTTTTTTGGGAAATACATTTCAGATTTTTTCGCTACGCGTATCAAGTTTGCAAATCGTTTAGAGCTACCTGATAGTGTTTTTAGTGTCCACGTTTTGAAACTAAATGCCTTTTATGTCAGGTATTCATTTATTTGACGAATTTTTCACTGTGGCTCAGTTTTTTCGAAGCGAGTCACAGTCGGCTTCGCGCTGTGCGCGCTCCGCCTCCGTGTGAAGCCTTGAAACTAAGCCTATTTTCTTAAGTGATACATGAACCTGTAGGCGCAGTTTTAATGCAAAGGCGCAATTCAGGCTCTTCCCATTCTTCAATATTTTCAATTTCAATGTCAATTCAATTCAATTTATTCAGTCTTCAGAGTAAGATGAAGAAAATCTCTGCTGAATCATGGTATAATCGAAGAGTTAGTCGTCGGCGCGGGTTGCGGTCCACAATCGTTGTCCAATACGTCCCGAAGTGACAGCTAGCGTTGGGAAATAATGTTGGCCCGTTGGTAGTACCAGCGAATAAACTGCTTCACCATGTTGGAACAGTACGGCGCCCAGCATGTCCAGGGCTGACGGGCGTCGGAATATTATCCCATGAGTGAGCGGCAATGAGACCGACCAGTCGACGTGATGAAATGAGATAATAATAATCTGCTGAACCATGTTCACGTGAATAAAATGAATATATAGCCAAATATTTCGATTACGCTTATTTCTTGTGTTACGAATGATGTCATGAAATGAGGTCAGGGAGTAGCGGTTTGCGATTTAACGAAAACTTCTTCCGAAGCGAAGAAACTAACCATCTACAAATTGGTCTGTGGAAATATTTTTGAAAAGATAAATAGTATTTTATAAGAGTCTTTGTGATTCTTTTCTCTCACATGAAAGATGGTCTTCGAAAGTTACAAAATAAAAAATAATGAAATTTTTTGTGACCAGAGTGCTGTATCCGCTATTGGTGTAGACACTTGCACGCGGAAGGACATTTTATAAAAATTAAAATTTTCAATCCTTTTCAAGTTTGTGTTTTTAATTGTTTCTTCTTACCCGCATGCTTTATCGCGATATTGATGCGTTTTAAAACATTTATTTCATATTAAGGTACAATGAAAAATACCAAAAAAGTTGGGAAAAAGACAAAGGCCTCTGGACAACCGAAGAAAGTCAACCCGTTCGAACTCAAATTCAACCGCTCCAAGCATGATGTAGGAATCTTCAGAGTTTTTAAATTTCTTTATTATATTTTCATAAAGGTGCTCGGGAAGAAAAAGTTGGCGAGTGTCGGAGTTCCAACAGTTTCTCGAAAAAGAGCTCATGAACAGAGAGAACAGACGCTTGGCGTCGAATATGCAAGGATGGGAAAAGTTAGCAAGGTAAAAATGAATTAGATTAATAAAGATGATTGTTTTTTTTGTTATTTTCCTCAGATTTTGGATCGACGTATCGGTGAGAAAGACGATATTACAAGTGAGGAGAAAACTTCCATGAGATTCACGGAAGAAAGAATTAAAAATTACAAAAAGGCCAGCAAGTTCAACCTCACTGATGACTATGAAGGAGAGGAAGGTTTGGAAAAACTTCGGAGTTTATAAATTTTTTTTTTTTGAAGAATTGCTAACTCACGGCGGCCGAGCTTTGTCGGATATCGAGAAATATGACAAATCGATGCTTTCCGATGATGACGACGAAGATGGAAATATTGGCGCTGAAATGGTTTGAAATTTGTATTGAAGGGTTCATTATAGGAAAAATACAGCGGATTTTGGAAGCGTAAATTGGTAAAATTAGGTCGAAACTGTGAAAAAAAAAAGCAGTTGTTGGACATTTATCGAATTTCGTGCCAAAACTTTAATTATCATCATAGCTGCCTCATGATAATTTTTTTCGTTTAACATTTTTTTTTCTACTTTGTTAGTTAAACCATCATTACTCGAAAGCAAAAAAACAACGATTTTCAGCTTCAAAAAAATCATATTTTCACCGAAGGCTATTTTTATTCAACCTAAAAGATTTTTCAGGTAATTTAATACATTTCCAGGTGAAAATCGCTCATTTCGGCGGCGGCGAAACGTCAACCGAAGAGAAAGTTCAAGCGAAATTGAGCCGAAAAGACGCGATCGCCGAATTAATTTCGAAAACCAAAGTCGCTCGTCAGGAGAAGCAGGCGGCCAAGGATGAACTTGTACTGATTAATCGATCAATAATCGATAAAAATTGATTTTTTGAGGATGTTTTGACGGAAACTTTGGACGAGAAATATCACCGACTGATGGGCCGCTTACAGAACACTTTCAGGCCAGTTGGTGCCACGAGAAATGAAGTTTCCAATAAGGATGACTACGACAAATTGGTTCGTTTTTGATTGAAATTTGAAGTTTTAGGTTTATTCTTTTTTAATTACTGAAATTGTACATTTCCTTTAAATTTGAACTTGTTTTCTTGACTTTTTATCCTCCATTTGAGCTCGAAAGTCATTTTTGTTTGAATAATTGAAGCAAGGTTCTTGGATTACTCGATCAACCCCTGTAGCCACTAAAGCTTGCAAAAATGGTCCCTATAGGTATTTTAGTTAGTGACCCCCAAAGAGGACATGCTAGTTGAGAATTGTTATGAAGAAGCATTTCCAAGGGTAAAATTGAATAAATAAGCGTTTTTTGAATGGAACTAAGAGACCCCTATAGGGACCACTTGAGTCTTAGGAGCTAAGGGGTCAGACCCTAAATCCCTATAGGGACCACGTTGATTTTACCTCTAGAGTAACCACTTTTTTCAGCCTCTACAGGGGTTGTTTTCCCCCCTAATCCCTATAGGGAACACGTTGATTTTACCTCTAGAGTAACCACTTTTTTCAGCCTCTACAGGGGCTGTTTTCCCCCCTAATCTGGAATTACTAAGAAATCTCTTCAATTTTCCAAGTGTTGAATTTTTCATGTTTCGATGGTAATTTTCAAACTTTTCTATTAGAAAATATAGCTTTACGGCTAGCTTGGGACGCTAAGGGGCGTGGTCTGTCTGCTCTCTCCACCAGCCAGGCACTATCTCGTGCATTATCGTGTCAGGACCCTTTTTCGATGGCTCAAACCCGCCGTGAATCAGCTATAAACGAAGAGGATGTTTTTTGTGCAAAAATCCGAGTTATTTTCCTATCTCAGTTTATTTCCTGAACTTCAGGCGCTTTCCCTCAAAATCGACGCCGATAAATGTGCGACGCCGGCCGAAAGAACCAAAACCGAGAAAGAAATTGCGGCCAGCGAAAGGGATCGACTGGAACTTCTCGAAGCCCAACGATTGGCCCGGATGAATACTAAAGTTTCCAAAAATTTTCTAAAAAAATTAAACTTTGTGATTTTTTTCCAGAAAAAAATACACGTGGTCACATTTCTGCCGACGCTGATGTCGATATCAACGCAGCTTCAAAATCTGAGGCCAGAAAATCGAAAAAAGACGCCGATCGATTTGTGGTCCGGTTTGATAAGGACGGCAACATGATCAACTCGGATAAGGTACAGGAATTTTCTGGAGCAAATTCAAGAGCTCAAAATGAGCAAGGAAAAATAGCCGCTAAATTTGAAGCGAAAATGGATTTTTTTTAAAGTTATTTCATAGCCTCAAAGGTTAGAGATATGATCATTTCCGAATTTTTCTGGAAGACCTCGAAATTTCAAGAGCTCAATGTGAGCGAGGAAGAACATTTATCCATTACGTTTGGAGCAAAAAAAGTTTTTTTTATATTTTTTTTTGTTCTAATAATTTAAAAAGTTTATGAGATATGATCAATTTGGATAAAGTACAGTAGTTTTATTGGAAAAAAATGGAGAATTTTATAGTTAAAAATAAGTAGGTCCCATAGTTTCCAAAAATTAAATTTGAAATGGGTTGGTCCCAAGGTACCAAAGTTCCATATTAAAGGATTTTTTTTTCGATTTTTAAGCTCAAGAGATTATTTGGATAAGCTTGTGTAGTTTCTGAACTTGAAAAAAATTTTTTATTGAATTTTTTTATAGATTTTATTGGTTTCTCAATATGAGATTCGATTGGATACGATTCTCTGTTCTAAATTTTCAACTGAAAGAAAAATATTTTTGCAAAGTTAGTTCAGAAGGTGTTTTCTTCAATTTCGAAGAAGAATGAAGAAAAAAGTTTCCTTTCAAATCAATTTTTGAATAATATTTCGTGATTTGATAGTTATGTGAGAATATTTTTCTATAAATGCTCGTGGTTTTATAAGATATAATAGTTCACGTGTATTCTTTATGCTATGCTTTTTCATTCAAAAAAATACCAATTTGCAAAGTTAGTTACAGAACGTAATTTCCTTAAAATTGAAAAAACTGAAGAAAAAAAAGGATGCTTCAAAAATTTTCAAAGTTTTCTTTCAAATCTTCTCAGTGATTGTCTTCCTTCAGGTCGAAAAGCCGTCAATCAAGAAAGTTGCTTTCGACTCGGATGACGAACTCAGTGAAGAGAACGACGACGAGGAAGAGGAGGAAGACTTGGACGATTTGTTGGAAAAGGAAGATGAGGAGGATGACTTGGAAGATGAAGAAGAAGACGAGGATGACGAGGATGAAGAAGAGGAAGATGATGATGATGAAGTTGAAGTTCGAGGTAAGAAGGAAATGATGATGACGTTTCGTTTGAAACACAGTTTCCTCTATAAACGCACGTTATGTCATTTTCAAAGTGATTTCCGCGAAATTCGAATCTATCTCTGACTCTCCAAAACTTAGTTGTCTTTTTCTTTCTCTCACGGTTATTTTGACTCTGCCGAAATCACTTTTAATACGGCATCAGCATTGAAAATTCGCATATTTGTCCATTTTTTCAAGATTTGGTAGTTATGTCTAAATCGTAGTTTTTTTCAATTTTGATTAAAAAATTCTTTCTAGCCAAAATGGAAATTCATTCGCAAATGTGACTGTTTGCATGTCGGTTTTGAGTTCTAGTGAAATTCTAGTTCATTTTGAATCCGAATACTGTATTTTTTATACTTTTAAAGGGCTTATTAGTAAAATTGAAGACTTTGACATTTTCATATAGCCCATTCCGCGCCAGTTTGTCACGTTTATCTTCCCGCCAAAAAGACCTTATGCGCAATTTGAGCAACTTCGTTCGAGACCTTTGTTTTTTTGTCGTCTTTTTTGTAGTTTTGGGCAAAAAAAAGTGTTTTTACGGTTTTTAAAACGTGACCGTGACCACGCGGAACGCACTACACATCTTTTTCTGAAAAAAAAAAGAATTTTCTACAAATTTGCTAAAACAATCTCCGACAGTCTACATGAAGATCCTTCATAATCGCGACCTGCGCAAACTTCCAGTTTTTAAAAATGTTAATCAAAAAAATGTTTCAATACAGAATTAGACCCCACAAGAAGGTCGTTTTACTTTGAGACTTGGAATTTCCAAAAAGTTTGCTCAAACAATCTCTGAAGGTTTTTATGAAGATCCATCAAAGTTACAACCCGCGTCAGAATCTAGTTTTGAGATAACTGATTTTGAAGGTCGAAAAGTTGGGCCTAAAACCCATATTTCGCAACTTTGAAAAAACATATCTCAAAAACTAGAAGTTTGCGAAGATAGCGCTAATAAGAGATCTGGACCTTCAGAGAGTGTTTGAGCAAATTTGTAAAAAATTCCAAACCACAAAGTAAAATTACCTTCCTTGTTAGTACTGAAAGAATATTTATTGAAATTTGTTCAGGAAAAATCGAAAAAAGAGAAAAAGCTGACGTTCTGGATGTTGGTCCGGCTGGTGCAGGTATTTTTATAGCCTTTTTTTCTGTTTTTACTCAGGAATTTTTGAGCTCCTTGTTTTTTTTTTTTAAATAACTTTCCCTTTTCAGCCGCTCCTGGAGATGACGGCGTTCCTTTCGTTTTCGAAATGCCGAAAAATTACTCGAAATTCATCGAATTACTGCAAAAATATCCCGAGGACAAGATGGGAATCGTTTTGGAGCGGTATATTTCCTAGTTTTCAGAGTTTCTTAAGAAGTTTATCATTTAGATTGACAAAATGCCACCATCCGAGCTTGAAGGAAGGCAATAAAAAGCTGCTGAATAAGCTTTTCTTGATGCTTTTGCGGTTATTCGACGATATGGCCAAGGAATCTTTGACGGAGGGGGTTTTGAACGAGTTGAGCCTGATTCAGAGGCATTTGTACGGCATTTTGAAGGTTCGTTCTTCGGAAATTTCCTTTTTTTTCCTGACCATGTTATTTTGTAAATTCTTACTTCCAGCGTTTTATTTTCCATTTTTATTCAAAATTTCTCAAAAATTAAGTCATAGATCTTTTTTAAACGCTGTAAAATGGCCCTCCTGATTCATTTTTTTAAACCTTCTTTTTATACTTTCATATTGGGATAAGTTAAGCTCATAGTTTTGCTCTTTAATAATTTTTTTCTGGACCTGTGATTTCTTATATTGAGGGTTTCCTTTTCTGCAAAATCACTTACGATTAAACTGATAGATCTTTCTTTCAAGCTGCAAAATGGCCCTCCTGGTTCGTTTTTCCAATTTTCCTTTATATTTTTTACACTGAGAATAATTAAATGAATATGTTTGCTCTTCGAAATTTTTTTCCTGGTCTTGTGACCTTGTAAATACTTATTTCAAGGGTTTTTTTTTTTGCAAAATCACTTACGATTAAACTGATAGATCTTTCTTTCAAGCTGCAAAATGGCCCTCCTGGTTCGTTTTTCCAATTTTCCTCTATATTTTTTACACTGAGAATAATTAAATGAATAGCGCTAATCAAAAAATATGAAGTATAAGGTTTAAAATTAAGAAATGTAGTTATCCCGATTTTCGTATGATTTATTAAATCACCATTTTTAACCGAGGCGAAAACAGAAAGTGTGGAGAAAGGATACATAGAAATGTTCCTTTTAGGGTGAGAAAGGCTCCTTTTTTGCTGCCTTTTTGCGCCATTTCATCGTCTATTATGCGCCATTTTTGCCGCCTCTTCCTTTTTCATCATGTCTTGAGCCTTTAAAATCCCAGAAAAAAAGGCACCGCTCGATAAAGGGACCCTTTTTGCTGCCTCTCTGCGACCTTTTTTGAGCCTCTCCCTTTTAGCGGTCATTATCGATCATTCTCACTTTGTAAGAGATCTTTCCCTCAGAAAAGATTTTATTTGTAGCAAGATGATTACACTGATGATACAAGAAAGTATTAATTGAGCTAGTTTTCAGTTCGATGTCCAATACGCGACAAGATGTGTTCGTGCCTTGATCCGACAACATTGGAATATCCGGAAAGAGAGACAGAAAAATAAGCCCGTCTCATTTTCGCTGGTTATGGTTTTCAGGTAAGGGTTAATGATAATAGTGATCTTCCTCCCTTGATGAGTTATCCTATTGGTATGATTTTTAGATGGTACGGAAGTACAGTAGAAGTAACATGAAAACAATGGGTTTTTAGAGTTGGTTTTAAAAAAAAGGAGAATTCTCGCCCTTTTGAATGTTTTTCTGATAGAAGCGAAAATTTTTGAACTTCTACAACTTCTGAACGACTTTTTTTCAGAAACTCTTCATTGTAAATTAAAAAAAATCTTAATTGTATGATGTTTTTCAATAGTTGAATTGAATTTTTTTTTAGATTAGTCGCCGCGTTGTTCCCGATGAGCGACATTTGGCACCCCGCCTGTACTCCGGCGATGTTGCTCGCGACGAGCGCGTTATCGCGTGCTAGAATTAGCGATTTGCGATGTCTCGCCCGCCAATTGTTCCTGGCGACGACCATTGTTGACAATTTGGCGGAGAGCAAACGGTTGGGATTAATTATGAATTCAGATGGAATTTTAAGGATAATTCTTTCATACTATTCTGTAGTTTCCAAAAAAAGACAAATTGGTTTCGGATCTTTTTAAAAAATTACAAAAAAATTAAGACAATTTGAGAAAAACGATATAATTTTTAACTGACCTGAAATTTTTTTCATTCATTTTTTTTCATGTGTTTCAATTTTTTTATTCTATAAAGTTGATACCGTGTTCAAAGTGTTTCCGCGACTTCTAAAATAGCCGTCAGAGAAAGAAAATGATAATCTAATTTTGGAGGGTCAGAGATAATTTTGCATCTCGCGGAAATTACTTGAACTCGGATTTAGTTTTGAGCTTTTTTTTGAAAAAGGGTGCATCAATCATTTTCCTGTTTCACGATTAAATGATGATCGAAAATCGAATCTTAAAAATGTTATTGTGTTTACAAAATTTTCATCGTTCTTACTTCGATAGTAGGTTGTTGAGAATATTGGAAGAGGAAAAAGATTTCATTCAAAAAATATTGAATTCCTTCCGAGTTACTCAATATTTCTTTACTGAATAATTTTCGCTAATTTTGTGTGTGATCAATTTTAAAAGGGCACAGATTTTTTTAAAAGGAGTTTTTAGAGACGAAGAGTCGCTTTCAGTGTTCTAACTAGGGAACTGCTCGAACTCGGGTACCCTTTTCGAGTTGAAACTTTGGTGGCTCATAGACCCGGGTAAGAGTACTTGGAAACAAGAGAGATTATCTGCTAAACCCCATAGGCTTCTGAGAAAAAGCTTTTTGAAAATGAAAAATTTAGGCTTGAAAATTATCAAATATTTGCTTTCCTCATTCTTTTGACTGGAAAAAGTTTTTTAGAGTTTATCATAGCTGGATCATTCAAAGCGATTGTATCAAAATATGAAATAAGCTAAAAAGCAGTATTCTGAAAATTTTCGAGCCTAATTTTCACATTTTCTACTAATTTTTTCTCAGTTCTCTAGTGGGTTTAGTAGATATTCTCACTTGTTTTCAAGTATTCTTACTTAAGTCTATAAACCACTAAAGTTTGAACTCGATCCGCGTACCCGAGTCCGAATAGTTCCCTAGTAAGAGCATAAAAAAAACCAAAAAAATAAATATATATTGAAAAGGCTTTGAAATAATTAAATTTTTCCAGATTTTTACCCGAAGTCGTATCTTTTGTAACGAGTGCCTTGCTGTTGGCCGTCGAAGACAAGCCGTTTTCCTTCACTTCTTTCGGATTTCCCATTTCCAAGCCTCATTGCGACCTTTTGTGTGTTAATGAGGTGATTTTCGGCAAATATAATATATTTTTAACGAGTTGAAATGGTGAGGTTGCATGCGAAGCGGTCGCGGCGCGTTTTGGCGCGAATTCATAGTTTCAAATTTCGTGATTTTTATAATATTATGTAGCTGATTAACAGTTGGCTTGAGCCATTCAAAAAAGGGTCCTGACACGATAAAAAAAAATAAGAGATAGTGTGTGGTTGCAAGAGAGGGCAGAAAGGCTAGGCCAGCCAAAATTTTTGAATTGGCGCCAAAAACGCATCGCGACCGCTTCGCACACAAAATTGCCTCATCATACCGTTTGAGGGCGAAAATGAAAAATAAAATGTGAAACTGGTTTTTTGAATATTTTCAGCCTCCATCCGCAATTTCGACGTCTCCAATCCCAATCTCCATCGTTTTTTCTGAAGAATCCGATGTTGAAGTGGATGAACCGAAATTGCGATTATCCGTCCTTCGATCTCTGGTCGCCCTTGTACAAACTCTACGAGTCGTCTATTCTACCTACGATGAGACTTTCACGATTCTTTTCACGTCAGTAGGAAAATCAAGGAAATCTTTGCGACAAGGAGGTTCCGACAAGTTTTAACCGATTTTAGGGGATTTTTGAGACCATTATGTTGTGAGGGGCACAGAAATATCCTAAAAAAGTGTTTTTGGGGACTTTGGCTTCCGTTAAAAAAATTTTCATTCGACTTGGACCAAGGAGAAAAAATTTATTTTCGTATTTTGGCTACAGTACTCCTCAAAAGGGGCGGAGCCTGTAAAAACCTTTTCAAGGGATTTTTCGTTCCCATCATGCTGTGAAGGGTACAGAAACATTTCAAAAAAGTGTTTTTGGAGAAAAATTTTGTACTTCAAAAAGAGTTTCATTCAACTTGGACCACGGAGAAAAAAGTTAGATTTTTTCGTATTTTGGTTACAGTAATCTTCAAAAGGGGCGGAGCCTGTACTAGCTATCAACTGAAAGTTCCACATGCTTATGTAGTTGTTGTGATAAAAGTATGAGCTCAAAAAATGCAACCTGAATTTTTAGTGCCTCTTTTTTTTTGGCAACTTATCGATTCTCTCGGGAAAAGTGAATTCAACTCTTCGGGCGAAGCAGGAAAGTTTTTATTGATTAATTTTGTTTTTTCCAATGGTACTTTCCTGCAGAAACAAGATAATCACTAAAAACATGACATTTTGAAGCGATAATCTTGTCGGAAATCTCTGTTTTGTAAGAGTTTTACCTCCAAATCATATGAATTTCGCCTCATTTTCGATTCTTCAGACCAATCGTCAAGCTTCTGAAGTTGATCAAGGCCGATCACTTGCCCAGCGATTTGAAAGAAGAACTGGAAACGGTGATCGCTTCGACGGAAGGCGAATGCAAGGCCAAGTCTAGAGTCACGCAAATGTCGCTGGTCAAAACGGAGAAAACGTCAGTTTCTGTACAGGATATAGAAGTTCAACGTGTTGATAAGGGAATATAGATTTTTCAATTTTTTGATTTCAAGTCGTCGCTCAAACTCCGCCCCTGATGGCGCGATAAGCCAATCAGAAGGCGAGCCATCCAAAGAGCGCTTTCGAATGACGTCATTCTACTTGACGTTCAAAAATCTGAACAGAATATTTCTAAAAAAATAAACGAAAAAAAGGTCTGAAAAAGACTATATGGAGAAGAAATTTAAGTATAAGAGTTTTTTTCGACAGGATTTTTCAAGTAAATTTTTAGATTTTTTTCTCAAACTTTGAGTGGTACGAAACGCTCAGAGTATAGTTATCTAGCCATAAAAAGTTTCTGAGAATTGAAAAAAATTTCTAGAATTTTTTTCATCATTTCAAGATTAAAATGAACATGCTCGATTCAGCGCTTGTACATCGAAAATATCAATTTTTAGGTTACCGTAGCTCTCTTTTTTCAGGCCAAAGATCGTGTCAGAAGTCTTTTTTCTTGAAACTTTGTTGTTCCTTTAAACTTTGTGAGAAGCTAGCATTAGATTAATTGCGTACCTCGTTTTCAAAAGATAAAATGATCTGACTTCTCTGTGCCCTCTTCTCTCTCGGCAACGCTCTTTTTTAAGCGCTCTTTTTTCTTTTCCAATACCTCGCCGGTTAGAGACTAAAGTGCAGGTTTTTTATGTCGTGTCCAAAGTAATTTTCGCGAAATTCTCCAAAATCTAGTTATCTTTTTCTTCCTCTGACGGATATTTCGAATTTCGCGGTATCATTTTGAGCACGAAAATATTTTATATTATCAGAACTTTATACGGAAATTCGTCGATGCTTTTATCTTGATTTTGAGCCATTTTTTGTAACTTTGAAAAATGTTATTGGTTCAGAATGCTCCGAATGCTGGAACCGCGGTTCGACGAAGACTTCGATCCGGAGAGACCCAGAAAGGGAAGAGACACGACGAGAATGGGACCCAAGGGCGAGAAGAAGAGACTCGAGCAGGAGTTGAAGAAGGAGAGACGTGGCGCCATCAAGGAGCTCCGAAAAGACACGGCTTTCTTGGCCAGGTTCGTTAGGAAAACCGCTTATTGAGTATTTAAAGGAGCATAGGTTCATTTTGAGCGGGTCTCAAGGGGATAGCCCTTTTTTAATGTTCTTCAGTATTCTATTCACTGTTAGCTTGGGACGCTAGGTCTGTCTGCGCCCTCCACCAACCAGACACTGCCTTTTTTCCAATTGTGTCAAGACCCTTTGACGTCACGCGTTGACAGTAGAAAAAGCTGCCAAATAAAGCTTTCCTTTGCTTTTAAAACGAGAAAATATCTAACTTTTAGTGTCAACTTATGAAATTTTATGTGCCGGAAAGCATCTGACTAACTCTGTTTACCGTTACTAGGAAAATCAGGAACGTCAGGGTGGTCCCTATAGGAGCAACCTCAGGGTCTCTGGAAGGATCCCCTCTAGAGATCAATTAACTCCCCTCTTTCCGGGGGCTCTGAAGCTAGCCGAAGGGAGAAAAACAACCGAGATAAAAAGTGAAAAAATATCAATAATAAACGTCTCTCAATTTTTGAATCTGAACAAAAAGTTGAAATATCATTGTAGGAAACACTTAAGCTTTAGAGGCATAGCGATCAAAACCTTAACCCCTATAGGTAGGGGCTGTTTATATTCCTAACTCCTTTAGGGGCTGCTCTGGCATCAATAATTTTTAAGTCAAATCAAGAGCTGCCTAGAGGGGCAAAATTATGAGAGCTTGAAGGTTTCTTTCTCGGGGCTACTTAATTTTTACCATAGGGAACGCTCTTTTTTTCCCTCTACAGGGGCTTTTTTTTTCTCATCCCTAAGGTGACCACTCTAGCGTTACTGAAAGATCGCCACGCAAAAAATGACATAATTAATCAGTTTTTGATAGTTTTTCTATGATATTGACGTGTCTGATAGGTTATCCGGATTTTTATTGGTACATTATAGAGTATTCGTGAACATTTCTGAGATGGCCTTCTCTGTTAAAATTCATTGAGAAGTGTCCCTTTCTCTGATTACTTTTCCGACTCACGACCATCACAACCGAACTGTCGGAATATAATGGGGAAATGAAAGGATTTTTTTCAGAAAGCAAATGACGAACGTCAAGGCGAAGGACGCCGAAAGACAGAAAGTCACAAAACGACTCATGAGTGGACTCCAGATCCAGCAGGGCGAATGGAACAAGGAACTCAGAGAAAGCGGAAAGAAAAAAATAAATAGTCTATCATCTTTTTTTGTTATTGAGATTTTTTTCATTGTTAAGATTGTTCTTGTTTTTCGTTATTGTTATTGCCTTTTTACGCGTCTAGAAGAATTTTTTTCAAAAGAAAAAAATGAGCTTTTATTGAAAATTGTATTGAAAGCAAGTCCAGAAAGATATGAAGTTTAAAAAAATTTTTTTCAGTTTTTTTCAAATTTAAGAAGAAAAATATGTGAAAAACTGTGCGGATTAGGTTCAAAAAAAGGCAAAATTCTGAGAATTTCTAGAATAAAATAAAAAAAAAGCTTTTTTATTGACCAATACCGGCTCAAAATCCCTTCAAAATTAAGAAAATCGTTTCAAATTTTAGACTTTCCCAAAATTCCTTTAATTTTTATCATTTTTTCCAGTATTTTTCAGAGTTTTGCCAAAATTTCGGAGAAAAACAGCACTCTCGAAAGAAAATTCTTCTAGACAATTTTTTGTTGATTTTTGCCCTTCTTTCTCAAATTTGATGACGAATATAAAGCGTTTCATTTCCTCAGAACGATTCCACGTCATTAAACCCATGAATTATTTGGTGCTGAATATTTTGAGGATGGGATATTTTTGGGCGAATCGCGTGATAACCTTCTTCCTGGCTGAGAGGTTGCCATGGAGGCCCCCATCGGATAAGATCCGGATGATGACTCCGCCCATCTGTCGCCCGAAAATTTCCCGCAATTTGTTCTTTTCATTTCGCATGTCGGAAAGGGTGGAAAGGGTGGAAGGGGCTCTATAGAAATGTTCTTTTTTTGGTGCCCTTTTGCTCCATTTTTTCAGCCCTTATGCACCATTTTTACTACCTCTTCCCCTTTCCAATCATTTCTTAAACGCAGAAAAAAAGAAAGGCTCGATAAAGGGACCCTTTTTGCTGCCTTTTTTGAGCCTCTTCCTTTTAGCGGCCATTATCCATCGTTCCGACTTTGCCCGAGCGTAAAGTAATGCTCCAGGAAAAAAAAAACGGTTCCTGATTTTTATAGGCCTTTGTGGGCGATTTTCATTACAGTCTCTGGCCTTTTTTCCAGATTTTGTTACTGTTTCACAGTTTCAGTTATGCTTATTTCACATTTCAGATCCGGATGCCGGCCAAGGAAGAAGAGAAATGCGAGCTTTTTAGGGCCATTGATAAAGGTAAAATTCTGGCTTTAGTGATTTTATCACTTTAGAAAAACTTTTGAAATTAACAAAGTTTTGGATTTTCAACTTTTTTTCAACTGTTAGAAGAAAAATAAAGGTTTCAAAAATTCTCAACCTTTTTTTGGATTTATATTCTATTTTATTTTTTTTGAACTTCTTGTTTTTTTCTAGTTTTTTTTTTCGTAAAGTCAAGTTTTTTAAGATTTGCTTCTTTCAAGGCTTCAATAGTATAGATTTTGAGATATTTTTGATCATCAAGAATTTTTTTTTCAAACTCTATTTTCCAGGAGAAACGGAAACTGCTCTCGGGCTGTTAAAAAAACAGAAAAAAAGATGCCCAAAAAGGGATCCGACTGGTATGAGCACACTTTCCGCCGCAGTTTACAGGTCCGAAAATTTTTTTCTTATCAGTTTCGTGATCAAAGTAACTTGAAAATTGACCTTGTTCGTTGAAAATCATGAAAAGAAAACAACAATATTGTGTTTCAGGAAAAAAATTAGTCCCCAGAACGAGAAAAAAATACCGAATTTTACGCGGGGAATTCAAAATTTTTGGTTTAAATGTCAATAGTTTCGAGTTTTTTGAATTTTTTTTAGTTTCACGCAAGATTTTCTGTATCACGTTGTATAGAAATTTGGACAAAAAATATTCAGTTAAATCGAAAATTTGAATTTCACGTGTTGAAATCGCTATTTTCTTGTATGGAACTTTAGTTAAAAAGATGTCCAATTATTCCGTTAATTCGAATTTTTCAAATCTCGTGCTCAAAATTCGCTATCACGTTGTATAGAAATTTTTTCAAAAAATGTCAAAAAAATCTGAAAATTTTGAATTTTCCGAGTTTCGCGCGTTGAACTCGCTATCTTGTTGTATGGAACTTTTGTCAAGAGATGTCCAGTTAAAGCGAAAATTTAAATTTTCTGATTTCGTGCGTAAATTTCTTTACCTCGTTGTATAAGGCTTTGGTCAAAAAAAGGACAAATAAATCGGAAAAATTTTTAATTTTTTTGAATTTGCGCGTGAAAAATCACTGTCTAATTCTTTTAGGTTTCTGCGCAAAAATTGTCCAATTATTTGAAAATTTGAATTTTTTTCGAATCTCCTACTTTAAATTTGCTATCAAATTGTATAAGACTTTACGGCAAAAAAATAACAATTACATCTAAAAATTTTGAACTCCTTGAGTTTTGCGCGTGAAATTCGCTGTTTTGGATGTAAGTTTTTCAAATATCCCGAAATTCCAATTTTTCGCGTAATTTGTAGAATTTAAAAAAACACGCCAGTTTTGACTTAATTTTGAACAGGGCAAGAGAAAAAAAAACAAAAAAATTTTTTTCAGGGGAAATTTGGCGGTGGCGCGCAGATGCTTAGATCTCGGCTGCGGGATCAACGATCGAACTTATGATAGTGGATACACGCCGTTGATGTTTGGAGCCTTGTCTGGTAGATTAACGCAGAAAGAATAATTGAAAAACGATGAATTTAAGGGAAAACCGAAATTTGCAAATTTTTGATGGACAATGGGGCCAGGCCGTACTTGACGAACTCCATTGGAAAAACGGCTTCGGAATTGGCCGCTTTTATTGGTGAATATTTAGAAAATAGCCGGAAAAGAAGAGGAATAGGGCATAAATATACACAAGTTTTCAAAAATCAATAAACTTCTAACATTAAAAAACACATAAAAAAAGACTGTATAGCCGGCTTACGGCTGATCTGAGCCATCGAAAAAATGATGAAAAAGTGAGATAATGAAAAATTGAGAAAGGGTCCTGACACGAAAAGAAAAAAGAGTACTTTATTGGTGGAGAGCGCAGACCAGCCACGCCCATATGCTATTCAGGAAGCGTCGCAAGCTGAATCGGCTATATTTTCATTTTTCTCCTGACCAGTGAGAAGCCTCTTTAACCTCATACTTTCTTTATTTAGCCTTTTTTGGGTCCTGACACGATAAGAAAAGAGAGAGAGAGTGCTTGATTGGTAGAGAGCGCAGACGGTGTCTCGCCTCTTACCGTCCCCAGCTGGCCGGAACAGGCTGTAGCCTTTTTCGCGCCAGCTTTTTCAAAAAAAAAAAAGACCGTATACCAAATTTGACCAACCAATCTTCGCTTCAAGACCCTGGTTTTTTACAAATCGAGTGAAATTTTTTATTTCTCACGCAAAAGTACAAAAGCTGACGGAGTAAATCGAGGGAAAGTGTGGGAAAATACATGTTGAAGAGGAAAAGGACTCGTGGTCGTGTTAACTCCCAGCTTGAGTATAAGCTCAGATTTATAGTCTGTTCAGATTTTGACTGTCAAGCTCCGCCCCTAATCGGGCGATAAATCAATCAGAGAGCGAGCCACCCACAGAGCGTTTTCGAATGACGTCATTGTACTTGACATTCAAAATCTGAACAGATATAGTCTGTGTGCCACGAATTGAAATTTCACGGAACGACATTCCGCTGTTCCGCTGCGTGCGTTCGCGAAGCGTCTCTCGAATCTAGGTCATGCTTTCAATTGATTGTTACTGCTGTGGGAGCACATGAAAGTAGTGTACCTTTAAAAAAAAGCGCGACCAAGGTTCGCAAAAGCGCACAGCGGAATGTCGTTCCGTGAAATTCCAAGTGGCGGTACATAGGCTATAGCGTTCATATTTTTGTTGGATCAAGAGTGTTTAGTTCTGTATCAGAGAACATGTAGAAAGTTCTATAAAATATGTTTTTTCAATAAGTTTTCTTTTGAAATAGTTTTTCATGACTTTCCGCTTCGATTTCTACCCATCGCTTCTCAAATTTCAATTTTGATGGTATCTTAAATTAGCAGGATGAAAGACTTTTTGGGTTTGTCAATATTTTCTTGTACTTTCATGTGGTTTTTGAAAAATCCACCCTTTTCGCTCCAATTCACTTTTCATTAATTTTTTCTAGTCCATTCTGGACTTTGACCTTTTGAATATCAAGCTGAGTTTTTAGATTTTCTGTGACTGAATTTTTACGGACTTTGAAATATTTTCAGCTCATTAAATTACCGCCTTTTCGTTCGATGTTCATCTTGAAAAAATTGAACTTTTTTTCCTAGGTCACCACGAATGCGTCTCCGTCATCAACAACCACATCACGATCGACGATATCGAATCATTTCTCCGGCCGAAAGGAGGAAATGAAGAGGAAAAATTTCCGGACGAGCTGGCCGTATTTCATCCACGGCCTGTGCAGTACTCATGAAATCCATCCGGTCAGCCTGATTTTTCCGGATGAGCAGATATGAGGACGCCATGAAGTACAAGAAGAAGGTGAGTACGGAAAAATGTTGAAAAATTTTCTTTTTCTGAGACGTTTCCCGTTTGTACCTTGGTTACACAAACTGGACGTTTCTGAGAATTTCTAGGGATCACTTAAAAGCTCTGACCTTGCTTAAGAAATCACGAAAAAATGCACAGAAACGTGCGGTGCGGTGCGGTTGTCTTACCGAGGTGCGAGCGCTGGTTTCAAAAAAAAAAAAAAATAGACATTTATCTTCTCGAAATTAACAAAATAGCATGCAAAATGAAGAGGTTTAGACATATCCGTAGAGATGTTCCATAGGGCTGGGACTATATAGTCAATGTTTCCCGACTTGAAAGGGGAGGGAGGCGGGGCAAGGGGCAGGACGCGTAGCGTGTGCGTTCGCGGTTCTTGGCGGCAGTTCAATTCAATCCCCGCCGACTATTTAAAAAGCTCAGCAACCGCTCTTTTTTTGTATTTTATTTTATTTTTTGATGCACACACGAACATAATCAATAAATAATGAAAAAAGAAGTGAAAAGAGCGATAAATAAGCTTTCTGAATGCTCGCTAGCAGTTGAATTGAACACGTGCCAAGAACCACACGCTACGCGTCCCGCCCCTTGCTCCGCCTCCCTCGCCTTTCAAGTCGGGAAACATTGACTATACCTGTAAATATTTTTTTTATGCGGACTAATAAGTATTCAAAGTATAGTACAATTTCTTTTTGCCGCCACCTCCGTTAAGTTTTTGTAAAAAAATATGAAATTTTTTTGAACTACGAATAAAAATAATGAGATGAAATCTGATTGGGATTCTTCTGAACCGCCTTGTCGCATTTGGAATGGCTTGATGCGTTGCGAAAAGAAATTCGATTTTCTAAACGTTTCTCGGACGCTAATATATCTAGTAAATCCAAGCGTAAGTCGTTTTATAGTCGGATAAGCTTCAATGTTAACCGCCAAACGTTTAGCCGTTCCCCAGTGCGACCGAGGAATTTTGAAATCGTTTATATTTTGGTCATTGATGTTTTTGTACGCCTTTTTTTCCATAAGTTAAATGTTTCTGATCAGTCTGCGCCCTCTTTTTCTCACCATCTAGGTCAGAGAATGCAACTTTCATAAGAACAAGCTATGACGACAGAGGAAATTATGCAGAGAAATCAGACGGTTTCTTCGAAAAGTTGAATTTTATACCACTTTTGCTGGGATTTCTGTGGTCAATTTGGTACATGAAGTCTTTTCGAATTTTGAATGTTATGTCGCCCCTCAAGCTCCGCCCCTAATGGCGCGATAAGCCAATCAGAGAGCGAGCCGTATAGAGAGCGTTGTCGAGTGACGTCATTTGTACTTTGAAATTCAAAAATCTAACCAGTTTTTTTCAGTTTTTAATCAAAAAAAACACTTTCTTACACTTTTTAGAGCTTTTCAGAATAATCAAAAAAACGAGAATTTATAAAAAAATCAACTCCTATATTCAGATCGTCTACGTCGTCGACCGTGTTTTCGAAAAACAACTCCGATCGAAAGAAAGCCATGAAGTCATGTCCCTGAAACTCTGGATCGTCCTTTTTGTCTTGCGTGAGGTTTCGAAACCTTTTTCATCAGTCTGAATTCAATTTTCGATTTTTTAAAGGTGATGAAATTCATCGAATCCCAGCCTGATTTGGCGCCAAAAGATGCCGCTTTACTCTACGCCAAAGGATTGTTGAAATGGGAACCTGGCGAAGAAGTTCGGTTGGTTGAGTTTTGGTCGCATTTGGAATGGCTCGAAGCGCCGCGGTCGTGTTGCGGCTTTAAAATCGCCAGCTTCCTAGAATTGTCTGACAGTCTGGTATCACTGCGTTCTCTCACATTTACATGCTGTTTTCTGGTTCCGATTATTCCATCGGTAAAGGAAAAGAGAGCGCAGATAGGTTAGACGGTTTGAAGTCTTGCCCATTTGATTAGCATCATAGATGGGCGGAGCTGAAGGTTTAGATTGCGGAATAAATTTTTTTTTGAGATCATTAAATTTTCTAGCGGAACCAGGGACCCTGAAAGACACATAAATTAGAGTGTAAAAATTATTTTCATCAAAATTTATTTTCAAGAAGTTTTATTCATACATCGGTTGGATCCCACCCCCAGCCTTTCGCGCGCGAATAAAAAATTTGAAAATTTTTACTTTTTGGGAGGTATGGCCCACTTTTTGAGGGGTAGAGCGCACTTTTCGGTGGGTAGGGCGCACTTTTCGGGGGGTACGGCGCACTTTTCGGGGGGTGAAGCGCACTTTTCGGGGGGGTGAGGCGCACTTTCTGAGGGGTAGACTACCGGGGTAGGATCCAGCCGATGTATGGTTTTGTTGGTATACACGGAATGCGGAAAAGTATATTTTTTGTGAAGCAGGAACCTGGAACTCCGCCCATTTCTAATATGGCTTTTACTGATTACTCGATCGCAAGTCGTTTCGAGTCGGTCGCGCCTTAGAGCAACTGTTCCGCGTGCGAGCCACTCCAAGCGCAACTACCGACTTCGAAACTGAACAGGAAACTTATTTTCCAGAAAACCTCTGGATACCTTATTGAGAAACTGTGTCTTGGCTTTCCCTTATAAGCAGTCCTTGTTGTACGACACATTGCGGAAGGTTAGTTTTTGAACTAACTAGGCCTTGAGAACTCCAAAGTAGTCCCTATAGGGGTAAGCTCAGGGGCCCTTCGAGGGTTCCCTTTAGGACCACTAAAGCTTGCTAAAGTGGTCCCTACCTCGATGATTTTTATCAGAGCTGTTCTCGGGGCGGCCCCGGTCGACCGAGGGCGCCCCGATTTGCGGCGTGTTCGAGGGCGGCCGCGGTCGGCCTTTGGTAAGGGTCAACTCGGTCGACCCGTAGATACAAATTTTTTTGACTCCCGGTTTTTTGCGAATTATAAGAAAGCGAAAGAAGCGCAAGTTTTACTGAAATGAAAGTGAAACAAAAAAACATTTTTTTATCGAGAACATAAAGAAGAAAAAAACCGATGAAATGAGATATTAATCCAAAAAAATTCAATAGTTTTTCTAAGTGGCCAGAACAATTTACAGAACTAGAGAAAACAAAAATAATGAATAAGAAATAATTTGAAATTTTCACATCATCAGGAATTTCATTTTCGCAAAAAAATTCATTCAAACCACTATTTGAAATATTATTTTTTTATTTACAACGAGAAAAACGAAAAAGATTCGAAAAAGTGAAATCAAAAAGCCCGATTTCTATCAAAAACAATAAAATTAAACTTTTCATGGATCATAAATAACTTAAACATTCATTTTCAATATGAAAAACCGAAATAAAAACAAAAAATACGGGAAAAAAAAATCCTCGCGCTCGCTTCGGGGGCCTGAATGAAAACCGCTTCGCGGCCGGGGCGCGTCGCGGTCGGGTCGGGGCGGCCTTGGCCAGGGTCGCCCCGACTTGAGAACAGCTCTGATTTTTATGATCTTTAAGCGAAGAAGCAGTTCCATGAGAAAAAAACTGAATAAATAAGTGTTTTTTTGACTTAAATTGAAAGGCCCCTAGAGGGTCCACTTGAGCTTTGTGGGCTAAGGGGTCAGACTCTAAACCCCTATAGAGGCCATTTAGTTTTACTCCTATAGAGACCAGGGGTTGTTTTTCCCCTTTAATCCCTATAGGGACCACTCTGGAATCCCTTAGTGATATTAAATAAAAACTTTTGATGAAGCAGAAATTTTTTCCTTAATGGAGAGTTTCTGCTCAATTTCCGTTCGTTTTTAACCCTTTTTTCAATTTATTTTTAATTTTTCAGCTTTTTGATGTTCGAAATCTTAACAGGCTATGAATTAAGAGATTTCGTCAAAGTGGCATACTGAAATAGGTATACGGAAATAGAGATTTTTGTTCATAGATTGCACAAAATCGTTTTCAAATGATTTATAGTTTTTCAAAGATTATTTCTGTCTACTTGACTGAAAAAAAAAGCCTTTCAGGCTCTCGGAACCAGGCAGCTGGGCTGCGGTCCGGCGACCTATGACTTCATCCTCCAGGCCCTTTTTGGCCAAAGGCTTTTGACCGTTTCCACCTTCTGCTCCGTTTGTGGGAAGCCGTCGGCTAAAAAACGGTGTCCGGCGTGTAAGGTTAATGAAAGAAAAAACAAAGAAATTATCAAAAAACTATTTGAAATAAGAGCAAATGAGCAAGTTGAAGTGTTAAAGTTTACTGTTAAAAATTAGAAAAAAAAGCTCAAATATAGTCTGTGTGCCACGACTTGAAATTTCACGGAACGACATTCCACTGTTCCGCTGCGTGCGTTCGCGAAGCGTCTTTCGAATCTAGGTCATGCTTACAATTGATTGTTATTGATGTGGGAGCACAAGAAAGTAGAGTACCTTAATAAAAAAAAATAATTAAAAGCGCGACCGAGGTTCGCAAATGCGCGCAGCGGCACAGCGGAATGTCGTTCGGTAAAATTCCAAGTCGCAGTACACAGGCTATAATACTCGATTTTTTGCTGATTCCAAAGATAACTTATTCCCCTGTTTCTTCTTTCAGATATCAAAAAACCGGCTTGAAAAAATTAATTTTCTGATTAAACGTCCCTCGGTCAAAAAACGCACAAAGAAAGTTTTTCTCAACTCTAAAAGATCCAAAAAAATACTAGATTTTTCGCTGATTCTAAAAGTATCTTACATGACAGGCATTCTCTTAATTTTGACCAGAAAAGAGTCGGTTTGAAAAAAAAATTTTTTTTCCAACCTTGATCCTCTGCCCAAAAATGCATTCAAAACATTTTTTGAAAGTTCTAAAATTGAAGTCCTAGGAAACACTAGATTTTTTCTGATTCTAAAATCACTCTTTTTTTTTCGCTTCTCATCCTCTTCAATTTGACACCAAAAAACCGGTTTGCAAAGATTTTTTTGGTCAAACAACGCACAAAGAAAGTTTTTCTCAACTCTAATGGATCCCAAAAGTTATCAGATTTTTTTGCTAATTCCAAAAAAATACCTCATTCTTTTCATTCAGATCTCAAAAAAACCGGCTTGAAAAAAATTAATTTTTCTGATTTAACGTCCCTCGGTCAAGAAACTCACAAATAAAGTTTTTTCAAAAGTTCAATTTTTTTAATGTCAGAAAAATACTATATTTTTTTCGCTGATTTCAAAAAAATATCCCATATGCCAGCCATTCTCTCAATTTCAACCAGAAAAAAGTCGGTTTGAAAAAAAATTTTGACTTCACCTCGCTTGGTCAAAATAGCACAGAGACAGTTTTTCTCAACTCTAAAAGATTTCAAAAATTACTGGATTTTTCACTGATTCCAAAAATATCCAATTCATCAATCATTCTTGTTCTTAAGAGCTTCTTTTAAATCAATATAATTTTTTGAATAGTCTACAGACAATAACGCTTCTTTCGATGGGGCAGCCTTTTATGAGAAAAATTCTTAAACGTTAAAACTTTGGGGCTCTGAAATCAGTTAGACTATTTTGCTGATTACAAATATACCCTATTTACGAGCCATTCTTCCCATTATTACTCACAGCGTTCTAAAACGGGGTTCACGCAAAAAGAGGCGCACACTATTCTCAATGGAGCGCGTAACTTGGAGCGTTGTCAATCAAAAATCAAAGTGCTTTTTTTCTTTAATTTACATGCTATTAACTTTTTTTGATTGTTTTTTTAAAAATCTTTTTTTGTTTCTATGCACGTAAATTTTTTTAATTAATGTTTTTTTAAACGTATTAGAAAGTTTTTTTAAAAGTATCCATAGCTCGGTAATGTGTCGAAACGTTGTTTAAAAAAAGAAAAATACTGTATCCAAGAGATAAAACCGAAAATCGAAATTCCAACTCCAAGAATCGATCAAAATATCAGTTTCCAACTAATAAACAAGAAAAAAAAGCTGTCAGTGTCCGCGCAAAAGAGAAAAATTTCGACTTGACGAAAAAATTCAAAAAAAGGTGTAATTGGTCTGTACCTAAGAGATAAAACCGAAAATCGAAATTTCAACTCCAGGAACCGATCACATTATCAGTTTTCAATTACTTAAACAGGAAAAAAAAGAATACTAAATCAAACCTGAGTTAAAAGTTTCGACTTTCGTGAACAGAACAATTATGTAGTCCTTTGAACCAATCAAACCACAAGAAAATAAACTGCGAAATTTTAAGAGAGGTATAGGAAATGACTAGCAACACTTGGAAACTATAAATGTCAGGAAAAAAAATGCTAGCCTTCAAATAATCAAAAAATCCGGACTCTTAATTACGACGCGAAAAAGACGATTGTTAGCCACGCCCACTCATGCAACGTCCGCATGCTTTTCAGAAAAGGGGCGGGAACCCCGCTTTAGAACGCTGTGTACTGGAAAAAATTGGTTTAAAACTGACGATCCTGAGCCAGAAAACTCGCGATGAAAGGTTCTAAAATTACAGTTTGCTGATTCCAAAACACCCCCACTGTCAGCCATTCTTGTCGTTTTGACCTGATTTAAAATCGATAAGATCAAAAAAATCAAACTACAAACAGTAAAGCTCATTTCTGACGGACCAACCTAAAACTATTGCCATTTTTCAGCTCTGCTACTGCTCCCAGGAATGTCAAAAGTTCGACTGGCCCCTCCACAAAACGATCTGTCAATCACTGAAATCCCTGAACAAACCCCTTTCCGTTGAAGATTCTTCCGTGTCCCTTGATGATATCCAAGCTCAGATTTCTAACATTGATGTTTAAATTTGTACAGTTTTCTTGCTTTTTCTCTCCTGCTGGTGTCAAAAGAATAGTCGAATAGTTCAAATCTAGTCACTTTCGTCAAGAATTTGAAAAAGGATGTGATTTAATTTCTCTCTAGTCTTGAACTTTGTTGCTCAGAAAAAAAAAAATTCTAGTTTCATCCCAATTTTCATATAGTCACTCCACTGATGTTATAACAATTTTGGTCGCATTTGGAATGGCTTAATGCGCAGCGGTCATTTCGCAGATGCGCCCGATCTAAAACGACTTGAATTCGAATCACAAGCGGGTCCGAGAGTACTTCAGGCCTCCGCTGGGGAAATTTCTAGTGGACACTTTAGGGTTTTGACGTTTAGTGGTCACTATAGTAGTCAAGTAAGTGGTCACTTTAGTGACTTATAATAAGTGGTCACTTTAGGAGTGTAAGCGGTACTACTAGGCCGCTAAAACGAATATATTGGCCGCTTCTATAAAGGTGGTTTTAGGGGACGCTTTAGTGTCCTCTTCAAGTAGTCCTTGAGGAACCTCTTAAGTGGCCACTAACGTTTTTCCCAGCAGGACGGTTCTAAACCATTTAGTGACCGCTAAAGTTGTTTTTTGGCTCTTGAGTGATCACTTAAAAATAATGGAGCCCTATAATTTAACCGCAAGTCGAGCCATTCCCAGTGCGACCAGAAAGTTCAAAGTTTTATTTCTCACCTCTTTTTTCTACGTATTCATTTCGAAACAGATTTTATTGTGTAGTCATGTATACTGAATTTTTGCCTAATGATTGGACATTCCATTGCATAAATATTTATACCTGTTGTTTCAAATTTTTGAAGTTTTCCATGGATTTTCTTCCCGAATTGGACATGTATCTATTGAAAAAAAGTCAGTGGTTTTTTTATGAAAGCTTTTTTTGAAAAACATTTTTCTTTGTAAAGTACTCGAGAAAAATCCGATTTTTTTCTTCTCGTGGGGAGGTAATTTCATAATTTTCAAATGATTTCATTGAAAAAAATTCATCAAAAAGTTAAATTTCACTCTAAAAAAAGGTTATGATATGAGGGTTCTGGTTCAAGATTTTTAGGCATTTTATTTAAAAAAATTCTATTTCAGAAAGAAATATTTTCAAAAATACAGGTTCAAAAATTCGGAACTTCTTCCATGGGTAGGATTTTTTTAAAGTCTTTAGATGATTTTCGGAAAGTTTTTTTAGGGTTCAACTGTATTTAGTAGTTATTTGAGATGTTTTTCCTTAGTAAAATTCAAATTTCAACAGGAAAAAATGTTCCTCGAGCGGATAAATACCGTAACTGGAGATCGTGAATGGGTCGTGAAAGATGAGAATTACGATTTGGCTCAAGAACTGGCCAGGTTTTTTTCTTTCATTGTCATAAAATCAATTTTTGGTTTAGAAGTCGTTTCGCTGACATGATCCTTGATTATGATCGGAATGATAAATTTTTGGCTGGCTTGAAAACGATCATTCAAGAGAAGAAAGCGAAAGGCGAAGCCACTCATGTCCTGGATATTGGTTGGTTTTTTGAAAAAATGGGACAAAAAAATTCTTTTGAAAAACAACCCTTTTTTTGAAAAAAATATGATTTCTCCGACTATTTCTAAGTATTATTATCAAAATTGAAACTTTTTTTAAAAAAATGCAATATTTTTTTCAATAATCGTTTATGAATATATTAATGTAATTTTGAGAAATTTCATCGTTTTTTTCAATTAACATCTTGATAAACGTTGTGTTATCCGAAGAATCACGCGATTTTTTTACAATAGTTATGAAAAAAATAAGCTGAAAGAATTGCGTTTCTTTTTAATAAAATTTGTAGAAGCTGATGAACTCTTCGAAAAATACCACGGTTTTTTTCAAATAAAAAGTTACAAAAAAATTGATCATTTCTTGGTAAAAAAATTAATGAGCTCTCGGTTGAATCAGGATTATTTTAAAAAAATAAAAAAATCGCAACCATTGATAAAGTCTTGAAAAAGATAACGCTTCATATCAATAAAATTCACGAAAATTGATGCATTTTTCAAGAAAAATCGCAATTAATTATTTTTTTCGAATGGAAATGAAATTTCTGGTCATTTTTGCGCGAAAAAAATGATCAACTTTCTCTCTGATACTTGACAATAAATATTTATTCCAAAAAAATCATGATTTCAAGGCGCCGGAACCGGCCTACTGTCTCTCATGGCCGCCCGGGAAGGTGCTGATAAAGTGACGGCTGTTGAGGTTTTCAACATTTTAACTAACTTAAAATTGAAAAATCTTCTCAGGTATTCAAGCCAATGGCCACTTGCGCACAAGAAATCACAAGCCGCAGCGAATGGAAGGACAAAATTTCGGTTTGTTTTGGAAATTTTAAGCGAAAAATTATATAGTCCATTCCGCGCCAGCTTATCTCCAAAAATTTTTAGTGGCGACTTTAGGGTTTTGACGTTTTAGTGGCCACTATAGTAGTCGAATTAATGGCTTCTTAAGTGGCTTAAAATTAGTGGCCTGAAGTCTAAGCGGTAATACTACATTTCTAAAACTACTATAGTGGCCACTAAGGTGCAAAACAGGGGCCTCTATAGAGGTGGTTTTAGTGGCCACTGTAGTAGTCGAACTGATAGGCACGGAATCGGCTGAAAATAAGTGGCCTCTTTAAAAGTCTAAGTGATACTACTAGACTGCTAAAACTACTATCCTCTTAAGTGGCCACTAGAATTTTTCCTACGTGTTTTCATCCGAACTACAGAACACTTTTATCTGATTTACGTGTCTCTGACATGCGCTTTTGATTTTGCCTAAAAAAATACCCGTCATATTAAAGGCGCATGCAGAAATATAGGATGTGCGTTTCGAAGAGAAGGATCTTGTAGCTTGTAGAAGAACAAGAAAAAGTTACACGAAATGGACTAAACTCATTTTTCAAGTCATATTTTAGGTTTGCAGCTCCCGAAGTTCAAGATAACGAATAAAAATAACTTGCACCTCCCGAAATTCAAAACTATGGATAAAAATAGTTTGCAGCCCCAAAAATCAAGAATACGGATGAAATTAATTTGCAGCTCCCATAATTTAGGGTTACAGATAAAAAAATAGTTTGCACCTCAAAAAAATTCAAGATTATGGAAAAAAAGTTATTTGTAGCTCCTAAAATTCAAAAATTATGGAAAAAAAATAATTTTTAGCTCTCAAAAATTTAGTATTACGAATAAAAAAATAGTTTGTAGCTCCCAAAGTCCAAGATTATGGAAAAAAAGTTATTTGTAGCTCCTAAAAATTCAAAAATTATGGATAAGAGTAATTTGCAGCTCCCAAAAATCCAGTCTTAGAAAAAAAGTTGCTGAATTTTTTCGAGCTAGAAGATTTTCGAAATATCTGATAAATTTTAAATATGTCTAGCGTTTCTAGGAAATTCTTTTTTGAGTGATAAAAAAACGGTTCAAAAATTTTCTCCAGGTGATTTCCGAACGTTCAACGGACCTGGAAAGAATCGAAGGCGACTTAACACCAAATATCATTGTCGCGGAAGTTTTCGACACGGAACTCATTGGAGAAGGCGCTTTGAGGACTTTCAAAGAAGCCCTGACCCATTTGGCGAATGTGGGAAATTTCGAGAAATCAAAAAACTATTTTAGCCAAATTGTCGAGTTGTACCTTCCCTGGGTACTGTCTATGTTATGCCGGTGGAGAGCGACTTTTTGTTGAATTTTAATAGAATTCCAAGTTTTGAAGGTCAAGGTAAGAAATAGAAAAAAAACTAGAAGAGAAATGTTTTTTTTTTCTAGATGACCCTTTGGGAAAATGCTCCGGAACTTGTGCTGTATTCGATGTCCAATTATCAGCCGTCGATAGATCTAAATTTCGGCCTCTCAGTGATCCGATCGTCGCTTTCAAGTGATTTTTTGAGCATGGAAAATTCTAAGGAACACCAGAGTGGTCACTCTAGGTGATAGGTGGAATAACAGCCCCTATAGGGGACAAAAGTGCTTCATATAGGAATATTATGTAGGTCGTCCCCATAGGCGTTGAGTCTGACTCCTGAGACTCTAAAGCATGAGTAGCCCCTATAGGGACCTTTGAAAATTGAAAAGACTTATGAGCACCACTAACATGAATCCCTAAAGCGCCCGCTAACTAAAACCCTTAGGAAGACCACTTCTGCAAGCCTTAGTGCTCCCTTTAGGGGATATTGATGAAGTGGTCCTCTGGGGGGGGGGGCTTTAGGGTTCCTAAGTTTGGTAGAAACTGAGGAACTTGTTATTCGGAAAATTGGTCCATTTTTTCCTTTTTTAAAGAACGAGTTTTTGATGAAGCTTGGCAGAAGAGCATTTACAGACCCTCTGGTCCCAGAAAAGTTGAAGAATTGATCTTTTTCGAGTTGAAAGGCTTAATGTATGCTTAAATTACGCAAAGGAGAAGAAAATGGATCTTTTGAAGCGTTGAGACTCGAAATATGGAAGGAAATCTTCAGATTCGACTTTGAGGACGCCTCATCGATAATTTACGACGAGGAGTTCGTGCGCGAGCAAGTCTGCACGGCATCCGGTCGTCTGGACGCCCTTCTGATGTGGTGGGACCTGGATATGGACCGAACCGGCGTCAATATCATCGACATGGCTCCCAGCTGGATCAACCCCGATTACGCGGTTCCAAATGACGACTAAAATGAGTACGATGCTCCACATTACAGTGGCGGGACCATTGGATGCAGGCCGTCTACTTTCTGCCGACCAAGCCTGATGTTGAAGCTGGCGAGAGATTGTCGATCAAGTGCGCACATGATGAGTTCAGCATGTGGTTTGATGTTGCGGATGCCAGGTGGGTTCAAAAAAAGGTGTTATTGATAAAGAAGAAATCACAAAACAAAAAATAAAATGCGGATTTCCAAAAAATAACGGGTCTTGGTCAAAAGAGCTGAGAAAATCGCGCCGTCCCACTGTTTGAGATTTAAAAAAAGCGAGCGAAAAATGGGCTGCCGAAAATTTTGCGCGACGTTGCGCTCCACTGAGAACAGTAAACAAAATCCGTTCATCTCGGCAAATTATTATCTTGCAATCTAGTTTTTTATGTTTCGCTTGCAATTTTTTTTCAGCTCATTTTTATGGTATCGATTTTCACAGCTCTTTTGACATATACAAAAAAAAACACTTTTTTGTTCAACTTTTCCATCTTTTTCACGTCTTCTATCAAAAAAAGGCTAGAAAGCGGCTAAAAAGGTACCAGAGGACTCGAAAAAGGTTCATTGAGGTTATGAAAAAGGAGCTCGAAGTTTTTTCTCTATCGTTTTAGGACCTTTTAGAGAAACCTTTTCACTTCCTTCTGGGGGTTTTCAAAAATAACTTTTCGTTCTGCCTGTATATAACCCATTTTGCGCCAACTCTTTACGGTTTTTTTTATTTTCGAGCTACAGAACACTTTTCTGCGATACACACGGTCTTTCTCTGGGCATGCGCCTTTTATTCAGTCCGAAATTTTGATTATTTTGAAGGCGCATGCACAGAGACAAACCGCGTGCATCGAAGGGAACCTTCTTGGGTAAAGTCGGATTGATGGATAATAGCCGTTTAAAGGGAGAGGCTCAAAAAAAGCCACAGAAAGGCTTCAAAAAGAGTCCCTTTATCGAGCCTTCTATTTATTCTGGGATTTTGAAGGCTCAAGAAATGGTGGAAAAAAAGGGAGAGGCAGCAAAAAAAGAGGGGGGTGGTTGGCAAACCGTAAAATGATTTTTGTAAAGTTTAATTAATTGGAAAAAGCAATTTTTTTCCTAATCAAAAAAATATTTTTTTCGAGCTTGGAGGAAGGGGGGGACCTTCATGTCGCCAGTCATGCTCATCCCATGTATGCCCGTGATCCTGGAAAAGTTCTGTAGCTCGGAAATAGTGAAAAGCTGGCGCGGCATGGTAACTTGTTGCGTAACCGACTTTGATTTGAACGGTGTATCCATCTCGAGTCCCGTTTCCAGATATTTGGGATCAAAATTGACAAAACGGGGAACTTTCAGAAGTTCCATCGAGAGAATGTACTGCGAATGTTCATTGCATTCAATGTTGAGCCGACAAACTTTGTTCCACATGAACGAAATGCTCCAAGATCGGGTTTTTATCGATCAGTTGCGATTGGTAAGATTTTTGCTGTTCAGAAACCCTTGCTGGGGTTTTCAAAGGAGCATGGATCATTTTTAATAAAGGTCCCAAAGCGAAAAACTTTTTCTCAGGGTTATTTTAAGTGATTCAAAGACATTTGCGCCTTTAAAAATCCCTGCAAGATTTTTTTGAACCTAGTTTTGTCCAAGTAGAAAATATAAGACTTTTTTTCTAGATATGTCAAGATAAATTCATCGTTTGCCTCGGGGAAGGCTCGATTTTACCTATTCTTGTGGCGAAATTCGCCTCCGAAGTCTGTTGCGTCGACTCGAATCCGCATTTTCGAGCCGTCTTGAAAAAGTTTTCTTGATGAAATCAAGGAGAATATTGTTTTTATTACAGATATGCCGACTTTTATAAGTTGACAAACTTGCGGATCGTTGAAAATACGCTGAAAGTTGTCCGGAAGGTAATTTTTAGTTTTGATTTTTTGAAATGAGGTATGTTATATTTCAGTCGTAGATTTGTTACTTTTTATATGAAGAGGATCGCAAAAATCCTCATTTTATTAATTTTTGTTTGAAAAAGTCAATCACCAATGAGGAGGGTTTCGTGGCGAAAAAAACTATGGTTCCAAAAATTCAAATTTCTCATTTCTCTTAACTAAATTGGTCAATTTTCTACAATTCATAGGATTTTTATAAGTAGTCCCTACAGGGCTCTTTTTAATTTTTTTTCGTTTAAAATTTTTAAAATGAAAAAAAGGCTAATAAAAGCTTGATCGATTGAGCCTCTGTTTTTTTATGAGTAAGGACCTTTTTTTCTCAAACACGATTAGCATGTCCCCTAGAAGGGCCACTACCTAAAAACACTATAGGGGAAGGTGAAGTGGTCCATAGAGGGAAATCTTCAAAAGCTCCTAATATTGCCCCTATAGGGACCACTCTGGCGCTCCTAAGTTATCCTATAAGCTGAGTTAACGTTTTTTTTTTAGATGGGATCTTTTTTTCGTTTTTTTCATACACGATAAGCATATACCCTAGAGGGACCACTAACTGGAACCGCTATAGGGGAAGGTAAAGAAGTCCCTAGAGGGAAATCTTCAGAAGCTCCTAAGATTGCTCCTATAGGGACCACTCTGGCGGTCTCAAGTTATGCTATAAGCTGATTTATTGATCATTTTCTCTCATACACTGTTAGCATATCCCCTAAAAGGGCCACTAACTAAAAACCTTATAGGGGAAGGCAAAGTAGTCCCTAGAGAGAAATAATTAGGGGCCTATAGGGACCACTCTGGCGCTCCTAAGTTATCCTATAAGTAACGGTCCCAAGAAATTGAATAATTTCAGCCGGACGCCGTCGTCGCTGAGCCTTTCTACCTCTCAGCCATGAATCCCTGGCAAAATTTGCGATTTTTGTACGAAGTCGACGAACTTCGGCAACGTTTCGGAGAGTTCCCCGTCGAGCCTCATGTTTGAAAAAAGGAAAAAGAATTTACAAAAAATGACCATGTTTAGCAAGGAACCCTCTGGGCGATCGGAGAAAAGTTCGAACACCTGCAAAATATCGCCCGTCCTGTCGGGACTGTCAACGGATTCGACTTGTCGGCTTTCGATGAGATTTCTTATGTGGGTTTTTGGGGAAGGGTTCATTTATTTTCTGTGTCGTCGCACCCCCTAAAAAAATTGGCCTTCCAAAAATTTTTTCAAAAAAAATGGCGTTCTAAAATCAACAGAAATTTTTTTTTCTCCAGAAAGCCCGAGAAGCGACCGACGCGATAGTGGATGAGCAGCCGTTGTGGGAGTATTTTGGTCGTGTCAGAACAGAAAAAATCAAAATGATGGATTTTGAAGTCGGAACTCCCATCACCAATAAGAAAACGCATCGACGGATAGAGCTGAAGTTATTTTTGAAACTTTCGAATTTCTAGAATTTTGATTTGAACTGATTTCCTCATTTTGAATAATGAGTTCACTCACTGCATTTGGTATGAAAAGAAGCAATAAGCAATTCAAATATCTGACCTTTAGGAAAAACTAAAAGGCATGGCTAGCCAAAGAGAGAGATGGTTCATTGGAATGCATTTACAGTATCGTCAATATATGAAAATATATGAAATCTATGAAAAAAACGCGACTTTGGTCACAACTTTCTTGTAAAAAATTCAATCTTTCTGAAAGTTCCTAAAGCTGCGTTTTTTACCGAAAACTAAAACTTCATCAGATTGTTAAAAATAACAGTCATCACAACTCCAGAAAATTCCAGAAAGATTGAATTCTTTTCAAGAAAGTTGTGACCGAAACTTCAGTTTTTCGTATCTTTTCTGACGGTACTGTATGAAGCGATAAGCTTTAGGAAATTCTCGAAAATTGGTTTTTTTGAAAGATTTTTTAAGCAGTTTAATACAGAAAACTTTCAGTCTAACTTTGAAGTTTTTAGAAAAATGTAGCAATTTTGGCCTAAGAGAAAAATTTCAGTGGCTCCAACGGAGTGGCCCTTTGGATGGAATGGCAGTTTGGTGATTCGATCCTCTCTACGGGGCTTCTCGAGAACTACGAGATAGGTTTGACATGAAATTTGTATTTTGAAACCTTTTGATAGTCACCGTAACGTTAGAAGCTAATTTTTTGGAATTTTTGGGTTATCTGACGATTTTTTAGTCACTTTATTGCAGAAAAAAGATTGCAAGTTTGAAAATTTGACAAGCAAATATAGCTGATTCACGGCTGGCTTGAGCCATCGAGAGAGGGTTTTGCCACGAAAAGAGACGAGACAGTGCCCTGGCTGGTGGAGAGTGCAGACAGGCCACGCCTTTTTGCGTCATAAGCTAGCCGCGAATAGTCTATACAAAAAAATATTCAGATTGGAAAATTTCCGACAGTTTTTGAACCTGGATACCTAAAGGGACCCCTTAGAAGTACTATTTTGAGAAAATGATGAACTTCAAAATTTCATCCAGCCGAATCAAAGCTGGCTATAGCCGTCAAAAATGGGTCCTGACACGATGAGATAAGAGAGAGTGCTTAGTTGGTGGAGAGCGCAGACAGGCCACGCCTTTTTGCGTCCTAAGCTAGCCTTGAATGGGCTATAGTTTGAAAAAGTTTTAATATTTTTGAGTAAAATAAAGTTTAGAAATGTTTTTGAATCAATGAATCATGTTTCAACTCGATCACCCGAATCTGGAAGTCGCTTTTTTTTTCCTAGAACAAAAAGGCCCAACGATTTGATTGAGCAAATGAAATTTCACTGTCAAATGGTTTCTTCCTGTCGAAAAATCGGAAGATCCAAAAAATGCACGATTTCCAAGGAAAATCCATATTTTTCCATGTGAAAAAACTTTTCAAAAGAAAGATTTAATGCAAAAAACGTTCAATTTGTCCCCGGCTTTGGTTTAAAAAAAGTTGTATTTTTTTTGGTATTTTTCGCTACCGTTACCCGAAAAAGGGGCGGAGCTTCTCAAAAACCCACGTGAAATTTCGAAGACCTCAGAGTTAGTGTGACCTCAAATCAAGCTCAGAAAACTTATACTGAAAATTTTTTATAAGGAAAGTGTAAAAAAAAAATCAATAAAACACCTCTAGCTTCCCATTGTAATCAAAATAAACTAATATGCGAAAAACGCCCAGGAGATGCTCCGCAATGGAATATCGGCTACCGACAAGGAGTTTATTTCCCAACGGGCAAGCTTTTCGAAGCCGCCGACCTCAGCCTAATGGTCCGATTCAACGCGAAAACGGCCGATCTGGCCTTTCATTTTGTCAAATCCGACCATCCGGCGCTTCCCTCGTGAATTTTTCCCTTTTCTATCACTTTTGTGCTCTTATCACTGTGTTGATTGTTGACTTGTTATCACCAGACAGAGCGAAAAAAGAGAAAATTTTATTGCTTCGAGATTCTAGCAAAACGTCTTGCTGAAAAATGGAAAAATTAAATACGAGATTTTGGAATGGCTCGACAAACCTGCACATCTTCGTCTGAAGCCAGGTCGCCGTGTTGGCCTTGTTTGCGACCTGGAAAGCAGTGGTTATTGGTTTATAATATTGAAAAAAATCGTGTCGAGACCTTGGATTAATGTAAAAATAGAAAAAATGGGAGTTTTGCAATTTTTAAAAGTTTGTCCAAAGATTTTTTTTAGAGATGGCTACTTTTCAGTCTTTTTTTTTAAATTCCAGCTTTCAGGGCCTAAATTTTAATGAAAATGAACTGAAAACGGTTCAAATTGGACCCTAAAACCTTGGGAGGTAATTATTCCAGGAGAAGCTGAAAAATTGAAATAAATCGGCTTGAGGTTCCCAAGAAAGGAAAAAAATAATAGTAAATTAAAAATTCTGAGCTACTCATTGGTTCAAATTTCTTGTTAAAATATTTTTTTCGAATAATTTTTTTAGTTAATCTTGTTGGAAAAACCGTGAAAAATCAATTTTTGAGCGTGAAACTTTCAAGTTTAATATTTAAAAAAAGTAACTTGATTTTTTTGATAAAGAGGCTGAAAAAAACTGTACTTTTACGTTTCGTAAGCTTGAAAATCATCGCTGCTGAAAAATCGAAAAATATTTTCGTGGATAATTTTTATAGTTAATCTCGTTGGAAATCTTCAAAATATAAATCAAATTTGAGCATGAAATTGTCAATATCAATTTTTGAAGTCATAAACCTTATTTTTTTGGAGTAATAAACTGCATTTTTTTAAAAATTTTTTTGAAGGCAAAATTCTATAAATCATCCGCTACGTAAAAAAATGTTGAGCGTGCTTTTTGAGCTTTTGATTTGAAGTATATCTTGAAGAGAGACTATTTGAGAACTTTGAAACGCCTTTTTTTCGTATTTTTTAACGTAAAAATCATATAAATTATTGCTGATTTAATAGAAAACTCATACTTTTGCTCAAAAAACGAGGCCTTCTGTCTTTTTTTTTCAAAAATTGTTCTTACAGCGTTAACACAATTAGCAGAGCCGGCGAAAGACGCGAGATCCGTCGCGCTGGCAGTAGAAGTCCACTGAACGGCGACCGGCGAGACGCCGAAAGTCGTCTTCAGATTATTGATCGTCGTCACGGGGCTCGAATCCCAGCTTAATCGTCATAAAATATATCCTAGTAATTTCTCGATTCACTTGGTGTTGCTGGTGAAGTAGGCGATGATCTTGTTGGAGGTCGCGTAGTGTTGGTTGAGGTAGCCTTGGATCGCGCCGAGGGCCCTATTAAAGGAGCATAGTGAAGGTCTTTGGGCGATAAGCCTTTTTCAGTGATTTTTTAGGACTTCTGCGCCTTTGAGCAGCATATCAAGATATGTTCTATCCTGCTCGGACCTCGGTAACGTGTGCCGGAAGCCTCTAGGGATCACTTGAGAGTTCTGACGTTACTGAAGTGATCACTAGAAACGCACCGACATGTCGAGTTCGCGGTACGAAGGTTCGAGTGACTTCCAGAAAAAAAAATCTAATTTTGACAATTATAACCCGTTTTGCAAAATTATGAAGTATTAGATCAACGGGCGCTACTGACCAGCCTTCAAGATAGGTCATTTCACTTTGCGATTTTCCTGAAAATTGACTGGCACACTCCTGAAGAAGATTCTGAAAGCTTGAAGATTGAGAGCAGAAGAAGATTCTGAAAGCCTCAATCTGCAAAACTTCCTACTTTTCGAGAACACACGCCGCAAAAAGCTCAAAATCCATTAAAATGAACTATTTCGGGGCTTTAGACCCTTATTTCCATAAAGTGCAAGTTGAGACTTCGAGAATCATCTTTTGGTAGCTTAAGGAGTATTCTGGGCAACTTTCAGGAAATTCCCAGCCAGAAAGTGAAATGACCACACAGAGGTCAAATATTTGAAAGCCAGTAGTCAAGAGTCAAGATCATTGAAAGTCAAGATCATATTTTTGGGCGGAAATTTACAAGTTCATCGTTTGGCCGACGTTGGTGTCCTGGAGAAGCTTGTCGATGGCGCCGTTCACGTCGTCTCTGAAGGTTTTTTTTTTTGAGGTGGGATTTTTTGAGTTTTCAACTTATTTTACTGAAAATTGAAGATCTCAATGGAAACTCATCATTGAATTGGGAAAAATATACATATAATATTTCTTATATTTGTTTTGCAAAAACGAAAAGTCGTTTAGTACTCAAGAACTTCAGAGTGGTCCCTATGGGGGCGACTTTTTATGGCCTTTGGGGGGTCATTTAATTTTGATTAATGATTTTTCTAACTTTTTTTTATATGTTTGTGGGTCTATAAAGACAGAACTGATTATACTCAATCTTTTATTATAATCTTTACTTGGTCTAATCTTTAACCCCTCTAGGGAGCACTTAAATTTTACTCCAATGAGAAGCACTTATATCCCCCTAGAGGGGCTATTTCTTCCCTAACCCCTATGGAAGCCACTCTGGCGTTCCAGGAAGAATTTCAAACTTCAGTCGAACGAGAACTAATCTTACTGGAACTAATATATTAGGAAGAAGTTCAATCTCTTTTTCATATATTCTCCTCAAAGGAACCTCTTCTGTCCCGAGTGGAAGGCCGTGTAGTAGATCTGAGAATCGACGGAAGTGGCGACCAAGGCAAACTGTGTCTTTCCATCACCGATGGGGAACGGGGCGACGAAGTTCTTCACGGCTTGTTTCATCTGAATAGCTTCATTCAAAAGATTCTGATTGATCAGAAGTCGGAACCGCGGCAAAGTCGGCGGCCGAAGCCGTGGCGGAGACGTCGAGGATGAGGTAGACGTCGTAGTTCAAGGTGGAGAGCTGGCAAGGCACCGAGGGACTTTGAGTCGGAGGCGGAGTCGTCATTGGGATCACCGTCGTTTGTTGGATGCCGCTGGAAAAATGGTGATTTTTTTGATTTTGACGAATACTTTAATTTATCTTTTTCTTTGACGGAAAAGGGAGTATTCCAGATTGCCCCCCCCGCCCCATCCACTAGTGTAGAAACACCCCCCGCACAGGCCCGTTCAAAAGAGATTTTTTTAATTTCATTTTTTTCAATTAAATAGTAATTAGTACTAAAGAATGACGTGTAACACCCTTTTTTAAAAAATTCTACATATTTTACAGTGACTGGTTAATTTGCAGCTATTTTTGTTAATCTGGTGGTTTAGTATGTGGTGGGGGGCGATTTTGTAATGTGGGGGGTGACCCCTGAGGATTGCCTCGGCACTGTAGAATCGTCCCCCAATCGTCCCCCACATGACAAGGCTTGTCTCTGTGCATGCGCCTTTAATATAACAGAAATATTTAGGCCTAATTAAAGGCGCATGCACAGAATCAGTCCACGCGCATCGAATGGAAGCTTCCCGGAAAAGTTCTGTACCTCGGAGGAAAACACTTATTCGCAGTTAACTTGCGCGGAATGGGCTATAACACGATTTGAAAAAGAAGCTCACTTGCAGGAATAAGTTCCGATCCAAGAGCCAACGTAGGGTAGTTGGTCGATGCTCAGCGCGAAGAAGGCGTTGCTAAAAAGTACAGATTTTATTAAATAACAAAATAAGTTATAAGTAACGTCGAATAAGTAGAAAGCTTTGGAAGGGTGGCGGCCAAGTTGGCCAAAGCCTTCGGGCCGACTCCGACTGACAGGATCTGGAATTTTTTTGTCCAAAAAAATAATTTATCGGATAAAGTTTTTTTCATCTAGAACAATTTCATATATCAAAAAAATTTAAATATTTATATTAAATATCAAAAAAATATGATTTTACGTTCAAAAAAACTTTATCGAGAAACGGAAAAAAATTCCATTCCATTCGAAAAAAATCACGGTTTCAGAGCCTGTTAAGGCAAAGAACTTAAAATGAATATTCTCAAAATTCCGAAATTTTGTCCTCTTTTCAAAATTTCGAACTTATTTTTATTCTTACCGTGTCATATTTCTGCTGGACTTGCGTCAGAATCGAACTTCCGACAACGGCATTCCCAGTGAAACTGTAAATATCTTTAAATGAGAATTTTTCATTTGATTCCCAACGCGTCTCCGGCCAAAATGACGAGAACTTTTTTATAAGTAGAAGTTCGGAGGCCGGACATGGGGTTGACGTCGGTCTGTTGCTTGGTCAGAGCTCTGAATTTATTTTTGAACCCTAAAAAAGGAAACAAATGGACACTCTTATGAAAATAACCTGAAGCTTCAGTGGTTTATAGACCTCAGTAAAAATATAAAAAAAAAGGGTCCTGACACGATAATGCATGAGACAGCGCCTGGCTCGTGGAGAGCGCAGACAGGACACGCCCCCTGAGCGTCCTAAGCTAGCCGTGAATCAGCTAAACAGTGACCGACTAGACTTGAGTAAAAATACTTTGAAACGAAAAAATCATCTTCAAAACTTCAAAAGTACTGAGAGCCGCTCTAAAAGGGCAAGACAGGATTGAAAGTTTTGAAATATACTGTTTTTTCCCGACTTTTTTAAGGTTGATCCTTGGATTTTCAAGTTTTCAATCGGGGCCCGTATTGAATGAAAAAAAATTTCAGTACTGGTAAAGGTTGCGACTTGAAGATCCTTCATATTTCATGGCGGTGATGGCATTTTGAACGGCGGTTGGCGTGTTTCCGGCGGAAAGCGTCAGGTAATTGACCGCCGAGACTCCGTAGGTGTACAGGGCGATCTGCATTTGATTAGGCTTGTTTTATATACAAAAAAAGGTCAGAAATACGCTCGTGTTTCTGATAAAATCGTCTTGGAAACCTGTTTTTTGATAAAAATCGAAAATGGAATTATATTCCTCATGATAATCATAGGCAAAGTTGGTTAGGTTCTAAAAAATAGTTCGAAAAATAAGGTTAAAACAGCCTTTTTGCGCCATTCCTTCAGCCCGTTTGTACCTATTTTGCTGCCTTTCGCTTTTTTCACCCTTTTTGTTAGCCTTTTAGAATCTAGAGAAAGGAAAGGTTCTTTATAACTTTATAATTCAAGAAAAAAATTTTTTTCAAATTTCAAAAGTGCTCCTAAAATGGTTGTACAAAGGTTCTTTTATGCACCATTTCATCAGCCTTTTTGTACCAATTTTGCTGCTTCAATTTTTTTTTTCACCCTTTTTATAAGCCTTTAAAATTCTAGAAATGGAAAGGTTCTTAAAAATGCTTATTTCGAAAAAAAAATGGTTTAAAACTTCTAAATGACCTTTTTTGCTGGGTTTCCTTGAATTTGAGCCTTTTTTTTCAAGAGAACTAAAAATTTTCGCAAGACCCTCATCAGAAAATAATTTTTTTAAACAATCTTTCAGGGAATTCCTGATTTTTGAACGCAATTGAATTTTTCTCATTAGTATTCTCAAAAAAATAGGTTATTTTTTTCAATTTTTTTTCGAACCTGTGAGTCGACTGAAGACAGGGTCAGCCCTTTAACGAAGTCGACCAGGAAGATTTGAAGCTGAATATTTTCTTTAATTTATCTTATTTTCGAATTTCAAAAACCGCGGCAAAGTTGGCCGCTCCGATGGAGTCGGAAGCGTCGACGAGGAAGACGAAATCCGCTTCAAGGCTCTGAATCGAGGTTTTTTTGAATTTTTTTGAATTTTTCTATATTTGTATATAAATTTGTAAGGTCTTTGAATACATTATAACTGATTCACTGCTCGCTTGAGCTATCTAAAAAGAGTCCTGACACGATAAAGAAATAGTGTCTGGTTGGTGGAGAGCGCAGACAGAACTTTTTAAAGCTAATTAAAGTTTTTATAAAGTTGTTTTGAAGTTTCTCTAGCTAGCTTTTTAGCTGAGTGTCCAAATTAGATAGAATTCTCGATTTTGGTTAGTTTTTAAGTTTCAAATATGGAAATCCTAAAATAGGAGATTTTGTGTTTTTTTCAATAAATTTTATGTTTCAAATTGGCCTGAAATAGAAATATACTCAAATATGTTGTATGCAAAAAAAGTTTTTCATTGCGATTTCTGAGCATTTTTTGATGAAAATAGAAAAAAATTAATTTAAAAAAATGAAGTTTTGTAAAAATTAATGACCAGAACTTTTGAAAATGACTTTAAAAAAATGGTTATAATATGAAGAAATATGTACTTTCAAACCAGTAACACCCTAATAAAGCCAACAGAAACTCTCAAAATTTGAAAAATAGACAAAAAACCGGCCGACTTTTTCAGCATTTCCAGCCGTGAATCGATTAATATGACCAAAATTTATATGTTTATCGATGAAATTCCAATGGCGTGTTCATCAGAGAAACGGAACATGCTTCAAAACGAAAAATCGTGTTCATAGGTGCGCCAAAGTTGCTCCAAAACAGCACCAATTTTTTTTTGAAGCAATTTTTTTGCGTTTCGAAACAATTTTCGTTTTTTTTAGATGAATACACCATAAGAAAATGAACAGATTCCACGATTTCGATTCAATTCGAACCGTTGAGGCGCAATTCGAAGCAACGCAGCTCTTGGAGGCCGCATAGGCCAGCGCGACCAAAACCAGAAGCTGGAACCAAGTCCGGAGTTGTTGCATGACCACGGAGTCGGCGACAAGAAACTGATTTTCCCCCGCTTATCACCACGCTGTCAGTTCGTTTCCACCCATTATCGCCCTGCTCTTTGTGTTTTATGATCGCGAAAACGTGTATTCGGGTTTCATGCGTTTAGTTTGACCGAAAAATGACATTTTGAACGAGTCGATTTTCATTTAATGAAATTTAAAATTTAAAATTTACGGTAAAGCCTAATTTTTTTACGAGTTTAGGAGCTTAAGAATGAACTTTGAATTTTAAATGAGAAAAATTTTATAATTTGATAATTTGAATTAAAAATTTTTAAAAAAACAAGGACTTTTTGGAGCACCATTCGGAAAAAGCACATGAGAAGTTCAATAAGATCCACCTGCGAAAAAAAACTTTTCCTTCCAATTTACGGCCTGAAAAGCCCTAGAAAACTCCTTGGATGAATAAAAACTTGAAAAATAGAAAAGTCGTAAATTTGAAGTTTCGCGCGTGGGAAGTTGCTCACTTTTTCGAATTTTCAATCAAATAAAATGTAAAAAATGTCTATATAAGGCTCCAAAATTTGTCTCAAGACTTTCTACCATGAAAAATAATGTACTGGATTCTAAGAACCTTCAATTCCAATTGTTATTATTATTATTATTTCCGTAGCTTCAAAGTTTCTATCCTTTTTGAAGCCAAATATCGAAACGACTTCATTTCGATAAAACGAAAAAACAATAAAAAACAGAAAATTTCAACAATTTGACAGATTATTTACAGGATGCATTCACAGGACTTGATTATTATTTAGTCGTTCAACTAAGGAGAGGCGACTTGGACAGAGCTGACGCGACCGTAGTGACGCTGGTTTTTCTTCTAAAACGGTGAATATTTCGTTTCGAAAATAATTTTTAAATACCGGCGAAATTTTGGCTTTTTTCTCAATTTTCGCCGTTTGAGTTCTTGCACGAGTCGCCCTTTTTGGTTGTTGAGTTTTAGCCGGGGGCTCGGAACTTTTCTTGGATCTCTTTGATGGATGGCTTCCCATCGATTCCGTTTCCATCTTAACAATAAAATTTAGGATCTTGAAAGCGGTAGAAATGAGCTTTATGATGTTTTCCTCGTTTTTTGGATAATTGTCTCGTTTTCGTATATTTTTTCGATAAAAAAATTTGGAATTCAAGTCCAGACAGCACAAAATCGATATAAAGAAAAAAATTTGAAGCAAAACGCTCTGGAAAACATTTTATAAATCTAATTGGAAACATGCTGCTTTAAAATTTTCTGTTCTAACTTTGATTTGATTTTCCAAACGTAAAAAAAAATCCTGTACGATTGCCAGTCGAACATTCAAAAAAAAAAAACTCTCCAAGATAGTAATAAAAGATCATTTTTACCGGCCGTGAGCTTTAAAATACTCACCGGCTCATCTTCTTCAGCTGTTCTTGGCTTCTCGATCAACTGAAAAGCAAACAATATTTTTCCTTTTTTCAATTTTTCAACCAACCGGAGGAGTGTCCATTCCGCTGATTTCGTTGGTCGCCGTGAAAGATTGATAGGAGGTATCGTTAACACCGAATCCGTTGGTTTCCGCGTAGCTATCAATCGCTTTTTTGAGCTGCGATTCGGCGGCAAACCCATCTTCCATGAACAAACTGCAGCAGGTCAATATGGATCTTAAAGAATGAAATAATATTTGTGAGGATTTGGTTCGAATTTTCCCACCCATGAAATCCGGGGCGTAAATTCCCAACGGTCGCCGACTGGATCCCCTCGGGCACATTAAAATAGGTTGGATGATCCAAAAAACCATCCGCTTTGTAGTCTCCGGGTGTATCTTAAAAAAATCAATACTTTTTTTCCAGACTCTTTCAAATTTTATTTAGTACTTGTGTTTGTGGGAAAAAAATTTTTGATTCAAAGTATAATAACCGAAATCGATTCAAAATCCGAGTTTGCATGTTTTTTTTAAGATGACTTTTCACTTTGTGGTTTATAATTAAATCAAAATTGGATTACTTCAAACTGCAGATTTTCGTGATAATTTCCAAACTTACGATCGCGATATTTGATACGGAAACTGGCCATAGCCTTTTCAGGCAACGGTTTCAGGATTTTGGCGCACATTAACACAATAGAACGGATCATCAACACAAATTGATGACAGACTTTTTGAGACCCTTCGAATTTCAGTGAAGCGAGACGCTGTAGGGAAGTTCCCCCAACATTTCCACTAAAAATATCTGTTTCTTTCACCAATGGTAAAATTTAAAAAACCTTGACAACTCCGCGTATGGAATCCCATCATCGTAGAACATTTTCCAGGTGAAAACTTCCGCGGCGTCGTCGTCATTCTCTTCGTCCAAGTAAATCACAAGTGAAAACTCGTCAAGGTATCCAGCCTGCAAAAAAGTAATTTCGATTGTTTTTTTTTAGTTCATCTTACTTTGATCGCCTCACTCGCTCCGCGGATTTTCGCAGCGACTCGTCCTCCCAACCCGTTTTTATAGTCAAGCGATTTGACTTTAACACTTTCTAAAAAGAATCAAAGCAATGAAAATTATGAAAATAAAAATTGAACCACCTGTTATATAGTTAGTTCGGAAGCAATCCTCTGGTAAAATTTTTCTGTACCGCAAAATGGAGGAAAACGCGAGAAAAACCGCTCGAACGATGAATCTATGGGAATTGACCTCATCGCCGACAGAGGCAGGAAAAGTTTGTGTCCATTTCTGTAATAAAAAAGTAAGCTTCAAAACAAAAAAGTGATTGAAAACCGTGTCGTGTACGGCGTCTCCGTTCGAAATCCGTCGCGAGATATTTTGAATCGAATCTTGACTGTGTGACACTTGACTCACGGCTGGCGGCATCTGAAATGGTTTTGAAAGCAGGCGCGAAAATCTATATCAGGCGAAAGTTGATCTTTTGAGAATTTACTAACCAAAATATACATAAAACGAAAGATTCTACAACAAAAGCAGATTTTGCATGGTATATTGCGTTTGACTTTTACAATTTTTGTTACGCCGTGTCTAAAGTGTTTCTGCGTAAGCCGTCAGAAAATGAAGAAGATAAACACGGTATAAACGATTCAAAAAATAAGAGCAAAATAATAACAAAAAAAGAGCACGAAAAAGACGCCGAAGCTGAAGGATGGCCGCTTCGCAGCCGCGTTGCAACGCTTTTACGCGCGATTTTCAAATTTTCCTATTATGTGTTCAAACACTAATGGCGCGTTCAGGAGCAAAACGCGAAATTTTTCGAAATTCAAAAGAGCGTTCACGGCGATACTTCGAAATTAGCGAATTTCGATTTTTGAGATAATTTTGAGAAATTTCAAAAAATAGCGAGAAAATTGGTTTCGCGCGAAATGGGTTACGGTATATTGACATTTTGTGTGCCAAACGCAGTTTTTTTCTCTTTTTTTCTTTTTTTCAGATAATTTTTTTCTTTTTATTTTTTTCAATTTTCAATCCGTTCAAAGTTATTGATTTTAGAAATAATACGAATGAAAGCCTTAAGTTGATTTTTTCGACTGTCTGAACTTAAAAAAAGTTCAATTTTACTCAAATTTCTTTATTTATCGTTTTTATTTTTTTTCCAACGGATGTATCAGAGTGTTTGAAGTTGCAGGTCTCTAAACTATGGCGGGTATTGGATTACCGAAAGTGCTAAAGTTGAAAAAAAGGTTAATTTTCATTCAAAAAACTTTTTCGCAATTATTCTTTACAATTTTTGATTCTTTTCACAAAAAAAAATTTAGACTCGTTAGGGAGGCACGAGCGGCTCGTGTGAAGGTAACGCAAAATTTTCGTCTCTACAGTCAAGCATAAATTCGTGATTTCCGACGCAACGGTCAAGAAGGAAATAGAAGGTTTTTATCTATACAATTTTCAATAACTGGTTCATTTCATTAAAAGAAAGGCGCCGCTATTTCTAGACCAGGGGCGTGGCTTGCCTCACCGTAATTTTTGTGCAGTGGCGCGCACATGCTTACTTTTTCCTCAGTCATTTTTCTTTATATTTCTTCATTTTTTCATTTTCTTATTCATATTTCTTTTTAAGTATTCCCATTTGATTTCAATATAACTCCTTCTATTATCTAATTAAATTTTTTTAATTTTTTTGAATACATGGTTCTTCTGTCTTTAGTATCGTAGACGAATTTCTTGAGGCCGAAAAATCGTTTTTTTAGTTTAAATGAGTGTACGCCATTGCGAATAATTTCATTTTCGGGGTTCTTCTACTTTCCCATAAAGATTTTTTTCGAGCCATAAAAAAAGTGAGCTCTTTATTTCGATGAAAAAAATCTCCTATTTTGATAAGTTCAGGCCCTTTTTTTCTAGTTTCTTTTTGAACACTTTGCGAATGTGTCCAAAGTCCACAGGAAGAGGACTCCAACTATTTGATGAAATCTACATCGTCGACGACTACTTCTTTGGTCGAATTAAAAAGTTTTATAGTTTATTTGCTTTTATTATCTCCGCGAAGCATACACCGCTGTGGGAAGTGTAGCTACCGCATGTAAAGATTTAAAAGCCTAAATTCATTTTCAGAAGGAAAGCAGATATGATGATTTTGCAGTTAACACGATCTATTTTGAGATTTGTGTCACGACGGCTTCATTTTCCTGGATTTGAACGAATAACTTCGGTCCTCTGGTCATGCGCGTCATTTACCTTCATCTCCATGCAAAAATCTTGACGCTGTTAAGCGATTCTATCTGAATTAAAAGAAAAATTCCCTATTAAATATTATGTTCAAGATACACAAAAAGATAACTGGCTATTCGGGTGTGATATAAAACCTAGTTCGGGAGCGGTACATCGACAATCACGCAAATATTTAAATATCGTCTCCGCGCGGATCTCGCATTTATCTCGCTTTTTTAACGAACTAGTAAATATTTGAATATTTTCAAATCGCGATGTTGCGCCAAGATAAATGCGAGGCCGCTTCTAAAAAAATGCGAGACCCGCGCGAAGACATAGCGACATGTTTACGAATTCGTCAATGTACCGCCAGCGAGCTCGGCAGTTCTTCTCAGTGTACCTCCAAATGTTTAATAGAGCACAGTCAAATTGAATAAAAGTAATTGGTGCAGTTTTCAGTGTTTTTTAGGCCTTGCGAGATTTATGCCTCTTCAAAGTTTTCGAGTTCTACTTGACAATCCTTTACTGCGTTATAATTCGAGAAATTTCGCATATACCCTAAACTTTTTGACGCGTCTTGTTTTTTTCGGTTTTATTGGGTCGCGTTGCCATATAGATTCGAGTTCGTCCGAGATTTTTTTCGCACGGTAAGTTCTTTCCGTACACTCAAAAAGTCTTACGCTGGTAGAATATTCTTAACTCATTTCTAAAGTATGGAATTGCGCAACTTATTTGGATTCCTATGCTTATTACGCGCAGTGTATAATAATTTGAAGAATCCAAAAAAAGTGATTAAAAATAGCTGAATTTTTTTGAATTTGTTCGTCAATTTTCTCTCCACCAACAATTAGAAAAACTAATAATTGTGAAGCAATGAATAAATGCTGCTCCACATTTTTTTGCAGAATGATTTCAAAGAAAGTACTTGAGAAGAACCATATCTTCGAAAAATTAAGAAATAGAAGGAGTTATATTGAAATCAAAGGGGAATACTTAAAAAGAAATATGAAAAAAAGAAAAATGATGAGTATAAAGGAAATGACTGAGGAAAAGTAGGTATGTGCGCGCCACCGCACAAGGTTACGGTGAGGCAAGCCACGCCCCTGGTCTAGAAATAGCGGCGCCTTTAAAAGAAAAGTATTGAATTTTTTTTCAGCTCATTCGAACAAGACGTTGTTGTTGCCAGCCGGATAAATTTGGAATTTACCATGTCTCGATTTTGTCAAATCCACAGCTTTTAACTTCTTCTTCGTTTCAATGATTTTGTTTTGTTTTATTACGCATTTATTTTCTCTATCATTTGTTTGAATAAAGATGATGAGCATTACCTTCTTGAAAAATAAATGTAAAAAAACAAGCTGCTTAGTTAATCAAATTAAAAACCTAACAACAGAAACTGTTTTGTTATGAGATGTTTCTGAAAGGCAGAAGAAAACAATGAATTTTTTTATTAGAAAAAGTTCCATAAGGAAAGATCCAAGTTTCACGTGTAGTCTTTCGGCGTGTCCTTCGTAAACCGTTCGTCTAGGCCTGTAAGCAGCAGAAATTTTTCCAGAAAAGAAAGGCTGATTGAACGGTGGTATGAAAAAAACACAAGCAGAAATTCAAACGGCGACTTTTCCTATTTTTTCATATCGCTAGGGAACTTTCCGACGGCCACTTTTCTGCCGAATCCCTTCCCGACTTTTTTCCCTTATATTTTTCGGTTTATAAAACATCTATCAACATATTTTTTTCCTATTTTTTTGTGTTTAAAAATATGAATAACTTGCCTACTTTATATAGGGATATTTAAAAACGAAAAGTTTATTGAGAAGAAAAATTCGATAAAAAGATTAGTCGGAAAGTTCCCTAGCGATATGAAATAATCGGAAAAGTGGTCGTTCGAATTTTTGCTGTTCTTTTTTTCATACCACCGGTTGAACCGTGGTATTCATTTTTCGTGTACAACTGAACAGACAAGACATATTGAAAAATAAAAAGAAAAATAATATCGAAGAATAAGAGAACTCACGAATTTATGCTTGACTGTAGAGACGAAAAATTTTGTTACCTTCACACGAGCCGCTCGTGCCTCCCTAACGAGTCTAAATTTTTTTGTGAAAAAGAATCAAAAAAATTGTAAAAAAATAATTGCGAAAAAAAGTTTTTTTGAATGAAAAATTAACCTTTTTTTCAACTTTAGCACTTTCGGTAATCCAATACCCGCCATAGTTTAGAGACCTGCAACTTCAAACACTCTGATAGATCCATTGGAAAAATAAAAAAACGATAAATAAAAGAAATTTGAGTAAAAATTGAACTTTTTTTAAGTTCAGACAGTCGAAAAAAATCAACTTAAGGCTTTCATTCGTATTATTTCTAAAAATCAATAACTTTGAACGGGTTGAAAAATTGAAAAAAATAAAAAGAAAAAAATTATCTGAAAAAAAGAAAAAAAGAGAAAAAAACTGCGTTTGGCACACAAAATGTCAATATACCGTAACCCATTTCGCGCGAAACCAATTTTCTCGCTATTTTTTGAAATTTCTCAAAATTATCTCAAAAATCGAAATTCGCTAATTTCGAAGTATCGCCGTGAACGCTCTTTTGAATTTCGAAAAATTTCGCGTTTTGCTCCTGAACGCGCCATAAGAATAACTGCCGAGATAAACGCGAGACACTGGCGGTACATTGACGAGCTCGCAAATATCTCGCTTTTTTTCTCGCGCCGGTCTCGCATTTTTCTGGGCGCGAGCTCGCATTTTTCTAGGCGCGAGCTCGCATTTCTCTCGCAATTTGAAAATTTCCGAAATGCAAGATAAATGCGAGATGGCGCCGAGAAAAATGCGAGGTCGCGCCGAGAGAAATGCGGGATCGCGCCTAGAAAAAAGCGACATTTTTGCGAATTAGTCAATGTACCGCCACCGAGCTCGCGTTTATCTCGTCAGTTATTCTTAGTGAAAGTGATTCCGCGAAATCCAAAATGATCAGACTCGATATTTCAACAACAAAAGCTGCTTCGACAGAATCTTCTTCGTAATTTCTCAAGTTTTTCTGTGAGGTTATCTCTTGTGAAATAATCCGATTGTGTAACGTCGGAAATCATCGGAGCTCTAATCAAAAACAGAGAAACGAAAAAAAAATTGATGAAAAATAAACAAAATGGTAATTTTGTCTCAATTATCGCCACATGGAATTGGACGCCATCGCCCCATGGCTCATTTCACCAAAAATTTATTGAAAAAACACACTCAGGAAATACAAGAATAGTATTTCAAGAGTTTTGAGAAACTAGTATGAAGTCATCGACTTTTCCAGCTTAAATCTCCGTTTTCCCTTCAAACGGGCTGAAATAATAACCAATCGATAGAGCGTTTTGAGACGGATCGAATGATATATCTCAATCCCAGATGACTTATCAGAACTTCAACTTATAATGAGGCGAGTCCGAACCTTTGAGTAAAGCTTAATCATCTGATGATCTATATTATTCGAAAGCTGAGGGCGAGAAAAATCGACTGATATGATTAAATGAGCTGTAGCTGCCCTATGAGCCGAGTTATGAGCCTCCAAAGTCTCCTTTAAAAATAAACTTGCGCGTGGGATAAAATATGTCGCGTGAAGTTGGGCGTCGGATCAAGTGCTAGTCTGAGGGTCTCATCGGTGTGGTTTCCTCGTGAAAAAGGAAAAGCTCAAAAAAAAGTTACGTTCTTTCAAGTTTTTTCTAGTGTAATCGATAGAGCAGCTTCTATATAGTACTGTTATCACATCAGTTTTGAGGGAAAAGCTCTAAAATTGGGAGAAAGATAGATCCAAAAAAATAGCAATTTTTGGACTTTCAAGCTTCATAACTTCGTTCATTTTGAAGCTACAGAGAAATTGATCATATCAACCGATTCGTCTCATTATCATCTTTCGAATGGTATAAGATTTCAAGAGTTTTAAGAAACTAGTAAACTAGTATGAAGTCATCGACTTTTCCAGCTTACATCTCCGTTATTTTTCTTCAAACTCCTTGAAATCATAACCAATCGATAAATCGTTTTAAGACGGATCCAAGGATATATCTCGATTTCTAATAACTTCTTTGAATATCGAAATAAAAGCTGAGTCGAGTCTGAAGCTTTTGAATGAAGCTCAATCGACTTATGGCCTATATCATTGGAAAGCTGATAATGAGACGAATCGATCGATATAATCAGTTTCCTTGTAACTTGAAAATGAATGGAGTTATGAAGCTTGAAAGTCCAAAAAATGCCATTTTTTCACACCTATTTTTCTCCCAATTTTTGAGCTTTTCCTTCAAAACTATACGATAACAGTACCATATAGAAGCTGCTCTATCGATTACACTAGAAAAAACTTGAAACAACGCAACTTTTTTTTGAGCTTTTCCTTTTTCGCGAGGAAACCACACCGATGAGAGCCTCAGACGGGCACTTGACCCGACGTCCAACTTCACACGACTTATTTTATCTCACGCGCAAGTTTATTTTTAAAGGAGACTTTGAAGGCTTATATCTCGGCTCCCAGAGCAGCTACAGCTTATCTAATAATATCATTCGATTTTTCAAGTCCGCAGCTTTCTAATGATATAGATTTCAAATTGATCAAGCATCATCCAGAAGCTCAATTTTTAACACTTTGAATATTCATAACTTTGTTCCTAGGAATTCAGAAACTTCGAGACTTAGTTTTTCTTGTTCCTCTTGTTCTGTTCTATCGACTGATGATGGTTTCGAGTCATTCTGAGATTTTACCTCAAAGTTTAATCGCCCCTAACTCAGTTCCTAATTGATCTACAGAGGTCAAACCTGGCCTCCGGTTATTTTCTCGTCGAGATCTATCGATTGATATAGGTTTCGTCTGGATCGGCTTCCATGACCTCAGAAACTCAAAAAAAAAGCTAAGGGGTTAGACTGCACTTTTTTCGATTTTCTCGAAAACCAAAGTTTGCGAGATTTTTGCATTAATCGATAGATAATGACGTCAGGAATACGAAAAACCGGGTCAAAAAGTTCTGAGGCTTCTAGATCGAAAGTTATGATTTTTTTAAGTTTTCGAAGAATCATAACTCGATTCGTAGAAGGTTATGGACTTAGAGACCTAGTTTTTCCTGACCTCCGTGATCTCCTCTATCGATTGATACCAATTTTGACAAAAATTGAGATTTTCGATATCTAAGTTTGATCGCTTCTAACTGAGTTCCTAGTTGACCTACAGAGGTCAAACCTGGTCTCCGGTTATTTTTTCGTCGAGATCTATCGATTGATATAGGTTTCGTCCGAATCGGTTTCCATGACCTCAGAAGCTCGAAAAAAAGCCAAGGGGTTAGACTGCACTTTTTTCGGTTTTCCTCAAAACCAAAGTTTCCGAGATTTTTACCTCAATCGATAGATAATGACGTCAGGAATACGAAAAACCGGGTCAAAAAGTTCTGAGGCTTCTAGATCGAAAGTTATGATTTTTTTAAGTTTTCGAAGAATCATAACTCGATTTCTAGGAGGTTAGGAACTTAGAGACCTAGTTTTTCTCGATTCTTGTGATCTCCTCTATCGATTGATACCAGTTTTGAAGGAATTTAAGGTTTTTGATTCCGAAGTTTGATCGCCCATAAGTCAGTTCCTAGTTGACCTACGAAGGTCAAACCTGGCCTCCGGTTATTTTCTCGACGAGATCTATCGATTGATATAGGTTTCGTCCGAATCGGTTTCCATGACCTCAGAAGCTCGAAAAAAAGCCAAGGGGTTAGACTGCACTTTTTTCGGTTTTCCTCAAAACCAAAGTTTCCGAGATTTTTACCTCAATCGATAGGAAATGACGTCAGAAGTACGAAAATCCAGGTCGAAAAGTTCTGCGGCTTCTGGAATGAAAGTTATGATTTTTTCAAGTTTAAAAAAAAACATAACTCGATCCGTAGGAGGTTAGGAACTTAGTGACCTAGTTTTTCTCGATTCTTGTGATCTCCTCTATCGATTGATCCCACTTTTGACCTATTTTAAAATTTTCAATCTCTAAGTTTGATCGCTAATAACTATGTTCCTAGTTGACCTACGGAGGTCAAATCTGGTCTCAGGTTATTTTCTCGTCGAGATCTATCGATTGATATAGGTTTCGTCCGAATCGGTTTCCATGACCTCAGAAGCTCGAAAAAAAGCCAAGGGGTTAGACTGCACTTTTTTCGATTTTCTCGAAAACCAAAGTTTCCGAGATTTTTGTATCAATCGATAGGAAATAACGTTAAATGTTCAAAAATCCAGGCCAAAAAGTTCTGAGCCTTTTGGAAAAAAAGTTATGATTTTTCAAAGTTGAACATTTTCATCAAACGTGCTCAAAACTTTTCAAGACTTAGATAGTTGGAAAGCTCATAATAAGACTAATCGAATAATATGATCAGTTTTTATGTGAGTCCAAAATGAACGAAGATATGAAGCTTCGAAGTCTGAGAAATATGACTTTTCTGACTCGTTTTTTACTTAAATTTTGAGCTTTTTCTCCGAAAGTGATATGATAGTAGTACTATATAGAGGCTGCTCTATCGATTGATATAGAAAAAACCCAAAGAATACGAAAAAAATTTTGAGCTTTTCCTTTTTCGCGAGAAAACTACACCGTGGTGCAGCGCACCAAATGCATTTTATCTGACGCCTATTTCAATATTACCGGCAAACTTCGGAGGCTTATTACTCGGCTCTCAGTGCAGTTAAAGCTTATCTGATTACATCAACCGATTCGTCTTGACGTCATCTTTCCAATGATATTTGTTATTTGTTCATTGAGCTCCACCCAAAAGCTTAGTTTTTGACACTTTGAAAATTCACAACTTTATTTCTAGGAAATAAAAAGCTTCGAGACCTAGTTTTTCATGATCTCCTCAACCTCCGCCATCGATTGATACCAAATTTGATTAGTTTTGAAAATGAGCTATTCGTCTTCAAACTTTTTATAGAACAAATTTGATAACATTCTCAAAAACGGTGTAGAACGCTTTTATCTTCCATGATCTATCAACTTGAAAATAGTCGATCAGTGATTAAAATAAAGACACAATCCACAAAAAGATTCAATGCCGAGCTTCAACTAGAAAATTGAACCAATGATGAACGTAAATCCAAATCAAAAATATGGGTCCCGTAGCGAAATACAGTCGTAAAACTCAAAATTACGACGTATTAGTCCAACGGGTGCTACTGACCGGCATTAGAGAAGTTCAAAGTTGGCACCGCCCATGTCGCGATTTTTGGCGCTTTCGGTGCATACACTTCGACGCAAATTCTCGCACTGCAAACATTTTTCACTGCAAAAACGAAATTCTAACAGCTAAAAATGTTTTTAGCGTGAAAAAAGGCAGAAATTCGCCTCGCAGGTCGGATTGAATCGTCAATTTTTTGTATTACATCAGTGGCACAAGGTACATTATATTTTTTATTCCGCAGTTAGCAATCGCTGCACGCTTCGGGAATCGGCGACAGACTCCGACGGAAGGCCGTCGAAGGCTTCCTGGGCGACGTCCTGGACCGACGCGACGTCGTCCGCACCATGATGACCTCCACTTCTTCGTCCAGAAGCTCCATCATCTCCTGAAATCTCGAAGTAAAGCAATTTTAAATAAAAGGCTGACAAAATTGAAGTTCACGTGTAACACATGCCACGGTGTTTTTCTTAGTGGAAGAAAATGCAAAAGCAAAATTTTAGGGGGCGTGGTCAAAACCTCCCCCGTTTCCATGTGACGTCATGGAAAAAACGCGTAAACAACAGGAAATATTAAAAGCGCATCAATGGGTCATGATAGGAATGTATTTTTTTCATTTAAAAAAAAACGCGATTTTTTGTTTTTTTTGTTTAAAAACAAATGCCGTGTTGAAAAAATTGCGCGAAATTCAAAATAGCCACCAGAGAGTGAAAAATATAACTGAATTTCAGAAACTCAGATATGATTTTGAATTTCGCGAAAAATATTTTGAACGCGGTGTGTGCCAGAGCGCCGCAGTGTATGCACACGACACACCACACTTTACGAAAAAATATGGACGAGCCGCTGCCAAAAAAAACGCCGTGATGCAAAAACGTAGAGTCTGTTCACATTTTGAATGTCAAGTCGTCGCTCAAGCTCCGCCCCCAATGGTGTGATGAACCAATCAGAGAGCGAGCCATCTACAGAGTGTTTTTGAATGACGTCATTGCACTTGACATTAAAAATCTGAACAGACTATAATCCCTTTAAAACTATGAAAGAGGACCGATTTTTCCCAGTTGTTCGCATAAATACAAGTCTTTATAAATATTATTAGTAGTAAAGTAAAGGCAACTGAAAAACTCGATAACGAATAAACATACATCGACAAAGTTGGCAATGTAGACCGCAACAACGATGAAGATGAACGCGTAGCAGACGTAGGACGAGATCCACGGGTTAACGCTGAAAAAAGGGACGCGTTGCGGTCGCGTAGCGGTTCGTTCGAGCCAAACCTGCGACCGCGAATTTGCTTGTTGAAACGCGTGATTGGCTTCACTTTCCTGATGGGGGTCTGAAAAAAATTTGGGGTTTCAAAATCAACAAAAAATTAAGATGATTAAGATAAATTTGGTGTATTTAAAGGCGCAGAGACAAAATCTCATAGTATTTCGGAGCGAAAATTCGTTATCTGTGTTATTTTAGGCCTCGAAAAACTTTGAAAAATATTTTTAATGGTTCTTGAACTATATTCAGGGTGCGAAAAACTTTAATTTCGGAGCATTTCGGTTCATTTCAAGACAAAAAAAAAAATCACAAACCATATCCAAAGTTTTGTTGTTGCTGGACACAACAGCCCATGGGTACAACGGGACAATCGGGGCCTGAAAAAATGAAATTAATTCTCAAGCTGTCCTAAAAAGCTTCATTCGATTCATTAAAAAGTTTTTTTTCAATTTTTTCTGGAAAGCTACTCATTCTGATTTGTATTTATTTTATTTTTTTCATTATATTTAAATTTTTGGTCGCGTAAAGAACGGCTCAGCGTTACGCGGTTCAAAATAACTTCAAGCGGAAGTCGTTTTTCGTCGGGCGCACTTCAAAAAAACCACAGCCCTTCCCCATGCGATCCCCTCAAAAATTTGAAAAATTAACCAAAGTCAAGTTCTCGACGACGAAGAGTGAAGGCTTGGGTAGCGTGGAGTTAAAGTTGAAGCCGTCAAGTGGGCACTGAAGGGGTGCTTCTTCAAGGGGGCACTGCAGGGGCGCTTCTTCAGTGGCCACTTTAGTGGGTGGCGTCCACAGGGTGAGTGCGGTAGTCTGAAGGAAATCAAAAAATCAACGGGTTATCATTAGAGCAACCTTGGCGAGAACGATTTCATTAGCCGCGACGGCGGCCGTGAGGAAAGCCAGCAAAACTGGGAGTTTGGCTGAAACGAGGACATTTTGGGGGGTTCGTGGAAGTTGAAGGGATACCGAGAGCCATGTTAGTGGTCAGTTGATCGAGTTGGGTTAGTTGCTAGCAATACTGGCTGGCCGAGCGTCGATTCGCATTTTAACATCACGTAGGGATTTTTATTCGTTCATTTTGAAGATCTTTATCGATTCATGACGTCATGGCTATTTTCAAAAATGAGCTAGTCTTTCGAATGAAGCGAGGTCTGCTCACATGGAAGTTCATTTTCGCGTAGGGTTTGGAATTTACTATAAATTAGCTCAAAAAATCTTCGATAGACTGGGAAGCGGTCCCGCACAGTCGCTATCTGCGCAAACTTTCCGTTTTGGAGATATGATTTTTTAAAGTTTCTGTTCTTAAACACTGTTCGGAAGGAGTATGTCCGAAGCACAAGTCATTGCATGGCAGCTAGGAGCGTGGTGCAGTGGCTGGCGCGTTAGTCTGCGAAACCTATGATCAAGGTTCGAATCTTTCGGCGGCTATCGTTTTTCGCCATTATTTTTTTGACAGATTATGATGTACATATCGAAATTTCATGATTAAAACCGTTCGATGGCCATTTTCTTCCAAAAACTATTTTTTTCACAGAAGTTTTTTTTGAAAATTTCTCGAAAAGTTATGAACGTTTTGTCAGAACGTGTTCTAAGCTTTTGATACTTACTTTACTTTGATACTTTGATGGTCCATCTTCGCTGATGTTCTCAGCGTGGACCACACGTTCTCCAGGCGGCTCGGTCTTGCGCGACGGTCATCCAGTGGCGGCCTGGCTGACTGATGTTCTTGCGGAAGTAGTCCGTCCATCTGGTCGGTGGGCGCCCGAGTGGGCGCTTGATGTTTCTCGGAATCCAGTGTGTTAATCTCGTGGACCAGCGGTCGTCTTGTCTGCGGATGACGTGGCCGCTCCAACGATGTTTCCCGCGTTGTATGTGCTCTTCTAGATCCCGGATTTGGGACAGTTGACGGAGGTCTGTGCTCCTCTGTTCTTTTTTCCACTGCTCAAAGCGAGTGGTGCCGATGAGAGCACGTTCCAGTGCGCGGTAGGAAGTTCGTAGGGCGGTTGCATTTTTCTTCGTGTCAGGCCAAACTTCGGTACCGTAGGAGATGGCAGGGATTATCGACGCTTCGAAGATGTGAGCTCGCAGTTTCGGGTCTTTCAGCTGACTGGTGACTTCTTTGATGGAGTTGAAGGCGGCCCATCCAGCGCGTTTGCGTCTGCCGATCTCTGCTTGCAGGTCGTTCACCATGTTTACTTCCCGGCCAAGGTAGATGTAGGATGTGACCTCCTGAAGGTCGCGGCCCTCAAGGGTGACTTTGCCTTGGTCGCAGAAGCGGTTCTTCATCCACTGCGTCTTCTTGACGTTCATCTTAAGGCCGATCTTCTTGCCGACTTCGTCCAGATCGTTCAGCATGGAGGACAGTTCGGTGGTGGAGCTTGAGAAGAGTACGATGTCGTCGGCGAAGCGGAGGTTTGTGAGGACCTTGCCGTCGATGTTGATGCCTCTGATGTCTGTACTGTCTTCCCAGTCGTGCTCTTCGTCCCATCCAAGTTGGCGCATCGCGTCTTCTAGTGCCGTGGAGAACAACTTGGGGGAGATGGTATCTCCCTGGCGAACACCTTTCCTGATGGGGATCGAAAGCTTCTTGTCGAACAGCTGGATGGTCGTGGACGTTCCCTCGTTGCTGTTGGCGATCAGCTCGACGTACTTCGTGGCGACTCCGGCGGAGGCAAGAGCATTCAAGACGGCGTTGATCTCCACGCTGTCGAAGGCCTTGTAGTAGTCGACGAAGGCCAACGCAAGTGGCATCTGGTGCTCCCGGTGCCGTTCCACCACCTGGGTCAAGGCGTGGATGTGGTCGAGGCAAGAGTAGTTGCGTCGGAAGCCAGCCTGCGAGGGACGGTTGGAAGTTGTCGAGTTGCTTCTCTAGTCTGTTGACGATGACCTTGGTGAACAACTTGTAGACGACCGATAAGAGGGAGATCGGTCTGAAGTTGTTCAGGTCGGTGAGGTCGCCCTTCTTCGGAATGAGGATCGTCTTGGATGTTTTCCATTGTTCAGGAATAGAGGCTTCGCTCAGGTACTTGGAGAAGTGCCGGGCAAGTAGTCGGTACAGCGAGTCTCCTCCAGCCTTCAGCAGTTCGGATGAGATGTTGTCGGGTCCTGCGGCCGTTCCGACCTTCAGCTTCCTGATGGCGTACTTGACTTCTTCGGGAAGGATCGGGGGTTCATCTTCTGGTGGTAAGCTTTTGATAGGCACAGAAAACCTGTAACTAACTGAAATACCAATGAAAAAGGCTCCTGTCTTCGATTTAGCAAACAAACTTGAACAGATTAGAGTAGAGCTGATTCACGGCTGGCTTGAGCCATCGAAAAAAGGGTCCTGACACGATGAGGAAAGAGACAGTGCCTGGTCGGTGGAGAGCGCAGACAGGCCACGCCCCTCAGCTTCCCGTTATATTTGAAAAATTTCATATTTTGGTACACAACTTCTTCAGAAATTTCCCTAAATGGTTTTATTTTTGAAGATCTTTTGGATAGGAGCTCGAAAAGGTCGTTCTCAAAAAATCCGAAATTTGTGATTTTTTTTTCCTCTACAGTTCCGGAACCGCTCCTACCAAAAATCTTTATCAATATCCCACTCGATTTCGTAACGATTTCCTCCAAAAAGCCCATCACCTGACACGACATTAATCCCTCAATGATTCATCCACCAAAAATGCAAAAAAGTGGAATCGTAATGGTCAGACAGTATGACGAGAGCGTGCAAAAGCTAAAAATATCCATATTTCAAAAATCTCGCTCTGAAAAAAGGCCACAGTTCTTTGTTCCTGCACGAAGTCTCGAACATGCGTAATATACTGTTTCTCTTCTTCTTGATGATTTTCGCCAATCTTTCCGGGACCATCTTTTCAAAAAGCCATTGGTCCTTCAACTTTTATCATTCTCCTCCTCAATTTCGTTATTTCTTGACTGTCATCCACTCAATTTCGTAACAATCTTCCTCTGAAAGCCCATCACCTGACCCGACATAAATCTCTCAACGCCATCAAAAAGCAAAAAATTGGAACCGTAATGGTCCGACAGTGTATCGAAACTGTGTGGAAGCTCAGAGGCTTCCTAAAAATTCCTTCTTCAAATCCCTCCGACAATCCGTAAGCACAGTCCGTCCCCCCGTGACTTGACATTTCTCGCGTGTCTGCGTCTCTCTGTTCCCTAACCGTCGAGGTCACAGAAACGCGAAAATAGCGTGCCAGAAAGAGAGGACTGTCGAGAGACGAGGAGGGCGCACAGAAGTCCCGCCCTTTCAAGTCGCCAAAACCATAACTGTAATTTTTTTGTGTCCGCTCCATTTCTATAGTTCCGAGACCGCTCCATACGAAAATCATTTTTTTAAAATCAATATCCCACTCAATCTCGTAACAATTTCCACTGAAAGCCCATCACCTGACCCGACATAAATCTCCAAATGTTTCATCCATCAAAAAACCGAGAAATTGGTATCGTAATGGTCAGATGTTCATGGCGAAAACGTGCAAAAGCACAAAAATTTCCATTTCTTTCTGTTCATTTTCTTGGAAGAAAAATTTAAAAAATTCTTGGAAATGCATTGATAACTAGAATATGGTTTTCATGTTTATCTTACTAGATCACATTCCAAAAACTCGTTGATTCTTAATTTTCCCATCCTCCATAAGTTTGTTACATGTTCGTACATAAGACCATCGCATGACCTGGTATAATTAATTTTTTGCAAGACCATCTTTTCAGAAAATCTGTGATCCTTCAATTTCTATCAATCTCAAACTCAATTTCGTAACATCTTTCTCCAAAAAGCCCATCACCTGACACGATATAAATCTCTCAATGATTCATACATTAAAAATGCAAAAAAAGTGGAATTATAATGGCCAGACGGTATGGCGGATGCTTGCAGAATTTAAAAGAGGCTTCTCAAAATTTACTGTTTTGAGTCTTCTCAAAAAATCCGGTATCTGTGATTTTTTAAGCATGCTTCATTTCTATAGTTTCGAGACCGCTCCATACAAAAATCATTTGATCTTTATCAATATCCCTCTCAATTTCGTAACAATCTTCCTCTGAAAGCCGATCACCTGACCCGTCATAAATCTCTCAATGATTCATCCTCTATACTGTCTGGCCATTACGATTCCACTTTTTTGATTTTTTGGTCTGATTTCGCGACTTGAAAGGGCGGGACTTCTCTGCGCCCTCCGTATCTCTCAACGTCTCTCTCTTGTTTACGTGCTCTTTCTATGTTTCTCGGACCTTGCCGGTGAGGGAACAGAGAGACGCAGACACGTGGAAACTGTCAAGTCGCGGCGGGCTGATTCACAAAAGAGGCTTCTTAAAATTTACTTTTTAAATATTCTCTCAGAAAGTCCGTACGCCGTGACTTGACAGTTTTCGAAAAAAGACTTCCTCTCTTTTCAATTCGGGAAAAATCAACTCTAACTGTCATTGTTTTGTTCATGTCCGCTCCATTTCTATAATTCCGAGACCGCTCCTCAAAAATCCTTCGATCTTTATCAACCTCCCACTCAATCTCGTAACAATTTCCACTGAAAGCCCATCACCTGACCCGACATAAATCTCCAAATGTTTCATCCATCAAAAAACCGAGAAATTGGTATCGTAATGGTCAGATGGTCATGGCGAAAACGTGCAGAAGCTCGAAAATTGCCATTTCTTTCTGTTAGCTCGATAACCCCAATGTTCATTTTCTAGGAAGAAAAATTAAAAAAGTCTTGAAAAGGCCTCGATGGAATATGGTTTTCATGTTTATCTTACAGGACCACCTTTCAAAAAACCTTTTTATGTTTACCATCCCAGACTTAAAACTCGCTGATCCTCCTTTTTCCATCCCTCTCCCAATGAAACTTTTCACAATTTCGTACAGAAGACCATCGCATGACGTGGCACAGTGAATTTTTCCAGGACCCTATTTTCGGAAACTTGCTGATCCATTAATCTTTGATCCATCTCCCCCTCGATATCGCAACAATTTCCCCCCGAGAGCCCATCACCTGACCCGACATAAATCTCTCAACGCCATCAAAAAGCCGAAAAAAGTGGTATCGTAATGGCCAGACAGTATGGCGAAAGTGTGCACGAGGCCCCCTCGGAAAGTGCTCGGAGGTGGGCCCGCCTACGCCGCCATCTGTAGCGACGTGATAAGACTTCCGCCCGCTCCAATCTCTCCTTGTCTTTCTGCTGCACACATTTTTGCCCCGCGCGCGACTGTTTTCGTCACGCCGTCAGCTCCGAAAATAACATCGAAACTATTTTTTTATTCTGATTCTTCAGATGAATCCTTCTCTCAACTGCTACGTCGGTGAGCCGACTTCTTCTATTCGAAGGATTTTGCCGTAAGTTTCTTTTTTTCTATTTTTACTTCTTCATAAAATTGGTTAACATGCAATTCTACGTTTGAAGATCAATAGAGCTCAAAAAAATTAGAAAAAAATGTGAAAAATCCAAAAAAATTAAAAAAATTTTTTTTTCTTCTTTAAAAAAATGATGTACTAAATGAAAACACTCAATTTTCGGTTTTTAAAAGCTTCAAAATATCATGTTAACTTCAATTATCATTTTATTATCCAACTTCCCTCAGAAATTGAAGAATAAATCTAAAAAAAGTTCGGAGAAAAGCTTTTTGCGTCGAAAATTTGACTAAAATTCTTCATAAAACCTTAAAATTTCAAGTAAATTTCTGGATCCCTGTCTAAACCTCCACATAAATGATGATTTTTTTCACCTTCTATCAAAGTTTTTTTCACTAAAAATATACCTTTTTCATTACAAAAAGTGAAAATTTCTGTAAAAAAATCAATGATTTTTTTCATTCAGCGATTATTTGACAAGATCTATTTTTAATTAAGTAAATTTCACATCATTTAAGCTTAAAAAAATAATTAAAAAAAGGTCTTCTTTTTCGTTTTCTTTTTTTGAACTATCAAAAAAATCCACCCCGTTGATCAATATTTATCATTTTCAGCTAACCCTTGACCATGTAGATTTCGATTTTTTTTATAATTTTAATTTTTGTGTTACTCGATTTATAATACCATATTAAATATTTCTTACAGTAATCTCAAGTCTTACGGTAATCAAAATAAAATTTATCCTGGTATTTTTCGGTTTTTTTCCATACTGAAAAATTGCGAATTTTTCGGCTTTTTTTCCATATTGAAAAAAATGGCTTATTTCAAGTAAAAATTTTTTTATTATTTAATTTAATTTATTCCACTAACTATTTTTTTAATAATTTATTAACCCAATATTTTTTTCCATTAATCTCAGGTACTCAAATTTATTTTCCTGAAGCTCCTTTTCAAAAAAAACCATCCATCTCAACTTCTACTAACTTAAAATGATGAAATCGAAACTTTTTCCCTTTCCGTCCACAGTAACCTCTAGAATCTCCCATTTCTGAAGGTCTGGCTGACTATTTGAGCTGATAAGTGCGCGAAGAAAAAAAAAAGTTTGACCGATCATTGAGAAAAATCGAGTGATCAATTAGGAAATTAATATTACAGGGTTGAAAACGAGCTTCTCGTGCCCCCATTGGTTCCGCCTCGGACTCACCCGGTTCATCTGAGGAATCGGGCCGCCCGAGAATGTCCCGAATGGCTGCCGGTGTGTTTTTTTTTTTAATATGCGCCAACAGAGACACATTTTGAAGGTACTGAGATAAAAGCTCTAGTGGCCACTTAAGAGGTTTCCGCAGGATTACTTGTAGGGATCACTATAGGGGCCACTAAAGCCACTATTTTGCGTCTTAATGTCCGCTAGAGTAGTTCCAAGGAAACCACAACTCCTAGACAAGTCTTTTTAGTCCCTAAGTGGTCCTTATTTTGACCACTATAGGGGCCACAACCTCAATAGAAGCCACTATTTTGCGTCTTAGTGACCACTAGAGTAGTTTTAAGGGGTCTAACAGTACCACTTAGACTCCTAAAGAGGTCACTTAATTTTAGTCCGCAAGTGATCTCTATTCGGACTACTATAGGGGTCATTCAAACGTCAAAACCCTAAAGAGGCCACTAAATTCTAGTCATTTAAGTGACTACTAATTTGACTGCTTCAGGAAAATTCGTGTAGAAACCTTAAAAAACCGGAATAACGGCTCATCGTCTCGAGACCTTGGTCCATGCGCCTTTAAAAATCTTAGTTAAAAATTTCCTGATCAAACTACAAACTCTCCATGATTTCTCACAAAATACATTCTATTAAGTTTCGTCACCCTTGTTTACAAACAAACAATGCTCATCTCGAGTTACTAAATCAGTGATAAGGGGAAAAATACAACAAGAATGACATCATGATTATCAATTTTTGTGACAAGGAAACCAACTTTGATGATTCAGCCAGACGAGCCGATGACGTGTCGAAGTCGACAATGTTCTAGTGTCGGATTTGTGGACATCGACGACCTCAAAAAGTTCCAGGAACTCGTGAGTTTTGCCTGAAAATTAATAGGAACCTTTAAAAATCCCAAAAAATAAATTGAAAATCAAAATCCTCGTTCTCCTAAAAATCAACCTTTTTTTCAATTTTTTTAAAATTAAAATCCTCGTTCTCCTCAAAAAAATCAACCTTTTTTTCGATTTTCTTCATCTTTTCAATGTACCCTTCCCCTGTTCTCCATTATTGTATGAACCTTCAAAAAAATAAAAAAATTCCAAAAAAATAAAATTTTTTTCAAAAACTTCAAAAACTTCCACTGACTCTTAAAAACCACAAAAAAATTCAAAAAAATAATTTTTTTCGAAAAAAATCGATATAAGTCCCGGAAATGTTTATTTTTTTCTTATCAGCTTTTTTTCTTTGACGAAAAATGCCCTATCAGCTCTTGATTCACCAGAAATTTCGCTGAACGGGAAGTTGGGATTAAAATTTTTTTGAGAATGAGATAGTGGTAGTTGTGTGAAGATTATAACTTTTTTTATAATTCCGAAAAAAACTTCGTAGAATCGAAAAAAACAAAGGAAAGAAAAAAATCAATAAATCAAAATTTACTTCAAAAATCTCAAAAAAGCTTCCATCTTTACAAAAAAAGTATTGAAAAATTTGAGAAAAATTTTTTTTTTAATTTTTAAAGAGTTTCAGAGTGGTCCCTATAGGGGTTAGAAGAAAAACAGCCCATATAGGGGCCGAAAAAGTGGTCCCTATAGGGGTTTAAGTCTGACCACCTTAAAGCTTGAGTGCTCTCTATAGGGGTCTTCCAACTTCGTTTAAAAACCCTTATTTATTTAATTTTTCGCATTCGCATAGAGTACGTAAAAATTATCGATTAGCATGTCCCCTATAGGGGCCACTTCTGCAAGCTTAGTGGCCTCTATAGGGACTGGCAAAGTGGTCCCTAGGCCCCTAAGAAGTTCCTAATTTTAGGACATTCAAAAGCAGATTTTCAACGAAGGAAAGTTGCGATTTGAGCGGTCACTTTAGGGAATTTAAAAAAATTGATATTTTTTTTCTTTTTAAGATCATTTTTTTCAACCCTTTTTTTCATGTTCTTCTAAGGTAAGATAAACAAAAAAACGCTGAAGAATTTGAAATTTCTGAGAACCAAAAAGTTCATGAACCCTTCAAACTTTTTTTAATTTCCATTTATAAACTCAATTTTTCATTAAAAAGATGAAGCTTCTAGCGTTACTCAAGTATCAGAAAAGTAAAATCTAAGCAATTTGTAGCCCCCCTGGAACGTTACCCTACAGTACTCCAAAAAAAGCAGTACTATTACAGTAAGACTAAAAGTAATGCCGGGGGAGAGGGCTTCATACTGCTAATCTAGACTGAAAAAATCATAAAAACCTTCAAATAAACCCTAAATTCTTCAGATGAAGTCTCTAGTGTTACTCAAGTGATTAAAAAAGTAAAATCTAAGCAGTTTGTAGCCTGGAACGTTACCCTACCGTACGCCAAACTACAGTACTAGTACAGTAAGACTACAGTAGTGCCGGACTACTAATCTAGACTTAAAAAAATCATGAAAACCTTCAAAAATTCCAGGAAGACGAGAAAAAAGGGCCGTTGGTCGTGTTGCGGAGCTGGTTCAAGACGTCTCCGAGCCGTGAGCTGGAAAGTCACATCAACCCCGGCTTCCGGCACTCTTCCACCTCCTACGGCTCGTTCCGGAGTCTGCCCCCGCAACTGCCGCTCCGGCGCAAGAAACGGACCATTTTCCGGCGATTACTGTCCTGTTTCAACTTGTTCCACGAATAATTTCTCGAAAAATTTGCTTGATTTTTTATTTTCCAAGCGCAAATGTGTACATTAGGTTGAATTAGAAAAAGGTTAGATTTTAGAAAAATTCGATTTTGAAAGTTTTTTCTTCATTATAGCCCAAGAAATTCAAATTTTTTTGTTAATTTTAATGGTCTTGACTCCAAAAATCACTCAAGCTCATAATTATTTTTAAAAAAAATTAGATATTCTTTTTTTTAATGTTTAATTTTCGAAAATAATTTTTTTCTGAGATCTGAAGAGCTTCAATTTTTTTGAAAAAAAGTCTCTTTTTTTAAATTCGAATTTTCGAAAAATCTTTTTTTGAGATTTTTTTAGAATTTCTGTGTTTCAAAAAAAGTCTCTGACAAGCTTCTCAAAAAAATCATTAAAACTATGTTTTTGAAATTAGCTGAAATTTTCACAAAATCTTATTTTATCCCTCTCCAACTTCTCTGGAACCTCTCCAATTTTTTTTTTCGTGATTTTCAATTTTCTACAAGCTTCTCCCTGTAACTCCTCTGTAGGTACCTCTTCCAAATTTCCCCCTTTAGTGGCCACTTCTTTCCTTTCGATACCGGTTTTCCCACCAAGCATAATACCTTCCCCAAAGCTCTGAAAAAAACCGTCATAGAAAAAAATAATCCGATGAAAAAAATGGCTTTAATTGAATAAATATTCGAATTTTTCATTCAGTTTTTTGCGAAAAAGTTGAAGTGTACTTGAAATTTTCCAGGTTCTGAAAAAAAATCAAAAATATTATTTTTTGATTAAAATATACCTTCAAGTGCTCAATGTCGCCGTCGATTGAAACGCTGAAAAAAATTTTTATTTATTTATTTTTTTCAAGAAAGAAACCTTTTGTGCTCGCCAATTTTTTTCAAGGCGTTCATTGTTCTAAAAAAAGGTTAATTATTGAAAATATGTTTGGAAAAAACCAGTTCGATTGTTTTTTTGACTTGTTCATTGAGCTTTTTGAGGCGAATGTCGAGGTTTGAGCGCTGGAAAATAAATTTTCGAGTTTCAAAATTTTATCAGATGGTTTTTTTATAGTCCTCGTGGTGGCTTATGACTTGTTTATTCAAATATTTTCTAGTTTGAAGAATTTTTTTGAATGTTTGGAAAGAAAAAAATTCTGGTTGAACCTCATAAACTTTTCGAAAAAGCTGAAAAACAATCTAGAAAAAAAGTCAGAAAAATCTTCAAATTTACGTTCAAAATTCAATTAAAACATTTTTAGAAACCCCTCAAGGGACTACTTGAAAAAAATTAAAACTTCCCAGAAAAAAATTTCATCTTTCAAGGCTACTTCACAAAGAAAATATAATCTATATATTCTGGGATCTCAAAGAAACCCCTTAAGTGATTTCTCTAATCTAGAACAGTTTGGTCGCACTTGGATTGGCTCGAAGCGTTGTGTCTCCAAAATGCCTTCCATATTCAAGCGCGCAAGTTGTTTTCGGTCGGGTGCATCTTAACTGAATCCACTTTATTCTGACTTCGAACCATTCCAAATGCGGTCGTTGCGATTGGAGATATTAAACATTCAATGTGATTTTTTTAAGACCTAAAAATCTGAGAAAGGAGGCTCAAAAAACCGTATTCCATTCTTAGGAACGCCAGAGTAGTCCCTAGCGGGTTAGAGAAAAAAAAAATCCTATAAAGAAAACGAGGTTTAGAGTCTAAACCCTGCTCAAGTGGCGCCTATAGGGTCCTTTAATTTTTTTTGTTGAGATTTGTGCAATGAAAAGGCGTATAGGGACCCCGAGCATGCTCCCCTAGAGTTACCACTAACTGAAACCCCTAAAGAGGCCACTTTTTCAAGATTTGGCATAGTAGATTTAAGGTAGTCTCCCCTAGAGTGGCCACTAACTGAAACCCCTAAAGAGGCCACTTTTTCAAGATTTAGCATATTGGATTTAAGAAAGTATCCCTAGAGTGGCCACTAAATAAAATCCCTAAAGAAGCCACTTTTTGACAGCTTAGCATGCGGAATTTAAGGTAATCTCTGAATGAGAATACAAAAGCCCCTCTAGGGAGCCCTCCGGCGTTTCAAAGTTCAGAAAAAATATAAGATTCTTCAGCGAGACAGTGTGTGGAAATAAGAGATTTAGACATATTTCAACATTTTCTCTCAAGCTGGTGATAACTATACTATAGTTCAAACACTTAAGTGGCCACTTAAAAATCCAAAAACATGATTCCGAGCTCTCAATCATCAAACCACCCACATGAAAACTGATCACTATACAAACAACACTTTGTTAATTTTGCACGCGTTATCATTCGCTAAGAATCAAACTATAAACAAACATTATTAATCTCCATTTCCGGTGTAGAAAATACAGTAACCCACCATGGCGGCCTCATTGTCGTAGGACGCAATTTTTTCGCAATAATCATCAATTTTCTTCAGCAGCTCGGCCACTTCCTCCTCTTCTTTCATTTCGAAATGAAAGGGGACTCGAAATTTCACGTCTGAAAGCGATTTTATACAAATATTCTAACGTGTGGTCGCACTGGGAATGGCTCAAAACGTCGCGGTTGAATTCTCCTACGCCTTGCTATACCATTGAGCGTGAGTAGTTTTTGGTCTGGCGCAAAATTAAAGTGATGATTAAGCCATTCCTCATGCGACCAGTAGCTTCAGATTATAGAAAACTACAAAATCCAGCCAAAGAACACAGATTTTCTCGAAAACGGCACGATTTTTTTTTGTTTCGGCGCAATTTTTTCGCAATAATCATCCTTTTTTTTGAGCAGCTCGACCATTGAGCGTAAGTAGTTTTTGGTCTGGCGCACCCTAAAGTTCACTTTAGCCATTCTTCTTAAGACTAGTAGCTTCAGACTATAGGAAACTATAAAATCCAGCCGAAAATAGAAAGAATTTCTCGAAAAAAACACGATTCATTCGTTTCGACGTTATTTTTTAGGTTCCTCGGTGGCTCATAACTTTAAAAAAATTTTTCTAAAAATACGATTAAAAAAATTTTCAACTTGAAGAAATTGTTGAGAATTCATAGTTGAATCCAAAAAAATCTCAATTTTTCCAAAAAATTTAAAAGTTGTCAACAAAATTTCAACTACTTCCAAATTTTCGAAAAAAAGAGCCTAAAAATCTCCCAAAATGACCTTCGAAAATCATTTATTAAGTCAAAAAAAGTAATCCTCTATCTTCTAAAAAAATAATAAAATTTAATTTTTTTCCATCACCATGCAAAGCTTCCATGCAAGACAAGCAGCAAAAATCATTTCCCTTAAGGGTTCACTAAGCTCCTTTTCGAGATCAAAGATCAACATCTCACTCTTATCATCTCAAAATCGTAAAATTCTTTCCCTCGGTCAACAAAAGTCGGCCGTTTCCGGTTCATTCCAAAGTTTCGGAGCAATTCTTTTTTTTTTTTTTTGAAATGAGGCAATATTTATTCTTCATGCAAGAACATTTTAAAGCTTTTGATAAGGCAAATTTTCTTCCGAGCATTGCAAAATTGACATCTATAAGATAGTCGATTCATAGAGGCACCATATAAAATTGGGAAAAGAAGTCCAGAAAAGGGGATTATGGCATTTTGAGTCAAAAAAATGATTGAAAAATAGATTTTCTTGTAATTTTCTCTTGAAAAACATGCAAATTATTGCGCTGGAGCCTGCCCCTTGCGCGAAATTTTCTTGTCCTTGTTCTTCTTGGGTGGCACTGGAGTTGAGGCGACTTCCTGAAAAAAAATAATCGATCATAGTCCATTCACCGCTAGCTTAAAAACTCTACTTTTCGGACACTATTTCGCCAAAATCTCAGAATCTTTCTAGCCTTTGCCTAAAATTTATTAAAAAAAAACTCTGAACTAAAAAAATTTTTCACGAAGAATCGATCTCAAAAATGTTGTAGGAAAACTCCCAAATGACGTCATCAATTTGCTCTAAATCTCTTCTATCCGCTCACTGTTTCGCTAAAAACTTCTCGAAGCAAAAATTAATGACGTCATAAAAATTGCCAATCTCAAGGACGCCTTTTTTACGACTTGCTTCCCATAAGGATTTACTTCAATGAGCTGACTCACGAGATCAAAAATGACGTCATTAGTCTTTGAGGTGTCAGAAAATAGAAGAAAATGTCTTTTTAGATGGAAAATGACGTCATCTTTTTTTTTGTTGGAAAAATGACGTCACTTAGCCTTCAGCCTATTTACCACTCTTCTTAAAGCGTACCAGAATTTTTATTTGAGCCGCTCCGCTTGACCCTTGCGTCGCGGTTGGAATGACGTCATTTAGAACCTTGTTTTTTGAATAAAAGCTTATTTTGTGATATCCCTTTCTTTCACAAAGTAGTCCGATCCAACCGCTCCGCTTGACCCTTGCGTTGCGGTTGGAATGACGTCACTTTCTATCTATTTTCGACAGAAAAACCTATCTATCCCTTTTTTTCCATACCAAGAAGTCCATTTCAACCGCTCCGCTTGGCTCTTGCGTCGCGGTTGGAATGACGTCATTTTCAACTATTTTTTGAACGGAATCCTATCTAGTGATCTCCCTTTCTTCTACAAAGTAATCCATTCCAAGCGCTCCGCACGCCCCTTGCGTCGCGGTCGGACTGACGTCATCTCTATCTTTTTTTGGATCAAAAATTCGTCTACCACTCTTTTTTCCTTGTACGAAAAAGTCCATTCCAACCGCTCCGCACGCCCCTGGCGTCGCGGTCCGAATGACGTCATTTCCTACATACCTGTCGCCCGTAGAAGTACTTGTAGTTCTCGCTGCGGATGTAGTTCCAGATGGCGGCGGCGCCACCAAGGTCGAACTGCTCCTGGACGTTGGGAACCCAGGGATTGTGCTCGAGGCGGAGCGTCTGCTTGGGCCCGATCAGGTCCAAGTTGCCGAGCTCGGGAGGCAGGGTCGTCAGGCGGTTGCCTTGGATGTGCAGCTCGCGGAGTCGCGTCAGACGGCCCAACTCTCGTGGTAGAGTGAGGAGGTCGTTGTCGCGGAGGGCCAGGATCTGGAGATAGATTGATTTGAAAATCAGTTCTTGGAAAAAAAAAGAGCTGTTAGAGAAAACAACAAAAGTCTGCTCTCTCATTTTCGGACGCTCTCTAGCTTGCGAAGACTCAAACTTTGACTTCTAATTACAACGATCGTTTTCTGACCTACAGCTTCAAAAGTCCTCTCAAGAAGCTTTATCTAGTTAAGTGGCCGTTTAAGAGGCATTTTTAAATCTTCAAATTATCACGAAAGTTGGCAAAATGTTTCAAATCCATCAGGATGTTCGCAAAAGTGCAAAGAACGTGTCCAGGATTCAGTTGAAACCAGCTATACATTTTTTTTTCCAATTTTCCCACTATTGAAAGATTTTTCTACTCATACAGTCCTTTTCTAGACTTTCCGTAAAGTAGATAATTCGATTGAAACTTTCCAAAATAGCCTTTTTCACTACAAAGATTCTCTCACGAAGCTTCGTCTAGTTAAGTGGTTTAGTTTTTTACGTTTACCTATCGACTGATATAACTCTTGTCCAGTACAAACTTTTCAATACTTAGATACGCAGGTGCCAACCTGTCTACCGTAACCCGGCTACAGTAAGAGGAAATGACTCAAAAAGTTGTGTGCGCATTTCTCATGATGGGTTATCCCACTGGATGAAGTTTCATCAAAATCGAAAAATAAAAATTTTTTGTAGCCGTTATTTTTGAGAGTTACCAAGAGAACGTGTTACACGACGTTTTTTCGACGACGCCCACTTTTTCTCCGTAAAGAGTTTCTTGTGCATGCACTGCGCCGCTTTCACGCAGAAAATTGGGTTCAAATTTCGATTCGTCTTAAAGACCTCTGGCAATACGGCGGCCTGCGCCTTTAATATGCCCTGTTATTTAGGCTTTTAGAGCCGAAATCTCTGGCGTTCCCATGACGTCACGTGGGAACGGTGGATATTTTGGCTCCGCCCACCGTGTTTTTGGTTTCGCATTTTCTTCAACTAACAAAAACGCCGTGGTTGAGAACTTTTTCGAATACTACAAAAAATCAGTAAAGTTGAGGAAATGCCAGAAATGCAGCAGGAAAGTCGCAAAAAGTACGTTTCCAGGACTTGATTTAATCACTTTTTGTTCAACGTTTCCATTTACTATCCATTTTTCCACACATAAACTCATTTTCCAAACTGAAAAATCAATTATTCACCTGTAAATTGGCCAAATTCTCGACGTCGCCGGGCAGCATCTCAAAATCGTTATCACCGAGATAGAGTGCTCTTAAAGTGTCTGAAAATCTTCGTTTCAATATATTTTTTTTTTCGAATCTACAACTAACGGATGAAGAAAAAGTTGCCGGGAAGACTCCGTTCGCTCAAATTATTATAAGTCAAATCGAGGACCTCCAAAGCCGGGAAGGACCCGAAACCACGTGGCAGAATCGACAAACGGTTCATTCTGAAGGAAAAGTTTGATCAAGTCATTTTCTTGAAATATTTTAAAGGAGCATGCAACATTTCACTGAAAGGGTCTTGAAGCGAAAAGTCTATTTTAGCGTTTTTCAGGTTAATTCTGTATTTTTAAACACGTTATCAATGTCTTGGGACTAAAATGCATTCTGTAAAAGATTTCAAAAAATCAGATTTCTCAGATATTTCGCAAAAAACGACAAGAAATGGCTAAAAATGTTCCTCTTTTTTGATTTGTGGTCATTCTAGCCTCATAGAAACTGGAAAATTACTCAGATTTTGAATAGTTTTTCTTGTCGAAAATCCAATATTAATAAAAAACGAGAATAATTATACAATTTCAGTTCAAAATTTAACCTTTTTTTAAAAGAATTTTCAGCTAACCTCAAAAAAATTGTCACTTCAAACTTTTCATATAATTTTTCTATTGTCCTTTTTTTCCTTCAATTTTCACTCTTTTTTTCTAAAAAAACGTGGACCTAAATTTTTTTAAATAAAATGCTTTTTTTCCCACGTAAATCATGATTTTCCTTAACTTTTTTTCTTTTTTTCCCATAGTTATGTGAAATAAAAGCTCACAATTCCCCCAAAACTGAAAAAAACATACGAAAAATGTCCAAACTGTAATTACATTCAAAAAAATTCCATGAAACTTTTTTTCGACGGAAACAAATTTTCAACAAAACTATGTGTTTTTCTTCTTACCTCCTGACAGTAAAAAACAAAAATCCATGGAAATTAAGATAAAAAAATGAAAAATTTATGGTTTCAAGAGCATGTCAGACACCGAAAATTGTGAGGAAAAATGTGAAAAAACTCAAAAATTATTCGATTATAGCCCAAAAGAAAGAAGGACGATACATTTTCCAACAAAAAATCAATACTTGTTCGTTCTATCTTCCTTAAATAAAAAATACCCCAAATTCAAGATCCGAAGTTTGGGGAGGCTGGAAATCGAGGGCGGAAGCTCCTCGATTTGGTTGTTCCATAAGGTTAGGACCTGAAAACCCCGTATTTATTCTGGAATATTTCCAATTTCTTGAACCTGAAGATTGACCAAATCGGCAATGTTCGCCGGGACGACGCTGATTTTGTTGTGGCTCAAAGTGAGCCGCGTGATGACGTCAGCATCGACTGGAAAACGTCAAAAATCATTGACGGTCTCAAGGAAAATGAAGAAAATGGCTTATTTATTGAATTATTTTGAATTTTTCCTTCAGAAAAAGGTGTTATCAGCGTCAAAATAATGTTACTTATGCTGCAAAATCTCAAAAATTTCATTTTCAAGACCTTTTTCGAGATTTAAAGAAACTTTTCAACGCCAAAAGACCAGAATAAAAAAATGAAATAAGTTTTCGCCTTTTAAACTTCCTGTATCATAACCATTTAGCATCAGATATACAATGGAAAAAAATCGATATAAATTTAAAAATTTTCAAAACTCCTTCAGAATCATCTTCTTGTAAAACTGAAATTTTGAAAAAAATATCTAGATTTTCTGAACGAAAAAAATTCTTCTTTTTGAAGGTTCCAAATCAGGAAAAACTCAAAAAAATGATTTTATGCATATTTAAAGTGACTCGAAGAACTCGGTCCAGCTTGGAAACCCACTAAAAACCCTTAAGTGCTCACTCAAAAAAACATTCTAGAGAAATCATGTAAGTTCACAGACTCTGGATCAAAATCCTGCTTATCTAGAAAAAAAAATAAAGTCAAAAATGATCTCCGTGGAGTTGAAACAGCTAAAAACCCGAATCCAGCTTCAAACTCTTCAAATATTTCATCAATAAACCCTATAATGCTCACTAGAAAGCTCTCAAGTGTTCACTCAAGTGACCGTTCTAGAAAAACCATGTAACTTCACTAAAAAAAAGAAAGGCAAAAATCAATCTCTGTGGTTTTGAAACAGCCAAAACCCGAATCCAGCGTCAACTCTTCGAATATTTCATCAATATTCCCTATAAGAATCCTTGAAAGCCCCTCAAGTGCTCACTTAAGGGAGCGTTCTCGAAAAACCATGTAAATTCACTGAAAAAAAGTCATAAATAAATAAATCTCTGTGGAGTTGAAACAGTTAAAAACCCGAATCCAGCTTCAAACTCTTCAAATTTTTCATCAATGAACCCTAAATTATCACTAAAAACCCCTCAAGTGCTCACTCAAATGGGCGATCTGGGAAAACGATGCGACATGCTTATCGACGTGATCGATTTCCGTCACCGGCTCGTCTTTCCGCTTCTCCTTGGGCATCTCAAAAATTGAATTTTGCCGCAAAATCGGTACGGCACAAAAAGGCTAACGAAACCATTCGGCGTGGGAATGGGAAGAAAAAAAAACGAGGGACCAAAAAAGACAAATAATACCAGCTGTAGGGCCAGCAAGAGTCCGTGGGAGTGAGAATGTGGGTGCGAGCGCCCGTTTGGCCTTCCTAGTGTACAGCGAGAGACACTATCGGCCCGAAGAGACGCCCGACCAACAGTCGGTTTTGTCGCTTCGCTTTGTGGCTCCTAGAAGACTTCTTGATAGATGCAAGCTGTCCCCGGAGTGGTCACTTAAGGGTTGAGGGCACCATGAAGCCGTAGAAGCGTTCTCTGAGTTGCAGCCATGCCGGAAACGAGGTTTTTTGAAGTATTTCTAGAAGATGGACATAAATTAACCATTGTTCCATTCTTGCAATTCTTCTTTCGATTCTTCAGAACTTCCAGATGTTTAGCGTCCTTCGAAAGCTTGAAGCAGTCTCTTGAGAGCTTAAATATTTCCTTAAGAAGCCCCAACTCTTCAAAGTTCTTCTTGACAGGCGTATGGCGATGGAAAATCACTTGAGAGACGCCAGACCAACAGCCGGTTCGCTTTGTGGCTCCTAGAAGACTTCTTGAGAGATGCAAGCTGTCCCCGGAGTGGTCACTTGAGGGTTGAAGGCACCATGACGCTGTAGGAGCGTTCTCCGGGTTGAAGCCAAGCTGGAAACGAGGTTTTTTGGAGTCTTTCTAGGAGATAAATTGATGAATCAACCATTATTCCATTCTGACAGCTCTTCTTCGATTCTTCAGCACTTCGAGACGTTCAGATTTCATCGATAGCTTGAAGCAATCTCTTAATATTTCAAATTTCCCCTTCAGAAGCGCTTTTCTGCCTCTTCAAAGTTTTTCTTGACAGATGTATGGCGATGGAAAATCACTTGAGAGATGCCATCGTCCAGAAGAGACGCCAGACCAACAGCCGGTTCTGTCGCTCCTAGAAGACTTCTTGATAGATGCAAGCTGTCCCCGGAGTGGTCACTTGAGGGTTAGTAGTGCCATGACGCTGTAGGACCGTTATCCGTGTTGAAACCAAACCGGAAACGAGAGTTTTTGGAGTATTTCTGATGAACTAATCGCTTAAGAGTTGTTTCATTCTAATACTTCGCTTTCGACTCTTCAGGACTTCCAGATGTTTAGCATCCATCAATAACTTGAAGAAATCCCTTAAGATTTCTAATATTCTCTTCAGAAGCGCTTTTCTGACTCTACAAAGTTCTTCTTGACAGACGTATGGCGATGGAAAATCACTTGAGAGATGCCATCATCCCGAAGAGACGCCAGACCAACAGCCGGTTCGCTTTGTGGCTCCTAGAAGGCTTCTTGGTCTTTTAGGGCGGATCTACCCAAGAAGCAATACCATGATTCGTTGGAGGTGAGGAGAACTTTAATTAAATGCATTGGAAATTATAGAAAAAAAGAGCAAAAGTTATTCAGAAGCAGACAAGAAGATGAAGACGAACAAGAGGTGACGGAAAAATCGAAAATAAACGAGAGGAAATTTGGAGTTTCGGTAAGTTTTTCTGAAGCCGGTTTAACTCGAGGCGAATCCGTACCTTGAGCCGTATATTTACTAGTTGGGGATTTTCAATGGAAGTCAATGGACGAAAGCTGGGAGCGGTACACCCAACATAATTGCCGATATCGCAGCGGGCCGCACGCGATATAGCCAAAGCTTCTCGCTGCGATCTCGTCAAAGTCTCGCTGCCATATCGCTCCCTCTCAAAAATTTGAAATTTGAAAAACACTTTTTTTGCTTTATTTTTGACTTTTATGATGAAATCAATCAAATTCAAGAAAAAAACATTTTTGAAGAAAAATTTTTTAGAGAGCGATATAGCGCAAGACGTTTGCGAGGTCGCAGCGAGAGACGAGCGATATCGCTCGCGGCTCCCCCGCGGTATAGCGTTACTCTCGCTGCGATATAGTCCACAACATTGGGTGTAGGAAAGGCTGACGAAGAAATATCCATTTATACTTCACCCTTCTTACTGCTATAATTCACTGAATTATATTTTTCCCATCAGAGAATGAAACACAAACCTGACTCACGATGACGGCGTTTAAAATGTTTTCGGAAGCTTTTTCTGAAAGAAACTCGATTAAAATAAGAAGCTCGCATCATTTCACACACGGAATCGATTGGAAAAAAGTCAAATTGCGAAGAAAAAAGTCAAGAAAACTTTATTTGATCGGTTTTGCAAATTTCGAAAAAAAAAAACAACAACATATCAACCGTGGATAGACCCGATCAACGAAAAAAAGTGAGGGGAATGGCACAGGATTTTTTTTTCGGAAAACAATAAAGCTTTTAATATTATTTATGAACATGGGGAAGAGTATAAAAAATATTTTTTTTCTCAGTAGAGATCAATTTTTGGAGGAGGACATTGGGTGTAGAAAAAAATGTAGCCCTTGTCGGCGGCGTCGAACATCACATCCGACAGATTTTTCTGGAAAAGAATTTGGGGGTTATTTTCGAAAAACTTCAGGAAATCAGCTTTTTCGAAAAATCTCATAAGGGAGGCGGTTGAGATTCTTCTGAAAATTGGCTAGAACTCTAAATGATACACCAAAAGAAGATTTGGAAAATCTCAATCTGCACAACTTTCTACTTTTCGAGAACAGACTCCGTAAATTAATTGAGAACGCTCAAAATCCGTTTTTTGGGGCATTAGACCCTTATTTCTTGAGAGCTAGGAAGTTTTGCAGGTAGAACCTCTCAGAATCTTATCTGGTATATTAAGAGGAGTTCTGGGCAATTTTCAGAGAATTCCCAACCACGTTTCTGACTTCCTTTCAGCTATCAATGGAGATAAAATAGCTCCCCTTGAGTAAAAACTTCAACCTTTCGAGTGATCACTTAAGGAGTGATTCGTTTGTTTTCACAGGTTTTAAGTGAAAAAAAAACCAATAAGCTGGAAAATTTTTCATCAGTTTTCACACCTGATCTTTTTTTATTAATAATCTAGGTCTCCTGGAAAAAAATCTCTTGATCCCGAAAAATTTGCATAGTTTCGATGTTTTTTTGCATACAATTTTCGCATAGCTGAAGAAAAAAACTCTTTTTTTTAAATTTTAAGTTCCTAGCAAAAAAAGAACGAGTTTTCGAAATCTCTGTGAAGTTAAAAAAATTTGCTCAAAAAAATAGAAAGATGTTTTCTAAAGAGACTTTTTTTCTGGTTTTTTTCATGGAGTTCATAGTTTCCCGAACAAAATTTCGACTCTTTGAGGGAAAAAAATTTTTTTCATAAAAAAATATGATTCTAAAAAAATGCCAACGAATTTATATTAAATCTAAAGAAATATTCAACCATTATTTTTTTTCGAAACCCACCTCCTGAATAAAAATCGTCCGAGCAGTAATACCAGCACTGGAGGGCGTGGTCATAGGTGAACGCCGTGTAGTGACCTGATTTTCCGTATTATCATGATTTTTATTGAATATTGCACCAGAATGAAGAGAGTAGCCGTGGTGACAGACGACGGAAACGAGCCGATAGACTGGGAGTCCGTTGGCGCGAACATAGTCGATTTCCGTTTTTTCTTCGTTGGCTACCTGTAAAATTCGCCAACTTACAGTACCGCTCAAAAGTCTATTAAGTTTTGGTTTTTTGGGGATATCTCAGCGAGTACTTATCCGATTTATATATAACTTTCAGGGATAATGTAAAAATATACTTTTGAAACATATACGGTATACAAAGACATGTCCGCAATGACTGTGACGCGTTTTTAGGCATTTTTTTATTGAATTCCATTTTTTTGTTTTTTTTATGCTTTTTATTTTTTTATTTATTTTTTTATTAAATTTTTTTAAAAATTAATAATGTTGCCATATGATTTTTTTTCATGTTTTTCAGACATGGGAAGAACCTTTGGAAATAAGAATTTGACTGATAACGACAAAAGAGCCATCGTTGTGGGTCGTCAAAATGGACTGACCATGATGACGTTGGCAGGAATGTTCGGCGTGACAGAGGCGGGCATTTCTCAGTTCCTAAAGCGTCAGAAAGCTCAAGATGGCTCTACTAACAGCCAACGCACTGGAAGACCACGTGTCACTGATCGTAATGACGATAGGAACATTTTGAAGACGTCTAGAACCAATCCAAGACTCACCGCCCCTGCGATCAGACGGGAAGTTTTCTTGAATTCGCCATCTCCGCCATCCGTCTCGACCGTGAAACGACGTCTGAATGCTGCTGGAATCATGGGAAGACGTCCAGTGAAGAAACCGCTGATTTCTGAAAAGAATCGAGCCGCCAGGCTGAAGTGGGCGAAGGAGCATCTCAACTGGACCCGTCAAGACTGGAACAAGATTCTGTCGTCCGACGAAATCAAGTTCCTCCTCTTCGGAAGTGACGGAATTCAATGAGTTCGTAGACCAATTGGGTCCAGATATCATCCGAAATACCAATTACCCTTTGTGAAACATGGTGGAGGACCGTTTCGTCGGACGACAGAATCTTGTTCCAGTCTTGACGGGTCCAGTTGAGATGCTCCTTCGCCCACTTCACCCTGGCGACTCGATTCTTTTCAGAAATCAGCGGTTTGTTCACTGGACGTCTTCCCATGATTCCAGCAGCATTCAGACGTTGTTTCACGGTCGAGACGGATGGCGGAGATGGCGAATTCAAGCAAACTTCCCGTCTGATCGCAGGGGCGGTGAGTCTTGGATTGGTTCTAGACGTCTTCAAAATGTTCCTATCGTCATTACGATCAGTGACACGTGGTCTTCCAGTGCGTTGGCTGTTAGTAGAGCCATCTTGAGCTTTCTGACGCTTTAGGAACTGAGAAATGCACGCCTCTGTCCCGCCGAACATTCCTGCCAACGACATCATGGTCAGTCCATTTTGACGACCCACAACGATGGCTCTTTTGTCGTTATCAGTCAAATCCTTTTTTTCAGAGGTTCTTCCTATGTCTGAAAACATGAAAAAAATATATGGCAACATTATTACTTTTTAAAAAAATTTAATAGAAATAAATAAAAAAATAAAAAGCATAAAAAAACAAAAATTTGAATTCGAAAAAAATTCCTAAAACGCGTCGCAGTGACTGCGGACATGTATTTGTATACCGTATATGTTTCAAAGTATATTTTACATAATCCCTGAAAGTTATATATAAATCGGATGAGTACTCGCTGAGATATCCTCAAAAAAACCAAAAACTTAATAGACTTTTGAGCGGTACTGTATATTAATATAGTCGACTCGAGAGGCGGGATGGGTAAATTGGCAAGGGTTGAAAACTACAATCTATTGAAAAACGGTCAAAATTGAGGTAAAAAAGCAAAAAGGTGGTTCGGGTTTGACCGCGCCACACACAAAACGCTTTACCCTTGCCAATCTCGCCTTTCTTTTAAATCAGGAAGATTGACTATAGCTGTTTTTTAAGTCGGGAAGGATTGACTATAACTATGTTGGCTTTTCTGGGTTCTCTCCGGTAAAAATCTAGAAGCTCCTTAAATGATATAGTCGATGTGCCACAAGTTGAAATTTCATGGGACGACACTCCGCTGTTTCGATTTGTGCGGTAGCGCGCATCGTGCGAATTTGCCAACCTCGGCCACGCTAACTTATTTTTTTGGTTTTCATTCTAATTTTGATATTTTTTTAGTTGTTTTATTTCTTTAAAATGTATTATTATCGTTGAAAAAGATTGCGTTGTACAAATGTGAACGAAAGAACATAGTAAATTTCATGATCTTCCTCGAAAAATGGGATAAAAAATGTGTGTTTTTGTTAAAGCCATGTTTTAATGTTTTCATCGTTTTTTTTTCTGTTTGTTGCAGTGGTTAATGGATTTTTTCAGAAAGTGAGTGGCTTATAAAATGAAGACGTGTACGCACTATGAAATAGAGAGATCGGTTTCAGTCAACATAATGTTTTTCACTGCTTATTTATCCTCTGGTTGAATTATTGGCATTCCGAAAAATTTTATTCATCCATTGCACCGCCAAAAAGTTCATAAAACTAAAAAATTATCGAAAAAAATGTATTTGAAAACGACAAATTATAAAATGGGAAAGCGTGACCGAGATCCGCAAAGACATTGATTCTTCACGGCCACAAGGCCACCGAGCGGCGTGTCGTTCCATGAAATTTCAACTCGTGGCACATCGACTATAACTTTCCTTCTCGCCATACAACTCTTCGACACATTTTAACCACAAAATTCAATTTCGAGCCCCTAAAACTAGACTAGCTGTTGATGGAGAAAATACAATTTTACACCTAACCAGGGAGTTTTCAGATCTTATGTTGAATGAGACTGGGTTCATAAGATGTAGCTTTTATTGAAGATATGACGGAAAAGTGTAGAAGTTATGTAAAATGCGATAAAAAAGTCTGTATCGTTTTTTTAAAAATTATTTAGGCTTTCCCTTCAAAAATTTCGTCTTTAAAGCTAAAAATCTCTAAAAACAGCCTATTTTCATTACTGAAAGCCTGAATCTATTTCTACTGGATTGTTAACTTTCCAAATGACAACATTTCTCACCCAAGCTTCCATGTCGAACTTCCTCTCCTCTCTGAGGCTGTTCTCCTTGTTTTCCGACGGCGATACACCCCTTTCCCGGACATCCAGAACCACACTGAAGTGGTTGTTATTTCGATTGTCCAGGTAGATATTTCCGTTTCCAGGAGCTAGAAAAAAAAAGTTTTTATCGAAAAAAGAAAGGAAATCCGCACATTGAACCGGCTGGTAGGAGGTCCATTTGTCATGGAGGAAGGTGTGGATCTGAAAAGTCCGAATCGTCTTATTTCTCTGTTTCTCTCTTTTCAAACGCTGTTTTCATGTTCTATGACTTTATCGGTGAGGGAAAAGAGAGTGGAGACGGGTCATACTGTTTCAAAGCGGGGCTTGTGATTCAAAAAGCTGTGGTCGCATTTGGAATGGCTCAAAGCGTTGATGGTCAAACCGGCTTTGAAACAATTTCGAAGTCTTACAGATTTAAAAGGGCTTTTCGATACCCTAGAGCGTAAGTCGTTTTAGGTCCGACGCGCCTTGAGCCAATACAAAGTGGTCCCTATACTGGTTAGGGGGAATAAACAGCCCCTACAGGACACAAAAAGTGCACCTAAAGGGCTAAAATTCATCTGGTCCCTATAGGGATTCAGAGTTCAACCCCTGAGCCCATAAAGCTAAAGTGGTCCCTATAGGGTCTTTCAAACTTTCGCCGAGATTGACAAATTGAAAAAGACAAACTTGATCAAATCATTCTCTGCTGAGATTTTTCATTCAACGCTGCCCTTATAGGTGCCGCATTAGCAAGCTCTTATGGCCCTTATACGTGGAGGTAAAGTGGTCCCTAAAGGGGAATTCTCAGAAACCCTAAAGTTGGGTTACAGGGAACACTCTAGAGTTCCAAAAAATCATTCATTGATTTTTTTTTTCTCATAGAAAATCGTCTTCTTATAGAGTTCATCCCAGGGGTTTTCAAAAGCCCCTAAGGTTAGGTTACAGGGACCATTCTTCCAAAAAATTCTCCAAAGCCCAAAAATTCTTCTTACAGTGCATCGGAGCATCGTCGCAATCACCATGAGTTCCGTCTGAGTGCCCCATTCGCCTTGGCGTTTCATTCTGGATAAATTAAACTTTGATAAATTCTCTCTAGGATTGACATACTCCCGAGCATGAGCCGAAAGTTGCTTCGAAACGTGCCGCTCGAAAAGGTTCGGATTGCTGACCATGAAGTCGCAGACCTGAGTTGAAACGAAAAATTACTTTTTTTGAAACTTGCGGAACCGATGTATCGGAGCATTTCTAGCGGCCACTCTAGTAGCGTAAGCAAGTGCTCTTAAGTGACCCCTAGGAACGCTCAGAAAAGTACGGAGCCGAGGCCCGATACAGAGGAAGCGAAAGATCAATAACTTCCTGAAGAGACGCCAGAGAAATGAGACAAGTTTCTCGTTGTCTCGCGTCTCTTCAAAGACTAGCTTCTGTAGCCTTTTATCGTTGGAATTTTTCAGAGAAGCCAGAAACTAGGAGTTAGAAAATTTCTCAGAAAAACCGAAAACCATGATTTGAAACCATGATAAACATCTGTCTTATAGCAATCCTTCATAGAAAATCTTTCAAAAAACTTAATATCCCTATGATTTTTCACCTTTTCTCGGACAGTGATAAAGTGCTTGACTTCTCCACAGAGCCAGTAAGAAATCGCGCGGAAGAGACAATTCCCATCGGCTTGTACATCCTTGGATCTCGTTGGCGCGACTTTTTTGTCAATTTCGCAGGGTTCTCCGAAATTGGCCTTCGCTCTGAAGTTTGAAATTGGAGAGGGAGGTTAAAACATTAACTGAAAGAATCATGAATTCTGGAAAATGAGCTGGAAAGTAATCTGGATAACTTTTGATGATATGTGGATTCTCTAGAGAAAGTTCAAGAAAATTGAAAGTCATCGAATCCAACTGAATAAAAGGAACATATTCCTCTAATTTTGATCGGAAAGAAGCCGTACATATTCCACTTCTGATGGTCGAGATGAATGCCGAAAATAGCGGACCATTCCTCGTGGACTTCGTCGTCGAGCATCGGATCGAAAGCGATTCTCGAGTTGAGCTTGAATAAAATCATAAGGATTTTTTTTTTCAAAACATCTTTTTACACCTAAACACCTCTACCCACTGTGAATAAATATAGCAAATTTAAAAGCAAAATTTTCGAAATTTGACTGCTGAATTTTGAAAGTAAAGCCGATAACCTGAAATGATCTCTGCCTTCAATTGTACTCATTACCCTAGATCGAAAATTTTAAAAACTCGCACGGAGAATGGCTCAAAGGGCAGCGTTACAAAGCCCATTCAGCTACTACTCTTCAACCTACCAGCGAAACTCGCTTCAGGTCGGGTGCACTAAGAAGCGCTCCAGCAATTTCGAGTGCTTCACCCGACCGTAAACTACTTGCGCGCCGCGACATACTGACTCGAAACAGTCTCACCTTTCTGCACTCTCTTTTCTCTAGCTTCTGAAGCCATAGACAGGTTAAAATAACAGGTGAACTTAAGAATGCGCTAGGCAGAAAGTCGCTCTAGCCAAGATGAAGTTAACTGTTAGAAGGAATCGAAACCGCTACGCTTTTAACCATCTCATCTCTATGGCGAGAGAGAAGAGAGCCCAGACAGGTCAGAATTTTTAAAATCACGACGAATGGACTAACGAACCAAAGGATGACAATTTTGAAAATCCTCACATTCTGATGTATGATTTCGATTCCGCAGTCGGCGCTGAATCTTGTCCGTTTGGCCAACGGCGGCTCATGGTCACGGGAAAAATCTTCCCGGGGGCTCGGAGCTCGACCTCCGCCAGACTGAGGTTCCGATTGTCGCTTAAAAAACTTCAGTGGATCTTTTTTTGAATGCTTCTAGAACCACAATGTTGAGAGGGAAGTCATCAAAGTTGTCCAACATCGAGGCGATACTCTCATAAGATTCTGCTTTTTCGGGAGCCGGATGATGGGTCGGGGTCATGAAACTCGTCAGGGAAGCACTTCTAGAAACGAAATGATCTTGGGAAATATTTCAGAAGGTTTGCGCTAACTCTTAATCACATATCTGGTCCCTTTCTATTCGTCAAAACTCATAACAATATGATTTCTCTGCGCCCTCTCTTGTTTTAGTGTTGTTTACCAGTGTCTATGAGCTTAAAGATGAGGGAAAAGAGAGAGCAGACATGTCAGAAAGTCTCAGAGATGTGTCTAATGAAGAATGACCAAGAATCTCATAGTCTGATGAAACTTCTAAAAGCCGAACCTTCTTCAAACCTCAACTTTACAGTCAAATATTCAGTTACTAGAATTTTCTTGGGCCGCTAAAAAGTAGGATTTAGTTTTTAATAGTCTTTTTTATTATTCTTCTTTCAATAGGCTCAAAAGTGTTCGTTGAACCTACAAAATCTCCCAAAAAATCGTAAAAATCACGAGAAAATAAATCGCCAGTGAACTTTTTTCCAGTTATAAGAAACTTAGAACATTCAGAAATGTTAGAAATTCAATTTGACCCCTTTTTCCTTGATACTTTACCCAGTTCAAGTTGGAAAGCTAGTCAGAAAAAAATATTTCACTAGAAACCCGGTTTTTCGGTCATTTTGAAGCATAAACCAATTTTCCCCCCTAAATACCTCGAAGGAGTCTGCGAAGGCTCATTGATTCTATCCGAGAAGGTCATGAGCTCGTTTGTGTAGAGATATTTGCTGACGAGAACGGGCACGTCCAATTTCTTGACGTCGTGCTTTCCGTACTGCATTTCGTAACGTTTTAATGACACTATTAGGCATCTGAAAAAGGTCATTTTTCTGGAAATCTAAAAAAAAAGGGACATTTCCATGGACAGTTCATACAAATATGTTTCTTTTCCAGGTCATCCCAATGGGTTTAGTTTTTCTAGGTTTTGTCAACTTGAAGATATACGGAACTAACTCCCTGATAAAAAAATTAAAAAGATAGAGACGAAAATTTTTTATTGAACTTCACTCCGACAAAAACCCGATTCGTCTTGTTTTTTTCTTCCCGGAGAGGTCAGAACAACATGAAAACGGTACAAGAACACAAAAGGGTTCAGAACAAAAATTTTGGTAAAGAAAGTACAATCAACTCATAAAAAACCTCCAAAAAATAACCCCCTCACTTTTTTCCCTAGTTCAAATTTCGAAAATATGAACTTTTTCAGGACTAACACCTAGGAGTGGTCTGAAAAGGCAAACCTTCCTAGCTTCATTTTTATTTTCCCGATTTTTCCTTCAAAAAAAAAAAAAACCAACTGAGGCAGTTCCGAAACAGTCGTCGCCATGGTAGACTTTCCGTTGGCGTGGCAACTTTCACATCGGATGCAAGAATTCAAAGAGCACGGATAGGCCATGTCAATGAGCTCTTGGATGGAGGCGTGAGTCCTCAAAGTCATTTTTTAAAAAGAGTATTTTCTTGGTTCTAATAAAATGATAAATTCCTTAGCGGTGTTTTTGAGCTACCAGTTGGCCTGGTAGTTAAGCTTATCTGAAGTTTGTTTCAGAATCTCATCTTCCTAGCGAAAGAAAAAATCGTATAAATCGCATTTTTTTAAAAAAATAAGTATTTTTTTCGAGCCTTTCAAAAACCGCAAACTGTAGAACTCATTCAAAAAAACATGTCACTTTGAAAGTTTGGACCTTCATAATTCGAAAAAAACAAGCTCTAAATTTTGTTTTTCTTATCCTAGAAAAAAAGGAGGTCTCAGATTACACTTGTCAAGTTTCAACAATAGGGGGGCTAAAAAAAGTTCAATTATCAGTTTTTCTGAGGTAAAGAAAATGATTCAATTCTTTCTTTGTCCCTTCTTAAAACTCATTTTGAATAATTCTACGTGGAAAACAGCTTCAGAGCGGTGATTATAAGTTTGCGCCCGACTAAAAACAACTTGCGCGCGCCTTAAAATTTTCAAACTTCAAGAAAAAGCTCAAGTTTCCTGACTCGATCCGTCGCAAATGATATCTATGACAACTTTGAACATCAAGTTCCCTTTTCAGCTTTTGAAGAAATTCGAATACAACTATTTTTTCTGTTAATAATCTCATATTCTCGGTTTCTCTGTTAATAATCTCATTCCGTGTAAAATCTTCACTCGAAGTGGTCGCTCTCATTCTGAGGCTCCCACCTAGAGCACGGTCTCCGGGCTCCAGCACAACATCCGCTACATTCTGAGCTCGTCAAGGCGCAACTGGATGGACTACGCGCAGAAGGACGAGGCGAAGGACCGTAAGACCACGCTTTCAACTCTTTCGACTACACGTTTGGACTTCTAGCTTGCCAAAGGCGGTTGTTCGTTATAGCTTTTAAAGTCTTGTTCACCGCCTAGTCGATTACACCAGACTAAAACAACAAAAATAAATGATTTGATATAAAGTGTCAGCAATAAAGTTATGATTTTTAAAAGCTCTGATAACTTTTCGAGGCCGTTTTTGTCTGATATACATTTTATTTGTTATATAATAATTTTATACCTCGGCGTGACACAAAGATCGAAATTGCACGAAGGGCTGACGAATCGTGCGGCTCCACAATAACAAGATATTCTAAACTTAAAAAAATCAGGGTATTTTTCACGATTATTTCCACCTATCCCTCGTGTACATCTTGAAGATGTTGGTCGCGTTCAGGAATCCTTTTTCGGTGCTTTCAATCTGAAAAAAAAGGGAATGAATATAAACAGAATAGAACTTTTTTTTTCAAACTTTCTGGTCTCTTAAAATTTGTTATTAGTTTACCTGTTCTCATTCTCAAGCTCTGTTTAAAAAAAAGCATGAAAAAAAAAACCTAAAAACGGTAATTCGCTTCGAGACCTGTCTATGCTCCTTTAAAAAAATGAGAAATAAAAAAACATTTTTCGATTTTTCCGGTCTAATTTCGCGTATTTTTTTCAAAAATTTTCGTAGTTTAATCAATAAGTATACCTATCTTTAATTCTAACGTATATTTAAAACATCAAAGAGTGTTAAAAAAACCCTAAAAACGGCGCTTCGCTTTGAGACCTCTGTAAAACTTCCCTACCCATGTTCCTTTAGCCATGAACAGACTTAGAAATTCCAGAGTGGTCCCTATAGTGGTTTAGGTTCTGACCCCTCAGCCGGTCCCTGTTGGGGTCTTTCATCTTCATTTAAAAAACGCCTATTTATTCAATTTTTTGCATTGAAATGTTTCTTCGCTTCATAAAATTTATCGAGTGACATGTCACCTATAAGGACCACTAAATTAAATCCCTATAGGGACCACTTTTGCAAGCTTTAGTGGCCCTTATGTTGGTTAAATGATCTCTAGAGAGATTGGTTGACAAGCTTTTTTTCGAATTTTCAATTTTAATACTATTTTTTTCTGAACTCATTATTTAATATGCCCATTACCATGCTGAAACTTCATTTAAAATTCAAAAAATAGGTTGAAAACTCTGAAAACGACTCGTCGCTTCGAGACGTCTATAAGACATTCCATGCTCCTTTAAACTGCCCAGCTTAAGCTTTCAAAACAATAAATAGTCGATTCGCAGCTGCTAAAGGGCGTAGCCTCTCTGGGCTCTCCACAAACCAGGCACTATCTCTTTTTTTTCGTGTCAGGACCCATTTTTCAATGGCTCAAGCCAGCCGTGATTCAGCTATACTTCTATTTTTTCAATTTTTCAAAAATAAGAAAGGGCAAAACCAAATCAGAAGTGACGTCCGATTCGGCGTATCCCAAGCCAAGCAGTTCAGATTTCGCCCCTTCCGTAAAATCTTCGTCCAATCGCTGCAGGATCAAGTACAAGAACTCGTGGGTGTCCTTTTAATTATATTATTACGACTTCTATTTTTCATAAATTATACTTGCTGATCTTTCGTGGCGAAATCTTCAGAAAACTCGCCCAGGATCATTCGAAAATGCTCGAGGACCTGTAACATAAAATAATGATTTTTATTTTTCGATGATCTTTTTTTTTCGAAACCTGCACATTCAAACTGGTCAATCGCTGGTCTTCATCGAATGCCAGGGCGATTTGAGAAACTTGGGTCAAATGCCGTAGAAACAAAAGTAAAATACTGAAAGCAGATTTTTTATGATCAACGGTTTTTTTTTTCAACTTTTTCCTAACTAAACGAGTAAATATTTTTTTCAGTGGTTTCGCAGCTCTCAAAAAGCAATCAATCAATGAAAATTGCAGCTCTCAAGAACCAATCAATGAAAATTGCAGCTCTCAGAATCAATCAATGAAAATTGCAGTTCTCAACTAATATTCAATCAAAAAAATTGCAGCTCTCAAGGAGCAATCAATCAATAAACTTGCAGCTCTCAAGAAGAAATCAATAAAAACTGCAGCTCTCAGAATCAATCAATGAAAATTGCAGCTCTCAAGAATCAATCAATAAAGTTGCAGCTCTCAAGAAGAAATCAATAAAAACTGCAGCTCTCAGAATCAATCAATGAAAATCGCAGCTCTCAAGAATCAATCAGTAAAAAAATGCAGCTTTCAAGAATCAATCAATACAAATTGCAGCTCTAAAGAGGCGTTCAATAAACATTGCAGCTCTCAAGAATCAATCAATAAAGTTGCAGCTCTCAAGAAGAAATCAATAAAAACTGCAGCTCTCAGAATCAATCAATAAAAATCGCAGCTCTCCAGAATCAATCAATATAAGTTGCAGCTCTCAAAGTGCATTACAAAAATTGCAGCTCTCAAGAAGAAATCAATAAAAATTGCAGCTCTCAGAATCAATCAATACAAATTGCAGCTCTAAAGAGGCGTTCAATAAACATTGCAGCTCTCAAGAATCAATCAATCAATGAAAACTTGCAGCTCTCAATTAATAATCAATCAATAAAAATTGCAGCCCTCAAAGTGCATTACAAGAGTTGCAGCTCTCAAGAATCAATCAATAAAATTGGCAGCTCTCACAGAGCAATCAATAAAAATTGCAGCCCCCAAAAACTGATAATCCAAAATTTGCAGCCCTCGAAAAAATTACAGTCTCCCAAACTCATCGAAAATTCATCTCATTAGAGCATTTTCAACCCTAATTTTCTCGATATTTTCGTAAAATTTCCATCAAACCACTCACTGCAACAACGGATTTCTCTCCTGGTAGAACAATCTGGAGCATTCGTCGAGTCTGGTGACGAAAAGCGGGACGGCCGACAGAGCCTGCAGCATCGAGTTGAAATAACAAGAGTTGCCAATGTTTTCAAGCCTAGAAATTGAACAAAATGACCAGAATTTTGTTCTAAAATCAGACTTTCGAGGAATTTTCCGGACTGCGGCGGCTCTGGACATCCGAGTGTTGTATCGGGTATTCGCATAGGAATAGTTATAAGAGGAGTAATTTTGTTGCGGATAATGTTGTGGGACGAGCTGTCCCGATTGATCCCTGTAATGAGAAAGTAATATTTCAAGGAAATAAAATTAAAGTCTTGAGAATATTCTCGGGCATAACGGCCGCTAAAAGGGCTCAAAAAAGGCCGCAAAGTCATTCCCTTTTTTTTCCACTCACATCGAATCTGTATGCTTTTTAGATGGATACAGATCAACGTGATCCACATCTTTTCTCAAATTTTCCAGAAGCGAATCATCCTGCTGCTCATTATTTTCCGGTGGCAGGCCTGCTGTCGGTCTGAAAGTTCATTTTCTCATTCTTTGTTCCAAAGGTTGAGACGTTGTGAAGAATGGCTGAGGGCATCGCGGTCGCGATGCGGTCGTCAGGGCGCCCGACAAAAAACTACGTACGCTCGGATGCATTCTTGAGAAAGTCGCTCAAGGTTGGGCACAGCTATAGGATGTGTACTGAAGTTGAGAAGACTTTTAGAATGTTTTAAAAAAACGGCATTAGGAAAAAAAAATCAAGTTTTCGACATCGATTAAATTTCACTAGGCTCCATCTTAAGCCGTTAAAATTTCTTGAGTAATTTCCTACTATAGCCGGGTTACGGTGGAATCTATCGTAGGGCGTCAGAAACTACTCGAGTACTTTCTTCATACTGTAGCTGGGTTACGGTGGGATCTATCCAAAGAAAAACGGAAAATGAAAAGAATTTCAATACGAAATCAACTGTCAAGGTGACCGAAAACATAAAAGTTACCGTAGTTTTTAAAAATGCATTAAAAATAATATAAAAACCCCAAAAATTGTCTTACCTATCCATTGATATAAATTTCATCTAAAAAAACACATCATTACTTAGATACGCAGGTTATCCCCCTACCGTAATCCGACTAAAGCAAGAGGGAATGGTTGAACAAATTTTTGACTGAGGATCTGACGGAATATCGTCACACTTGGTAGAACTTCATAATAGTTTTCCAAAAATTTTTTTTGGAAAAATAAGAGAAAACGCAACGCGACCGCGACGCAACGAGCCATTCCAAGAAGAAAATAAGCGCATTTACGTCTGTGCCGTATTGACTGGAGAAATTGCGATTTGAGAAATTGAAGATCGTTCTCGCAACGGGGTCCGTGGAGATTTTGAAGTTAGGAGACCCGGAAGAGTCTTGGGAGTCGTCGGGATGTTGGAGACGGGGCGGAAAGTCGTTTCAGGTCGGTTGAAAGCCGCACGAGCCGAGCTCGTCGTTTGAAGTGCGTCGAGGCTGGAAAAAACCTCAAATTTTTTTTGTTTTTTAACAGAGCTTTGACAGAGGGGGAGTCGATTTACCTCGCCATTTTTGCGAATTTTCTCAAAAAAATCATCGATGGCCTGGGAATCGAACCCAGAAGTCGCTATCTGCGCGAATCCCGAGAATTTTCAAGTAATGAATTTCAAAAAATTCGCATTTTGATGAGAAATTGAAGGTCGATTTTTTTTTACATGGGCAAAAAGCTGATCGGACAAAAAACGAGAAAAAAAGGGAATTAAAAATTTTTTAAGAGAAACTTCATTCAAATCCGTTATAAAAGCCTGGGAAATCGAAAATTTTCGATTGATTCCTCAACTTCTCGATCAAAACTTGAAAAGGGACAACTATAGAGGAATAGTTAACAGTTACCAATTACGTTTATAAAAAGTCCTTCTGTGGGATTTTATGGCAAAACTGCCAGGGCGGCCTATTGGCCTCCATCCAATAGATTAAAAATATTGAATTTCAAACTTGTTCAACAAGAATCAAACCCAAATATGGCAGCATTGGAATTTTTAACCGCTAAACCTGAAAATTTGCGCGACACCACTTCTACCAAACATAAATTGTTGAGCAGATTTGCAAAAAAAAAAAATCCAGAAGGCTAGATAGAAGGACTACCCCCTATGAAGGCCTATCATTGAAAGAGCCTTTCAAAATGGTCACAAAAAATTTTCCCATTGATTTTCATAATTCCTTCTCAACTTACTGTTGGAGGAACGTGGGTCTCGGGATACTCGGAGTCGTTGGGAGGGAAGAAACGCTGGGTCCATCAGCCAGTCTTCCTCTTCTCGGAGAACTACTTAATTTCAAAATTCATCCTCTCATTTCAAACCTCAGGTTAAAAGTATCGAACAGGCAGGATTTGAAAAAAAAAGTATCGTCAGAATATTTTGGAGGAATCTTCTACCTACTTAGGAACAATGGTCTCTACAGGGTTTTAGGGTCTGACTCCTGAGTTCTTAAAGCTTAAGTGGTCCCTATAGGGGTTTACTTTCACGCTCTTCGTTCAGATCAGAAAATTAAAAGGTCAAAAAAAGTCTTTTTCAAGTTTTGGTTCTGGCTTCTGAGCCCCTAAAGCTTAAGTGGTCCCTATAGGGGTTTTTTTTTTTCAATTTTTTGTTCAGATATGAAAATTAATAAGTTAAAAAAGCCTTTTTCAAGTTTCAGTGTTCCCTAAAGGAGAAACTTCAAGGGCCCCTAAGGATTCACCTACAGGGACCACTCCGGGGTTTCTTACATAGTTTTCATTCTGAAGATTAAAAAACAGGAGCAAGGAATTATTTTATTGAATTGATTACATATTTCTGAGTAATTTCCAAATTTTAAAATGAAAAATCTTTCAATTTTTTTCTAGGGAACGGTTTCAAGTTGTTTAATTCATTTTTTTCCGGTCATTTTCTAATTTTTTTGTCATTTTTCAAATTTTTCCCTTGTTCTATTTTTCCAAACTCACTATTCATAAGAACTGGTTCTCTGTGGCGTAGGAACTTTCAATAAGCCAGAATTGCTGGGTCCTTGGGCCAGTCTTTCCCTTTTCGTCAGGCCATCATTTCTTAAATTCATTAATTTTTTGAAGAGAGTCAAAATTGATTTTTGATAGTGAAATTCATCGTAAAACTCTCAGGAAAAATCAAATTTTGGTTGTATAGTCGATTCACGGCTAATTTGGAACGCTGAGGGGGCGTGGCGTGTCTGCGCTCTCCACCAACCATGCACTATTTCTTTTATTATCTGTGTCAGGACCTTTTTTTTTTTTTGATGGCTCAAGTCATCCGTATGAATCTTCTGTTCCCTCTCAAATTTTGAAAAAAAAGTAGAAAAATGATTTTCAATTTTAGTGAAGACATTACACCTATGAAAGACTAAAATTTTCAAATTTCGTGGCTTTTCGAAAATTTTTCGGGATTTATCTGATCAAAAACTATTTCGGAATTTCTTCTGAAGAGGTCGAAAAGGTCCCCCTATTCCCCTTTTTTGCGTTTTTTTTCCTTGTCCTGCACTTACTCCTTCAGAAGGCAAAAATGGGAATCCTTAATAAAACCACGAAAATCGTTCTGCGCTTTTTTATAGTTTACATTTGCTATTTTTCGACCTTTTTTTTCAGCCTTCAAACACTTGGAAATGTTGAAAATCTTCAATAAAACTGCAAAAAATCATTTTAGCCACCTTTTTGCACCTTTTCATCATACAAAATGCGTATTTTTTGATTTAAAATTAAGGAATGTCACAAAAATATCATTCCAGCAGCTTTTTTGCAGATTCCCAACTTCCCCAACTACTCAAGTACCTCTGGACGGGCTCAGCCGATGAAGAAGACGTCAGGAGATTCCTAAATCAATCAAATTTTTCCAAAAAAGGGCAGGATGTGACTAACGATCGCTGTTTCTTTACTGTAGCTTTTCCATTGGTTTTCTTCTGATCCATGAGTGAATTCAAGACTTCCGCGACTATTTCCAAATGCTGGCGAGTTTCGAAATTCAACTTCAACTTTTCCAGTTTCCTGAAAATGACCACGAAGGGTCAACAGCGGTGCAAATAAAAAAATTGTATCAATTTCAAGCTTCCTTTTGGGCCTCGGGCCTAGAAATATCCCAAAATTTCAAATCTGGGAACAGATGGATGTAGATTTTAGTGTATTTATGACTAGATTCAATTTTGGTGAAAAAATAAAAAATCGGGTTTCAATTCATATCATCCACTTTAGTTTCTTTTTCTAATGCAATCTCTCATTCTTCGATCTGTCAATGACTATTTTTTCTTGTGAATGAAATAAACATTTTTAATATTAAACATGAAACTTCTAGCAAAGGAAGCGTCTAAGGTGAATATCTCAGATCTAGTCCAAACTTCCGTGATAGATAATTCTGAGTTCTCATTTAAAAAAACAGAATTATCTGCCAAGCTTCATAGGAGACCATACATGGGCAGACCGACTTTGAAAGCCGCTAACCCCTTCTTCTGATAAAGTCAATACCACGCACTTAACTTGAAAACCTAATTTAATTTTTGTCATGACCACATCCATGGGGTTGAAACTAATCTTTATGCTTCAAGGTCTTTCAAATTTGTTACTTTTGGAAAAAGATAAGGCAATAATAAAGCTTCGATAAGCTTAAAACTTTGTAATCATGAACTTAAATATTTTGGATCAATTTTATCATGAATTGAAAAAAAAAAGTCCAGGAAATGTTCGTCTTATTACATAAATGCATTTGAAAAAAGAGTTAGTAGAAACCGACGGCGCATGGTGTGCATGCCACCGCGCGACAAGTTGCATTTTTCTAAAATGTGATAGTTTTTGGATTTTTTCGAGCTCTATTTTTCACTTTCCGGGTTTAGAATGATGGGAAAGTGTTTTAGCAACTCTTAGTGGCCTCCAATCAAATTTTGAACGCAACGATAAATTCAAATTAAAAAACGTCTTTGAAGGTCTATTTCTCAGTACCCTATGGCGCTTGGCAGATATTTTTTTTATTTCCTATTACTTATATTTAGGAGTACCTAGGACAGAAGTTTGGACAAGGTCTGCAATTCTCACGAAGATTCTAAGGACCCACACTCTCGAAGTTGCGTTGTATTCGCATTCGGGGTCAAACCAAAGTTCCATGAGGAGCCCTTTTCGCGGTTTCACGACCTTGGCGAAGTTGTGCAGAGGGAACACCTGTCAATCGGATCATTTGACTTGGTGGATAGAGATCAATTTGATCCAAGTCATTCTTAAAGTCTTCATAGTCAAGGAAGGTCACTTTAAAACGAGACGATTCTCCGAAATTGCGAAGAACAAAGCTTATGAAGCGAAATTTGGTATTTATAGCCGATTCACGGCTAGCTTGGGGGCGTGGCCTGTCTGCGCTCTCTACTAACCTAGCACTCTCTTTTCTTATCGTGTCAGGACCCGTTTTTCGATGGCTCCAGCTATATAAGGTATTTTCTGAAAGTATAACTCTTTTTGAATGCTTTTTGGAGTTTTGGAACAAAAATACATTGAAAACTGTCTCTAGAGCTTCATTTTAGTTATAAATATCAAGGAAACGGGTTCAAATTTTGAACATGAATATTTTTTTAAGGTTATTTCCTACTCACATGCTGTTGAACTTCCTTTTTTATGTTCGTATACTTGAAAATCAGGCTTCCGCCGTTTTTCTCGTTGATGAAAAAGCTTTGGACAGCCCGAACAGTTGGATTATTCCGGCTGGGAAGGCACATCAAGTAACTGCCCAGTTGGTACTCTATCTGGAATGGTATTTTATTATTTTTGGTCGATTTTTTTTTTCCATTACCAGTTGATCTTTACTGCCATCGTCATCTTTCTCCGGGGTATCCATTGAGAAAGCAGAAAAAAATGCGATTTTTTTAATCTATTATTAGAAGAAGAGTAGCGGTTTCCTAGTAAGAATGCTGGAAAAATCCATAGTAATCCTTTTTTTGAATTAAAAAAATATTAAAAAAAGGAGAAAAATATAGAAAAAAATGTTTTTTTCTTGATTAAATCCAGTTCAAAACTTCACTTTTAAGATAGCGAAAAAGCTTGAAATTTCAAAAAAATTAACCAAATAATTATTTTAAAAAAATAGATAATTTAAAAATTTTTCTAAATTCAGTCCAAACTTAAAAATCAAAAAAATATAATTTTTCAAAAATTTAAAAAAATCGTTCAAAAAAATATTCAGCAAGGTATATAAAGGTCAATCAGAACCGATTCAAAAAAGAAAAACGAGAAAATTTTAAAACGAAGCTTTATTAATAAATGCAGTAAAAAAACACCACGAAAAACGGAACCGGTGTGAGTCCTTGGGGAAAAGAAGGTAACACAAAAATATCTACAATGAAAACATGGCAAAATGGTTAACAATTTTTCGAAATGATAGTTATGAAAAAATTCATTTTTATTCTTTATTGAACTGTTCGAAGCGGTGGAACACGCAAATTTTTGCTCGAACTCTTTTCGGAAGAGTCGCACTTTAAAATTAGAGATTTTCTGAGGCTCGTTTTTGATTTAAAAATGCTGAAAAAAATAAAGTTTCGTGAGGAAATGCTTCAAAAGGCCAGTAAAAAAAATGATTTTGGAGATATTGATCAGATTTTTTTTTAAATGATTTTTGTCGAATCTCCTACTTTCACATTGATTTGTATTTAGAAAAAAATACTTTTCTCACTTTTTCGAGTATTCAGACCGTTTCCTGAACCTTTTTATTTGTTCAAAAAAGAACTATCAGAAAAATTCGTCAAAATTGCGCTAGGAGAATTTTTCTTGAACCTTCTTTCAAGTAATATTGTCCTCCGGGTCCAAATATCACTCTTTTTTCTCATATTCATTCAAAAACCAAACCTTGAAGTTTCCTCTTCATTTTCTTTCGGCGTCATGGAAACTTTCAAAGCTTCCGCGACGATTTCCAGGTTCTCGCGGGTTTCGAAACTCAATTTCAAGCTTTTCAAGGCCCTGAAATTATTAGGTCAGCGCTGTTGATAATACGGACCGCCCGGGGTCGACCCGGCCCCCAAAAAACCATTTTTCCTATATTTTTCACTAGATTTCAACTCTGCGGGTCGGATCTCCCCATAGGAAGCTAAAAAAAACAGCCCAAAAATCATTTATAGGCTTTTTTTCTTCTCGAAAATGAAAACATACGTTTTCTCATTTTTGACACGATCACAATGTGGGTCGAAAAACAGTTCCATGACACGGCCGTTCTGCGGTTTCAGGAAATGAGCGAAATCCTTCACGAACAACGCCTGAAATGCTTGAAAAATGCAAGGAACACCTAATTTTGAGGGTATTTTTTTATAGTCTGTGTGCCACGACATGAAATTTTAAGGAACGACATTCCGCTGTTCCGCTGCGTGCGTTCGCGAAGCGTCTTTCGAATATAGGTTGCTGGAAAGCTTCCAAACGCATACCGAGAAACCAAAAGCCGAAGCTTCCCAACCTTTACCTAAATATAGTCTGTGTGCCACGACTTGAAATTTAACGGAACGACATTCCGCTGTTCCGCTGCGTGCGTTCGCGAAGCGTCTTTGAATCTAGGTAACACGTTCAATTGATTATTAATGCTGTGGGAGCCCATGAAAGTAGAGTACCTTGATAAAAGAAAAAAAAAATTGAAAGCGCGACCAAGATTCGCAAAGGCGCGCAGCGGCACAGCGGAATGTCGTTCGGAGAAATTCCAAGTCGTGGTACACAGACTATACAATTTTTGTATCATTTCGAACAGTACGGCGCCCTGGTCAAGCTGGTTGCCGTACTATCCCTATATGGATAAGCAGCTGATCTTCGGAAATTTCGAAAATCGTCTAACTACATAGGCGAATCGAGGTATATCGCAGGTTCTGAAGTCTCAAGATGGTATCTCGAGTATACTTCTTAGGACTTTGAGCAGCTAAATGAGATAAACTCTCAAGTACCTCCGAGATGACTTTGTGAACACATTTTGGTACCCTCCCGATTCGCCCGTGCACAATCACAAAAAAAACGTGCTGATCTAGGCGTCGTTCTTGACCAGCGACAGTTTTACGAACCGAGAAAAAACTCTTCAACTAATCCATGTTTCAGAAGAGATCCTTCTCTGAAGACTAAAAAAATGTTTCAAAAACATGGTCTTGATCGTTTCTTGATCACTTTTTTGGGTGATAACCGATTTCGATCTAGTATCTCTATGTGAAAAATGAGGCTTTTCAACTTTTTCATCAAATTTTGAGGACTTTCAATGTCAAAAACCTTTTCCTCTCTGAAATTCAAACAAAATGAAATTTTCCGTTTTCTTCCCAATCCCTGATACTACCGTAATAACGCGTCGCGGTCGCGCAGCGTTTTTTGACACGAAGTTAAAAAAATAAGCTGATATTTTTCAAAATACTCAAATTTCCTTGAAAATTGTTCCGACAAATCTAAAAAAAAACCTTTTCTTCAACGTCTTCTGAAAAGATTTTGGGATCGAAAATCATCCTTCCGCCGTCCGATCCATCGATGAAAAGCTTCTTGGCGTCACGACAAGGTGTATTTTCTCCGTTTTTGAAACAAAACCAATAGCTACTCAAATTGAAATCCATCTGGAAAATACTGACATTTTCTGGGCAACTTATTTAATTACCAGTTTCTTCGACGTCGTGCTGGAATCATTTATGACGACATCTTTTTGTACAGGATCCTTGGAAGAATCGGGAAAGCTCAAAAGATTTCAATTACTAAACACGATTATCGGATTTTAAATGCGTTTTTTTTTCAACTTTTTAAAAATGCAAATGGGTCAGAATCAAGCTTGTGGGAGGGCCGGCCCAGTCAGCCCCTTTCCAACCCCATGCCCCCTCCCCCTCCCCTCCGCCCTCTTTTTAAGCAAAAAAACCGGTAAAAAAATTTTTTCGGTGCAAAATTTTTTTGGTGAAACTTTCTCGAGGCATAGCCCGACCTGAGCCCGCACAAGTCCCGAAACCTTAGTCGGGCTAGCCCGGGTCAAGCCGCTCAGACTGCAAAAAAATCAGATGATCAGCAACTTTTTCAGAAAAAAATTACATTAATGAAGAGCGAACTAAAAAGAAAACAATCCCAAAAAAATTTTTTTCATAGGCATAAGTTATGACCCTATAAACATCTTTCATAAATCTAGATATTTCCTCTTAAAAACCTTGGCTCATTTTTCTCCACTCTATTCTGCCAAATCAGTGATTCCAAAGACTCTGCCCCAAGTTCCAAGGTCCGGCGTGTTTTCAGATTCTCGACATGTACACATACAGGAACGCTGAAATTATATCATTTTTTTTACGATCCATATTTTGTTTGAAAGACGTAACTACCGTAACTTGTTACGGTCGCGTTGCGGCTTTTTGGCGAGAAATACAAAAATCCAAACGCGAGTGTAAAAAAAAATGAGGAAAGCCTGACTAAAATGACAGTTCAAAAAAGAAAGCTAAAGAAAAAAAAACAGTAAAAGGCGGTTTTCATTGGAAATTATTCATATTTCTCGCAAAAATCGCTTCACGACGCGTTACCACAATAGTGTCAGGAAACATTAAAATTGCTTGCTACCAGTCCAGCTCATCCCATGTATGATTTTTTTGCTTCCCATCCAAAAACTGACCTAGGCCGTGTTTTCGGTCTTCTATCACGCCTCATCAGAGTGTCCAACGCTTCAGCGACGCATTCCAAGTCGAAACGGGTTTCAAAACACAATTTCATCTTTTGCAGGGCCCTAAAATAGGCGGATGAGAGTTTCATGACTAGTAAAAAAATCTGAGGAAGAAGTTTTGTTAATAATCCTAATGAAAAAAGATAAATGCTATGTTGGGTGCACTCAAAAATGACTCGGATTCTTGAAAAAATCAAAAAAACAACTTCTATAATTATCTTTGACTATTTTATACAATTCAAAAGCTGAACAAGGACAGTTTTTCTGAGATCGCTCACAGCTGAAGGCTTATAAAGTTCATCCTGATCGCCAATATTTGAAAAAAGTCGATCCATTTGCGATCTCTCGTGTTTAAACGCTGTTTCGTTCCTTTGTGAGAGAAAAGAGGGCGCAGACGGGTCAGACTGTTTCAAATTGGGACGAATGACGTCTAACAACTATATTCTTCAAAAATTCACCAAGCAATCTCTCAATATTTTCCAAAACTTGAAAGTTTGGATTGAACTTTTATACTTGAAAGCTTGGCCTAGAAAGTTTTTTTTTTTTGAAAATCAAGAAAATGGCGTTTGTTTGATTGAATTTATCATCAATTCTATTGTTTTTTTCAAAAAATCTTAAAAATCGTGTTTTACAACATATTTGATTTATAGAAAAAGTTATCATAACGCCCTTTTTTTTTCCCAACTCATCCTAAACCCGAATGGCGCAGAACAAGTTTGCGCCTAACATACACTTTTTCCGTTTTGTTAAATTCGCATTCGGGGTCGAGCCAAAGTTCCATGAGAAACCCTTTCCGCGGTCTTATCAACTTGTTGAAACTGTCCATTGGGAAGGTCTGCAATATTTCATATAATTTATTTTTTTCATCGGCTTGAAGCGGCGGAGTTCTGAGTGTTTCTGTGCGTAGCGGTCGCGATGCGTTTTTTGCGCCGAAAATTATCACGTTGAAGGAATCATCTTCACTCAAAGCACTACTTGACATTTATCAATTGATATTAACAAGAAGAATCGTTCAGAGAGGAAGGAGTGAGTTCGAATTGCCGCCTAAAAAGGCATCGCGAGTCTTTCACCATGGAATGTCTGGTCTCAGTTTTCGATGCTGATTCCAAATCTGATCTTAAAAACTGCCGCGGAGGTCTGTGAAAAAAGTTATTGACCGTCAAAAGTCGAAACTTTCAGTCTCGCCGAAAGATCTCACTTTTATATGGCTCTTGTACCACTGCTAAAAGAGAGCCAATAATTATTTTTTCGTTTTTTTTTCAAGTGTGGATATGATTTTTCAAAGCTTCGCCAAAAATTAATGCGATGCGGTCTGAAGCAACAGTAGCGAGAAGTTCAGACTTCCAATCAGCGTGAGAAACTGCAGTAGCGTCAGAGGAGATACGAAAAACGCAATTTTGGTCACAAATTTCTTCTAAAGAATTCAATCTTTCTGAAGCTGAGTTTTAATTTCTGTGAACTGGAACTTCATCAGATTGTTAAAAATAACTATAATCACAACTCCAATAAATCTCAGAAAGATTGAATTCCTTACAAGTAAGTTGTGGCTGGAACTCGGTTTTTTGGTGTCTTTTCTGACGGTACTGTACGTCTAGTAAACTATTTCCCATTCGGAAATCTCACTGTGACCAGGGACAATTTCATGGTGAGCTCCTCCAAGTGTTCTTTCTTCATACAGTTTCAAAAATAATTCGAAAGAATTCCACCAAATTTTAAGTACGATAATAAAAGTTTAAGCTTCATTTGGACTGGTTTTTTTTCCAAAGACTATTTAAAACTGTTTTTTAAAAAATTCCTTTGAAACACATTACCGCGAAACGCTATGAAAAACCTTCCTTACGGATCAAAAAACTCGATTAAAAAAAATTTCTTTTCAATCACCTGTTGTTGAACTTCCCTTTTGATGTTCGTATACTCGAAAATCAGGCTTCCGCCGTTTTTATCGTCGAGATAAAAGTTCTTGACGGCGCGAACAGTTGGATTATTCGGACGGATAGGGCACATCAAATAGCTACTCAATTGGTACTTTGTCTGTAAAAGAACATTTTTCTCGGGGGATTTTTTCTATTCATTACCAGTCCGTCCGATGACGAACAATAATCCTTCAAGAAGACATCTGTTGGTACAGGATTTTTGGAAGGAATCGAACGTCTTAAAATATTTTTCTATTATTGATAAATTTACGGAAAATTGGCTTTTTCGTAAAATTTCGCTTCTGCATGCGCCGAACTGCCACAAAATTAAAAAAATCACCGATTTTTCACAAAAAAAAAAGTCTTGCAACGATGAGCAGAGGAAAATCATGAATTTTCAAGTTTTGCCTCCATTTTCCCTCTCAAAAACAGACCTTGATTCATTGTTCTCCGTTTTATTCTGCCGAATAAGCGGTTCCAAAGTTTCCGCGACACGTTCCAAGGTCTGGCGTGTTACGAAGTACAGTTCCAATTTGCCAAGAACCCTGAAATCAGAGTCCGAAGTTTAACGGCAAGTCGGAAAGAGTGTAAAAAGACCCCATATAAATGTTCCTTTCAGGGTGACAAGGGATCCTTTTTTGCTGCCTTTTGAGCCATTTCATCAGCTTTTATCCACCATTTTTGCTGCCTCTCCCTTCTTCCACCATTTCTTGAGCCTTTAAAATCCCAGAAAAATGGAAAAAGCAACTCTTTTTGCTGCCTTTATGCGGCTTTTTTTGAGCCTCTCCATTTTAGCGGCCATCATTCATCATTCCCACTTTGCCCGAGTTGAAAGGTAAAACAAACTTTTGTATTTCTGAAGCTTCAAAAAGAAAAAACAAGGGCTAAAATTTCTGAACAAAATAGGAAACTTTTCAGACAGCGATTCATTTATGAAAATTCGTCAAGGCAATTTCAGGAAAAATCTCAAAAAAAAAAACTTTTTTTGTGGCTGAAATTAGATTTTTATCATCACAAACGTACTGATTTTTCATATTTCACGCGATCGAACGAAAAATTGCAAGATGCGACCTTCGGGTGGTACCACCATTTGAGCGAACTCCTTCACAGGAAACTCCTGAAAAAACTATTTTTGAGCAAATATTCCGAATTTGTTCGATTCCTCAATTAGGAAGAAAAAAATAAGGGGAATTATAAAAATCAGTTCAAAAATACTGAAAGCCAAAACCTATAAATACCGGATTCTTTTCAAATAAGAAAACTTTGCGCGTCCAACCAGCCTTTTTCAGACTTCTTGGACCTGTGCAACTTTTAAGATTGAAAAAAACGGAAAAATTTTTTGTTGAAAGTTTTCCCGCTCCAACTAATGTTCACGAGGAAAATCACGAAAAGTTCCATAAAAATAATTTTTCGACAAAATAATTTCAGATGTCATAAAGGTTGAAACGAATGCGTTTCCAAGCTTCAAACTCCAAAAATAATTGCAAAAGGAGGGGTAAAAAAATAAGGCGGAAAAAAAAGATGGAAAAAGGAGATTCCGAAAAACTTTTGACACCTTTTTAGGAACTTAAAAAGGAGCTTTTTAGGATCTTCTTTTTTGGCCTTTTTAGTCGTTCGGACTTTGCCCGTGTCCACAGAATCGCAATACCCACCACGTCGGCATTTGAAACTTGAGTTACGGCGTGCAAACAAAAAGTCATTTTACGCGAATTAAATAAATCTTTTCACGCAAGTTTTAAAAAATCCGGTATTTAGCTATTAGCCGTCTCAAGGCTAACTTGGGAAACTGAGGGGGCGTGGCGTGTCTGCGCTCTCCACTAACCAAGGACTCTCTTCTCAGGACCCTTTTCTCGATGGCTCAAGCCAGCTGTGAATTAGCTACACAAGAAAAATGGCAAAATCGCTTCAAAATACTAAGATTCTTCTCAAACCGCACAAAATATATTTTATTTTGTAACATTCGAAATCAAAAAAATTGAATTTTTTACCCACCTGTTGAAGGAAATCATCCCCCGTGCTTTTATAGCTGAAAATTAAGCTTCCACCGTTCTTTTTCGTCGATGAAAAGGCTCTTGACGTCCCGACACATTGCGTTATTCCCTGTCGGCAGAAATCAGAAGATAACTATTCAAGTTATATTTATTCTGAAGTGAAAAAAAGGTTATCAAAATTTCCTTTTTTTAATCTCACCCGCTGATATGACGACGTGCTGGCGTCATTTGGAATCGGATCCATTGAGAAACTTTTTTTCTTAAATGTAAAATTTAATTTTTTTGACGCAATAATGGACGATTTAGACCTAAAAAAATCGGAGATAAAAAGAAAATGGGAAAAAAATCTGATTGACAAAGTATTTCCTTCCTATTTTAAATGCCCATAGACCTTTTTTTTGATTAATAGTTCGGAATATTGACAAATATAAAAAAGGAGAAAAAAAAACCAAATTCTTGCTCGTAAGTATGCTTTTCTCGCATCAAAATAAGCTTAAATATAGTCTGTGTACCACGACTTGGAATTTCACCGAACGACATTCCGCTGTTCCGCTGCGTGCCTTTGCGCGCTTTTGATTTTTCATTTTATTTGAAAACTCGACCAGCACGTGCTCCTAGTGGAACAGTCTATCTATCAGAAATGAGAACCCATTCAAAGCGAGACCGGGGCTCGCAAAGACGCTTCGCGACGCATCGGTACAGCGGAATGTCGTTCGGTGAAATTTCAAGTCGTGGCACACAGACTATATAATCTTTTTAAATTTATTTTGTGAATTCTGTAAAATTTTTCAAGATCTCCTCAACTTTTTTTAAATTGATCTGGCTAGTGAAAGTTTTGAAAGACACGCTTCTATTGAAAAATAATAATAAATCGGAAAAAAATTTGACGGGTTTCGAAATTAATTTGAAACTTACTGAAATCAACTTCGAAAGATCTCGTTTCTTTAAAAATGACCGATTCTTACTAATTAATTCAAGAAAAAACTACGAAGCATTTTTTTCGAACAAGTGCTACGGGAAAAATCGTCAAAAAAATCAATCTTTCAATCACAGAACTAAAAAAAAATGCAAGAATTTCACGTATAAAAAAGCTCAAAATTACAAAAAAAATCACGAAATAAAAATATAAAGGTCAATCAGAACCAAATCCCGAAAAAAGTTCCAATAAATCAAAATGGAAAACATTTATCAAGGCACGCCGTAAATCTTCACAGGAAAAATGTGTCAAACCGGTAGAATTCGATGCAAAAAAGGAAGTGCAATATTCGACAATGAGACTATGGGAAATGCACAAAGTGGCCCGAAAAATGGTTATTTTTCCTCTTTTTCCGACATCATTCGGTTGAAAAAATCGAGGAAATCGTCGTTGAATTGGTCGAAACGAGGGTAGACGCGCAGTTGGGCTCGGATCCACTTGGAAACTCTTGCAGAAGCGGCTCCTTGAATGGAAAATAATGGAGATGGACTTATTTTAGCTGAAGGGGACAAAAAAAAGAAGTGAAACTGTATAGAAAAGATCAAGAAAGAGGGAGTCTTTTGAGAAAAAAAAGGGCGGGTTTTTTTTTTCCAATAGTCCATTTTTTTTCTTTTTTTTTCCACCTCGAAAAGGTCTTCCCAAGAAAATTAACTAAGTTTAAGCTCTATTTTAACTATTTAAAAAATGAAAAAAGGTCAGAAATCAAGATAATCAACGCGAAAATGGACAAAAATGACCAAAAGTTAGAAAAATTAATGGGAATTCGAGCTCAAAATAAACATTTGAATATTTTTGACCTCCCATAAAGTTTTATACCAATAGAATTTCAAATACCTTGAAGCTGATTCCGGCTGGCCTGTCTTTCCAGTCGTTCATCCAACAAAATCAACGCTCCCCAGTCATTTTTATGCCGTAGACATCTGAAATCGGGACATGGAAGATGGGGAAAAGGGTAGATCGAAATATTCTTCGCTTAAGTCTGTATGAGGGATGCCTAAGACACGAAATTTAAGCTTAAACTTGCCACGATGTTTATTTCTTTTCCGAGCTAGAGAACCCTTCTCTTCGAAGCGGGCGGCCTTTCTCAGGACAAGCGCCTTTAATATGACGGAAACTTTAAGACTAGATAAAAGGTTCGCGCATAGAGATAGGCAGCACGCATCGAAGGCAGGCTTGTGCGAGGGCCGGCCCGTCAACCTCTCGGCCCCCGGCAACTTCCCAAGCCCGGCCCGGCCCGAGGGAGGCCTTAAGCAAAAATGGCCGGCCCGGCCCAAAAAACTCAAGTTTTCTTCAAGTCGAATTTTCCGCTTTTTTAACGAGAAAAGTGGTATTTTTTGCTTATTTTTTCTCATAGAGTTATTAGAAACTATGATTTAACAAGTAAAAATAATTTTTCCGTGAAATCTTTTCGGCCCACGCAGGCTTTTTTTTTTAAATTGTAGGCTCAAAGCCCGGGCGGGGCCGCCTGACGCACAAGCCTGATCGAAAGTAAACTTCTCAAAAGGGTGCAGTAGCTCGGAAAAAAAAAATCGGGACAAAATGGGCTATACTCGGAAACGATTCGTGCTGAGATCTTATCTCAAACTTGACCCGTCACAAAATCAACAATCTCGTCTTAACCAACTACTTTCTGTTAAAAACCGTCAAGCTCGTCCTGATTAAATTTTTCAAATTCACAGATTTTTTTTTCCTCGAGGTAATTTCGAGACGAAAAACGTCGTTTTTCGGGTCTAAATCTCGACTTTCTTGGACTTTTCTTTGAATTAAGGGTAATTTCGAGTCCAATTTTATACTCTCGATTTTTTTTTTTGACTTCAATCTTAACGCAGTCTTCGAAAACTGTGTCTACCTGGTCCGTAATAAGGAAATCCTTATCAAAAATCAAAAACCGAGCCAAAAAAACGGAAAACAATCTTTTTTTACTCCCTTATTTGACACAAAATCATGGAAAATGATCATTTTAATCATAAAAAACTTCTAACCAATATCACAAGTTTGATAATATATTTTCTCACCTTCCGAGAGCCTGATTGAGAGCTCGGTAGGCCTGTGTGACGTACCATTCTTCTCCGTTCAAAATTCCCAGGATTTTACTGTTCTCATCGTTGTACTTTCGCTTCGTGGATACCTAAGAAATCATTTTTTTTTTCGAACGAAAAAAAATTCATGAAAAAAGATCAACTGAACATGTTTATAAGTCTTTCTTCTACAGGAAAAATAAAAAACGAGAAAAATAGTCTTTTTTTCGCGATTTGAAAGGGCGGGACTTCTCTGCGCCCTCCTTATCTCTCGACGTCTCTCTCAGGTTTACGTGCTATTTTCATGTTTCTCTGCCCTCGCCGGTGAGAGAACAAAGAGACGCAGACACGCGGAAACTGTCAACGGCCCATATAAGGCAGAAATTGGACGAAAATCAAATAATTTTTAAAAAAATTTTAAAAACGTGTCCTTTCCTCAACCTATTTAAAACACGTTTCAACATCATTATAATAACTTTTTTCCAATTTCAGTCAATAGTTCCGTTCTAAATCGTATCCAAAAATCACAAATCACCAATTCATCAACGGAATTCGGGAACGGAATTCCCACTGAAATGACGACCCGGGCTCGATCGTCCGCAAAATCGATACCTTCGGAGATCTGAGGCATTTTTCTTTGATTTTGACCTTTTTTATTTTTAAACCTTCCCCCTGAACACAGCAAACATTAAGGCGCCATCAATCATGGAGCCAAATTTCCTTGGATTCTGGATGGCTTCTTCGAATTTATCCATGACCATTCCTAGTTCTGAAGACCTTCTCGGCTCGAAAAGAACGACCTAGAAATAAATTTAGATATTCAAAAAAAGCGATAAACTTCTACAAACGCTTCAAAGATGGAGGAATAATGGATAATTCAATTTTTAGCTTTCAATTAAATTTTCCTTGATTTTAATCTCGAAACAAGGGTCCGAGAGCTCATTTTTCGCAATAAATTACAGTATCACTAAAGTGTTCATCTTTTTTCAAGTCAATTTCCCCAATCAGGACCTTTTTCAGCTCGATCTGTCTCAGCCAAACTTTCCGTTCCATGTGCTGTTTCAACTGATCGAGAAGTCTGTAACTCGGGACAAAGCAAAGGACGCCGGCCGGCACTTTCAGACACACGTCTCTGAAAGCTTGATTTTCGATAATGACTCATTTATTTCTAAAAAATGCTCAGGAACTACAGAGGGGTCCTTAGAGGGGTTGAAAAAGCTCATATAGGCTCCCTATAGGGGTAAAATTTAAGGGGTTCCTATAGGGATTTAGAATCTGACCCTTAGGCCCCTAATGCTTGAGTAGTCCCTATAGGGAATGGGTAGAGTGGTCCCTAAAGGGAAAACTTCAAGGATCCCTGAGATTGCCTCTTTAGGGTCAACTCTGGCGTGGAAAAATCACATATTCGATTTGAAAGTTTTCCAACATATTTTTTTGAAAAAAAGATTCATCAAATCAAAAAAATCAAAGAAATCAAGTGACAAATTTTTTTGGTCTCGATAAAACAGATGATAGAAATATATAGAAACTTTCTTATAACTCTAAAAATTGAAAATAATAATTTTTGATGCAAAATTATTCATTCGCATAATTCGTTTTTTAATGAATTCAAGTCCAAAAAGACGCAAAAAGGAGAATAAAAAATGAGCTCAAACGAGATTTTTTTTCAAAAAAATGCAGCAAAAATCAACAGAAAAAACTTTTTTTCGTCTCTAAATTTTTTATTTTTCTTTCGAAATTTTAACCTCAAATTTGAATTAGTTCTCTAATCGCTTTTGAAGTTTCTAAAATCTGGAAAAACGGCTCTTTTTCTCTTAAAACTTACCTAATAAGCGTGCCAACTTCCGCGTAAAACGGACTCTCAATATCCGAAGTATTTCTGTAAGTGGCTTGTAGTCTCGACCCATTTGGACCCTAAATATCCTATTCTCCTTCTTTTGTGATTTTTTTCCTGAAACCGTAGGCAGGACAGCGGCGAAAATGCGCTCCGACGGAATCACTTGGTCGCCTTCCATTTGAGCTTTGAACTCGACACCGAGTTCAGTTTTAAGGGTATCCATTGGGCAAAGGGTTCCCGAGGCTAGAATGACTGATCTGGCGTCGGAAAATGCTCCGCGGAAGGCCTAAAATGAATAATTTCACCAATGATCTGTAGAAATTTTTTTTGAATCGTGGTGAACCGAAATATTACGAGGCTTCTGGGCTTTTCGTATTGAAAATTTCAATGTTCTAATAAAAAAGACGATCAAAAATCATGACTTTTTCTGGCGCTCAGGTCCAATTTACATACTGTAGTGTCAAAAAAGAACTTGAATTTTTTTAGAGAACGAAAATTTCAGAACTTTACTGTTTCAAAAACTTTCGTGTTTTCAAATACTAATCTCCTATATCAACAAGTTCGCCAGCTAAAAAACCTCAGAAAAAAATTTGATCGCCAAAAATTTTCCTCTAATTTTTAATATCCTTTTTAGATGACGGCCCCCGGGATCCAGCTACAAAGTATTCTACATTCTGAGCTCATTAAGAATAAACTGAATGGAATACGCACTGAGGAACAAGGCGGAAGGCCGTGAGACCATGCTTTTAACTTGATCAACTACACGAACAAGTCTCAGGTTTAGACTGACTTGAAAAAAAGGGCGTTATGATACCCTGTTTTTTTAAAAATAAACCACAATTTTTGAACTTTTTTTACGAATAGTAGAAAGCTTTGAAAAAAATTGTATCTGGGCAAAAAAATCAATGAATTTAAACCAAATTTCGTCACAAAATGTGAAATAATTTTTTTCAAGTTTTGAAAAATCTAATATCTCAGGCTTGGACTTCTAGTTCGTTTAAGGCAATGTTTCGATACGACTTTTGAATTTTGACCAAAGCCTAATAGTCATACCTGGGCGAGTATAAAGCAAAAATTGTCCAGGAGGGGTAGGTTTACAAAAATTGGCCAAAACACCGAGTAGAAATTATTTTTAAGCTCTTCCGCAACAAATGATACAATTTTTAACCTCAGGAAGCGACTTCCAATTCAAAATACTTGGGAGGTAGGGTTTGTGGCCTCTAAAAATGATTTGTTCATGTATACTAGTCGATTACATCTACATGACTATATATTGATTGATTGATTGATTGCTTGATATCGACTGATTAATCATCAAAAACGGACCAAAGCCGGACTCATGCACCAGAGACTAATGGTGGTCTTGCACCCGGCGGCGATCGGTTCTTCTCCAGCCTGACTCATCCGCGAATCATTCCAGACGTCGTCGTCGTCGTCCTCCTCGAGCCACGGGTTCTTCTTCTCCCCGGGCAGGGGAGAATCCATCGGGAGAGGCGTTTCTTGGGTGTACTTGTTGTTTCTCGGCCCCGCGCCTCTTTGGCTCCATTGCCTACCCCCGCCATTGTAATCTCCAAAGAGCTTTTTCTGCTCCTCGATACAAATGTTCATTCTGAAGACTTCATTTCGATTAATATTTGCATAATTGGGAGGAAACCTATAAGTGGTCTGATACTCCTCCCTGCCAAAGTAGTCTTGAAAATAGAGCCACTTTTCGATGCAGACTATCGCCACACCGCTGGGTCGATATTGATCCATCCAGATCATGTCGCCTTCGTGATGGGTTGTTGCGGCGCCATAGGCCGCCTGAATGTTGAAATATGATTTTTTGGGCCCCTCCTACATCAAAATATGCTCTTTTTTAAGATTTTTTGAAAAAAGAAGAAGTTAGGGACAAAAAATATCGAAAATGCAAGGACAAGGGCGACCTCATAGAAAAAGCCTTACTTCTCTGGAGTCTCTTCAGTCCGCATTAATCTTTTTTTCAACCTTATGGGTCTTTTACTATTCGGTTATAATTTTTCCTTTGATTCACAATGAAACCGAAATTCTAGATAAGCTTGGGCTCAAAGAGGAATCAGAGAAGAAGGGAATATATTTTTATGGCGTCTCAGTAGGCCGCTCTTGACCTCTTTTCAACTGAATTTAGTATTTTAGAAGTCATTTGATTCCAAGTTTTTTCGATTGATTTAAAGTTTTTTTTTTGGTTTTTAGCTGGTTATATTCAATTATAGGCAACAAAAAATCAATGTTTTTTAACTAGTTCTATTTAGAGCAAAATTTGTTCGAAATACAGGAAAATCAGCTCATTTTAGAGCTTACTGCGATCATTGTTCACCAGAAAAGTGAAGTCAAAAAAAATTGAAAAAAGCGGATAACATGAATCTTAAAATGATCCTAATTTCCTTTCCCTCTATCTTCTACCAATAAAAGTTGATTTCAAATCAATACGAACAATGATTTCTTTGTATTCTTTCGAGTCGGGCGGCGTAAAAATATTGATTCCTTGGTCGATATTGGTCAAGGAGGCGAGAAGGTCCGCCCAGGACCTGAAACATGAAAATGACCACTTCTTCACTTTACTGCGAAAAACTCTAGTGGTCCCTCAAGAGGTTCAAGGGCTACTTGGAGAGGACACTTAAGTGGCCACTAAAAACACAACCTCTATAGGAGCCATTATTTTGCGTCTTAGTGGGTACTAAAGCAGTTTTTAGGGTTCTAGTAATACCACTACTTGGACTTCTAAAAAGGCCACTAAATTTTAATCAGTTAATTGGTCATTATTTAGACTACTCTAGGGGCCATTCAAACGCCGAAACCCTGAAGTGGCTACTACAACCACCTTTATAGAAGCCACTATACATATTGCGCCTTACTAAAGCAGTTTTTCAGGGCTCTATTAGTACCTCTTCGACTCCTAAAGAGGTAACTAAACTTTAGTGATTGAAAGGGCCACTATTTCGACTACTAGAGTGGCCACTAGTACCGCCTCTATAGGAGTCACTATTCTGCGCCTTAGTGACCCCTACAGTAGTTTTTTGGAGTCTAGTAGTACCACTTAGATTCCTAAAAAGGCCATTAAATTTTAGCCACTTAAGAGGCCACTATATTAACTAATAGAAGCCACTAAAACACCGAAACCCTCAAGTGACCTCTATAACCAGCTCTATAGAAGCCATTATTTGGTGCCTTAGTGACCACTATAGTAGTTTTCAATGGTCAAATAGTACCTTTCAGACTTCTGAAGAAGCCACTAAATTTTGGTCACTTGAGTGGCCACTAATCCGACTACTACATGGACCACTAAAACGTCAAAACCGCCAAATCGCCCCTAAACCTCTATTCTGCGTCATAGTGGCCACTATATTAGTTTTTTAGGGCTCTAGTAGTACCATTTGGTTCACTAAAAAGGTCACTAACTTGTATTAACTTAAATGGCCACTAAAACTTCTAAACCCTGAAGTGGCCACTAAAACCATCTCTTTAGACACCACTCATTCACCTTTTAGTGGGAACTACATCAGTTTTTCAGGGTCCTAAAGAGGTCACTCAATTTAGACACTTGAATGACCACTAAAACTTCTAAACCCTCAAGAGGCCACTAAAAAATCTACCAATATCTACACCTTACATCGTGTTCGTCTTCTTTCCATCTCTTCCCATCGGTTTTGTCTTTGCCGTTTCAGCCATGTAGCGGAACCAACGAGAGACATGGCTCATGAGATTTTCGAGCTGAAAATTCATATTATTCATGAAAATTCTCTCAATAAACTGAACCAAAATGAGATTCGATCGAATTTCGTGATACTGATCGACTTTTTCTCTGTTTTCTCGCTCAGAATTGGACATGAATCCGGAATTTGCTATGTCTATCTCACCTGTCAGTTCATTTTCTGAAAAATTCCTTCTATTAACTTCTTTTTTTTTCATCTTTTCAATACGTTTAGTTCTCAAGGAAGTCAAGCAGTCGTCAATTTCCTTCTCGGTGAAGGAAAAGCTGGCGGCATCGCGACAAGTATCCTCAATATTGTGGGCCTCGTCCAAAATGATTATCGAGTTTTTGACGTGAACATCGGAAGAAGCTCGGATTATCGGGTCTGAAATTTCCCTTTTTGTTGGAAAGTTTTTTGAGGAGACTGATCGAAAAGTGGTCTGAGCTAGACGGTCCATAAATCAATGAAAGTCGATTGCACATGTACTCTCACATTGAAGATGCAATAAACAGTTTTTTTTTTAAAACAGATCGAAAATTGACGCAAAACCTTCCCACGGCCTTTACTTTCCCACGTTGTATAACGTTTTGATAAGGAATTTTCCTATTTCACGTTCAGAAAAAAAAAACTTAAAGTGAATTTGTTTGAAAGACACCTTACATTATGATTTATTCCTTTTTTTATCTTTTTTTTATTTTTCAATTAAGTTTTTTTGAACGATAAGAAAGGAGAAGTTCATAAGGAAAGGGCTTCTATATAACGGAAAGTTTTTTTCATAGCTAATTCGAAAATTTTCAACAATTTTTTTCACAGGAAAGCGTCGGTTAAACAGAATTCCAAAAAAATATTTTTGAAAAAAAGCGGTTATACTTTCTTTAAATTTAGTAATGAAACAAATAGTTATTTTCTTCAATTTTTTTAGGAATTCAAAAAAAGTTTCTATATAATTTTGTCGTTGGACAAAAAAAGTTATTATTTCATTTCTTTCATTTTATTTGATTTTATATATATTCTTTTTTTCAAAAAGGATGTAGGAAAAACTTTCAAACTAAAAGCTTGTCTAAGTGGTTTCTATAGGGGACATGCTAGTCGATGAAATAACACTATGCGAAGAGGCATTTCAATGCAAAAAAACTATAAAAAAATAACCTTTTTTTCGAATAAAATTAAAAAAAGCCCTATAGGGACCACTCAAACTTTAGGAGCTAAGGGGTCAGACCTTACTAGTTAAAACCCTATAGCAACCACCTTGATTTCACCCCTATAGGGATCACTTTTTCGATCCTTATAGTGGCTGTTTTTCCTTCGAAACCCCATAGGAGCCACTCTAAAATTCACAAGAATTTCTAACAAATCTTTTTTTTTTGTACACGAAACCCACCAACAAGATAACTGAAGGGACAAAAAATCAAGTCAGCATCTTGGGTCAAAACTCTCGTCGAGCAGAAATACGGACACAGGGCCGGTCTAGAGATCGACAAGGTTTCCACCAATTCTTCAATATCAAAAACGTTGCTGCCCTAAATTATTTTCTTCTATTTTCAAATAGGAAATCGATAAAACTACATTCATTCGGATATGAGCTCTCAACATGGACGCCTTTTCAAACCGCGGCTTCATGGCCACCTTAAAGTTGCATCCTATCTGAAAATAGATAGATTTTTAACAGATTTGAATAGTTTCTGAAACCCCATCTTGTGAATTGATATCTTTGCAATATTGAGAAATGTCGAAAGATTTTCTAGCCACCGGATTGATACAGGATTGCTCGCGACTCGCCAGAATCGTGTGCCTAGAAAATAACAAAATGGGATTTTGAAAAGAAGAAAACATAGCTTTATTTAAAGTTTCAAAAAATAAAATTCAACCAAACAGGAAGCAAATAAAGAAATGAAAAAAAAGAGGCCGAAATGCCGGGAAACGTTTTTTTCTCAAGGAAAAGAGCGTAGAAAACTCTCGAAGATTATATAAATCAATAAAAGTCTACTAATAGTTCTGCAAGGTTTTCAAATGTTTTAAAGTCGGGAAAGCGGAACAAATCGAACAAAAAAAAGCGGAAAGTCTTTGAAAAAATGCTAAGAAAATATTTCATGTAGTTTTCCATGGAAGCCCTTTGAAGATTGAAAAAAATATGAGGATCAGTTGAGAAAACTGCTTGATTTCTAATTTCTTAAATCAAAAAAATACTATTTTCCTTCAACAAGAAGGAAAAAAATTAATAAAAATTAGATTAATAAGGGCGGAGAAAAATATGAAAGCCTACACGAATTTTGAACTTTTTTTCCTTATCGAAAAAAATGATTATAAAAAAATGCTGAAATTATGATATTTCAATAATTTCCAGGAAAGTCTTTTGAAGATGAGAAAAATATGAGGACCACAACGAAGAAACTTCAATTTCGATTTTCAAACCAAGAAAAAAATTTTTCAATGTTAGGAAAAAAATAAAAAAATAGAAATAAATAAGGATGGACAAAGGCCAAAAGAATACTGAAAGTTCTGAAAGGTTCCTGAACTTTTTTAAAAAAGGAAAAGGAAAAGATTCGAGCGAAAAGAGGCGAAAAATTTTAGGAAAAGGGATAAAAACATTATTTTTCAAGATTTTTTTCATGAAGGTCTTTTTGAATTTAAGAGAAAAATGAGGATCAATACAAAAACTACTGACAATTTTGAAGAATATGTAACAAGAAAAACGTGCAGAAAACTATAATCAATCAGAAAAATAATTCCGATAAAGGAAAAAAATCGAACGAAAAAGACAAGAAAAAAAGTTGACAAAAAAATTGCTAAAATTGAGATTTTTTTCAATAATTTCCATGAAAGCCTTTTTGAAGATAGGAGAAAATATAAGGATCAATGAGAAATACTGACATTTTTGAACAATATTAGACAAGAAAAGCACAAAAAAAAATATTTTAATCAGAAAATCAATCCGATAAACTTTCTCTACGGGACAGGGAAAAAATCGAACGAAAAGACACGAAAAATGTTGAAAAAAAAAGCTAAAAATAAAATTTTTCAAGGCTTTTCATAGAAGTCTTTTAAAGATCAAGAAAAATGAGGATCAATACGAAATTACTGACATTTTTGAACAATATTAGACAAGAAAACAAAAAAATATTTTTAATTGATAAATCATTCCGATGAACTCACTTAATATCATTGGCATACGGTAACCGTGAAAATTCAGCCACAACTTGGGCGATTTGCTTATGAGTTCTGGTCCCGTAATAAATTCGAACTCTCCTGAAAAAAATAAATCTTTCCAAAAAAGGGAAGAGATCAATCCCACGGCAAACAAATACAAGCCGGATTTTTCACAGGCTCTTTTTCGAGATTTTCGTCTTCTCCGTTCAATTCTTCTACTGGTTCTTGGATTCCCTGAAAATAAATATTTATTATTTTAAGATTATTTTCAAATCACCATCTTCCGTATCACTTGAAAATCGTTCTCCCATTCCAACTCGGCTGAAAAAATTGATTTATTTGATAATTTTTCGACTCACCGAGGGTTTTTTGGTCAGAATCTTCAAGGATTTCTTCCTTCACGTATATTTCTTCTTTCTTGACGTTTTCAACGAGAAGACTAGAAGGAAGTTCTGATTCTAAAAAGAAGAAAAAAAGTGAACTGCCATTTAATTAACACTCTGTCTCTATAATAATCAAAAATCAAAGAGAAAAATTATATTTTTTGATTTTCAATCAGTGTTATCATATGACGTCAGAATTGCGGACACAACTTTTTCAGCCATTTCCTTCAACCGTAGCCGGATTACGGTAGGTGGGTGGTCACCTGTGTATTTAACGAGTTTTTTCTAGGCAAGTTGTATATTAATCGATAGGGAATGCAATTTTACGAATTGTTTCAGTACATACCATCTTGGGTTACTGTAAAAAGATTTGAGATACGGTACTTTTTTGTGTTCGCAATTTTGTTTTTTGGTCACGCTGTTCAAAATAGTTATCGCCTGTTAAAGTTTTTAAAAAATTCAAATTCTTTGGAATAGAAAAAAAAACTAAAAAAAAATAACTTGAATCGAAAAAAAAAATCCTTTTACCCTGCTTCAATAACAAAGAAACTGTTAACATCTCAATTTTAAGTAAAAATTCCTTTTTGCTCCTAAAAATTCAATTTTCCTATTTGTGACAGTCTGTTGAGATTTCAAATTTCAAGTCGTCGCTCAAGCTCCGCCCCTAATTACGCGATAAATCAATCAGAAAGCGAGCCCTCCAGGAAGCGTTTTCGAATGGCGTCATCAAAATTCAAAATCTGATCAGACTAAACTGTACCCTGCTTCATTCCATGTACAGGACACTTCAATTGAACTTCTCTCCTCTCATTGTAATAATTATGGAGCCAAGCTGTAGTAGACGCCAATAAAGCCATGGTTTTCCCTGAAACTTGTAGATTTTCAAGTTATTTCTCCTCTAATACATTACCGCTCCCAGTTGGGCTCTCGGCCAACACATTCAGCTTATTTTTCAGGGCCATCAAAATCCGGACCATCATCAATTTCTGCGTCGGATAGGGTTTCAAGCCTTTCGGAACCTTCACGCTGACCCCGCAAATTGGCAAAACATCAAACTCGTCTTTCGACACCGACATTCTGAATAAAATTGACTCCATAATTTTTGTCCTTTTTTTATTTACCTTTTCCGCTTCTGGGGTTTCCGCTCAGTTTTCCATTCGAAATCCTCGACGGGTCCTTCTTTCACTTCGGCTTCTTTGACGATACTCTCCGGTAACTTTACGCCGCTTTTTCTCCTTATTGGCGTACTCAAAAAATTATTTTTCAGTTATTTTCGGGTCTTTCAAGATCCTTTTGAAAGCGCAAAAGTCTTGCTACTCTTCAACCGACTCTTTGCTTCGATTCCTTTAAAAAAATTCCATCTGCGCTTTTAAAAACACCAATAAAGATATTTTAAGTTGTACCGTTCGGCGGTCGGTCCATTTTTCGGAGTTTTTGCTTCTTTCTTCTTTTTACCAAACATTGAGTAAAATTGTCTACTGGCCATTTTTACCCTGAAAAAATCGATAGAAAGCATTTTTGAAGCACACGATCCGGTTCACGAGAAGCTTAAAACATTGGAAACCAAGAAAAAAATTCAAACATCTGAAATGAAAAAAAAACGTTAATCATTGGGTGGTAGAACAATTTGAGCTCAACGAAACAGTTGTACAATGCGTTATAAAAAAACACTTGTTGAATTATTCAAATATACAGAAAATTTAGTGCAGGCTTGACCCGTTTTTTTTCTGCCAAAAAAATCGTATGAAAAATTTGATCACACTACGCCTAAAAACCTTTTTTTTTATTAAAGGAAAAATTTTGAAATAAGCTGTGTCTGAGGTAACTTTTTTTTGACGTTATTTTTGAAAAAAATGTGGATCTCGAAAAAAACATATAGTAAACCTAATTTTTTTAGAAAGGTTCAAAGTGAATAGTTTTTTTAGAGGTGTGAAGACCTCTCCGCCTTTAATTTTTCCAGCAAGGATTATCGAAAAGATTATAAATTGAACGATAAACAAAGAGGGAAAACATTTGAAACATGAACAAAAAATTCCCGAATTTCTGACTTGCCGCGGAAAAACAAAAGGTCAATTATTCTGACTCATCACAGTAAAAAACCAGAATGAATCAAACGTTCTGAAAATAAAGATATCGCATGGGAATATATCAGTGAAAAGGAGCAAAGAAAAAAAAAGAGATGAAAAAACAAGTCAAAAATCGGCGGGTTTCAACTTTTTAGGACGTATTTCAGAAGACAATTGAGTTTCTGGTGACCTCTAAAGTTCTAGCAACTCATGCACATGCAAAACTTCAGAAAAAACCAAAGAAATTTCAGAGAAAAACAACAAATAAACAAGGAAAAAAGATAAGTTTATTTTCGCGCACTTTTCCTTGCACCGAGTTCTCGCCAGTCTCCGTCTCTGACCCATATCGCGTGCGGCGCCCTCCTTCTCAAACGTTTACACTTTCACCCGATAAAATAAACGTCCTGGCCGCCATTGTTCCTTTTTTCCTCCTTCTTTATTTCATTCCTTATCGATTACGCGGCTTCTGCTTGACTTTCGTGTTAAAGAGGTTCTCATTAGCTTCGTTTGGGGAAAGATTTTGTTGGCGGGTCTCATTGGGAAGTTCACTCCCGAAAACTTGTTTTTTTGTCTTTCTTTCGGCCGTCTTTCACGTATATTGACTTTTTCGCGACGTTCTTGTTGCGATTTGACGTTTTTCACTGCATATTTATTTTATTCTTGTGCTATTTTTAATTATATTAAGCAAATTTCAAAAGAGAAAGGGAAGAATATTGTGTACTTTTGTGTAATTTTTGACCCAGGAAATTACCCCAAGATTAAAATCAATATCCAATGTAGTGCGTCGGCCATAAGCTGACGTTGCCTAGGCAGAATGTTTTTTTTTTGTTCTGTGCAGAGATTTCCTCTCACGCAGTTCCTCTCGTTTCCCATTTCCAATCATTTTCCTTCCTACACGGAAATCAGCTCGTTTGCCCTTCTCTTCGACGCGAAAATTTCTATATTTTCATTTCAGTTACAAGTTCCGAACACAGAATACACTATGAGCGACCCTTGTGAATGCCTTTTTGATCATGAAGCCGCCATGAGACGTCTTATTTCACTGGTTTGTTTGAAAACTTCTAAATTTGATGTTGTATTTTTGATTTTTTTTTTCATATCAATTTCCATTCTCAATTCCGTCTTTCTACAATCAAACTTTGAAGCTTAAAGAAGCCAAAAATTCGCTTTTTAAATTTAATTCCGTATTTTATCGCCTCACAAATATTTAAGAGACGAAAAATGATCCATGAGAACCAATAAATTTCATCAGCTGGTTTTTTTTGTTCAGAAATGAATTTTTCTGGGATTTTAATGGCCTGTGCAAATAAAGTACAAATTTAATATTCAGTTTTTTTGAAGTTTTTTTCGAAAAACCTGTGGCAGAACTTATACTTTTTTTCGGTTATTCTAACTTTATATGATAGTTCAAGTTTTTTTCTAACAAGTACAAAAGAAATATCAATGTTCCAATATTATCGTTCTTTGATTCAAGTAAAAAAACCCTAAAAAAATAAGTTTTGCAAAAATTTTTTTGTAGTACCTTTCTCACGATGTATACCCACCAATTAGCCTGAGATTCAAGGTTTTCTTTGGGAAAATTTTCCTGAACTTGCGTAAATCTAAAAATACGTATGGTCAGTTCAAAGTACACATAAAAAAATCCTTTTTGCGTGTTTTTTTGAAAGTTTTTTTATAACCTTATTTGAAGTTTTTAAAAAAATTTATCCACCTTCAAAAAGTCGATTGGATTTTTGAAAAATATCATATTTATATAATCAGCGTATATTCAAGGTCGGAGCGTTTTCAAAAATAGTTATCCTCAAGAATTTTATCCATTTTAAAAAGCTTTTGGAGTGAATTTACAGTTTTCTCAGTAAAATAAATCCATTTTCAGCCAAGATTCGAGGAAAGAAACTCAAAAAAAGTATATACTAGCAGGTGTTTCACAGAGATACATCCTAAAAAAAAAGCGCATCTGCCATTTTGCGGAGAAAAAAGTTCTCGAAGATTTACAAGGAGAATTTCGGATCCAGAGGCTTGAAAAGGGTTAAGTGGAATGAAATTAATAAATATTCACTTTTTCAACAAATAAAATTGAATTTATCATACTGGAAAAATTTAAAAAAACTGTATCAAAAAAATTTCAAGTAATTACTTTTTCTCGAGAGTATCGTAATAAGTTGCACCAAAAAAGACTAAAACCAAGAAAATATCGTACATTTTTGAAAATACTGACAGAGTCGAAAGGAACAATTTCTCTTTCCACCTTTTCTAGAGCCTTCAAAATCCTGAAAAAATGGAGAATCTTGATAAAGTACGAAATCTTTTTAGCGGTTTTGCTTTGTGTATCTTTTCGGTACTTCCGACTTTGTCAGTAAAGGTTTAAATACTGAAGAGGCTACGAAAAGAACGATTTTTTCTATTTCCTAAGATTACGGTATGTAAAAGTCCTCATTTTGAGACGTTCACTTTGTGTGTTTGCACAGTTTTTGCGTGAATTATTCGATCGGTTTTTTTTTTACATTCTGATCTTGGACTGCATCGAAATGAATGACAACTACAGAATGCAATAGAAGTTATTTTGAAAGTTATTTTTGAAAAAAAAACGTGAAAAATAATTGAGAACTCAGACCTTCGTAACGCGAACGGGACGCGAATCGGACGTGTCGGGGCATTTCTAGTGACCACTTTAGTAGCCTCAGAACTCTTAAGGGATCCCTAGAATTGCCCAGAAACGTCCGGAGCACGTTCGTTTCGCGTTACCAATGTCCGAGAACGTAACGCAAGAAAAGTTCAAACATAGGGACTTTCACATACAGTACTCTTTGAAAATGAAAAACTTGCCTTGCCGCAAACACGGCGTTCCCAAACGGGGTGGGGAGACGTCAAAAAAGTTTTGGCGCGAAATTTTTAATCTCAAGTACGCAGCCAAATGTATTCCTCAGTTTAATTTGCAACGATAGGTAGCTGTGACGTCAAAGTCCTTTTATACGAAGCGCGCACTTACTATTTTTTGCAAATTCAGAAACTTTGACGCCTCGCTCACCCCATTAGGAATGCCGTGGCAAAGGTGCAAAACATCTACGGGAATATGTGTATACCTTCCGCAAAACGACGACTTTCAGCTGCGCGACACACAGAACCTATGCACGGACACGGGCTGCGAAACGGACAGCTTAACCGGATCCGGCGGCGGGACGATAATGCTCTGGTCGATGATGTGGGCGATCCTGGCGATGGCGCTCTTTTTCTTCCGGCCCAACTCGATGCGGTCCGGCTCAAACAATAGCCTCGAGAAGCCTGGGCCGAGTAATGGCGAGGTGAATAAAAAAAAATAACTTGAGAACCGTGTACAAGGTATTTCTCTGACTCTCTCAGACTCTGTAATCTTTCTCACTCTCTGACGAAATATTCTTCTTTCTGGGGTCTTTGAAATCACAAATTATCATATATTATGCCTGAAATTGGTAAAATCTTCTATTTAAAAACATCTGAACCTTTGAAATTATACCCCTAAAATAATTTTATTATCTAATCGTTTTTTTTTTGTTGTTTTCCTACGCAAATTTGTACTTTACTCTACTTTTTTTTGCGTTGTACTTTTAGAATCTAGAAAAATGACCTTTTCCAGCTCTTCGAAAAAAACAAAAATGCACTTTTGCTTACGTCAACAAAAAAAAACCTAGCGAGCAAAAAAAAAGATTTTTTAGCGCAGCAGCAATTGTACTTTTAAGCGAACTCAGGAACTCCAGAGTGGTCCCTCTAGAGATCACTTTTTCACCCCCTATAGGGGTCACTAAAGCTTGCAAAAGTGGTCCCTGTAGGGGACTTGCTAGTCGATAATTTTAGGTAGTCTATGCGGAGAAGAGTTTCCATTCGAAAAATAAATAAATAGACGTTTTTTAAACGAAGTTGAGAGACCCCTATAGGGACCACTTGAGCTTTAGGGGCTGGGGGTCAGACCCTAAACCCCTATACGAACCACTTTTTGGCCACTGACCCCTATAGGGACCACTCCTAAGTACGTTCTTTTTAACGGAAAAAAAACGTGACAAGCTTGCGCGGAATGGACTATAAACAGTTTTACAACATCGGAGATTTTTTTTTCGAATTTTCAAGCTTCTTTTGAAGCTTCAAACTATGAATATTTCAAAAAGGTGTACTTTTTTCTGAGCTTTTAATTAATATTATTTCTGAATAATTTTTAAATTTAATAATTTCAGGACAACAACCAACCGCCGCCCCCAACCGTCGGCTGAATTCCTTCCTTCAATCCATTCATAACTCACTCATTGCCGCTTTTCCCAAAAGAAAATTCCGAAAAAACTTCGCACTCGTCAAATAATGTATAGATCAAGAACGTTTTGTCATTATTTTTCACCCGAAAGCAAGGATTTCGCATTTACTTCGTGTTTCCCCTGCACCGCGAACTCTACCGGTTCACTTGGCCGTAAATATTCTGTGATCCCCTGTTATCAAATCATCAGGCCTTACTTTTTTTTCCTTCTTCTTTTCCTGTACTTTCTATCGGCTAGTCATGTACTTTTCATTGTTGCCTTTATTCTTGTCCTGTGTCTATTATGTATGGATATTCTTCTTCTTTTTTTCCTTCTATCCGGGGCTTTAAGCTTTTCTCTTTGCAAAATTGTAAAAAGGAGTAGAAATGTGAATAAATTGGAAATTTTTTTAGCCCGTTGAAAAAAAAAAAACAATTCGAAGTGAAGTGAGTGGGTTTCATTGATTTATTGCTGGGGCGGGAAGAAAATACAAGATTTTTTCAGTTTTGCTGTGATTAAAGATACCAAAATATTAGGGATAGTAGCAAAAATGGACTTTTGAACATTTTCAAGGCGCAGACGTTTTTAAAATGCGGCCATTCTTTATTCCCAGACCTTATTTATCAATTTTTCGTTGAATCCTAAGCTTCTTCCAGTTTTTTTCTATTAAGCAAGATACTGAGAGGTTATAGCCGTATTTAAAATGGTTTTTCAAGATATTTTCAAGGCGCAGACGGTTTTAAAACACGGTCATTCTTTGTTCCAGTCCATATTTATCAATTTTTTCGTTAACTCCTGAGCTTCTTCCAACTTTTCTGTGAGAAAAAGGTACTGCAAATTTTACAAAAAGGGCATTCGGACATTTTCAAGGCGCAGACGGTTTTGAAATGCGATCATTCTTTTTTCAAGCCCATTTATCAATTTTTTCGTTGAATCTTAAGCTTCTTCCAGTTTTTTGCAGTTAAGGAAGGTACTGAGAGGTTAAAGCCGTCTTTAAGATGGTTTTTCAAGATATTTGGAGGGTGCGGACGGTTTTAAAACACGGTCATTATTTTTTTCCAGTCCTTATTTATCAATTTTTCGTTGAATCCTAAGCTTCTTCCAGTTTTTTTCTATTAAGCAAGGTACTGAAAGGTTATAGCCGTATTTCAAATGGTTTTTCAAGATATTTGAAAGGTGCGAACGGTTTTAAAATGCGGCCATTCTTTATTCCCAGACCTTATTTATCAATTTTTCGTTGAATCCTAAGCTTCTTCCAATTTTGCTGCAAAAAAAAAGTTACTGGAATGTTTGAAAAGTAATAAAAAAGGGCATTCGAGCATTTTCAAGGCGCAGACGGTTTTAAAATGCGGTCATTTATTTATCCAGCCAAAATCTATCAATTTTTGTGTTGATCATGTTGAAAAATTGAGCTTTGGGTTCTTATTTCTTGGGAAAAAGTGACCAAAAGATTGGTTTAATTATATTTTTCAAGCACCAAAGCCTTCAAAAATGGCAAAAAACCCTAGCAGGGATCGAACTAGAAACCTCTAGATCCACGAAAAAATTCTTTCTATATAGCTTTTTTGTCGCTGATTCAATGAAATTAACGAAAAAATGTCAAAAAATGTTAAATCCATTGAATCAGCGGCTTTTTAAAAAAATATGTCGCAGAGAAAGGATTTTTTGTCGATCTAGAGGTCTCTAGTTCGATTCCTGCTAGAGTTTTTGCCATTTTCAGGGGCTTTGGTGCTTGAAAAATTGAATAAAACAAAGTTTTGGTCATTTTTCCCAAGAAGTAAGAGCCTTGAGCTTAATTTTTCAACATGACCAACACAAAATTGATAGATTTAGGCTGAATAAATAAATGACCGCATTTTAAAACCGTCTGCGCTTTGAAAATGTTTTAATACCCTTTTTTATCACTTCTCAACTTTCCAGTACCTTTAATCACAGCGCTAAAAAATTTTTAAACCGTCATATTTTTTTTCACAACAGCAATGAATCAACTACTTGGCGTTTTCTTTTTTGCGTCTTTTCATATTTTCGCATCAATTATTATGCAAAATGGGAAAAAATCGGGGAGGAGATCTGTAGGAATGTTTTTTCTCCACCATTATCATTATTATCATTATCTTTTTTTCTCGATTTTTTTACAGAAAAATATGGGGCGACGACGCGAGCCGGGACCTCGCGATTGGTGTCGGGGACGGCGTTGAAATATTTCACGGTCCTTTCGTCGTTTTCCCGGATTTCCAGGACCGCCGCCGCGTTACCGCACCGGTAGCAGTAGTTGGGGGCTGCAAACTCCAATAATAGACACTTTTTGAAAAAAGGAATTAAAAGATATAGTCTGTTCAGGTTTTGAATGCCAAGTATACACTCTGTGTGAGGCTCGCTCTCTGATTGGGTTTTGCGCAATTATGGGCGGAACCTGAGCGAAATTCGAAATCTTACTATATTATAGAAAACGGGTTCTTGATCAAATTCGCAAATTTTACAGTTTTCTCGAAAGTCTCACTTTTTCCTCCCCTTTCTTCTAATGTCCTACAGATACGAAATTTCCAAAAACTGAAGGTTTTTTCTAAAATTTCGCCTTTTATAGTCAATGTTTCCCGACTTGAAAGGCGAGGGAGGCGGGGCGGGACGCGCAGCGTGTGCGTACGCGGTTCTCGGCACGAGTTCAATTCAACCGCCATCTATTCTTTGAAAAAACCCGTTTTTCGCTCTTTTTTTTTCATTCCGTTTTCAATTATTTATTGATTACGTTCATGTGTGCATCAAAAATTGTAGAAAACATTGGAAAAGAGCGGTTGCCGAGCTTTTTAAGTAGTCGGCGCCAATTGAATTGAACTCGTGCCAAGAACCGCGTGCGCACACGCTACGCGTCCCGCCTCTTGCCCCGCCTCCTTCGCTGTTCAAGTCGGGAAACATTGACTATATTCCTCATTGATTTAAAATGATTTTTTTTGCCTATTCCAGAATTAAGTTTACCGTTTTCACGTTGAATTTTTCAACACAATATTACAATTTCCTTTACTTACCAGTTAGACCATGAATAAAAATAATCAATCAAAAACTTTTTTCAAACATTATTCAAGGCAATACTTCATAGCCCGGCCCGTATAAACTTGTTAATTTTTTCAAAGTAAAGAACCCTTCCCTTCGATGTGTGCTGCCTGGCTCTCTGCATACCCCTTTACATTAGCCTATACATTCCGTTTTATTAAAGGCGTATCGAAGAGAAGATTTCCGAAAGGTTTCTGTAGCTCGGAGAAAAAAAAACCATGAAATTATTCACGGAATGAATTTGGGAGAAAAGCTTATTTTTTCAAAAATTCGAGAGATTTTCGGGATTTATCCTCTACTAAAAATTAAAAATCATCCAAAAAACCGACCCGACCAAACAGTACAAAGCTGTTCGTCGAACATATATTTGAATCCCTCGTCGACCAATTGATGCGATCTGCAAATCATGTTCAAGGCGTTCGTGTGCAGGAACTCCGCCGTCACTTTGGCTCCGAAAATCTTCAACAATATCAATTTTCATTCATTTTTTCTGAATTAAAAATTACCCATCCAGCGCCTCTTTGGCTCATCAGCCACTCTTCAATGTCATCATCCGGATCCGACCACATTATGTCGCAAAGTGGTCCCTGAAGGTTCTTCCTGAGAAAATCAATAAAGAACAGCCGTCAATTATAGTTCAATTCTTATTTGGGGAGAAAATGAACTATCTTTCAAATGTATCTTCTCGTAAACTAACTAGATCAGCGCTGTTTCGAAAAATGCAAAAATGGAAAACGGTTGGTTTTTTTTCTTCCTGGAACTAGAGGCTTCTGGTTCGCTTCCTGCGATAGTTTCTGCCGATTTCGAGGGCTCTGAAGCTTGTAAAATCGACTTAAAATGGAGTTTTGGTCATACTCCTCAAGAAGTAAGCTTAATTTTTCGACAACCGCAACTAAAAAAAATGGATAAAGGCTGAGTAATCTTATGGCTGCGTTTTTAAAACCCTCTGCGCTTTGAAAATGTTCAGAAGTTCATTTTTTGATACTTTCCTCATATTCCAGTGCCTTCATCAACAACATCAAACTTGAAGAAGCGTAATATTTAAAAACAAAATGATGGATAAAGACTGAATAAACAAATGACCGCGGTTTAAAACCGTCTGCGCCTTGAAAATATTCAAAAATGCATTTTTGATAATTTCATAATATTCCAGTACCTTCATTAACAGTATCAAACTAAAAGAAGGGCAGAATTTGAAAAAAAAGATGGAAGACTGAAAAATCTAATGACCGCGTTTTAAAAGCGTCTGCGCCTTGAAAACAATCAAGAGCGCATTTTTGATATTTTCATGACACTCTAGTACCTTTATCAACAACATCAAACTACAAAAAGCTTAGGAGTAACACAAAAAAGATGAATAAAGGTTGAACGAACAAACGACCGCTTTTCAAAACCGTCTGCGCTTTGAACATTTCTAACGAAGAACTTTCCCAAACCTTGCTCGGGACTTCCATGGCGCGGTCCAGAGTCAACATGCTGTCGATGGTCAGGACGTCAGGCGACAGGCCTCCGTGCACGCATAGAGTTTTGTCGTCGATCAGGGCTCCTATCGGCAGAACGTCGAATACCTACAGTAATAGAAAATAATAATAAAATTTTTAAAATTTAAAAACTTTAATTGAATTATTTTCAATCTTTTCAAAAAACCCAATTTTAAAAATCTTCAGAGAACTTTCCTACTATTTTTATGTCATAACTTCCATGTTATTTTCAAAGTATTTCCAATCTTTTTTTATCATATTTATCATATAGTGGGATCATGATGAAGTAAATTTTGTGAATAACTTATTTTTAAAATAAAACAGAAAAAAAGCCGTTGGAAATTTCGCTGATCTTCGTACATACATGGGCTAACCAAAAACGTTTTGTGACGTCATCACGTACCCCCCTTGAAAAAGTACGTACTCCCCCGCGGGTAACTTTCGATGTGAAGTGACTTTTAAAGATGAGATAAAAATTAGATAGGACTATTATATTGTTTTGAGGGCTTTTGAAAGTATATTAAGCTAGGTGTCAACACTCCAAAACATGAATCATTCAACTGTTAGCGTATTTCTATGATCTGGTTTCAAGCCGTTCGGACGAGTATTAAGAAAAAAATAATTTTTTTGGGCAATTGATATATCGAAATTTACAATTTTTTTGGCTCAAAAATCATTACTAACCGAAAGTTTTTCTTAATTTCCAAGAAAAAAAAAACTAAGACTTGATTCCTATGAAGTTACGAATGAAATTGATTTTTGGACCCGCAAAATATTGCCAAAAAAGAGTTTGTATAACATTTTTAGCCCTTGAAAATCGACAAACTTTACGAAAATTTGATTCCTAACACCATAACTCTCTTTAAAATCGATTAAACCAGAGAATTTTCAACTATTTCTTTTTAAAAAAATCAATTTTTACCTTACAGAACCACTTATAAACGTTGCCATGGCCGTACTTCTGTGAGCATTCTTCATAAAAACCATAAACATTGGAAATTCTTCTTGACTCGTGGTTTCCTCGTAACAAGGTGATTTGGTCGGGGTATCTGGAAAATATAAGTAACACAGTTAAAATATATATCGCCAAGAAAAGCAATAAATCGTCGGATTCTTAGAAAGTTTCTCAGAATCTCCTTTTTCCGCCTTCTACGTTTTTACCTCCTTAGAAGGTCCTTTTCAGAAAAAGGTCTAAAAAAGGCGCCTTTGGGGCCTTTTATTCGAAAGTCCATTTTGAGACCTTTTGGATTTTGCCCGTATTTAAAGAAGGTGAAAACGATAATTCACAAATGCAAAAAATATATAATCACTTTAGCAATAGGGCGAAAAGAAGCGTGGCGGTTTCCAAGCTGTAGTGGCCTCGGTCGACATAATCGCCCATAAAAACGTATTTTGTGCTTGGCATCGGTCCTCCTTAACAAACATATAATCAATGTACCAAAAAATAAGCTTATTTTACTGTAACTACAGGGTGAGCACTAAATATTGAAACAACGGTTTCAGGACTGGCGTACCCATCATACTTGATAAATAAAACTCACTCATAATTTTTTAGAGTCTATACGCCTTCGTGAACTTGAAGTCTTAACATTTTTCTAATATCTTGTTTTTTGATCAAATCATGATAAATTGGAACCTACCAATCGGTTGCCCAAAAATCAGGTTTTTGGCACGCGGCTAACCATCATCTCTAACAACGGCAATTTTTTTTCTTAGAAGGGAGCCAACTCTAGGAACCCAAATTATTTTTGTCTTATACTACTAGCGTTACTCTTTATTCTAAATGTGTTTCAGGCTACTCTAGATTTACTTTCTTTTTAGAACTGCAAAATATGCGAAAAAGTCTAAGATCAACGATTAATCGCATATTACAGCCCCCCTCTCAAATAAAAACAGCCTAACCTTGACCCAATTATATATTTTTCAAAGCTGAGACTTTGGGCTTTTGTACAATGTAGTCCTACACTGAATTAGAAAAAAATGAAGTTCGAGCAGAGATAAAATTCCGTTTTGCATGATTTTGAAAATGAAAAAACGGTTTTGTTAGCTCTTTTCGGGGAGTGCTCCTATCATTTTTGTTAACGCTCATTGATGGAAATTTCTAAGAAATATTGCGAAAAACCCAAAGTTTAGTTTTTGTGTATTTATTTGAACATGAACGTTCAGATAACTTTTTACCAGTTATAAACATCGAAAAATGACCGCGTGCCGTTGGGGCTTGGGTCCTACACACTTTTCGAGCCAGAGCAGAGCTGAATGAAGATAGGAATTGGAATAGTTTCATGAATTTCGGAATGTACATGCCAGAATTGCCAATGAAAAGTTTTGGTACGGATCATTCACTTTTCCTCGGAGTTGCGCTAGTTCAAACGTGTTTGAATAATTAGTACTCACCCTGTATAAAAGAATGATATATTTCAACTTGATAGCTTTAAATTATCGCACAGAAAACCATCATTTCCTTGCCATTTTCCAAATTTCCCTAAAATGCATACTTCGGCTGGATCCCACCCCGGGGTGCGGCCCGAAAACATGAAATGAACCAAAATTTGAGTGATTTCGTGAAAATCTCGGATTTCAAACCTGTCTTGAATAATTCTAAAAGGTCGTAGAACTGTCCGTGGATGTCGCCGCAAATTGTGACTGGCGTTTCGACGGGGACAATATTCGGCAGCAAGGAGAGGCGGTCGATCAGTCTGGAAAAAATTACTTCAAAACTGAAACTTCCATGAAAAACTCCAATTTTTTATGATGATTGCAATTCATAACAAATTTTTGAGGCTTTCAAAAATCAAAAAAGAAAAATGACGGGAATAATAAAAAAGACAAGTTCGACCCAAGGTGGGTTTTTTGGGAAATGACGAAATTTGAAGCTTAGTGCTAACTGTCAAAGTCGGAAGTGCGGAAAACGGGTGCAAAAGAGGGAGTGACTGCAAAATTGTCTCTAAAAGGGTTCCGTTTTTTATCGGACCTTTCATTCTTGGTGCGGTTAAAAAGCCTCAACAAAGGGTGAAGAAAAAGTGCAAAAAGAGTCCTGAAAGCCTCGGCCATTGATAATTTCCGATATTATTACTGTAGAACATTTTATTTCATACAGCTATTGGTGAAGATTATTTTCAATTTGACAAATTTTGTGTTTTTCAAAAGGTTCCAAAACGGGTATATAAAGGCCGATGAAAGGACGGAAAAGGCAGTAAAAAGAAACCGTTTAGGAACAATTAATGGAAACTGAATAATCCATAATGGACGCTCAAAGGGTCTGTAAAGGGTCCTTCCGACTTTGCCTATGTTATTGCGATTTTTTGGGAAGAATTTTGCGATTTTGAAACTTTTCTTAGTAGAACTCGTTTAGGAAAATGTGCAAAACTCTTAAATTATGGCTGAAAATCGCTCCTTCGCGTCAAGACCTTTATGGAACTTATCCATGCTCCTTTAAAACCCTTCTGAATGTTCCATGAAACTTACATTGAGCACATGGCGATGACATCGCCTTCGGGCAAGTATTTGCACTCGCTGGCCCATGCTATCCACTGTTCCGGGTTGATTTCTCGGGTTCTAAATATAAAAATCTAAAGTTTCATAATAATTCTCAGAATTTCCACCCATTTCTATAGGTCATCTTGTCGAGTAGCTCATTCTCATCGCAAACCGGAACTCTTAACAACTGAGATTCGTCCAAATCCGGCACCGTTGGCTCTACGACGAGCATTTTCTTCTCGCTAAAAATTATTTCAACTAGGGAGCATTTTTAAATGGAGCTTCAAAGTCCGCAAAATACGCGAATTATGACAAAAAAGCAGGGTTGCAAGCTTTTGAAGCGTCTTAAATCTATTGCGAGAAATTTTTTTCTTGTTCTGCAATCAGAAGGTCCTAAAGTACACTTCAGCAAAGTTTCATCAAAATTTCAATCGAGTGAAGGGGGGAGGAGGGGGTAAAAAGTTTCTTAGTATAGTACTAAGGAACATACGGTAAAAAAGCCCCGATAGTTTTTTTCATAATTAATTTGACACAGAGGCTAAGGTTCAAGCCAAAAAATCTCTTTTTCGGGGAATCTCGGGCGGAAATCCTCAAAAAGTTCATTCAAAAAAAGAGTCCCTAACAGATATTTTATTATTCTCGTTTTTTTTCACATATTTCATCAAAAATTAAGCTGGTAAGCAAATAAAAGATTGTTGTTTTATGCTCAAATTAACACAGCAGCAAAGATTAAAAGCCAAAAAAATCTCTTTTTTTCGGGGAAATTTAATCTCAGGCAATGCGGAAAAGATTTTCTTTCAAAAACATAGTCCCAAACAGATATTTTATTTGCTATTTTTCGTTTTTTATGTCATATCCTTTATCAAAAAAATTATGCTGGAAAGCAAATAAAAAAATATCCAGGGGGCTTAAAAATGATCCTCTGTATGGCCTATTCCGCGCTAGCTTGTCACATTTCTCTTTCCGCGGAAAAATACCAAAATTTCGCTTCAAGACCTTTGTTTTTTGCGGTCTTCTTAGCAATTTTTTAGAGCAAAAGGTTGTATTTACGGTAGCTTTTTCTTTTCTGTTTGCTTAAAACGTGACTTTCTCGCATGGAACGCACTATATCTATGTAAAAAGAAGCTCAGAAACATTTTTTTTAAATAATTTTAGAAACATTTAATGGAAATTTCCAGCTCTTTAAAAGGGTCCTTGAAGAAAACTTCTTCATTCTACCTATGATAAACCTTAAAAATCTACTAAAAATTCTTCATATTGAACTAGGACCTTACCTTAGGAACTTTGATCAAATAAAAAGACCTAAAAAAATTGATTAAAATTTGAATTTTGATGAAAGTTTTCAGTAAAATAAGTTATCAGTTTAAATTTTAGCTTCCATCTTGCGAAAAAAAAGTTCAAAACGGAATTTCCATTATCAGAAAATTTTAAAATAATTCCATTAAATTAATTGATTGGAAACGACTTCTCTAGGCACTTGAAGGAGCATGGCCAAATTTGGAAAATTATTCCGAAACGAAAATTTTTTTTTTGATTTTAACCCCTGTCATGCGCCTTCAATGAACCATTGCAAATAAAAGCAAAAATAAAAGTTTTCTTTAAAAATAAATACAATCCAGCAATTGCGGTCAACGAAACCTTTCACGAAAAGATCGAACCAAGAAAAAATGGAACAATTTATTCCTGAAACAATCAAAAAGAACAAAAAAATAAACAATTAAACTCGATAATCTAGAAAAAGTTCTAACTCTAAAAATGACTATAAAATGACAACAAGAAAGGTCAACAGAACAACGGAAAGCGGATTGTACCGGAATTTTCACAATTTTATAGATTTTTGCATTTTTGAATCACTGGGGGGCGACGACACCGACTTGAGCTGGCCGAATCGGTCGATCTTTCAGATTGAAGCCGATTTTCGTCACAACTTCGACAAATCCCGGCTGTTGTTTGGCCTGGAATTAATCAGCTTCATTTAAAAAACTTTCTAAAGCGGTCTAGTGCCTCATTTTTCATTCGTATTAAAATGATCATCCAATTCTGAATATTTACATGAGCCTAAAAACACGAAAGTTGTGAAAAATATTTTTTCGCCAATTTCAACGGAAACAAACTTTTTTCCTAGCGATTTTTGAATTTTTTTCTCCAAACAAAAAACACTATAGAAGTTTCACACACTCCTGTCTACACTGTAAAATATTTTTTTGAATAAATCAATGAATTTTTTTATAACTAGAAGCATTTTCAAAAATACTTGACCTACTACTATGAGATCAATAATTTTTTTTACTGAAAGAATAATTTTTTTGAAATTTTTTTCTTAAATTTTTGAGTAAACCACAAAAAAACTTCTTTCTGGAGTAAAATTTTCAAACTATCATTTTTTTCCATATTTTTTTTCCCAAGGACTTTTCCACACTTCGCAGCTTTTTTAAATACATTCAATGAGCCCAAAAAAATAATTTTGGTCCCTAATTTCTGAAAATTATTGGCTATAAAGTTTATATGAACCAAACTGCTACTTTCAAGGAACTTTTTTTAAGAAAAGTTTTCAAAATTCGGTATATTAATTAGCACTGCCAAAGTCGGAAGTGCGGAAAACAGGTGCAAAATGGTCGCTAAGAAGCTACTGTTTCGCGGCCTTTATTGAGCCTTTCTTTCTTGAAGGGCTAACAAGCCTCACAAGGGTACTGAAAGTCTCGGCCATTGATGAATTCCGATTTTATTACTGTAGCAAATTTTTGTTAATACACAGTCGCTTGTAAAGATTATTCTCCATTTGAAAAAATTCCTCAAAATGGTCCAAAAAGGGTGATGAAAGGACGGAAAAAAGCTGTTAAAAGGAAACCGTTTCTACCCGTTTTGAAACAATTAATGGAAACTTTTTGATCCATAACGGTCGCTCAAAGGGTCCTTCCGACTTTTCCTATCAAAAAAAAAACGCTTGTTTGGCAATTTACATGAAAAATATTCAGAATAGTTTTTGAAAAACGAACATTAGCGGGCGGTATCTGGAAAACGGCCTCATGAAGGTTCGGGTCGAACTTTTCATTGACCGGATTGACCGGAACGAGGCCGTGTTTCGTGAAAGTCTTCAGGAGAACCGTACGGGTCATCGAGACGCCGTCGTGAAGATCTTTCAACGTTTTTCCGCCCTTCTCCAGCTCCTCGGCTTTCACAGAGTTCACCGCCATTTCCAGGATATCGGCCACCTCAAAAGTCTCTCTTTTTTCAGTTTATTTCTTTAGAGACCTCTAACAAATCCTTGCAAAATCCCTGGATGGCAAAAACTTTGGCGTCTTCGGTTTGTTTTATGCCCCGCCGCCTGACGTTTTCCGTTTCGGCCAGGGATCTTTGGTACTTTTCCTGAAAAGAAAAACCTGGGTTCAATTTTCGAAAAAGTACTCATACAGTCTCCATTTGGCATAGAGTCAAAAATAGTCAAAAAATAATTAAGTTCAAAAATGGACTGTTTTTTAAGAGCCTTTAGAAGCTTTTCCAGTGATTAATTTGATTTGTAAAATACATTTCCTAGTGAGACATGGTATATAAGCAAACAGGATACCTAAAACGCTCAATTTTAAAAATAAATAAAGAATTAAATTGAATATTTTTTTCATCAAACACACGATAAATGTGCTGTAAACCAAGCTAACTCCATTAAAAAAATTTAAAAAAACTGATATTTTTTTGAAAAAAAGTATTTTTTTGAACAGCATTTTTTTCACTAGGAGTTCACTGAATATTTGCAGACCAAAAATTATTTTTCTAAATAAAATAATCAGTTCAAAAGCCCAATTTTCAGATAGATAAATTCGCTAACTTGGAAAACTTCACTGAAAAACTTGCTCCAAAATAAATTTGAAATAAAAACAGAAATCAATTCTTTCAAAAATTACCCTAAAATCATTTCCCTCCGTCGTAACTTCATCGTATTCCTTCGCAAGAACTTCAAAAGCCGATCTTGGTATTTGCGATTTCTCTTCACCGGTTATTTGCGAAAATACAAGCTCGGAAAATTCAGATCCTGGAACATACGAATAAATTTATTCTATAAATAAATTGCAACCTTTCAATCTTTTTTTCCATCTTTACGAATATCAAACTGAGATTCTTCCTCTTGTGAAGTGCTATAACCATGGGCACTGGCAGTACAACGATTCACTTGTCTGAAATTTCCAAAATAAACGAATTTGATAGAAAAACTTACGATTTTAAATATGATTTGGTCAAAACTTTACTTCCAGATACAAACGCCGAAAAAAACTCTTCCTCAACATGCCGATTAACTGAAATTAGAAATGAAAAATATTGATACGTGACAAAAAAATAAAAAAAGAAACGAACTTGGAAGTATAAAAATTATCTTTGAAAAATTTATTAAAGCTTTGGGATAATAAAAATATTTTCTATATGTAAAGTGAACGCATCCGAAAATTTTTACCAACAAAAAACCTCAAAACATCAGAAAGATGAAGATAACTTCACGCACAAAAATAATCTAGACCATTTCTATACGCAATTTTCGCTGTTTTTTTTTCAAATTCCTTTCAACTGCCTTTATTAATCTATCTATACAATCTGAAAGCATTTTGAGAAACGAAAACTGTCAAAAAAACCTTGAAAAACGAAATTTTAAGAAAAAAAAGGTTTGGAAAATTTTCGCTCTTACATCATGCATCAAGTGCGCGCCACAGTCGTCACGCAAAAAAATGCACGTTTTCCGCAATTTCACGAGAACTTTCTTAATTAATTTAATTAGAATATAAACTTAAGCAGATTCTTTCAGAAATTGTTCTGGAACCTTCACAAAAAAATGAATCGAACGCTGAAAGATTGGCCTTTACCACAATGAAATGTTTGTAAGACCGAAAAAAAGATTGATTTTTTTGAGCATAAAAAAACTTTTAAAAATAAACATTTTGGGTTATTTTTTTGTGTTCAACTGTTCCCATGCTTTTCCTCCGATTTCTGGCCATCTTTAGTACACGACCGCCGGCAAATCCAGGCATTTCCACTGAGCCTTTCGGCTCAAAACAAAGACCCACGGGGGGCGCTTCTCCGTCGCCAAACATTTATAAACAGAGCTGGAGGATGTTGGGTTGAGAATGACGCGGAGAAAAAAGAGCCCCATGAACATCGGTGGGCGTGGAGGAATTGACGAAATTCGGCAAGAAAAACGAGAAAACGAGCGATTCCCAGTGGAATTTCAACCCCGTCGACAGGCTCCGCCCACATTTTCAACTCAGTCAACTTTTTTTTTTCAGAGTCTCGTCCTCGTCACCACGATTCCTTGTTGTGTCCATTTTTAGCTTTGATGATCCTTTGCACTTTTTTTGACCTTTGAAATTTTGAAAGTGAGAAAAAATCTCAACTGATCCTTCGAGTGATACCATACCGGATCAAAATATTGAAATTGAAAATCAACTATTTTTTAATGATCTTTGGGCTCATAAGTCAATCATAAGTCAATGTGGAACAGAATAAATTGAATTTTTTGGTTTTATTATATTTTATTGACATGAAATTTACCAATGATCTCAGGTTATCACTTCCAAATTCTGAAAAGTATTCGAAAAATCCTGAAAATTCCACTTAAGTGACCACTGGAGAACCGAAAAGACCTCGTAAGTTTTGAAAAACCATCTTGTGGCCCCTATAGGGATTAGGAGAAGAAAAATTGCTCCCTATATGGGGTGATCCTGTAGAAAAATTTAAGGTCTGACCCTCCAAAGCACCTAACACCAAGTGGTCCCTTTAGGGAAGAAAACAGACCCTATAGGGAACAAAAAGGGCTCACTTTAGGGGCTCGTATGGAAATGCGTCTTCTCATAAAGTTCATTACAATAATCGACCGACGTGGCCTTTACAGGGGCCACTTTTCCGAGCCTCAGTGGCCCCTGTAGGGGCTGTTAAAGAGGAACCTTCAAAGACCCCTATAGGAACCACTCTGGAATTCCTAAGAAACGCTTCCAAATATTTTCCGCAAGCTAATCAACAACAACAAGAAGGAGAACGACCCAACCAAACGGTTCCAGTTTCCTTCTTGCTGACAAACATATCATCCCAAGATCAGTTCGATCGATCAATTTCTCACTGAGAAAAGGGGCCTACCTAGTAACTCTAGCAACGACTCGAGTAGCCCTAGTAACCAGGAAGATCTAGTGGACATTTTAGTACTTTTCGTGGTTCTCAGTTTGATTGGACTTTTTTTTTTCTGATTCCGCCAGGTTTCTACTGAAAATCTACCGTTTTTCCGTTAGGATCCTACTGAAATTTCGCCACTTTTCCCAGTTTAAATCAGCTTTTCTGAAAATTCCTAGGTCCTCCTGGTATCCCTAGAAACTTTTTTAACTTTTTCATCTCTCGTCAAATTTTAGTGGCCACCTTTGTAGCTTCTTTATTCCAATTAGATTCGTTCAAAAAGCAAATTTTTGAAGATTCTTTGATATAAATCAGAAAAACCTACTTAAAAGTTCACTGATCGGAGTTTTATTCACGAATCAAGTACACCAAAAAAATGAAAAAAATTGAAAAAAATTGCTCAGAAATCCCCTTGAAAAAGTCGCCTGAATGCGAATTTTGAAAAATCATTCATTTATTTTATTAATGATACCCCTAAAGTGATCCCTTCAGTAGCCTCTTTTCCTTTCAACACCTCTGAAGTGAACCCTGTGGTAGCCTCTTTTCCTTTCAATGTCCCTAAAGTGATACCTTCAGCAGGCTCTTTTGCTTTTCCTTTCAATCTTCTAAAGTGATCCCGTAAGTAGCCTATTTTCCTTTCAAAGCCCCTAAATTGATCCCTTCAGTAGCCTCTTTTCCTTTAAATCCCCTAAAGTGATCCCTTCAGTAGCCTGTTTTCCTTTTAATGCCCCTAAAGTGATCCCTTGAGAAGCCTCTTTTCTCTTCAATACCCCTAAAGTGGTCCCTTCAGTGACCTGTTTTTTTTTAAAGCCCTAAATTGATCCCTTCAGTAGTCGTTTTCCTTTCAATGCCCCTAAAGTGATCCCTTCAGTAGCCTCTTTTCCTTTAAATCCCCTAAAGTGATCCCTTCAGTAGCCTGTTTTCCTTTTAATATCCCTAAAGTGATCCCTTCAGTAGCCTATTTTCCTTTCAATGCCCCTCAAGTGATCCTTTCAGTGGTCTCTTTTCCTTTCAATGCCCCTAAAGAGATCCCTTCAGTAGCCTCTTTCATTCAGTAAGTTTAAAAAAGCTTCTAGAACCAATATTTTACTTTTAGATCCAAAAAACCCTCTTCGACCTTTCCTGAACCTTCCAAACCCCCCAGAAACAAAGAAATTCGCCTTTCCAACGTCTCAGATCCTCCTAATGAGCTCCACCTGCATCCATCCATCAGATTCCAACTCACAAAAGACAGAAAAAAGACGTCGCCAACCGACAAACTCCGCCCCCTTCGCCCCCACCACAACCACTGTTTTTGGATGGATCTGTCGTCGCCGTCCGTCTTCAATCGATCTCAAGTCGCTTTCCTTTATAGTGATCTTTTTCTTTTGATAATTAATTAGTTGTCGAAACATTTTAAATAGGTCGCAACATCACGTCAACACAAAATGAAACGATCAGAAAGCGATAGTGTAGTTTTTACTTCCTTGTGAGGGGTTATTTATCAAGTTTTTCAATTTGTTCACTGAAACTTGACTCTTTTCGCTGTTTTGTTATATTGATTTGTTCTCGATTCTTCTGATTTTAAGTGTAAAATTCCTACACCACGGTTTTAGAATCTCTAAACGTGTTTAGAATGGCTGAACGCGTTGCGGTTCAAATCGAAATTTTGAAATTTGTTATCACGTTTTTATAGTAGGTTGCATCTTTAGAGTAACCTCAGTACGACCACGGCATATCGGGCCATTCCAAATGCAACCAGGATATTTTTTAACTGTTAAAGTAAATTTCTGAAAAGCTTCTGGACGCATGTAGAGTGGCTCAACGCGTCGCGGTCGCGTTGCGGTTCAAACCGAAACTTTACAATTTATTATCACGTTTTTATAGTCGGTTGCATCTTCAAAGTAGCCATAGCACTACCGCCAAAAATCCATTCCAAATGCGACGAAAAAAGTTTTTTGAACTTTTTAGACACCTGAAAAGGTTCTGGACGCATGTAGAGTGGCTCAACGCGTCGCGGTCGCGCTGCGAATCGAACGAAAATTTCAAAATTTTTCTTCGCTTTTTCATAGTAGGATGCATCTTTAAAGTGACTATAGTACTACCACGGCAAATCGAGCCATTCCAAATGCGACCAGGATATTTTTTAACTGTTAAAGTAAAGATCTGAAAAGCTTCTGGACGCATGTAGAGTGGCTCAACGCGTCGCGGTCGCGCTGCGCTTCGAACAAAAATTTCAAAAAATTCCTTCGCTTTTTCATAGTCGGATGCATCTTCAAAGTTACCTTAGTGCAATCGCGACGAATCGAGTCATTCCGAATGCGACCAAAATATCTTGGACCTGTAAATTCACGGTCTGAAAAGCTTCTAGACGAATTTAGAGCGACTTTACGCGCTACGGTTCAAAGGAGAATTTCTAAAAACTGCGTAAGCCGTTTTGGGTCGGATGCAACCTTCAAAGGATCCATAACGCATTCAGCCATTTTTAGTGTGACCAGGAAGTTTGAAGCCAAACTTTATTCAAGCTTGGATGTTCTGATTTTTCAAGAGATGAGGTTCAAACCTAAAGTGTCCACTTGACAGAAATTTACCGCTTCTACCACTTTTTCTCATTTTGAGCTAACTTCTTACCGTTATTCTTCAGTTAGTACTCTAGAATCTTATTTAAAATAATTGTGGTCCAACCCTAAAGTGCCCACTTGAAATTTTCTCGGTTCTTACCAACTTTTTTCTTTTTTAGCTTTCTTCTTACCGTTATTCTTCAGTTGATTCTGTAGAATCTGGTTTAAAAAAATTAAGCTTCAAACCTTAAATGTCCACTTGACATTTTCACGGTTTTTACGAGTTTTTTTCATTTAAAATTTCAAGATTTCACGATTTTTTATATTTCAAGCTTTTTTTAACCCTTATTCTTCATTTAATCCTGTAAAAATCTGATTTTTTTAAGAAATTGAGGTTCAACCCTAAAGTGTCCACTTGACAGGAATTTACAGCTTCTACCAGCTTTTTTTCTCATTTTAAGCTATCTTCTTACCGTTATTCTTCAGTTAACTTTGTAAAATCTGATTTTTAAAGATTTTAGGTTCAACCCTTAAGTGCCCACTTATTTTTCCCTAATACCATCATCTTTTTCTTCTTTTGAGCTTTCTTCTCACGGTTTTTCTTCCGTAAATTTTGGATAAAAAATAGCATTTTTAGGCGAAAACAATCAAAATTTCAGTTCACAAGTTCAACATTCCCCTTCCAACCCAATAACTCGAGCCATTAATCAAACTTTCCATTGCATTCTTCCCAAAAAAACTGACTTTTTCCACTCATTCGCCCACACAGACGGCAATAAATCATCCCGTTTCAAAGTCGTTTTTTCCCGGAATCATAGTATCTTCTGTACCTTTTCCCGGTTCAGGTGACGTCATTTCTTCTGAACGCTGAGCGACGTCGTCTTCAGAAGACGTGAGATGAGTTGAGAGTGGCGTATGGATATATGAAGCTCTCGATGTGCGTTCTCATCATGACGTCATTCGATTTGTTTCTCGTCTCCCGGGCTCATGGTACGGTCTTTTTCGTTTCGAGACCCACAGTTCTGAAGAAAGTTAATCATCGATTTTTCGCTTATATTTCTCACTACTTCTGGAATTTTTGTTTCGTTTTTCTACCTGACTTTTGAATTTTTCCCTTAGAATACCTTTTTCGAATTATTTTCCCTTCAATGTCCAGATTTCACGGACGTGTTTCAAACTGAACGGAAACGTGAGCTTGAGATTAAGATTAAGCCCAAAAATACCAAAGCGCGTAACTTGCAAAAGGTCGGTTGCACAGTTCCTTGGAGCGCACTTTCCCAGGTCAAAAGTTTTTTTTCGATTTTTTTTTTCATCGCGTTTTTTTTTCCCGCAAGTTTTCTAATAGTCTTCGTTCAAAGAAGCCAAAGAAAAATCTAACGACTCGGACATTGGTAACGCGAAACGGACGTGCTCCGGACGTTTCTAGGCGATTCAAGGGATCACTTAAGAGCGTTAAGGCTACTAAAGTGGTCACTAGAAATGCCCCGACACGTCCGATTCGCGTCCCGTTCGCGTTACCAAGGTCCGAGAAGGCATAAGTCGCGAAAAAGTCGGTTTCAAAGTTCCTTGGAGCGCACTTTCATAAATCAAAACCTTTTTTTCGATTTTTCTTCCTCGAATCATCCTTTTTCGCTAGTTTTTAATGGTCTCAACGTGGTCTAAAAAATCGGAAAAAAGCGAAAGTCGCAAAAAGTCGGTTGCAAAGTTCATTGGAGTGCACTTTCACAAGTCAAGATGTTTTTTGATTTATTTTTTTCCTCGCTTCGTTTTTTCCGCAAGTTTAAATTCATTGGAGCGCACTTACACAAGTCAAAACTTTTTTTCTATTTATCTTCATCGAATCATTTTTTTGCTAGTATCTAATAATCTTCATTTAACAAGGTCCAAGAAAAATCGGAAAAAAGCGAAAGTCGTAAAAAGTCGGTTTCAGAATTCATTGGAGCGCACTTTCCCAGGTCACAACTTTTTTTCCGATTTTTCTTCAGTCAAGCCATTTTTTTTTCACAAGTTTCTTATAGACATTGGGCAGTTTGCCAGTCCATAAAAAGAAAAAAAAACCTAAAACCGCAAAAAGTCGGTTGCACTTTTCCATAGCTCTAAAATCTTAATTTGTGTCTTTTCTCACACTTCCACCGAACAAACCCCAGAGAACAGGAACGTTTAACAACATTACATTGCATATAATTTGAGAGTACTCACGAAAAAAAAAACAAATTCTTTGACGCCTTCTTTTTCTTCCTCGCTAATTGGATTGCGCGTTTGAAACACGTGGTTTTTGTACGTCTAAACACGCCGATTCCATTCGTTTTAAAGGTTACCGAGTAAAATTGCCGCAAAGGGTTTGATTGAGGAGTTTCGAGACTTTCGAAAGTTGTCTATTCTTGGCAAGAGTGGTCCCTATAGGGGCTAGGGGAAAAAACAGCGCCTGTAGAGATGATAAAGAAGTGCTCCCTAAAGGGGTTAAAATGGTCCTTTGAAGAGTTTTGGGTCCAACCGCTGAACTCATAAAGCTTGATTCGTCCCTATAGGGATCTTATATCTTTGTTCTCATTTAAAAGTTGAACAGATCCAAGGGAGGGCGAGAGTGGTCCCTATAGGGGTTAGGGGAAAAACTGAGGTAATAGTTGACAAAAAGTGTTCCCTAAAGGGGTAAAATTTAAGTTACCCTTATAGGGATTTAGAGTCTAACCCCTGAACCCCGAAAGCTTAAGTGATCCCTAGAGGGTTCTTAAAAGTTGATGAGACGCATTGAAACGACTTATAGGGACCACACGCATTTTCCCCTAGAGTAGCCACTTTTGCGAGCCCCTAGGTTGAGGTAAAGTGGTCGCTACAGAGCCCTAAAGTCACCCCTATAGTGACCGCTCTGGCGCCCATAAGTCATTCAAATAAGCTTCCCTATAGAGAAAGTAAAGTGGCCCCTAGAGGGCAATCTTCAAGAATCCGTTTGCCCCTATAGTGACCACTCTGGCGTTTCTAAGTTGCTTGAATGACTTTTTTTTTTCAGAAAGGAATGGAGGAGGTGGATTCGATCGGCTACGAGAGCGAATACACAGGCGTCGCCATCGACTACACAAGGTTTATTTTTTTGAAAAATTATCATTTTATAAATAAATCAGTTAACTGTTTTATACTTGATGTTTAAATAATAACTAAAAAGTAATAGAAGTTCAACCGTAATAACATTTTTCCGAAAAAGTGTCGAAAAAATCAATTTCTGTGGTTAAATCGAATAATTACAGAAACAAGATTCTCATAAAATCATTTCATTATCACTGAAAAGGCCACTTCATTTTACCAAGTGACCACTTAAGGTTTCCTCGAAAACTTTACCTCAGAAAAATTTTTAGAGCTCTTTTCTTCCTTTCAAATGATTCGATCCACAAACGGTCTCTCAAGGGATCACTTTAGGGTCTTATCAAGAGATAACTTCAAAAGGTCCAATCACTCAAGTAATCACTTACGCAGAAAAAAAATTTCGAAGCTTTGAATTTGATTTTTTTTTTTCGAAGTGTTCACTTAAGGCTTCTTCAAAATTTGTCATCTGATGTTCAAAAAAAATTTCTAAAACCCTTGTTTTCCTGTCAATTGATTCAATCCAGGAAGAGGTCTCTCAAGTGATCACTATAGGGTTTTATCAAATTAGAAATTCAATTTGAAATCGCTCAAGTAATCACTTACGCAGAAGAAAAAATCTTTGAAGCTTCGAATTTGATTTTTTGCCAAGTGATCACTTAAGGTTCTTGGAAAATTTCTTTGTCAATTAATTCTCAGAAAAATATCTAAAACCCTTGTCTTCTTGTCAAGAAAAGAGATCTCCTAAATAGTGTCTCAAGTGATCACTTTAGGGTCTCATCTAGAGAGCCTTTCAAACTCAAATCCTTCAAGTAATCCCTTACGTACGAAACAATTCTTTGATGCTTTGAATTTGATTTTTTTTCTAAGTGATCACTTAAGGCTTCTTCAAGTTTTTTTTCTCGTTATCTGATCTTCGGAAAAATTCTGAAACCCTTATCTTCCTGTCAAGAAAAAAGATTTCCTAAATAGTCTCCCAAGTGATCACTTTAGGGTCTTATCTAGAAAGCCTTTCAAGCTCAAACCCCTCAAGTAATCACTTACGCAGAAGAAAAAAACTTCGAAGTTTGAAATTGATTTTTTTCGAAGTGCCCACTTCAGGTTTCTTCAAGTTTTTTTTTCTTGTCCTTTGATCCTCAGAAAAATTTCTAGCACTCTTGTCTTCCTGTCAAGAAAAGAGATCTTCTAAATAGTCTTCCAAGTGATCACTTTAGGGTCTTATCAAAAAATCATTTCAAGCTCAAATCCCTCAAGTAATCACTTATGTAGGAAACAATTCTCTGAAGCTTTGAATTCGAATTTTTTCAAAAACTTTTTTGAAAAAATCGACATCATTTTGAAATACAACAACTTAAAAAAAAAACTAGTTTCTTCCGTCTCAGTGATTGGAAAAGGAGTCTGTGTTCCATCATCGAATCAAATCAAATCGGTATCACTTTCACGCCGAAAAGCTTCGATTAGGGTCAAGTGATAAAGGAGAAATGTGATAATATCAGGGGGCAAGAAGTTTCAAAGTGGAAAAAGTCGAAAATATAATAAATTTTCAGGCAGCGGTACTGTCAGAACTTGATGAGACGTTCGAAATGATGACTCAGCCGCGCTACCGGCCCGAAAAGTCCATTCCAAATAAGGTGATTTTAACTTTTTTGGGGTGAATTTGATAAATTGGATCTTAGTAACGCAAACCGGACAAGTCCCAAGCCTTACCGAGCATTTTTAGGGGTCGTCGTAATCACCCTTAAGTGATCCCTAGAGCAACATAATTAATAAAATTTCGTACATCTTCGGTCATGCAAACCGGACCTTTCTGAGCAATTTAGTGACCATTTTAGGGCTTCAGCACCCTTAAGTGATCCCTAGAAAGTCTCAAAAAGCTTCGAAATTTAGTTTATTTGGAAATTTTTTTTGAAAAATCCGAAGCACCCCGGACGTGTCCGAGCATTTCTAGGGGCCACTTCAACGTCGTCACAACCCTTAAGTGATCCCTAGAAGGTCTCAAAAACTTTCGCGCTATCCAGGACATTGGTAACGCGAACGGGAAATGCTCCAGACATTTCTGGGCTTTTCTAGTGGCCACTTTAGTAGCGTTAGGACTCTCAAGTGGCCCCTAGAATATCTCAGAAACGTCCGGGGCCCTTTCGGTTTGCATTACTGAGGTCCGAGTGATTCAAAGTTGAATTTATGCATTATCCATAGAGCAAAAAAGCCTTCTCGGCAATATTCTTTGATTCTTTGCCAAAAGGGAGAGAAGACCCCGAAATTTGGTCGGAATGTTAATGCGCCGACTTCTGGTTTTTTTCCTTTGTCGGGGGGTTTTCTTTTTGATTTTTGACACATAAAAATGAAATCAATTCTTCTTTGAAATATATGTCGAACAGAAACGTGTTTTGAGCATTAAACGGGGCGTCTAGAACCATCTGGCCGTGTGGCACATTCAGAACATCCAACCCTTTATTTCTTGCTCAGGAGGGGAAAAAACGCGAAAATGTTATCGTTGAGGAGAAAAAAATCGGTCACACCTGAAGATTTACTGCGCACAAGGTTTTTTTTTTGAGAAGAGAAAAAGGAGCAAAGAATGGTTTCAATTCAAGATGGGACTTTTGGAATGGGACTGGGTTTATAAGATGATATTTTTGGAATAAAGTTTTCAATATTTTATATTCTTCCCTAGACCAATTTCGCTTCTTATTCACTTCGACAACTATTCTCCAGAGTCTTTATTCGGATCAGAATTTTGCATTTTATCAAAAATCTAGCCAAGTTCCCAGGAATCAAGTTAGAGCCTTTCAAAATTGAGATTCTGTGGATTTTTGTGTAGAAAACGTAATCAAAATAATCAGTTGAAATGAAAATTATGATTTTCTTCACCGTTACCTTTTCTAATTTTTTTCAGTTTGTAAAAAAACGAATTTTTCACATAACGCAGAGCCAGATTCAAAAATGTAGGTTTTGCTTTTCCTAGGGTCGAAGGAGTTCAGTTATCCCAAAAATAGAACGTCTTTTGGCCTCCAGTCAAACTTGAAAGTTCGATGAAGTATAATTTAGGCCCTCCTGATTTCAAAACAAGGAAAATATATATCGCAATAGATCTTGTTTTTCGCGTTAGGACCCTTCAAAAGTTTGAAATATCGCTTAAGTTGCGAATTTTGCATACTTTGAAGCTTCATAATTCGGAAACGAGATCTATTGCGAGAAACTGTTTTCTTGTTCTGGTATTAGTAATGCTTTTTAGAAAAGTTCAACGGGGGGAGGGGGGCGAAAAAAGTTCCCTTGTAAAGTTGGTCTACCAAATGAATCCTTGATCCTTAATGAGGTTTAGAAAGTTACTACAGTCTGCGTGCCACGACTTGAAATTTCACGGAACGACATTCCGCTGTTCCGCTGCGTGCGTTCGCGAAGCGTCTTTCGAATCTAGGTCGCGTTTTCAATTGATTGTTATTGCTGTGGGAGGACATGAAAGTAGAGTAACTTAATAAAATAAAAAAAATTAAAAGCTCGACAAAGATTCGCAAAGGCACGCAGCGGCACTGCGGAATGTCGTTCGGTGAAATTCCAGGTCGTGGTACACAGGTTATACAATTTTTTGATAGTTTTTTGGTTCACACTGGTTTATCAAATAATCATTATTAAAAAGGAGATTTTAAGATTTTTACATGAAACAACATTTTTTTTTTCTTTAAAGATCTTTAAACTTGTCAATACTTGTTTTCTTCACTGTGACCAAAATTTTCTCCCATTTCTTTTTTTGAAAGTCTCAGAAGTTCAAGAAAGTCGCTTACGCGTCGTTTCCTCCATGGGGTTTCCTTCGGAGGAATCGGCGACTGATATGTCTCCAAGTTGTTGCAACCTGTTTCTCTTCTCCTTCTTCTTCTTTTTCGGTCGCTTGCTTCTCTGCAAAATTATCACACTTGCCTGAATTCATAATTCTGAGGGGAGAAATCGAGAAAATATTTTGAAAATCTGATATTCAGAGAAAAAGCATATAGAAACTCTACATGTGTCCTTCAGAAAAGGTCATTTTATTTATTATTTGCGGCTGAAAATCAGCCAGATACTCCCTGATGTACCAAAAAAAGCCTCCTGAAGATCTATACCTATACAACTTCCAAGATTTTGAGAAATGAGCCCTCAAGTCAAAGAAAACCCTAAAAATCCGTAAAAATAGGCACTTCTGAAGCTTTGAACCCATATTTTTCAAAAACTAGGAAGTTAGGCAGGTTGAAAATTTCAGAATCTTTTTCTGTTATTTAAAGGAATATTCTGGCCAATTTTCAAGAAATTCTTACATGAAAAGTCAAATGACCTTCCTTGTGAAGAGCGTATATCAATGAATAATTGAAAAATCCATTAAAACCGATTTTTTCGCCCCCTACTAGTTTTAAAAAAAATTATCTTCGTTTTTAAGCCTTTTAGAGGCCATAGAAACTTTAAAAAATAATTATTCAACCCTGAAAAAAACATTTTAAAGTGAGAAGGGTATGAAAACGTGCTACACGGAATTTGAAAAAAATCCCTTCAATGGTGAAATTTTTCAGAGCGGACGAAGGGATCGAAACGAGGATTTGTGTCAGTCGGAAAGGAATACCGTCGAGCTGAATACTCACAGGTATTTCTAAAAAAAAAGGAAAAAAAAGGTTTCCTTCATATAAATCGGTCGGATCGACGCACAGAAAATGGCTCAAAGTTACTAAGAATCTGCGCCCGACCTAGAACGACTTGCGCCTTACTCAAATTGCAAGCCTTCAAACTTTTTGACTGAACCGCAGGGTTAATGAAAATCTGCGCCCGACCCAAAACTACTTGCGCCTTTCAGTAACCTTTACATCAGGGACACTCAAATTGCAAGCTTCGGCCTCACTGACTGAACCGCAACGCGACCGCATCGCTTTGAGCCATTCTAAATGCCACAATAATGTTTCAAGGGCGGCTAATAGAGTATTGAAAACGTTGGAGCGTTTATTCTGAAGCCCAAAATGAGTTTTTCAAAATAAAACAAATGCCCAAATTTAAAAGTTGAGGTTTTGTTTTAGAGATTCCTAAGCGATTTTTTCCGATTGTCGGGGTATGATTTCAACGTACAAAAATGGCTCAAAGTTACTAAGAATCAGCGCCCGACCCCGAACTACTTGCGCCATTCAGTATTCGTGAGATGAGGAATACTCGAATTGCAAGATTTGAACTTCTGAACTGAACTGCAGCGCGACCGCAGCGCGTCTGCAACGCGTCGAGCTCTTCTAAATGCGACAATAGCGTTTCAAGGGTGGTTTATAAAATGTTGAAAACGTCGAAGCGTTTATTCTAGTGCCCAAAATGAGTGAATTCTATTTCTTTCAAAATAAAACATAATTTCCAAATTTGAAAGTTGAGGAGTTTGTTTTAAAGATTCCTAGGCGACTTTTCCCGGTTTTCGGGGTATGATTTCTACGTAGAAAATGACTTAGAGTTCCTAAAAATCAGCGCCCGACCCCGAACTACTGGTGCCTTTCAGTATTCTTGAGATGAGGAATACTCGAATTGCAAGCTTTGAACTTTTCAACTGAACCGCAGCGCGACCGCAACGCGTTGAGCCATTCTAAATGCGGCCAACTTTCAGGCCAACCGCAAAGTAAAATGACCTTCTTGTAAGCGACTTTTTTCGATTTCCGAGGTTCCATTCCTAGTTTTTTTTTTCCAAAGTACATTTTCTGTTGTGTAATTCAAATCCACCAGATGCACAGAAAAAGAAAGGAGCCCGAATTTCTGTGTTGGTAGGCGGTTCCGTGGGGGGCGACATAATTAATTCCCGACCGGCAATAAATCAACGATTTCGACGTTGCGGTGGCCTGGTCGTTTGTCGATTCGTTTACATGGGGTGGTCTTGTTTCGTTTTGGGATGAAAGTGTTGGGGAAAGAGGTTGGATTTGGAATGAAAATTTAAGGGGGTAAAAAAATCAAAATTGAGGGGGAGGTGAAAATTAAGAGGTGGAAGGGGGGAAAGGTAAAAAAATCAAAAATAAAGAGGGGGAGAGGGTTGAATATTAAAAATTAAAAAGGAGGGGGTTTAAATCAAAATTAAGAGGGATAGGCAGTAATTTTGGAGCCTCCTCGGAGGGTTGGAAAAAAATTATTAGATCCAAAAAAAGGCTCGAAAAATCGAAAAATCAAAAATTATGAACATTTTTTTCTCATTTTTAAGCCTAAATCATCAAAAAAAAGTTTTTTTAATGATTTTCTCAATGTAACTTTACATTTCCTTTTTCAAAAAAACTTTCGTTTTATTTCAATTTTTCCGTACGATAGAATTTGATATGAAAATCGATCCAAAAATGAAAATTTTGAAAATATTTCAGCCGTTGAGCGGGAATGAAATTTCTAAATTCGAACTGATAATAAATCTATCGAGAAACGCAGAGTAAACATGCAAATTTTTCACATGATCAAAGATATATGGTCGCATTTGGAATGGCTCGATGCGTTGCGGTCGAGCTGCGGTTTGATTCAGAATCTCAAATTTTGCAGGTCAAGCACAAGTTCTGAACACAGCGTTGAAAAATACCGAGAATTTCGGGTTCAACAAGTCCTAAGGGAACTTTCTAATAGCCACTTTAGGGTTTCGACGTTTTAGTGGCCACTATAGTAGGCGCTTGTTCGGCAAATTAAGTGGCCTCTTTAGGGCTTTAATCGACACCGTTACATCACAAAAACTATTGTATAGTCGGTGTGCCACGACTTGGAATTTCCCCGAACGACATTCCGCTGTTCCGCTGCGTGCGTTCGCGACGCCTTTTTCGTATCTATTTCACGAATTTATTGTTATTGCTCACATCAAAGTAGAGTACCTTAATAAAAGAAAAAAAAATTTATAGGCGCGACCTAGGTTCGCAAAGGCGCGCAGCGGAACAGCGGAATGTCGTTCGGTGAAATTTCAACACAGACTATAGTGGTTCCTAAGACGCAAAAGGGGCTTCTACAGAGGTTATTTTTATAACCACTTTGGTGTCCCATCCCTGTAGAAACCTCTTAAGTGGCCACTCAAGTATTTCCCGATATACAAGGTCCGTTTTTGACGACTACATGGTCCGCCAAATGGACTATAGTGTTTTCCCCACAATCGGATTTTTCTAAACAAGCTCAAGTTGTAGTTCTCAATCAAGCACTTCCCTATTTCAGCCACGAGTTCGACCCGCCATTCATCGTCGAAATCCGATGCCATAACCATTCGGCAACCATTCATGACCCTCCAACCGAGCAGGTTTGTTATTTATTCCAGTCAAGGCCTATTAAAAAGGGTTCTACATTTTATCATTATTCAAATAGAGAGGTCGAGTGTGTGTGTCCTCCCCCGCATTTTTTGTACCACCTTTTTTTCATTTTTTAGGCAGCGGAGGGGATGGGGGCCCATACCAGCGCAGAAGGTTATCAGCTTATTCAATTTGTGTCGAATAAAGTATCCAAACTACTTTACCCCCTCCCTTTGGCACCACTTCTTAAGTTTTTTTAGGCGGGGGGCGGAATTTCAGACTCACCACCAGACAGAGAAGTCAGCCTGTCCAACTTATGTTGCATAAAGCATCCAAAGGATTTTTTTGAAGTATTGTATTTTTTTCAATTTCCCCCTTTTTGGCACCACTTCTTAAGTTTTTTTAGGCGGGAGGGGGGATTCGATTTGTGTCGGATAAAGTATACAAATTACGTCCAAAGCCCTGCATTTCTTCAATTTATCCACCTCTTCTTCAAAAACCAACCAAACTTTGATCTGAATCTACCAAAAAAAGATCCTTTCTTGTCCACCGAAAAAAACCATTCCAAGACGGATGGATGGGTTGGAGGAGGCGGAAAGAATTGAACAAATGCGCCCCGTTGGGAGATTCGTCATTTTTTTGTTTTTCTTCACCTAGAACACGTTCAGTTTGAAAAATGTGTGGCGATTCGAATGTTGCGATGTGTTTTTTTTCGGGGGTCCGCGGACACGCTAAGGGATTTGGGATGATTGATTGTTAGGAAAGAGGAAGCCGTTTTGGGGAAAAAACGCATCAGAAATCGCGCTCCATCGAGAACTTGCTTCGAAACTAGACTTTCTTCGAATTTTTCTGAATAAGAGGTTTAGAACCGAGTTTCAGATTTGAAAAAAGAGAAAACTGTACACTTTTAGGTAATTTCAAGGGTTTAAGGAAGATATTTGGCTTGATTTTATGATCCGCGAAGAAACTGAAGAGCATTTTGTTTAGCTCAAACTGCGAAAAAATGTTTACAAGAAAATAAGATAAGGCTTTTCGCTTGAAAACTTAGAACAGAAGTTCAAAAAGAGTCGTTAGAAAAGTTATTCAGCTGTTGAATTTGATGAAAAAGCCAGCCTTCTTCATTTTAGATAAAAAATTCGAAAAGAGCCGTGTAAATCCCTCAAGAGGCCACTCAACTGTTACTCTTACTACGATTATCCGCCTAAACCCCTTAAGAGGCCACTCAACTGTAACTCGTTTTACAAATCACTGCGAAAATCCCTTAAGAGACCCCACAATTCTTACTATTTCTACAAATATACCCGAAAATCCCTTAAGAGATCCCTCAAATGTTCCTCTTTCTACAAATACTCGCCAAACCCCTTAAGAGACCCCTCGATTGTTACTCTCTCTGATTCGAGGCCGCCTGATTCGATTAGAAACATTCTCTCGATTTGAATAAATGGCCGTCTAGTGGAAATTTGATACGGGTCGTCGCCCAAAAAATGTTTTGCGCCTTTTTTCTTTTCCTGGTCACGCCAATCAAGGCCAAAGGTTACAGATTTAGAGGGGTGAATGGGTGTATTTTGGTCGGAATAAAATTTTTTTTCATAATTTTTCTAGATACTTATTAAAGCTGCGCGGCCAAGTTTCGAGCCAAAAAATGAGAGAGGCTCTATTTTCATGAATGAACCAAAAATTTAAAAAAAAAGAGAGTGACTGCAAAAAGGCCGCTAAAAGGGTTCCGTTTTGCGGGCTTTATTGAGCCTTTCTCTCTTGGTGGGCTAAAAAGCCTCAAAAAAGGGTGCAAAAAGGGCGCTGAAAGTCTGCGCCATTTATGATTTCCGATTTTATTACTGTAGCACACTTTGGTTCATACACAGTCCTTGGTAAAGATTATTCTCAATTAAAAAGTTGTTTCTCTCAAAAGGTCCAAAAAAAGGGTATATAAAGGCCGATGAAAGGACGGAAAAAGGCTTTTTTTTTTATTAAACCGCTGCCAGCCGTTTAGGAACAATTAAAGGCATAGGGGCAGTAAAAAACGGTGTTTCAGTTCAAAGCAGTACTTTGTAGAGATTTTCATTGCGAATCGAACGGTAAACTTGGGAACGTACCGAACTTCCTAATTTTGAAGAAAAAATAATTCAAAATCGGAGAAAGGAAAGCTTGAGTTCCCGCGAAAAGGGCGCTTTGCAGTAAAGTTGCTCTATGGACAACAGGCTTCCCCGTTTTTCGGATTTTCGTTTTTTTCTTCGTTTCTTTCAATTTTAAATTTTTTCTGTTGTTACCAAAGTTCTTTCCGTCACAAAAAGCTTTCTGTTCATGTATAATTTGCAAACTTTGATCGCAAAAATGCTTCTTTGGTGAAAAATGATGATTTTACGCAGGTTTCAATTGGGATAGCGTTGTTTTGTGTTTTCTTTATTATCATTGTGTTTTTTCTGTTTTCTTAATCGATTTTTCAGAAACGAAACCCTTAATTTGAAGCAGAAAGCCGGTTATTTCTCACAAAATGCGAGTCTAATGAGACGTCCGCAACATCGCGTGCACAGCTACTGTAATCAGTTGTCTGAGCACCGATCCAAAGCTTTTTTCAAAATAAAAGGCGGGAAAGTGAAATCGCGTTTTTCTTCTAGAGTTGTCACATCTGTAATTTTTTTGAGTACACCGTTGGATTCGCAAAGAAAAACTATACAAGATACTGCTTTCAGCTGAAACCCCATTTTTTACTGCCCCTATGCCTTTAATGGACACCTTTTGATTCATAATGGACGCTCAAAATGTCCGTAAAGGGTCCTCCCGGGATTAAAAAACTCAAAGGAAAATTATTTTATAAAAATAAAAATCAGTTCTTCTACATTTTCCAAACTAGTTATTGAAGCTGTGTGGTCAAACTTTGAGCCAGAAATTGGCCCAAAATGGGAAAATTTCCAAGAAAGTTTTGAGCGAAACACCATGTTTCGACTTGATCAACTACACGTTTAGACTTTTATCTCAGGTAAAAGTTGGGAAGCTTCTGTTTTCGGTTCCTTGGAAGGCGTTTGGAAGCTTTCCAGCAAGCACCTTCTACTTAGAAAAAGCCTGCCGGAAGACCTTGCGGAAGAACCTTGCAGAAAAATAGAGAAAACCTTGCAGAAGCTTTCTAGAAGGCTTCTGCAAGGTTTTCTCTATTTTAACCTTCCGAATACCTTCCAAAGGTTTTCTTAAGACCTTCTAGCTTTCATACACCTTCCAACCTCCTGCTGGTTACCTTCCTAACACCGTCCCAGGACTCGCCTAAGTAGTTTGCCAAAGGCGATTTCTTAACATTAATTCGAAAAAATTGCGGAAAAAGTCTACAAAAATGCTTTGGATCCATTATTTTCAGACCATTCTCAGAAAAAAAAAGTTTCAGACCTGTGTCCGGGGGATGCTGCGGTGTGTGCAGCAGTACGGCGAGGTGCACGTGTCCCGTCGCGGCGTCGGGACCATGCATTGGCATCCGCACACCCTGCACGACGTCCCGCTGTCCTGCAACTGCATGTGGCCCGTCGACAAGTACGGCCATCAGGAGCTCTGATCCTGAAGTTCCCATCAAATTGTTGTTTTTCTTCGATATTCCGTTGAGTACTGTCCATATGGAAACTAAAAATGACCTCAAAAAGGGGCCAGAAAATCTTTTAACGCCCTCGGACGTTTCTGGGCATTTCTAGTGATCACTTTAGTAGCATCAGAACTCTTAAGTGGTCCCTAGAATCGACCAGAAACGTCCGTTTCGCGTTACCAATGTCCAAGGCCTCTTTTTTCACTTTGGCTTACGTTTAGGAACACCAGAGTGGTCCCTATAGGGATTCTTTGAAAACAGCCTAACAAAGGTGACAGAGAAGTGTTCCCTATAGGGGTACAGTTTAAGTGGACCCTATAGAGGTTTAGGCTCTGACACCTAAGCCTCTAAAGCGCAAGTGGGCTCTATAGGGGTCCTTAAATTTTTTTCCGTTTATAGGGTCCCTATAGGGATTCAAATCCTGAAGGAGAATGAGAAAAATAAATCAAAACCCTAATCAAATCCATTTTTCTCCACTCGGACAGTACTTTCTCTCAAATCTTCCTCCAAAACCGCTTCAAAACGCTTTTTCTGCCCCCATTTCCACGTAGAAGAGCTTCTTCCAACTATCCAAATCATGAAATCAGCCATGACCGCGACGCGACCGCGTCGCGTCTCTCCATAAAAAATATTTAATCGCTTCCGATTTTTCTACGCTACGAATACCTTCCTCATGCTCGCCGCTTCCATACGAGGTCTTCTTTTTCGATTGTTTTTGTTCTTTTTTCATTGTTCTAGTACAAATTATTATGAATAAAGTGTTCATCGTGCAAGGAAAAATCGAAAAATTGAAGGATTTGAAATGTTGGAAATTATTTTTCAACTTAAACAAGCACAAAATCGACTTGAAATTAACACCGTTAACAAGGAATTTATCCGTGGAGCAAACTTGCCGGGAAAAGTACGGTTTTTCACGGCTTTTTTTTCGCTTTCAAAAAACATGATTTTTGAGGTTCGAAGCTTCTCCTAACGATAATATATTCAATGAAAACGATTCCAAGATTTAAAAAATTCAAATTCAACAAAATATCTTATGAACTCCAACAGAACAAAATTTCACGAAAAAGGGAAAAATTCAAGAATTTATACACACACGATCAACAAATTCAACAAGGAATGAACACATTTTCCAAAAAATGAGGTTCAAAGATGTTTTCGGCGCATTTCGATGAAGAATCTTGTGATAGGGGCATCGATTGTTTTCATGTTGGTCACGACGAATTTATTCTCCAAATTGATATAATCGAGAAAGTCCGGGTAGCTGCCGCCGACTCCAAAGTAGAAGATTTTGCCGGCGAGCCAGCTAAAAAAGGAAAATTTTGCTTGATTCCGTGGGAAGTCTTCGAGGCGAAGAACCGTAAGACCACGCTTTCAACTTGATCAACTACAAGTCTGGACTTCTTGGTTCATTTTGATCAACTACAAGTCTGGACTTCTTGGTTCATTTTGATCAACTACAAGTCTGGACTTCTTGGTTCATTTTGATCAACTACAAGTCTGGACTTCTTGGTTCATTTTTGATCAACTACAAGTCTGGACTTCTTGGTTCATTTTTGAGCAACTACAAGTCTGGACTTCTTGGTTCATTTTTGAGCAACTACAAGTCTGGACTTCTTTGGTTCATTTTGATCAACTACAAGTCTGGACTTCTTGGTTCATTTTGATCAACTACACTTTTTAAACTTCTAGTTCGCCAAAGGTTGTTCGTTATAGCTTTAAAAGTTCTTGTTCACCGCCTAGTCGATCACATCTACGACTAAAAACAAAAAATGACTTGATATATTGATTTGCAAATGGTCGCACGGAGAATGGCTCAACGCGTGAGCGGCTGCGAAGCTGTTTTTCACGGGGAAACGAAGTTTTAGAAATGAAGCACATGGAAAATTCGAAAATTCTCATGACTACCTAGGCTTTCCTGCAATTTCTAAAGCCCTAAAATTCATTTTAACCTTCTAAAACTTGTAAAAGCATGAAAAATCGACCGAATTTCACAGCAAGCCGCTCTTACAAGATACCTTACAGAAAACAAATTTGAAATTTCTTTTGGTCCCAAAGAAATTTGATACAAACTCACACGACGCCCTGATCAGAGAGGCAATGATCGAGAGCCGCGTGGAAGGCCGGATAATCTGATGTATTATAAATCGTCTCCGAGGAGATGATCAGGTCGTAGCTGAAACAAAAGAAAGTTTATTTCTGGGAATTACTCATAGATAATAAACTGAGAAAACTTTTAGTAGCCACTATAGAGGCTCGCGAAGGAATACTTGGAGAGGACACTAAAGCGGCCACTAAACCCACCTCTATAGTGGTCACTATTTTGCGTTTTAGTGGCCACTTCAGTAGTTTTTCATCCAGTATTCCTTCCAGTAACTCTGATAATTTTAAAACAAACAAATTGGACCAGTTATGTTGATCCATTGACCCCTTAAGTGGCCACTAAAATTTTTAGTGGTCTATGAGTAACACTTAGACCTCTATAGTGGCCCCTAATTTTTAGCCCCTTAAGTGGCCACTAATTTGACTTCTTTAATGGCCACTAAAACGTCGAAACCCTATAGTGGCCACTAAAAAGTCCCCAGTAAGTCAAAATGGAAATAAAAATGATGCCGTGTTCAAAGTAATTTCCGCGAAATGCAAAATGATTTCTGACTCTCCAAAATTTAGTGATCTTTTCCTTTCTCTAACGGGTATTTTGCATTTCGCGGAAATTACTTTGAACACGGCATGAACCAAGTTCGAAAAGTTCGAAATGGTCGTTCGTTCGTGGTCTCCTCCTCAGCTGAACCTGGTGCGCCGTCCCCGACTCCTGTTACGGCTTCAGCTCAAGCTGCCGACGACGCTGTACCAATGTCTCCTTGAGACAGAAATGACTTAAGTCAGCCTAATTTATATAACTCTTTTGCTCAATCTCATATATATTCTAATGTTAAATGTTTACTCATCAATTGTCGCTCTATCGCATCGAGTGCGAAGTTTTTCAGTTTTTAGTCGATTTTCTAGAACACAACTCATATGACATCTGTTTTTATTACCGAAACCTTTTTAAATGATTCTTTTCCCTTGATTCAATGCTTACTAACAATTCTCATATTCGATGTGATCGTCGTCCAGACCATTTCAAAAAGCTGCGGCGGTGGCGTTGCAGTTTTTGTTCAGAAAGAATTTACAAATTGCTGAGGAGGATGTTGACCTGAATGAGCACTATCCCCAACACTTCTGTGAGTTGCTTTGCTTTGATCTTATCTTTGAGGACAAATCAAAAATCCGTTTCTGCCTAGTGTATAGAGCCCCTGGTCAGACTCTCCTTTTTGACAAAGCCCTAATTGAGAATTTAAAAAAAGCATTCAGTTTCGATGGTGAGGCTAACATATTGCTAGGTGACCTAAATCTACCTCGTATAAAATGGGGTTTTGACACCATTGACAGACATAGCTCTAACAACTGTTTTTCCAATTTGCATTAGAAAAACAATCTTGAACAGATGGTTCCCTTCAACACTAGACTTGATAACAGCGGTACTGAAACTCTTCTAGATTTAGTTCTAACTAATTCCTCCGACCGTCTTAGCGCATTCAATAAAATTATACCTCCTATTACAACAGACCACCTAGCGGTTGAATTTTCAGTTTCCTCCAACATTCATAGTGAAAATGTTGCTCCTCAGCGTAAAAAACTCAACTACAAAAAATGCGACGTTCCTAGATTGATTTTTCTCATAAGTGCTTTTAATTGGCCACGACAGTTCTCCTATTTTTCCTCACTAGAAGAAAAGTACAAACACTTCACTAAGGTTCTCAATGAATTCATTGAATTATGTTGCCCCATTCTTGTTCAAAAACCTCTAATAAACTCATGCCGTGGGTTAAGGCGGCTGATTCGACAAAAAGCTTATCTCAAGCGTGCGAACGATCCTGCCAACAATCAAGCTTTAGTTCAAAATTCTTTAATTATTCGTATTATGAGGAGAAAAGCTTTAAAGTTTCTCAAAAAGAACGAGAAGAAAGTAGTAAGTTCTAAAAATTATAACGGTATTCTGAGGTTTATTTCTGGAAAATTCAAGCCAAAAACCAACATCCCCTCCTTAGTTACTAACGGTTCCATTCTCACCTCTACAGATGAAAAAACTAGAGCCTTTCTTAATACTTTTAAATCAAATAGGAATCATCAGACCTACGCTACACCTTGTATTTTCCCTTCACGCGAGAACTCTTTAACCCACCCCGATTTCTCTCCTAGCACGGTATGCAATGTTTTGTCCAAACTCAGCCCAAAAATTGGTTTTTCGCCTGATTTAATAAACTTTTTTATACTTAAAAAATGTAAAGATGCCTTGGCAGTTCCTCTTTCGTTGCTTTTTTATGAGTCTTACTTTTCTAAGTCCATTCCTAGTATGTGGAAAAAGTCCTACATTATACCTGTTTTCAAGAAAGGGAAAAAGTCTGACCCAGCCAACTATAGACCTATTTCGCTAACCCATCCTTTAGCAAGAGTTATGGAAAAAATACTATCGAACCACATTAAAATGACCTTTCGCCATTCCTTTTCTGATAAACAATTCGGATTTCTCAACAATCGATCCTGCAAACTTGCCCTACTCGACTGTGTTTCCAATTGGAAAGCACTGCTCAAGGAGCGTAGATCTATTGACGTTATTTACTTTGATTTCCAAAAAGCGTTCGATAATGTCCCTCATAACCTTTTGTTAGACAAGCTTAGAGCTTTTTGGTCTCAACTCTCAACTAGTTGGTTGGTTCGAAAAATTTTTCTTTCCGAACGTCAATCTTGGGTTTTATTGGATGGACAGGTTTCTTTCGACAGTTTTTAGTATCAAATCTGGTGTACTCCAGGGACGGTTACGGGGCCTCTCTTGTTTTTAATCTTCATAAATGATCTAGCTGCAAATTTCAGTGATGACGTCTCCAGTTATCTATTCGCTGATGATCTTAAAATTTTCTCCTCTGACCCAATTGCTCTACAAAATGCAATCAACCAACTTGCTATGTGGTCCGAAACATGGGGACTCCCATTAGCTGAAAACAAAACTGTAGCTCTCCATCTAGGCAGATCAAATCCTAGGACAGTTTATACAATTAAAGGCACTTTTATTAGTTCTTCCGAAGTTGTCAGAGATCTTGGAGTCATGGTGGACAGTTCCCTACTTTTCAAATCTCACATTTCAAAAGCAGTTAACACCTCTTTGCTCAAAAGTAAACAAATTCTGAAAAGCTTTCGTTGTCTCACAATTCAACAGTATAATATGGTTTTCAACCTATTCGTGAAACCTCACCTCGACTACTGCAGTGACGTTTTCTATCCCGCAATAAATTCCGAACAGGCATATCTACTCGAAAAACCTTATAGGTATTTCACTAGAGAAATTTTCATGCGCAGAAACTTAAGATTCAATTCATATTCTGAAAGATTGCTCAAGCTCGAAACTAATGCTTTGTACAGAAGGAGACTCAATCTTGCACTCTGCACACTTCACAAAAATTGTCCTCAAGATAGATCATTTTCCAAGCGCTCACAGGTTTTTTTCAGAATCTCTCATTCGGGTCGACATCCTCTGCGGTTAATTCAGGCTGGTCCTTTATGTGATTCTTTCTTTTTCAAAAACTGATCCCAATCTGGAACAAAAATCTGCTCTAGATTCAACGTCTCTGTTCCTCCTAAAATTTTTCAAATCTCATCTGGACAACATCCCCGACAATGAATTATTCATCAGCATCCCTAGACGGCTACTATGATCTCAAAAAAATCTCAATATGCATATACGTGTATTTTATCAACTGTGATATCTAATTTATTCCCTATCCGGTGAAGTCACTCGTGAGGGTGACCTAAAAACCGGTTCTTAACCTTATTTATTCTTTTCACTTTGTGGATGAGTAAATTATTATTATTAACCAAATTCGAAGAAAACTTCATGAATCAAGATAAGAAGAATTCCTACCAATCACTTCCTGCGAGCACCCTATAGTGGGTCCTAAATGACCATTTAGGGGGCCCTATAGGGAGCGAAGAAGGGGGTCTTTCAGTATACCTCTGTAGGGGGTTCCCTATAGGACACACTTCAGCTTTTCCCAGGTGTTTAGCGTGAAGAAAATGTTCATTTTCCAGTTCAGAATCCTAGAATTTTTCCTTTTTCGGAAATGTCACATGGATACACTCCCAAATAAGAGCTTCAACCTTCGAAATTTCGAAAAATAACTTTACGAGGGTATTTTATGCCATTTTCCCGAGAATTTCATTCCAAAAAAACCCACAACTTCTTTTTGAACTGCGGCATCTCGGGCACACTTTTCCAGTCGCAGAATACCATTGTGAAACGCCTCGGGTCGCAGTTATTCAGCAGTATATTTTTCTCCGTGTAGCACTGGATGACGCTTCGGTTCTGAACAGAGCCCTCATAAAACTGGTAACGAAGTTTTACGGCAGGAAAGTTTTTGGAATGGCTTGACGCGTTGCGGTCGCGATGCGTTTACCTACCATTTACATATTTTTACAAAAAAGAAACTTTCTTGAATTTTTTTCACTTTTTTGTCAAAATACTCAGGATCTTCGGAGTAATCAAATCCCTATAGGGATCGCTTAAATTTCACCCCTGAAGGGGCTGTTTTCTCCCCTAACCCCTGAAGGGACCATTTTAGGGTTCTAAAATGTGAACGACCACTTATCAGTTTTCTACTTTATGGCTCTTCAGATGGGGTTTTATTTAACTCATGTTCTCTTCAAAAAACTCTGGGTCTTCGAGAAAAGAACGTACTTTCGCACTTGTCCAAAATGACTACTTCAGGAAATTTTTAAAATTTCGTATATTTTTCGTATGAAAAATAAGTAAACCAGCATTTTCTAGTCGGCCGAATTCCATTTTTTGAAAACCGCGACGCGTCAAGCCAATATTAGAGACAAGAAAGGTTTCTTTTCATTTATAACCTATTGGCTCTCATTTTTACGTGCTCTTTTCAGACTCATATGAAACCACCTATGAGAGAAAAGAGAGCGCAGACAGGTCAGATCGCTTCAAAAAAAGAAATGAACACGCCGATGAGAGAAAAGAGAGCGCAGACAGGTCAGATCGCTTCAAAAAAAAAGAAAAAGAACAAGACGGTGAGGGAAAAGAGAGCGCAGACACGTCAGATCGCTTCAAAAAAATGAATGAATACGCCGATGAGGGAAAAGAGAGCGCAGACACGTCAGACTAAATTTAAAAAAAATTAACAAGACAGTGAGAGAAAAGAGAGCGCAGACAGGTCAGATCGTTCAAAAAACACATGGACGAGAGAAAAGAGAGCGCAGACAGGTCAGATCGCTTCAAAAGAAAAAAGAACAAGACGGTGAGAGAAAAGAGAGCGCAGACAGGTCAGATCATCAAAAAAAAAAGTTAGCACGCCGACGAGGGAAAAGAGAGCGCAGACAGGTCAGATCGTTAAAAAAACACGTCGACGAGAGAAAAGAGAGCGCAAACAGGTCAGATCGCTTCAAAAAAAATTATACGTCGACGAGGGAAAAGAGAGCGCAGACAGGTCAGATCGCTTCAAAAAAAATTATACGTCGACGAGGGAAAAGAGAGCGCAGACAGGTCAGATCGTTAAAAAAACACGTCGACGAGAGAAAAGAGAGCGCAGACAGGTCAGATCGTTAAAAAAACACGTCGACGAGAGAAAAGAGAGCGTAGACAGGTCAGATCGTTAAAAAAACACGTCGACGAGAGAAAAGAGAGCGTAGACAGGTCAGATCAGTTCAAAAACGAACGAAATCCTGAATGGTGGCGGTTTTGGCGCCGAGCATGACGGAGAAGATAGCAGGCATCGCAGAGCCACATCCGAGCTAAAACTCGATTTTCAACATCAATAAGATCCAAAAAACCTCCAGAAGGTTGGTCCCTTGGACCCGGTCGCTATTGTTCTCAAGGTAGTCCATCATGTCCCCGGTGCTTTCCCAGACCTTGAAAACTTGATAAATTTTTTAGAAAAAAAGCGAAACTTTTTTTCTCAAAAGTATGACTACAAAATTTGAAAAATTTCATGAAAATCCCAATTTTCACTATAAACTTTCATTGAAAACCATTAAAAAGAGAAAAAGAAAAAAACTTTTTTTAGTATGTTTTTGATTTGCATGTCAAGTGCAATGAAAAAATCAGCTTAAAAACTTCCAATGGAAAAAGAGGGAGGAAATTTCATCCCCCGCGCGTCCGATTAAGCTCCACAACAAGGCAAATTTCGACTGGTGAGGGGGTGAAATCAAAGGATTTTCAGTGGGGGCTTGATAAAAGGGGACTATATCTTGTTCTAGAATCGCCCCTGATTCTAGAATGCCTAGGCAAACTTTTCAGAATCACTTCCCCAATTTTGAAAATGGGGGAGGACTATATCTTATTCTAGAATCGCCCCCTGGTTCTAGAATGCCTAGGCACTTTTCAAGAACCACCCCCATTTTGAAATAAACACATTGCAAGCCTTGTTCGGATTAGCCCCCACAATCCAGAATCGATCCCACATACTTTTGAATAGCCCCCCACCACATCAAAGTTAACTACGAATGATAAGAATTAGAATGATGGGGGGTCTGGAATGTGGGTGTAACGAAAATTCCCAAAGGAGCTATTTAATACAAAAACCTCTTCTCAAAAATTAATTTAAAAGAGAAAAAAACTCTTTTTCAAAGGCTGATTTTTTTCAACGCCCTCCGGGAGCTTTTTCTGAAAAAATTTTAGAACTTCTCGCTTTAAAAATTGATACCAAACCTTGAAGCCGCCCTCGTAGACGTGAGGCTCCAAATCGGAGTATTCCATTTGCCGAATTTCCCCTTCGAATTGATCATCATCAGCAGCACTCAAATTTTCATAGATGCCAGCCGGACTCAAAATCTTCAATATCCTCCCACGACACGTTCTCATCTCGTTCACGCGTAATTCGTCGGGGTCTCGGAAGTTCATATCTGGAGAAAAAGTCATCATTATATAGCCCATTCCAGTTACTATTTTATTAATCTTAAAACTACCAGGTCCTTTTTTTGTTAGCTGAGAATGAGCGAATCTTTGCCACATTCCTTTTTTCACGACTCGAAACGTGCGGCATTTGCAAATTTGATGCAAAACGAGGAATTTTAGAGTAATTCCTATAGGGATTAAAGGGAAAAACAGCCCTTATAGGGGGCCGAAAAAGAGGTCCCTACATGGGTAAAATAAAGGTGGTCCCTACAGGGGTTAAAAGGAGAAAAAGCCCCTATAGGGGCCGAAAAAGTGGTCCCTACAGGGGTTAGCTGGAAAAAAAGCCCCTATAAAGTCCGAAAAAGTGATCCCTACAGGGGTAAAATAAAAGTGGTCCCTATAGAAGTTTAGAGTCTGATTCCTCAGTCCCTAAAGCATAAGTGGTCCCCATAGGGATCTCTCCATTTATTCAAAAAACACAATTGTTTAATTTTTCGCATGGAAATGCTTCTTCGCTTCATGAAAATTATCAACTAGCATGCCCCCTAAAGGAGCCACTAAATAAAAAAACCCCTATAGGGACCACTCTGGAGTCCCTAAGTGGGGCGCCAACTCGAAAAAAAGGGAAAAAACGTGGAAAAATAAATCATAACAAAGCAGGAACGTTCAAATTCGCGCCATAAACACATCAAAACAAAAAGTTTTAAATTTTCTTTAAATTTCAATGAAAGAATAAAATGGCAGCACGACCACTTTGAAATTTTTTCAACGGAACGGAAAAATAATTTATCCACATCCAATAAAAATTACATTAATTTTGATCCTCTGACACATGTACAAGAAATCGCAGTTAATAAATTAAATGATTAAAATTATTTCTATAGACTTTCTCTATGTATCACAATGCTATAAATATTCACATAGATCACAAGAATAACGAGTAAAAAAAAACCTAAAAATGAAAAAAAAAAAAACCAAAAGAATAAGTGAAAATGAAAATGAAAATTGCAACGATAGAGGCACAAACACCGGCTGGCAACAAAAAAAAAACCATAGAATCGGGATATTTTGGGTTCGCTGAGAATCGGAAGGTATTTTGTAAGGAGGTACTGTAGCGAATGGGAAGATATGAAAAAAGTAAGTGTAGAGTTTAAAGGCGCATGATATGACCTAACTATTTTTTTGAGATTACTCTCAGCTTTTTCAAAAAGGGCGTGGCCTAATAATTTTTTCTAAGATTTTTCAAATTATCCAACATTTTTTTCATGAATTTAAAGGCGCAGGGCTTTGTTCAATTATGGATTTAAAGGCGCAGGGCTTCGTTCAATTATGGATTTAAAGGCGCAGGACGCGAAATTGTTCATAATTCAACAAAAAATGCCGATTCTAGAAAATCCTCATCGTATAGAAAGAGGGCGTGGCCAAATTTTACAACAACACCTTTTTTTCTTTTTTTTTCACCTTTCTAAAGGCACAGGGCACTTGAGAAGAGCCGAAAAATTTCGCGTCAAAACCATTTCTCTATGCTCCTTTAAAAACCATCGTCTGAGAAGGCAGGGAACTTGAAAATAAGCGAAAAAACATTTTCCCATACTTCCTCCCCCTATGCTCCTTTAAAACTGCATTTTCAAGCATAATCTTAAAAAATATCACATTCGCTACCGTACATCTGATATGGAAGTATATGTAGTGAGAAACGGGAGAATCAATTCCTAGAAAGGGCGTGGCTGAGGTTTCCGCCGACGGCCGCCGTCCAACTCGCCAGACGGCTCTCTTCCGAGGTGATCATCTGCTTCATTTGGTTCGTGTCGAACCTTGCCACGGTTCCGATGACTCGGGCCAGCGTCTGATTATCAAAATTACTTACTTGAAACATTTCAAAATTCAATAGTTCGATGAAATAAGTTACCATGGCCAAAAAGGTCGCTGGTTCGAGTTCTCTCAAGGATTAGGAAAACCTTTAGACAGAGCTACTCTGATGGGACTCCCCAGGGCGACCCACTGAGTAGAAAAATTTTCTAGATCTCAAAAAAGAGTTGAAATAAAGAATGAGTGGAAAAATGAGGAAACAACCCAGTATCCTCAGCAGCTCTGCCTTCAGGAAAAATTGATTTCAAACATATCCATCTTTCATTTTTCACTCAAACCTTAACCTAGCTTTTGAATAGGTCCTCTTTTTTTTTAGCCTTCTCTTCACTTCCGAGAGAGTAAATGAGATTGAAAGCGTTATTTAAAGAATCGGCTTTTACTTTTCGAAGTTTTCGTTCCAATTTATTATTCAGGAGAGAAAAGATACCCCAAAACATCCAAGGAATGAAGATTTCGTTCTCCTTAGAAGAAAAAAACAAACCAAAGACTCTTTTCCAAGCGCTTCCCGTTCAGTCATGTAGCGATAAAGAACATTTCGAAGGTACTGAAGTCAACCAAATTATTTCAAAATCCTCTAAAATTCAATTTTTCACCTCAGCTTCAGCCGGGTCAGCGATTCCATGTATAGCATCGCCATTGTCTTGCCTCTTACTCGGAAGTTTCATCGAGTTCTGAAGAAAATTCTCGTGAAAATGATTTTTACTAGGTGTTTTTTGAAGTCCAGCTGAAATACAGACAAAATTCCCACCGAATTTTTCACAACTTGCTGCTTGACTGTTTCTTCTTGTCTATTCAAGTGCTGCCTTAACTGATCCGCCTCGCTTTGGGTCGCCTCCAACTTATTTCTCAACGTCCGAATTTCCTCCTTGTACTGAAAAATCCATTTTTTTTTAAATGGAAAATTCCAGAGGCTTAGAGATCTTTCCTAAAGGTTATAGGACCTTCTGGAACATTCTGAAAATTTCTAAGAGGATATAGAATTTTCTAGAGGGATCACTATAGAAAATTGATTGATCCCTAAGGCGACCATAAAAGGAAAGCTATAAAAATGTTCCCTAAAGCGACCTGATTCACGGCTGGTCATTCAAAAATGGGTCCTGACACGAAAAAAAAGAAAAAAGAAATAGCGTCCTTTTGTTGCAGAGCGCAGACAGGCGACGCCCCTTTGCCGCTCAAGCTTGCCGTGAATGGTCTATAGCTTCTCTGTGCCCTCTTTTCCCTAGCGAGGTCATAAAAACTGGAAAATAGGACTTGAACGACAGAGAGTGCAGAGAAAAAAACATCTGGTCCTTTCTGCGACGCTTGACACAGTCTAAAGCTGATCCACGGGCGGCCAAAAAAGGTCCTGACACGATAAAAAAAAAAGAAATAGCGTCCCTTTGGTGGAGATCGCAGACAGGCCACGCCCCTTTTTGTCACAAGACAGCCGTGAATCGACTATAGCTTCCCTGCGCCCTCTTTTCCCTGGCAAAAACATGAAAATAGCACTTGAACGGCAGAGGGCGCAGAGAACCCACTTTCGGAAGAATGAACTGTATTTTTCTAACCATAATTTCCGAGGAATTATCATCGTCGATATTGGAAGAAGCGACGCTCTTCTTGGATCCTTCGTAGTCGAATTTGAGTTTCTCCAGCTCGTTTTTCGACGAGTCATACTGCTGCGACTTCTCGTTCAGTTCACCATAGAGCTGTTTGACTTCGCGTTGGAGTTCGCGGACCAGCTGAAAAATATAAATATTTTCTGGAAGTCCAAAAAAACTTTTCACCTTCCGCGTCTCTGTGTCCTGTCGAGCGGATTTGCTTTCATTGGCGGCTGTTAATCGTTCAATCTGGAATTTGAACTTGTAAAATCAAACATAAAAATAGGGCTAGGAAATCCCTTTTCAGAAGAAGTAATATTTTTATAAGGCATATCCAAAATGGCCAATCGGTGGCCCCGAGTCGCCCCGGGGCGATCCGACCAGCACAGTCAAAAATTAGTGGAAAAAAAAATGTAAAAAATTTAAAGAAAAATGGCTCTTTTGACCGTTTCGCGGGTCGCCCCAGGGCGTCATGGTTCCGCCCCGGGTGCCCCGTTTCATCAGCAGCCTTGGGCGCATCAAATGGTCAAATGTCTATTATAGCCGATTCAGGGCAAGCTTGAGACTCAAAAAAACAAGGCCTGCCTTCGCTATCTATCCACTAGACACCGTCTATTTTCTAATCGTCTCAGGACCCTTTTTTCGAGGCTCAAGCCGCCCGCTAATCAACTATAAGATAGTGTACTCAAAATTGAAAAAAAGTCAATAACATTCAAGGATATTTGATTCAAATTGCAATGAAGTGGAGGCAAGAAATGCAGCGTGAATATACCAAGTGAACACTTAAGAGGCGGTTCACAAAAGTACTTTTCGAGAATTTCTAAGATTTTTGGGGCTGATTCGTGAGAATTCCTCGAGAGAAAGTGACAAAACAGAAGTATAAAAAATAGAAAACATTTTTGAGCCAACTAATCCTTCAAGCGAAAGTGTAAGATAAGGGTGAATTAATTTTATAGTCAAAAAGTTCTTCTAGTACAGTTTTTCGAAAAAAAGCTTAAAATGCGTAAGTTTTAAACATCATGCAAGTTTTTGACAGCTTTGAAAAAGAAAAACATTAGTAAATATTATTTCTCTCTATATCCGATTCACAGCTACCTTGGAACTCTAGGGGGCGTGGCCTGTCTGCGCTCTCTACCATTCAAACACTGTCTCTTTTCTTATCGTGCCAGGACCCTATTTTGGATGGCTCAAGCCAGCCGTGAGTCAACTGTATCATAGGACGAAAAAACAAACATCAGCTTTAAATCCAGCGACGGTCGAGTTCAACGCCTCGATTTCGACCTCCAGCTTCTCCTTGGTCTTTTCCACTTCTTTCAGTTGATTTTTGGTAGAACTGAGCTCGGATTCCAGCGATTTTGCTCTTTGGGACTCTTCTTCAACCTCTTTACGGAGCTGAAAACACAACTTTTACTATTTTTTCAATGAAAGTTTGCAAAACCGCAGATTCAGCCTGTCGCAACTTGTCGGCGTCCTGTTGGGCCGATTCCAAAATCGTCAATTTTTGCTCCAATTTCGCCTTGTCCACAACAGTGTCGTCGATTTTTATCTCGGCGATTTTCAGTTTCTCGGAAAGTTCTTTGATCTGAAAACTACAAATATTCAAAAAAATAGCTTTCCGCTTTATCTATGAGATTCAGGTCGAAAAAGTTTTTGAGTGTTCATTTTGAAAAAAAGTTCAGATTCTTTTCTAAAATCACTTTTATGAAGAAAAAAACTTTCGGTTAGCGCGAATTTCTCTTTTTAATTGATTTAAAAAAAGGCTCTAAAGATTTTTGGGAAATTTCGGAATGTTCTTTGAAAAACGAAAAAGAAGCATCAAAGAATAGAAAAAAATACTACAATATTCAATTAAAATTGTAGAAACAGCTAGTCAAAGCTAAAAAATCGTCAAAAATTCATAACTCTTTTCAAAAATCGTACGAAATCGAACCCTTCCCGAAATCAAAAAAATTTTTATTCCAAGTACTTTTTTTTTTTTCCAAAATTCACTTCCTTACACGTTCCTCCTCCCAAACCTGGTCATTCAAATCCTCGCCTGGGTTATTTTTAGAAAGTTTTTGTCACTAAAATCATTTTTTTAATGTAGAAAAAAGCTCGAAAAACGCAACTTTTACATTTTGGCTAGTTACAGGAGCCTATAAAAATGCTACCCTTCCGAATTTTCGTTAAAAAAGTTTCTCAAAAAGAAATTCTGAAACAAAACGCACTCAATTTATAACTGAAATAAGTTTCTGGACTTTCGAGATAATTCCTGATTCTTTATTCCATATAGCAAGATGCGCTAACAACTTTCAATTGCCTCCAAAAATCACAAAACCCAAAAAAAACTCTTATTTCACGTACCTATCCATGTACGTTATAAACACATTTTTTTCATGATTTTGTTCCTAATTTTTTTCAAAGCCCCCTTCTTTCTCTCAAACCTTGTCATTCAAGTCCTTCTCCTGGGTCTTGATCCTCTCCTCGGCCACCGATTTTATCCTCGCCACCTTCTTTTCCAGCTTCTCCTTGACATCCGTAACGACGTTCAATTCCGCTTGCAATCGTTCTTTTTCCTGTTTGTTCTGTTCAGAGGACGTTCTCGTGTCGTCCAGCTCCCGGCTGACCTTCTCGAACTCGGTGGCGAAGTTCTCTCTGAACGACATTTAAAATAATAGATTCGGAAAAAAGATAACGACCAGGTGAGTGAGCTCTTGTCAAGCTTTAAAAAGTTTATGGACCATTTCAGGGTTTTTCAGGATCTTGTCTCGAAGGAATGTCTCAAAATGCCTCAATTTCGCGAGACCAAAGTCTTTTTCGAGGATTTCGAGTCAAAAATGTCAGTTTGTAGGACTTTCTTGAGCTTCTGGGTTATTCGGGGTCTCGTCTCGAGGTAGCGTCTCAAAATGTCCCGATTTCGCGAGACCGAGGTCTTTTTTTCGATGGTTTCAAGACGAAAATGTCCCTTTTTTGGTCTTTTATGATCTTCAGGGTTTTTCGGGGTCTCGTTTCGAGGTATTGCCTCAAAATGTCTCGATTTCGCGAGACTGAGGTTTTTTTTTTTGAGGGTTTCGAGACGAAAATGCCGAGTTTTAGGTGATTTTATGATCTTCAGGGTTTTTCGAAGATTTCGAGACGAAAATGCCGAGTTTTAGGTGATTTTATGATCTTCAGGGTTTTTCGAAGATTTCGAGACGAAAATGCCGAGTTTTAGGTGATTTTCTGAGCTTTTGACTTGAAAATTTTGAAAAATCCGAAGTCTCAAAAAACCCTGCTTCATATACTGAATTTCGCACTAATTAGTCATGCTTTTGAATGGAAAAACCGAAGTAAATTTTTTTTATTATTTTTTTCTTCTACCTCAATCTCCTCTCCTCCTCCTTCTCGCTCTCGCGATTATTCGCCGAAATTCGTTCAGAATTCTTCAGATTTTCCAATTCCTTCGAAACTTCTTCGAGTCTCGCTTGAATCTTCTCCAGTCCTTCTTCTTTTTCTTTCAATTGCAACTGAAAAAAGTCTTTTTTTTTCGTTTTCTACAGGAAAAACCTTCAAATTCTCCGTTTCCGCCGACAATTTCGATCCGGTTTGAGATTCTTCTTCTCGAGCTTTCTGAATAAATCTCAAGTTTTTCCATTTTCCAGTGGAGAAACCTTTACAGCCTGCAAAGAATTCTCAATCTCCAACTTTTCTTGGCCCGCCTTTGCGCGCACCTGCTCCAGCTCCTCCCGAAGGGCAGAAATGACTTTTTCCTGGAAGAAGTGGGATTGGGGAAGGGTGAGGGGATAAAAAAAGTGAAGGAAAAATGAGAAATAGCCGCGAAATTGCTCAATTTAGTTTCAATCAGTATTTTTGGAGTTTTCCAGCAAAAAAAATGATTTTTCCTTTTTTCAATGGGTCTATCAAAAACAATGAAAAAAGCCCAGTTCCATTTAAAAATTTCGACTTTTGTTCCAAACTTTCGCTCCTCAAAACAAGGTAAAACATTAGATTTGAATAAAATTATCCCTAGAGCACATTTTCGCAGCTATTTTTTCTCGAATAGAACGGAAATGTGGAAGAAGAAGCATTGAGTGCGTGCAGGCAGAGTGGCGAAAAAAAGGGAGCCAACAGGAAAAAAAAAATAATTATGAAAAAAATAAAAATTTGTAGTTTATTCACCGATGGATTGTGAAAAATGCATTTTTCTTCGTTTTCATTAATAAAACTCTACATTACACCTGTGATTTTACGCACCGTTTGGCGCATCATGGTTCGCGCCATAATTTTTGAAACTTGTAAATAATTTTACGCACGCAAAGCAGTTTAACGCTCCCAAAAGTCTCGTAAAACTTGAAAAAAAAATTTAGTTCATACAAGAGGATTTTCGGCCGATACCTTTTCTACTTTCAAACCACTGCTGCGGCGAACCACCTCATGCTTACCAAAATCAATATTGTTAATGCTAAAACTCATAATGTCTTCAATATTGAGTTATTTGCTCCAGATTTAGTTTAGAAACTCATGCTTCGAGAAAGTGTCGGCTGAAAATCCAACTATACAAAAATTTATAAATGTTTGTATAGTTGTATGAGACTTTTGGGTGCGTAAAATTATTTACCGGTGTCAAAAATTATGATGCGAACCATGATGGCTGCGCCATTTGTTGCGTTGTAGAGTCGGCCGGAAAACATGGAAAAATTTTTTTTTCGGTGATCCGATTTTCAGCCAACTTTCTAACTAATCAACTGATCAAAGTACATTTTTCGAGTGTCTGCGTCTCTCTTTCCCTCACCGGCGGAGTCAAAGAAGCATGGAAGTAGCACGTTGAAACGAGAGAGTACTAAGAAAAACAGCAGTTTCAGGACACAAAAAACATAAATTACAGAAAACTTATTTGATTTTATTCCCATTTTCTCACAAAAAGCTTCATCTCCCAAGGCATCGGTGAATAAACTATCCCTAAAATACCACTTCCAACCCGGATATTTCTAACCTTTGCGATGAATTCCAGTCGCATCTTCTCGTTAACGTCACTTAATTCGCGCACCTTGGCTTCTTGCTTCGCCTACAATTTCACCACTCGCCGCTAGGAAATGAACAAAGAAGAAATGAAAAAAGGGTGTTGGATAGAAATAGAGAAGGGCATGCGGTAACCTTTTTGAAGTTCAAATAGTTGAAAATTGTGAAAATAAACTAAAAACTAGTAGTTTTCTGGAAAAACAAAGCTAAGAAAACAACAGCCGCAGTAATATTCGGAATATTCTGTCGAAATTTTGATTTTTGAAATGAACAAGACTTATATTTTTGGAGAATATCTATGGAGCGCGGTTACTTTCAAAATACAGCCGTTTTCTCCAATTTTTTTTTTCTACTTTTCAAAATTTTCTAAGGAGCGCAGTTGTCTTGCTTCCGCTTCTTTTTCGCGGCTATTTTTTCCTAGTCACTTCTAAAAATGTCTACAGCGCGGAATTTTCTTGAGAGCTTGGCTAGTTTTTTTCCAACCATTATTACTAAATTTTTCGTCTCATTTTTTTAAAATTTTTGTTAGTAACACTTCCTGAAGCCGAAGATCATTATTTCTCGACCATTTTTTTCATTCAAAACGATTTATCTTCTACTATTCAAAATTCCGACAGAGCGCAGATGTCTCAGGACTAAGGCTATTTTTGGTTTCGTTGTTTTTTTTTTCAATGGCTATTTTTTCTCAGCCATCTTTTCTATTTTAATAGCTCCTAAAATAGATGATAATGCGAAATTTCCGTAAAAGGCTAGATTTTCTAAACCATTATTACTAAATTTTCGTCTAATTTTTAAAGTTTTGTTAGTAATAATTTCTGAAGCTCAAGATCATTATTTCCCGCCCATTTCTCTCCCTTCAAAACGAACCAATTCATCTTTCTCCACGTTCTTCTGTCCAGTCTCCTCTCTCAAACTCTTCAATTTGGCTTCAAGATTCTCATTGGAAGATTTCAAATCGACATTCTCTGCGTTCAACTTTTCGACGTCCTGCTTCAGGGAATCGAACGAGTTTTGGAGAAGCGCCTGAATTTTTTTCTTGATCTTTTCCAGTTCGTCAAAAAACCTGTTCACTCTCATAATTGGCAAACTTTTGTCGGAGAGCCTCAGTCGTTCTCAAAAGCTCAGCTTCTTCTTCTTTTTTCTTTTGCTGGCTATTTTCGAAGAGCTTGACTTTTTCTTCCAGTTTCTCGATCAGAGACTTTTTTTGTAAGAGTTCTCCTTTGAGGCGATCGATTTCGTCGGAAAACTCGTGGAGTTTCGAGCGGAGCCGTTCTTCCTAAAAATTGAAAATTTATTGTTCTAGTGAAAATCAAAACGAAAAGTAGAAAAAATTAATAAAATCTTCACAACTGACAACTATTGATTTTTTTATTTCAAAATCGGAAACTGTCTCATTTTCTCACTGGGGACATTAAAAACTAACGAAGTTATTAGATAAATTCCCATCATAGCTTAAACTAAAAACCTTTAAAAATCTTGAAATATTCATTGAAGGGCAAAAAAAATACCCGAATTCTACAACGAAATTTCACACCGACTTTTACTTTAAAAAGGTCTTTTCCTGGCTTTTTCCAAAACTTTAAATTTTTCGAAAATAGGAGAAGAGCTATTAAAATTGGAGCAAAAAAATCATCAATAAACAAAAAAAACTTTTTTTCGTTCGATTTTTTTAGAACTTCCTCAACTTTACAATCAATCCAAAAAAATCGGAAAAAAAGTATGTAAACTTTGAGAAATACAGTTTGAAAAAAATTATAATTTTCTTACATGCAGGTCAATCGTTTTTGAAAACTCTCAGAAGCTGCGGTTTGTATTTTTGAAATTTGAATTCAACCAGAGTGAAGCTCCAATTCTTCGGAAACAGTCATCAAAATTGCAGGAAAATCTAAAAAAAAAAACTGACTTCCATACAGGGAAGTTGTGATCAAAAATCGTTTTTCCGTATTTTTCTGTCGGCTTACTTTTCAATCAAAATTTTCAACTCAACTTTCATCATTTTGTCTTTTTTTAACCCTAAAAAGGGCTGCCCTAATTTTTCTAATTTTTTTAAAGAAAGATAAGGGGGAGAGGGGGAACATACGTTGCCTGGACCCCACCCCGGGATGCAGTCTATACCAGTACGTTTTTCAGATTTTTTTATGCGCAAAAGCCTGGGATGAGATCCAGTCAATGTATGGGGGAGGGGGGATTGACCAAAACTTCTGAAAAAAAGGCGAAAAAATGAACCTCAGCCGAGGTGGAAGTCTTCTCGCTGATCGTATCTTCCACAGTTTTCTGCAATTCGGCCGTTTGCTTCTCGAAATTCCTCATTTTCTCCTCGATATCCGCCTTTTCGCGCAAAAAGTGAGCACTCTAAATTGAAAATTTCCTGAATTTTTTTAAATTTTGGTCAAGAAACCTCTTTCGCCTTCTCCTCCAATTGCCGTCTCAACTTGTCCAACTCTTCCGAATTTTCAGTAATTTTTTCATTTTTCTCAGCTAGCTACAATTTTCAAAGATATAATGATAATTTAGTTAATTCAAAATAAACCTCCACTTCTTTTTCGGCCAAATTTCTCTTGAAAAGCTCCAATTCTTCGGAAAGTGCCCGATTTTCTCCCGTTTCCGTCCCGATTTTCTCATCCAGCGCGTTCAACTTTTGTTCCATAGAACTATTTTTTTCGAAAAATGGCTTCGAACTGAAATTAGACAACTTTAAATTTGTGAGGAAGGCGGGGGGTTGAAAAGTTCTGTGATAACTTTCCATTAACTAGAACTGATCGAATTTTTATAAATAATTATAATTTTTTTCATACCTCCGCTTCCTTTTTCAGCCAAATTTCTCTTCAGATCTTCCAATTCTTCGAGAAGAGCCCGATTTTCTCCCAATTCTGTCCCGATTTTTTCGTCCAACGCGTTCAATTTTTGTTTCAGAGAGTTCTTCTCGTTGGAAATGGCTTCGAACTGAAATCAGACAACTTTTAGGGAGGAAAATTAGGGGAAAATTCTATCAAAACCTCATTTTGCAAGTTAAACTTTTAAAAAACATGAGATGAATTTTGAATGAAAATCCGAAATTGAATACCCATACATGGGATAGTATTGGTGCGCCCTGGAAAGGGGGGACTTGGCAAAAAAACGAGAAAATGGAGGGGGAATTGACAAAAAGAAAAATTTCACGTCCTCCGGCGACACTCTGTAAGTCGATAAATTTACAAAAAAAATATTTTTTTCTTTGACCATGGGGGGTGGGGGGGACTTGGGTGTCGCCAGTCATACCCATCCCTTGTATAAAATTGACCTGGGAAGGGGGGGCTTGTTTTTTTCTTGGGGGACTTGGGTGTCGCCAGTCATACTCATCCCTTATATGGTTGATATTGACGAAATGAAACCTTTTTTCAAAAAAACCTTATTTTTTTATTCAACTTTACTTGAATTTAACCCTAAAAAGTTCCAAATTTCACTTCAAAATTTCAATTTTTTTACGTCAAAATTCTCACGGTGAAGCTAAAATTTCTGATTTTTTTGAAAAAAATTATTTTTCTTTAAACACCAAAACTATTACCTTTTTCATCCTTCTCCTCCAATGACAGTCGCATTTTTCTCAAGTTCTTCCTTCAATTTATTTTTCTTCTCCGTCTTTTTTTCCGCCAAACTTCCAGTCAACTCCTCGATTCTTACATTCAACACGTTGATCTACAAAAAAAAACTCTAAGAAAATTAATTTTTTCAGGTCCTACCTGTTCCTCAGCAACAGTCCTTGCATGCTGAATGGAAGAAACTGCATTTTCTTCGATTTTCAAGATTTCCTGTTGTTTCGTTTCAACCTCGTTTTTCAGTTCTTGGATCTGAAATGGGAAATTTTTCTTAACTCATGTAAACTTTATCGTTAAAGTAATGTAAATCTTATCTATTGAATTTTAACTTAGATTTTTTCTAAATCTTGTTTCTGGCTGATTTTATATTTATTCTGTTTTTTGATACGCTTGCCGTGTAAAAAGGACTTTGCTCAAAGCTCAAAATAGCCGTCAGAGAATGGAAAAATATAACTAAATTTTTGGAGAGTCAGAGATAATTTCGATTTTTCAGCTCAGAGTACAAATTTCGAAATATTTATGAAAGCAGACAGCTATTATCGATTAAAAAAACGTCAGATTTTTCAAAAATTCTCTTCTAAACTTTTGAAGTGAAGAACTTAATATGAAGCAACATTGAAAATTCATTTTTTTCAAGCTTCATTCTCAATTTCAATGCTAAAAGGGAAGCCAAAAAATTAAAATGTAGCTATATAATTAGATTATTCACTTTCAAAATAAGATCTTTAACATTTTTCAGCCTTCATTCAAATAAGTACCAAGCAGCTTTCCAATAGATAATCCTCTTTTTAAAGGTCGTTTTTCTCAAAAATTACCTTGCCGAAATTTTTCCGTAAATTAAATTTTATAGAGGTCTCAAGATAAAAAAACCATTTTTTTGTGATATTTTAGGTCCGGGAAGTTATTTTTGCGAGGTTTTTTTCAGCTAAGAGAGGATTTTTCAAAAAAACTTTTTATTTCTATGAATTTCTGAAACCCCCCCCGAATTGAATTTTTTTCATGAAACTTCGGGGTAGAAATGTTGTCTTTTAAAATTTCTAATCTGAATTCAAAGTTGCAGCAATCCCCCTCCACAAACCTTCTCATTCAAACTCCTCTCCTTCTCGTCAAAGTCGGACTTTTCCTTCTTTGAAACGGTAATCTGCTCTATCAGCTGCTGGGTTTCTCTTTCCAACTGCGCGAGTTTCTGTGCCAGCTCAGCCGAGGGCAATTCTTCAGATTGGAGGGAAATCTCCGAGTTTTGCTGGCTGACGAGGCGAGCCCGTTCCCGTTCCTCCAGAAGTTGCCGTTGGAGGGCTTCTTTCTCCTCTCGGACATTTGTCAGTTCGATCGTAAGGCCTTCCAGCAGCTCGACGGCGTCGCTTCGGGTTTCCTGAAAGTTCTCTTTTTATTTATTTTCTAGTAAAAGTTCACTGACACTTGTGGACACTTCTGAAACTTCGTCTTGCGATTGCAACTTCTCCTCCTCATGTTTCTTGCGGTCCTCTGAACAAAAAATTGATCCATGGAATTAAAAATGATTCTTTTGAACAGGGTGACCAAAAAACCAAAGTTGAGAACACAATAAGTACCTTATCACGAAAATTTCTACAGTAACCCAAGATGGTATGTACTGAAAAAACTTCTATAATTGCATTACCTATCGATTATTATACAACTTGCCTATGAAAACCTCGTCCATTCTTAGATACGCAGGTGACATCCCTGACTACCGTAACCCGAAGGAAATGGCTCAAAAAGTTGTGGCCGTTCTGACGTCACTTTATTAAATTTCATCAAAATCAAAAATTTTTTTTTGTTCCCGTTGAATTGAGAATTACAAAGACAGTGTATTAAGTAGAAATTCTTGATTTTTGTTTTTCAACAACTCCTTTATTTTCAAGCTTCGGCACCCCATAAATCCCCATTTTTCTCACCATCAAGCTCGTTCCGGAGCCGTTCGGCCTGGTTAGTGACATCAGATAGCCGTTGCTCGACCTCATCACGCATTCGTTTCGCTTCCTGCGTATCACACATATTACATGCGCCTTTAAAATCTCTGAAACCTGGAGTTCCTCGCGCAGCTGATCGTATCGCGTTGCAAGCTCCTTGCCCTTCTCCAATTCTTCCTGAAAATCCGAGAACTTGAAGCCATTTCGATCATTCCCACCTGCATAGCATCGCGTTCTCGCGTCAAATCCGAAAATTTCGCCCTTTCTTCTTCCAAAATCACGGCCAGGCCTTCGCTTTCGCTCTTCAGACGTCCAATTTCGCTCTCGAACCTGGAAAAATTCATTTTGAAGTCAAAAAAATTGAGAAGTTGGAAAAATAGGATTGAATGGGAGGGGGTGATGTTCTATAATGGCTGCTAATAAAGGGAAAAATCGCAAAAAAAACGCATTATTTTGAGCAAAGGAAAGGGAAAAGAGCATTTTTGTAGAACAAAAGGAGATTATTTTTGAATTTCAATTCATTCCTTGAGCTATACAATATATTATTATCAAACTAAATTTTGAAAAAATGGATTCAAGCCTTCGAAGATCTCTAGAGGTCACTTATGAGCTTCCAAATCAAAAAAATTAGCTCGAAAAAATATTCAGACATTTTTAAGATATTCAAAAATTTTTAAGAGTGCTGTATTTTCTGAAAAAACAAGATTCTTCTTTAATTTTGCTTCAAAAGCTCTAAAATCAAAACTCCTAAAGCTCCTAAAAGCTCCTAAAAGCTTCTATAAGCTCCTAAAAGCTCCTATAAGCTCCTAAAAGCTCCAAAAGTTCCTAGAAACTTTTGAAACCTCCTAAAAGCTCCTAAAAGCTTCTGAAAGCTTCTAAAAGCTTCTAAAAGTTTCTAAAAGCTCCTAGAACATCCTAAAAGCTCCTAAAAACTTCAAAACGCTCCTAAAAGCTCCTAAAACCTTCCTAAAGCTCCTGAAACCTCCTAAAAGCTTCTAAAGCTCCTAAAAGTCCCTAAAACCTTCAAAAATCCAAGAAATCGATCAAACACTGGTGGTAGTGGGGTTGGATTGGTGGTGTAAATAATGCGGACGGATTACATTTCCCAGTTAGGATTTTTGTGTTGGAGAACGGGGGGAAAAGCACGCGGCGGCCGTCTATAATGATTCATTAAGAGAGCAAAAAGGGTGGATGGGCAGGCGGGGAAAAAAAAGAAGAAGAAAAAGAAGAGAGCCTCTCTTTCAGTAAATCTTTCTTTTTTCAACATGCGTGGCGCCAAAACTAATTATTTTTTTGCACTGCCGCCGAATTTAGTTTGGAAGAGAGTTTGGTGGGGATAAAAGAAAGTTCTTCGGAACGTATAAAATATTTTTTCAAGCTCTAAATTTAACTTTGAAAAGATCTTTTTAAATTTCCTTTTTCCTTGAAGTTCTAAAATTTAATGTTGGTGAATTTACTTTGAAGGAGAGTTTGGTTGGAAGGAAAGTAAGTTCTTCTGAACGTATATTATATTTTTTTCAAGCTCAAAATTCAATTTTTTTAAGAAATCATTTTTCCTTTTTCTTTTTTTGTTTGAGTTATAAAATTTACTCCTGTTGGATTTACTTTTGGAGGAAAGTTGGGTGGGGAAAAAAGTAAGTTCTTTTTGAACATGTAAAAAAATACTTTTTTTCAAGTACAAAATTCTAATTTCAAGAAAATTCAATTCTGAGTTTTTTTAAAAAAAGTTATGAAATTTATGACCGTCCGACTAACTTTTTAACTTTTTTTTTTTTTTAGGAGTTTTTTTGAGTGATAAATTAAAGTAACGTCATCTTTCCGTGTGACTTTTTTAGATTTGAATTTTTTCCTTGCCGAATTCACTGAAAAACTTCGGTTAAATGAGCTTGTTTAAGAAAAATTTTGATTGAATATCTTTCAAAAACCTAAAAATTGAAAAAAAAAACCTAACTCCTGTCTACACTAAGAATAACTGCCAAGATAAACGCGAGACACTGGCGGTACATTGACGAGCTCGCAAACATCTCGCTTTTTTTCTCGCGCCGGTTTCGCATTTTTCTGGGCGCGAGCTCGCATTTTGCTAGGCGCGAGCTCGCATTTCTCTCGCAATTTGAAAATTTCCGAAATGCGAGATAAATGCGATATGGCGCCAAGAAAAATGCGAATTCGCGCCGAGATAAATGCGAGATCGCGCCTAGAAAAAAGCGACATTTTTGCGAGTTAGTCAATGTACCGCCACCGAGCTCGCGTTTATCTCGTCAGTTATTCTTAGTGTACAACAGCTTTCCTTCAGATTTGAAAAAAGCTGATTTTCAAGCCAAGATCTTTGAATAGGCGCTAAAATATGGATTTCGGCAGATATGGTTGTCAAAAGTTAATGTAAATTATACACATATTATTTTTTTAATTTAGAAAAAGATTGCCGGAAGGTCTTAAAACTTGCTTTGCCACTGCTTTCAAGCTAAAAAAATTTAACCGGAAAAAAACAGTCAGAAAAAAAATCAATTGTCGGACCTAAATGACTGAAATTTATTAATTTCAGTAATTTTGGTTTGAAAAAAAGCTGACCCTTAGTCCTGTAGCTCAGAAGACCAGTAAAAAATGATTTTCCGTTTTGTTTTCTTATCTTCCTTTTTTCTTTTAATAATGGCACTTTTTGTGCTTTTTTCGGGTTTTTTTGTGGTTTCAAGGATAATAAAGATAAAGGAGAACTGCAAGAAAACTATAAAAAGGCATGGAAGAGAGCAGATACAATAATGATGATACAACATGCTGAAGCAAAGAAAAAAAAAAACTCCGCAACCATTCTTTTCCAGTGCAGCAACGTGAGCAAGTCATCAGCAAGAATCACAACCACCTCTCAGAAAAGGGCAGGTGACGGAATCGCCGAGGTGAAAATAGCTTCGTTTTGGAGAACTTCATTGAAAAATGGATAAAATAACCGTTATGAAAGCCAAAACAAGTGAAATTTTCAGCTAAGATCAACAAAAAAATTTCATTTTTTTATTCTTTTATTCATTTTTATCCGCTACTTTTTTTCTTTTATAACGATTCCTGTGCATGTTATCTTGATCTTGATTGTGAATAAAAAAATAAATAATCTAGTACTGAACTTTTTCAAAAAAATCAAAAAGCTTTGAATGATCAAAACTACAAAGAAGTTCGAAATAAATAAATAATCTCAAAAATTAAAAAAATTCAGATTCGAGATCAAAAAAATTATCTCACTATCCTCTCGGAAAAAAGATCAGCTTACAAAAAGCCACACACCAAAAACCTAAACACAAAAAAAATCTTAATTTTTCAATTTTTTTAGTTTTAAATTTAATCGTTTACCAATTTTATTATGTTCCTAGCTTCTTTCTTATCATTATAATTCCTTAAAAGTCGGATTTTTTTCAGCCGTGAAAAAAATTTTTCTTATTGAAAAAAATTATCAGTGAATACGACTAAACAACTTTTTTTCCGTAAAAATTCTCAATATTATTGACAACCTATAAGTTTCTTTTTACTGGATTGTCGATGGAGCGAAAAAGCCTAAAAAAGACGCGGCTATTTTTTCTCGGCCAATTCGCAGCATCAAGCCCTTTCAAATACGGCTTTTTTGTCATTATTTTTGAGCCGCGGCTCATTTTTTTTGAAGATCTTTTTGGAAGAGGCTGTTTTTCACTAACTCCTATCAAGAAAATTCTCACGAAATTCAAAATTCTTCATAGTTTATTTTTTTTTTCCTTCTCTAACGACTATTCATTACAATAACTTCGAAGACTTTTTTGAGCCGCGGCTGAATTTCTTCAATATCATGTTACAGTTTCAAAAGTTTCTCTGACCTCCAAATTTCAGTAATCTTTCTCCTTATTTTACGTCTATTTTGAACTCGGCATTACTTTGAACATTTTTGGCAGCTTCTTCTGATTCTCATCTATTTGTCCCCGGGAATTCCGTCACACAGCCCCGGTCAGACACAACGACATGAAAACATACTCGGACAGTCGGGCGTCGAACGAGCTCTGAGCCTGAGCCAACCGCTCGTTCGTCACCGTCTCTTCCTCTTTGAGCACGAACTCAGCCGTGCTCACCTGCTCCATATCGGACGCGGTTTGTTCATACTTGTCCCGCGCCAATTGGCATCTAAAAATCTGGGTCCTACGAAATAAAGATCAGCCAATTTTACGATTCTTTTTTCACATTGCTATAGTCCGTTTTTTCACGACTTGAAAGGGCGGGACTTCTCTGCGCTCTCCTCGTCTCTCGATGACCCTCTTTTGTTGACGCGCTATTTTCGCGTTTCCGTGACCTCGCCGGTGAGGGAACAGGGTGACGCAGACACGCGAAATCTTTCAAGTAGCTCATTCTCCTCGAATTCACACTTTTCGGGTGTCTGCGTCTCTCTGTTCTCTTACCAGCGAAGCCCGAGAAAAAGGAAAATAGCACGTCAGTATAAGAGTGTCGACGAGAGGCAAGAAAAACCCAAAAACATAGTATTAGGATTAGAAAGACGCAGAGAAATCTTTTTTTCTCTGGCGTCTCTTCAAGCCACTGTTGATCTCTCACCTTTGAACGTTTTCTCTGTCCTTTTTTGTGAGAAATATCCAAATTGTACTTATTTTGCACCTAGGGATTTCGAATTGAAAAAAATTTATGAGCTTGGCTTTATTTTTGTTCTTCTGAAGTAAAAAAATGAAGATTTTTTTATTCGTCAAAAAAAATTTTTTTCTGGTATCCCCTTGAGATGAACTGGAAAAAAAAATGCAAAATTTCGAAAAAGTAAAGTTTTAGTTTTTAAATCTTCTTTCAAACAATAAATTTGTAAAAAAAATAAACTTTTCAACTTAATTTTTGAGGTAATTTTTACTTTATTGAAGAAAAAAAGTGTGAAAATGGCGACCTATGAAAATGGTCTGCTACGGTTTTTTTAATGGGTTTTTCGCAATAACTTCCTGTTTCTCTGCGTTTCCATCATGATCAAACTGTCTAACTTCTAAAAAGATACTCAAAACATACGAGTCATAATGAAAAAAAAATCGTTAAACCCGTGGAAATATGAAAAAAATCAGAAAATTCGCTGATCTTTAACTCGTACCACCGAAAATTGTCAAAAAAAAGAAACGGAAAGCACGAAAAAACATGCAAAATCTAGAAGGACATGCACAGAAGCGAAGACATGCAAGAAAAAATAAATAAAAGGGGACAGGAAATCGAGAAGATTCTGAAAACTGTGACATTTTTTAGAACTAACTGTTCTCGAGTCGCCAGGAGGACCTTCTGAGCGTCGGATTTGAAGGCTTCCAGCTCCAAATTCGCTTCTTTCAGCTCTTGCAACAGTTTTTGAAGTTCTTCAACTTTCGGATCTTCATTTTTTTGCTCCTAAAATTCCTAATCAGATTTATTTTTTCTAGGATTCATACAGCCAATTCCAATTTCTTCTTAAGTTCCTCAACTTCGTTGCTCTCTTGGAACTTCTTTAGAGATTGCTGCTAAAAAAATCGATTGGAAGGTTTCACTATTGATAAAATCAACTGGGTATTGAAAAAATAACCGAAAATTTGAAAAAATAGCATGAAAAATTTGAAAAAATAAAGATCTGAGATGGCTCCGTTTCATAGAAAAATGGAAAAGCCTTGGAATTTGAATGGATTTTCCAATAAATCTACTAAAATTGAGATTTGAAGGACCCATCTTTCACGAAAAACCTTTTTTTCAGTTTTTAAGTTGATTTTTTTTTGAGCTCGCATTTTTTCATTGAAGTTTAGTAGATTTTTGTTGACTACTCCATTCATACATGGGATGAGCATGACTGACGTCAGCCAAGTCCCCCCTCATCCCTCGAGAAAAAACATTTTTTTGTTGATTTATCGAATAACAGGTTGACGCCGGAGGACGTCAAAATTCTTTTTACGGTTTTTTTATCAACCCCCCACAATTCCCCAATTTTTCTCGTTTTTTTGCCAAATACCCTCACCTTTTTTTCAGGTCCCACCCATGTATGACTCTATTTGATAATATTAACTTTCACATTCGTTTAAAAAAAATTCCCTTTTTCAACTCCAATCTACAACTTTTCGAGTTATCCAACTTCCAAGACCTATAATCCCCTCCTAATTCAAACTTATCAAAACCTGAGCCCTTGATATTTACACAAAATTCACTCATTTTATATCCCATTTTTCACGAAACTCACTGCTTCCTCCAACTTTCTCTTCAATTCTTCATTTTGCTGCTCTGAAAGTTTCAAACTTTCGGCCGAAGATTCTTCCAAGGAGGCTATTCTGGCTTCGAGTTCCAGGCGCCGTTTTTCTTCCTCTTCAAGGACGGCCTTAAAATGATTATCTTCATTAAGCCGTCCTTCATCTTCGAGTTGAAAAAAATCAGAAACTTTTGAAAAAAAATCTTAATTTAGTTGCATCCAAGTACGCAGTTACAACATTTTTCGAACAGAAATCTACAAAAAACTCGAAAATCTTGTTTTTTTTCTAATTTTAGCTAAGAAAAACGTCAAAATCTTCAAAAAAAGATCATAATTTTGAACGTTTGATGGTTTTTATGATTAAACACTTTTTTTCCACAAAAAAATAACATTTTAAGCTTCAAATGAAAATCTTACCTTAACGCCCTGTTGCTTGGCTTCAGAAAGCTTGTCCACCATCTCATTTTTCTCAGATTCCAAGGCCTAAAATGACAATTTTCTTCAGAATCTCGGTTTTTTCTGTTGAAAAACGGTGAAAATTGGGTAAAGGAACCTAAAATATAGCCTACTTTCCCAAAAACTTACTGAAATTCAACAGAAAAATTTAGAAATAAGTTAGCTGAACTCATTTTTTTCTTTTTTTCATTCAAGTTCAAAAAAATCGTCTTGAAAACCAACTTTGACGACGGCCTGGAGCTGATCAACTTTCTGTTGCCAACGGGTATTCGCTTCGCCGTCTTGTTTTTCCAAAACTGAGCATTTTTTTCGCCACTGTTCTATCTAAATGATTATTTCTGAGTTTTGAAATTGTCCATGGCAATTTTTCAACTCAAAAACTTGAAAAATGAGCATTTCTTCAGTCATTGTTGTATCTAAAGAATACATTCGGAGTTTCGAAAATTTTCGCTTTTTTTTTTGAAGTTGTTAAGTTTTAAACAGGAGCTTGACGCAATGAAAAAAATTAAGAAAAAAAGCGATTTTTTTAAAATTTGTTTTTTTATGTGTGAACTCTTCGAATACAAGCTATTATAGTCGTCAAAACCAAACTTGCCTTTTAAATAATTTTTCGATATTTGGAAGCTTGGTCTCAGAAAACGGAATTAAAAGTTTAATATTACGGAATTTCGGTCGGAAAATGATGTTTTGTAATGTTTTTGTAATACTAAAAAAATAAATTTTGAAAACTGAAAACGCTTATTTTTAAAAATGTTCGATTTCGAGGTCTATACCAAAAAAATAATTGATAAAAAAAAAATAACTTTTTGGACATAGAATAATGTCGTAGAAACAGGAAATACCAAAAAAAAAGCGGTATTTTTAATTTCTGAACTAAAATGCGCCTTTTCCGTTATTTTGCTCTGCTGGACTGAATGTAAATGAACTTAGTTTTTTTCAAATTTTTCCTACTGAGATATTAAATAAAATCTATTCTTCAAAAATTTCGTTAAAAGAAGCGAAAAAACGAGCTTGGCTGAGATTTCCATACATTGTCCGCATTAGAAACTCGAAAATTCAAACCTCTCCATCTTTATTTTCCAACGCCGCGTGCATTTCGGCGTTGGTTTTCGCTAACAATAAAGCGTGTTGAGATTCGGTCTGAAAATAATAATAATATTATTTATTTACAGGCAGAACAAAAAAATAACATGTACAAAAGAAAAAATTGACATTTAAGCCTGAAATAAATGAATAAATAATTATCAATTATTTACACCTGTAATTAAAGAATATAACCTCATTCATTCTCTTGGTCCATTCTTCTTCAGTTTTCGCGATTCGCTCATTGAGCTCTTGTACGACTTCATTTTGGTCTTCAGAAGGTTGCTGGAAAAATCGGGAATAGATAAAATTAAGATCCATCTGTATTTTGGAAAGAAACTCAAAAAATACGTTTTCGTTCAATTTTAAAAATTCAAAGAGCTTTTATGACTGTAGAAAAGGATCCGAAACTATTTGATTATTCTAAAAATGATGAAATTGCTACGTTTTGTTATAGAAAAGGGTACAAAAATCGAGATTTCTGCTCAATGAACCTCCTTCTTTTTCGAGCCTTTTTTGAGCTTTTTTGAACCTTTTTTGAGCCTTTTTGGAGGCTTTTTTGAACCTTTTTTGAGCCTCTCTCTTTTAACGGCCATTATGCCCTATTACGACTTTTGCCCGAGTTACAATTTTTTTATTTTTTTCAAACTTTGAATTTTTTTCTTCTGATTTATTTCCAGTAAAAACCAACCTTCTCATTCATCTGCTTGATTTTCAGCCGATATTTCTCCAAATATCCCTTATATTCCTCGATTTTCTGCTTTAGTTGCTGAAAAAAATCTAATTTTTTCACATGATCTTCCTAGAAAAACTTCAATTTCAGGCCCATCTTCCTGTTTCTCGGAAACTTGGCGAAGTTTCTCGCTGAGGACTTTTTTCTCGTCTCTCAGCTTCTGAACTCGTTGCAGCATGTCGTCTTGGGCTTTGGAGAGCATCGACTGAAAGGAAATTCATACAACGGTTGAAGAAACCCCCAGAGGCACTTGAGGGGCTTTCATTTATTTTTTTTCAGGCTTATATGCCAATTTTTCACTTTTAAAACGATTTTTATACATGTTGTTTTGTTGTACTTGTAAAAAAAATTTCTATTATTATGAATAAAAAGCAAGAAAAAAACTGGAGTTTAAGCCCAAATATACGAAAACCGAAACCTTTAGAAAATTTCAATTTAGGAAAAAAAGTTATATTAAAAAAACCCAAACTACTTATTTGAACGGAAACACCCACATATAAAATAAAAAGTAAAAAAAACTTGAATTTTTTAATTTTTTGCTTCTCTTTGTGAACTGATAAAACGAAAAAAAATATAAGCCAATGTTCAAAAAAAAAAAGGGCAATACATTAACTTCGAAGTTTTTATGGCGCCTTTCTTTTTTGAGCAGAAAAAGTCTTCACGTTTCGCCAAATCGATAAAAAAACGTTAAGAAAAAGTTTGAAGCCAAAATCAAAAAAAAAAGTTTTCCAGATTCGTATACGTTTCTATGAGGCTTTATATAATTTTAATTTGACAATTTCCCTATTATCTCGATAAGCTTTTTCTAAAACTCATCGAAAATTCTAAGCGAATAGAAAAAAATTTTAGCTTGTCAGATAAATCGAAAAAAAGAAAGAAAAACGCAATTCTAGAATCTTCAAAAAAACTCATAAAATGCTCCAAGAAATCCTACTGATTCAGAAAAATTTGCTACTGGAGGCAAAAAAAAACTGTGGAGACGTCTGAGTCTCTTCGTTTCGTATACTATTTCGCTGGGATCTTTCGAATACTGTGGAAAATCAAGGAGGATTGAAACGAATCGAAAAAACCGAAGGAAAAATGACATATAAAAGTTTTAAAAGCCTCTTTTTTTCAATATAACCATCAGATTCCCTTCGAAAAAAAAAAACGAACCTTGAATCGCTCATTCAAACAAATTTGCTCAATACTTAAGGATTGTGGAGATGTCTAAGTCTCTTATTTTCATGTATTATTTGGCTGGGAGCCTTCAAATTCTGTTTAAAGTTATCAAGGAATGAAATAAATCGAAAAAACCCAAGGAAAAATGTCATATAGACCTTCTAAAAGCCCCTTTTTTTTCAATCTACACCTCAAATTCTCTTTGAAAAACATAAAAACCAACCTTAAATCGCTTATTTGAACAAATTTGCTCAATACTTAAGGAAAAAAAAACTGTAGAGATGTCTAAGTCTCTTCGTTTCGTATACTATTTCGCTGGGATCTTTCGAATACTGTGGAAAAATCAAGGAGGATTGAAACGAATCGAAAAAAACCGAAGGAAAAAAATGACATATAAAAAGTTTTTAAAAAGCCTCTTTTTTTCAATATAACCATCAGATTCCCTTCGAAAAAAAAAAACGAACCTTGAATCGCTCATTCAAACAAATTTGCTCAATACTTAAGGAAAAAAAAAATTGTGGAGATGTCTAAGTCTCTTATTTTTCATGTATTATTTGGCTGGGAGCCTTCAAATTCTGTTTAAAGTTATCAAGGAATGAAATAAATCGAAAAAAACCCAAGGAAAAAAATGTCATATAGACCTTCTAAAAAGCCCCCTTTTTTTCAATCTACACCTCAAATTCTCTTTGAAAAAAACATAAAAAAACCAACCTTAAATCGCTTATTTGAACAAATTTGCTCAATACTTAAGGAAAAAAAAACTGTAGAGATGTCTAAGTCTCTTCGTTTCGTATACTATTTCGCTGGGATCTTTCGAATACTGTGGAAAATCAAGGAGGATTGAAACGAATCGAAAAAACCGAAGGAAAAATGTCATATAAAAGTTTTAAAAGCCTCTTTTTTTCAATATAACCATCAGATTCCCTTCGAAAAAAATAAAAATAAAAATGAACCTTAAAACGCTCATTCAAACAAATTTGCTCAATACTTGAGAAAAAAAAACTGTGGAGATGTCTAAGTCTCTTATTTTCATGTATTATTTGGCTGGAGCCTTCAAATTCTGTAGACAGTTATCAAAGAATGAAATAAATCGAAAAAACCGAAGGAAATATGTCATATACACGTTCTAAAAGCCCCTTCTTCAATATAACCATCAAATTTTTCTTCGAAAAAAATATAAGAACCAACCTTAAATCGCTCGTTTTCCTCCACAATCGCATTATGTCGTTTCACGACATCTCTATATTTGGCTTTATAATTGGAAAGTCGCTTTTGAAGCTGTTGAGAAGAGGATGAGCTCTGAAAAACTTTTATTTTTTCTTTATTTTTTCATGGAGTTAAACCAAATCCTGAGGCGATCTAGCTGAAAATTCGCTGCACGTCGACTCCGTATCCGAGGGAATCCTTTCCAAATTATTGCCAAACGCGTTGGTTAATGGAGGGAAAGCGGATGAAAATGCACTGGAATTCATAAATTTTGATTTGAATGAAAAATTCAATAGGAACCTCTCATTACTATGATTCGAATCTTCAGAATGACGACGAGCCCTGGGTTCAGCACCAACTCCGAGGCCGAGGAGGTCAGCCTCGGCCACTTCTGGCATTATTGCGCTTACTCCGGGCTAGAAATTTTTGATTTTTGAAAGATTTGTTTTTGTTGAAAAAAATGATGATCAAGGCTTAAAATCATTGAAATTCAGAAAGAGAACGTACAAAGACATTTAAAAATACTTTTCGAATAAAATAAAAAAACTTTGGAACAAATTTCAAAATCAAGTAAGCTCCAGAGTTGATGAAAAAGCTTTCAGACCTTAAAAATTCAGAATTTCAGGGGCAGAATAGACAGAGACATTTGAAAATACTTTTTGAAGGTAAAAATAAACTTGAAAAACAAATTATAAAATTAAAAAAGTTGAGAGTTCTTAGTAAACCTTGGACCTCTTAAAAACCCTAAAAAAAGCAAAAAAACCTAAAGCAACTTTTTTTAACATGATAATTATTAAAACTAGAAGATTTTTCAGAGTTTCAAGCTGGAAACCGCAATTTTTACATTATTTGAGAAAATAATGGAACAAACCGATTGTTCTGCGAAAGGATCGAAAACTTTTTTTCTTCTGGAACCGGGGTCGAATTATTTTGGAACCGACGCGACACGGAAGCGCCAGCTTCACTGCCGGCGTCGCTCTGGAATTTTTTCAACTTTTTGAAAAATTCTTCAAACCTTAAAAAAAGACATATAAATCAATTACGAACCATGGCGCCTCTATATTGTCCGACTTGAGCGACGACCTGCTCGCTGTACTGTTGAACTGAGGCTTGCAATTTCTTCGCCTCATCTTCTAATTTCGACTTTAAGCCTTTGAACATCTAAAATTTCATCTTTTCGATTGAAATTACACTGACAACGTTTGAAACGATCGAAAAAAAAGGCTACAGAAGTGTTTTTTCCGGTCTTCTGTGGGAAAGGACCTCATTAGAAAGCTGAAAAGGTGTTAAAAAACAGAACTAAAGGAATGATAAGAAAATTGGTTACCAAAAAGCCAAAATAGCTACTGTTACTTGAAAAAATGAAAAAGAGAAAAATGAAAAAAAAATTTCCCCTTAAAAGTGCTCTCTTACACGATAAAAGATACGGATTCGCAGTGAAATACTGCTTAAAACCACAAAAGTTTTACCAAGTAAATGAAAAAAAAATTTATATATCAAACAAGAAAATAACAATTTAAGAAAAAAAAAAAATCATGGTTTATAGGGCCGCTTGGATCCGATCCCGGGCTTCGAAAAGGCAAGGGAGACGGCCGACCGCGACAATTCGCACATGTCAATAGTGTTCGATATCGACTTTTGCAACGATTTCCTATCCTTACTTTGAACTTTTCTACAAATTTCCAATTTTCGCTAAGTTTTTCGATAAAAAAGACTTACAAAATAAGAAATTTTCCATCTTGAGATAAATGACGGACAGCGCCGCTTCTTTTCGGCTCCTTATCAACTTCTAGCGCTTTCAAAACTATCTGAGCGACTTCTTCGTTGTCCATATCCAAACGAACTTCACTAAACGGTCATTAAAAATACATTTTCTATTGAATTCATAATTTTCTTACGCAGTATGTCGGTATATAACCACATCATTACTTGATTCAGCTTCATCTGAGGAATACGACGAGCCGCTATCTATCTCCAACTGCGTAGACATTACTCGGCTTCCTAATAAAACTAATTAAAAAATATACTCCTTAAGAAACACCGAATGGCGAAAAAAAAATCGCATGAATATCACATCAGGAAATTAGATAACAATACATTTCTACGTAAATGATAACAAGAATTGAAATCGAAAGCGAAATCACATGAAAAACGAGAAAGAAGCTGCAAAATCGCTTGAAGGAAGCTTTTGCTGCCAACCTGTTTTTAAAGGCGCGTCGCCGGTCGCGAAAATGAAAATTCAGAGCGGCGGTCTTTTTTTATATTGGCGCCCTCGTCGAAATTTTTTCGCATTTCATAATTTAAAGTTTAAACTGTTTTATCGCTGTTCTAAGCTTAGATTATGATTTAAAACCGTTCTGGTAACCTCTATAGCTAATTAATCTATAAAAAAAGAATAAGTTTGGTTGATTTATAGTTCTAAAAAAACATGGTTTTATTGATTTAATAAAATTTTTTTAGCATTTTTTTGATTCAAATAAGCTGTTTAAAGTCATATCCTGTTTTTCTCAACGCTTTGTTCAATATGCAAGTTGTTTGGTATAATTTTTTTTTCTTGTTTTCGTACTGAAGGAAATAGTTTGTTATTTTCTATTTTGGCTTGCTTTTTTGTTTTGTAAGAAACCGTCCCCTCGACTTCTAGATTGAAAAAAAAAATTATTTATCAATTTTTGGGTCAGAAAACGGAGCTTCTCATGACTTAATGAACATTTTCGTAGTCTTTCGATGAAGTTGAGCTATTATGAAATATTTAACACTGATTTTTGTATCAAACTGCATATTCGTCTGCCTTTTTTGGCTTCTTTCATTGAAAAAGTTATTTGTTATAGGGCTTCTTTCGCTCTCCGTGGCTTTCACTCCAAGAAGATGCCTGACAACAATACTGTAAATGAATGTTGCAAATGCTTTCAAACGTGTCCATTTCAGAATTTGGGACGGGTTGTGGCTAACATAGTTGATATACAGCAAACCGTCGTCATGCAATTCGATCAATTGACAAGAGCTTTGGAATCCTTGAAAGTAGGGTCTTAATTTATGAAAAATACTATTTTTTATTTATTTTACAGTTGGAGTTTCATGGATCGGTATCTTCCCTGAAAGATTCGATGAATCGCCTGGAAGAGCGATCCCAAAGAAACGTTTGCTTACTTATTTATTCAGTAAAAATTGCTAATATCATAGGTGGATGAGCTTAGAGCGGCACATAGCAAAGAAACGGAAAGGCTTCTAGATATTATCAACACTCTTTTGAACAGAGAGAAGGAAGCCGCGGTGGCTGCTCAGCAGCGGAACATGATGGCTCAGGTTTTTCAATCTTTATTCTTTATTAATTGAATTTATTTTTTTAAAGATGTACTCTCCGGCTCAGTCTATGGCTGGAATGGCAGCAGCGCAGCAAAACCAGTTGGCCCTTCTTCTACAACAGCAGCAACAACAAGAAGTTGGAATGCTCGATTTTATTTAATTTAACCTTTTCACGTTTAGTTACAACGCTTACTTGCTGCTAACAATGCGGCTTTCCAAGGGCAGCAGTATCCTACGATTCCTCAGAGGTTTTTTTTACCAGATAAAATAGATTTTCGTTGGATTATTATATCTATAGCCTCTGCAAAAGTTCTCTGGTTTTTTGAATAAGAGCAGAAGTTTTTAATGAGCCAAATACTTTTAATGTTTTCGCTCCTCAACAATACAAGTAGGGATTTTCGTCCTACTGGTTTCATAAAAATTGGTGGAATGATAAAAAGACGTCTTCCATTTATAATTCGAAAAAGTTAAGGTGTTTTATCATTTTATCTCACTAAAAATTTGTGCAAGATGTTCTGAATAGATCAAAAACTCCTTGTTCCATTTCCGATTTCTTTTTTTATACTGGATTTTGTGACCTTGAGTCTTGCAGTCTAACGTCGACCCCAGTTGCCAAGCCTCTGGAAGCCTTGGCTCGTGCTCAAGTGCCGGCTACTACCCCCGCCATGACGGTTCCAAAGCCAGCCGCAGCACCAGTCGTCGCTCAAGAAGTTAAACCGGCTCCAGCTTTTTTCAAAGTGAACTTGTACGATTTTTAAAACAAATCAACGTCTTCGTTCAGCAAGATCTTGAAACTCCGAAAGCAGCCCCGGTGGCTCCCGTCACAGCGACTATCAACACGCCAACGGGTGTTCCGGCGGCGGCCGCTGCTGCGAAGCCTCTCCCGTTCTCCTTTGGAAATGCTACCAAATTCGGCACTGCTGCCCCTGTTCTCACGCCAAAAACGGAAACTAAGCCTCTAGGTTTAGTTTTTTTTTTTTAATGAGTTGGCTTTCTTGAACTTGTGGAAATATCGCGATTAAATAGCATTTAAAACTCGCCTTACGATTCGTGGGTACTCTATTAGCTCTGAACGATTTTATGGTACGTAGGCGTTCCGAAATTTCAATTAAGACAGTTATTTTTTGTTAATTTTCGTTCGTTTTTTCATTCTGTTGAAGTTTAGAAACCACTCTGTCCGGTCTGAAGATTGAAAACTCTGCAAAGGTTGAAGAGAAGAAGGATGATGAGGATGTCGTGGAAGAATTTGAACCTGAAGTCCATTTCAAGCCTGTAATTCCGCTCCCAGCACTCGTCGATGTTGTGACAGGCGAGGAAAATGAGACGGTAATTTATTAAGTTTCATTCTTGTCAGTTATCAACGATTCTCAGGAGCTCTTCTCGGAAAAGTGCAAGCTCTATCGGTATTCCGACGAGACGAAAGAGTGGAAGGAGCGAGGAACGGGAGTTTTGCGCGTGTTGCAGAACAAGGACAATAAGAAATGCCGTGTTGTGATGCGCCGCGAACAAGTGATTTTTCTGACTGAATAGAATTTTTTGAATTTTTGTACTTTCAGGTCTTGAAAGTGTGCGCCAACCATATGCTTGTCAAGGGAATGACCATCCAGAAGATGGTCAAAAACGAGAAAGCCTTGACTTGGTTCTGTGAAGATTCCTCGGATGAACAGCCGGCTCACGTGAAACTTTCGGCCCGATTCGCTACGCCGGAAATCGCCGACCGGTTCAAGCAAACTTTCGAGAAGGGCGTTGCTGATTTTGTCGATGGTTCGTGGAAAAAAAGACCGGATTTTTCTACATTTTCAAAAATTGTTATTGAAAACATGACATCGCAAAGACTTGCTATCGAATAAATTGTCACATTTTGAAAATTATTTTGTAAAATTGTGATCGAAAAAGGTCGATATAGTTTTCCATTGTCGAAATTGAACTTTCACTTGATCATCGCTCGGTTTCAAGCGTTAGGAGCCTCTGAAATTTTTTCTTATGAGTTCTTCTCGAAAATTGAATATTTTTCGCGTACATATTCTGTTATTATAATTTTTGACGTCACCGATTTTTTTTTGTCAATCCCATCAAACTTATTTCCGGAAATCTTGTTCTCTGTAACTTTTCCATTTTTTTTTTCAGACAAGACACCAGTCAAGGCTGATCAGAAGAAGGAGGAAAAACCCAAAGAAGTCAAACCAAAAGAAGAAGTGAAGCCGAAGGAAGCCGAGAAAAAAGAGCCCGAAGTGAAAACCGAAGCCTCTTTTGGCGATAAGTTCAAACTTCAGCCTGGAAAGTGAGCAAGCCTTTTCAAAAAATGACAAATAATTCAATTTTCCAGCTGGGAATGCACGGAATGTTACGTTCAGAACGGTCCCAGCGACGCTTCCTGCAAGTGTTGTGGGGCCGGAAAAGACGGAAAGACTGACAACAAGGCCAATAACATTTTCAACAAGTAGGGCTTTTTTGAAATTAATTTGAAGCCTCGAATTCGAATTTTAAGGCCTTCGATCATCCAAACGACCCCTGCAACTTCCAAGTTTTCGTTCGGGTTGGGCGCAAAAACGACTGGTCCTGATGTCGCTGTGATCACTCCTCAGCAGACCAAATCTCCAGTCTTTGGGTTTAGAAAAAACGAAGTTATCATTTATTTTGGCGTCTTTCAGTGCTTCTGTTGCTACCACGGCTTCTACGAGCGACAAGCCTTCGATTTTCGGTGGCGGAACTTCAAGTGGTGAGAAAAAAAGGAGTAAAAAGCTATGAAAAGGAAAAGTAGATTTTAAGATAATTTGAATTTGAAGCGTTGACCATTCAAAGACGGCCCAAAAGGAGTGTCAGTTGAAAAAAAAATACTACTGCTCTTTCTATGCTTTTTTTAAAAAGTGAAGCCGTAAAAAATTAAAATTGTAAGCCACGACCCGTTTGGAAAAAAAAACATTCTGAAGAAAGAAATTTATTCCTTGTTCAAGGTGTTTTCCAAAAATTGTAATTATGATTTTCCGAAATTTAGTTATCTTATCCACTCTGAAGGCTTTTTTAAACTTTCAACACGGAGTTAATCAGAGTGGGAGAGTTATAATTTTTATTTTCCAAATAGTCTTTCCTCTATAAATATCTAATTTTTTTTTAGTGAGATCTGTACTTTTTTGAGGTTTCAAACTGAATATCTGTTCGAAATTAGATCAATAAACTTTTTTCAGTGAGTTCTCCTCTCGGGTTTTCGTTCAAAACGGCGGCCGCCCCTGTAAATACAAGTTTGAAAAAAATCTATCCTTCTTTTCTCATTTACATTTTTCAGAAAGCCCGTTCAGTTTTGGCGGTGGAGTTTCTCCGCAGCCAACCGTCAATTTCTCGTTCAAAACTGGGACCGTAACGACGCCCGCCACGACCGCTTCTACCAATTCTCCAGTCCCTTTCTCTTTCAAACCTAGCAGTACGATTTTAAATAAAATTAAATTTAAAAAGCTTTTTTCTAGCTGCTGGAACCAGCAACTCGCTGTTCGGATCGACAAAGATTTCTGGAGAAAAGACGGATTCCGACGCTGGAAAAGTAGAGGAGAAGAAGGAAGAGCCGAAGGTGCAATATTATCATCAATCATGAATTTCGGAACCTTTTTTCAAAAAAAAAAGCAGTGCATTTTTTCCAGATTTTCTGCTGAAAAAACGTCTTTCAAATTTTTCAAGTTTTTACATGACGAAAAATTACATCAAAAATGGCTTTTTAGCTTGAAATTTTCTATTCTTATTTTTTGTCTCTTGTTTGTATAATAGGAAGCCAAAAACTCTAATTGAAGGTCAAATATATGTCGTCATTAAAGTATTGAACTAGCCAGCGAATAAATTCGGGTTTTTCAGATTTTCGGCGGTGGTTCGGGACAAGTGACGTTCGCTTCGATCGCCGCCAATACAAAAGGAAACATTTTTGAAGGAGAGACCGCCAAAAAGGCACAGGAAGAGTTCGCAGCTCAAAAGAAGGGAGCGGTTCGTGAAAAATGTGTATTTAAAACAAGTTAAAAGTGAATTTTAGGCGTTCTCGGGAGGTATCTTCTCGAAGCAGAAAACGGAAAAGAAGGAAAACGCCGATGACGAGGAGGAGAATGCGGAAGAAGAGTATGAGCCTGACGTCCAATACGCACCTGTTTGCCCTCTACCTGATATCGTCGATGTCGTCACCGGGGAAGAAGGCGAAACGGTCCTGTTCTCCGGAAGAGTCCGGCTTTTCAAGTTCATCCAGGAGACGCGGGAAAACAAAGAACGGGGCGTTGGTGTGTTAAAGGTGAATGGGAAAAGGAAATTGATGAAATTCAAAACGGTCAAAGAGAAAAAAGATAACTGAAATTTGGAGAGTCAGCATTTTGAGTATAGCGGAAAAGTTTGTGAGGGTTTGCAACCAAGTAATTTTAATTTTTTATACGTTTTCAAGTCCTCACAGAAGTCATAAAGTTAAGTTTGAAGGAGCATTTAGCCGATTCCGTCACATTTTTCTATCCATTAAAAAAGACCGTATACTAAACTAGATAAATATTAATCTTCGCTTCAAGACCTTGTTTTTTTTTCTGAATTTTTAGCAGTTTTTTAACCTTTTTTTTATTTTCTGTTCTTGCAAAACATGCCCGACTTGCGCGGAACACACTATAGGACATTTTTTAGTTTATTATCTTCATCTCCTAATTTTGGGACCTTCAAACAGTTGAAATGGAAATTTTCGAGTTTTTTTTTCTGCTTCAATAACTTATTTTTCTTGAGGTCCTGCACAACGAAGAGACGGGCGTTTATCGCGCTGTGATGCGCAGAGAACAAGTCCACAAACTCTGCGCCAACTTCCGCATCACCAAGGAGTTCAAGCTGATGCCCAAGCCCAGCAACAAGTGCATCTATACGTTCATGTGCATGGTTGGTGGTAACTTTCATATAATAAAATATGTCAAAGTACAGTATAGTCAATGTTTCCCGACTTGAAAGGTGATATGGGCTGGTTGGCAAGGGCGAGGTGTTGCGTGTGCGACGCGGCTATTTGGCGGCGAGCCAAAATTCAAATGTGGGAGACAATTTGGAGAGTTCGGTCACCGCTTTTTTATTTCCTTTTTACTTTTTCTTATTCAGTTCTAATGGAGTTTTTTTCGATTTTTATTTATTTTTCTCAATGTAATATTGTAAGCGAACACCTTTTTCTGTGTTTTTGCATAGAAAGTTTCTCGAAAGTGCAGCGAATCGTGAAGCGTTTTCGGAAAACTTTTTCACTGGTTTTTTTGTTTCTTTCGTATTTGCTAAACTTCTCAGTTTTTCTTCTCAACTCAAACCTCTAAAAATCTTTATAATTTTTTTCTATTATGATTGATTGCAGATCGTAAGAAGAGAAAAAAATTCGTGAGAAGCTATGGTGTTTGAAAGAAAACACTTCGTTGATGGCAAACAGGTTTGTTTCAATTTTTTTGAAATTTCTCATTGTCATTTTTTTCAGCAATGTTTTAGTTTTTTTAAGTCCAATAAACTCTAAAAGCTCATCGCTGGCCTCGTCGGGCGAGAAATTCCATTGGAAAAAGGCCTCGTCAGAAGAAGGAGACACGTTGATGAACATCGGTCGCCGTTAGAAGAAAAATTTTTTTATTCAATCTATTTTTGGTTAGGCTATTTTTATTGACGTATCATATTATCCGTGTAGATTCGTTGTTCATCCAACACTGGGTTCAACCATTGTCCACTTCAGCGGCATCAAAACGCTGTTTCCGGGATTTCATTCATTCTTAATTACTCTTCGTTGCCGGCGACTAACTCTTCGATTATACCATGGTTCAGCAGAGATTTTTCTTCATCTTACTCTGAAGACTGAATAAATTGAATTGAAATTGAACTCTCCGTTTCCGTCTATTTATTCTCGTTAGAACAATTTCAAGAACGTTTTTAAAACAAGTTTATTGGAAGGAAAAAAACGAAAGAACAGGTTAGCAAAACTTTGGGTGGTTGCTGATGCAGACAGTACAAAAAGAGAGAATTCATGATGTTACCTGAAAATTAATATTTATTACATGAAGAAAAAAAATTAGTGCTTGGTTTTTTTAACCCGAAAAAGTGCATGTCCGTTAATGTAAAAATTTTTTTGGCGAACAATATATTCACGAACTTTTTTTCAAGAAAATCTAAGTATTCATTGAAAGAATAGTTAAACCAAGGAACAGAAAGAGAACAGAAACAAGAACTCACAAACCTTGGTAATCGTTCGTAACTCGTTATTTTTCTTTCTCATTTCCGTAAAAATCTCTGCAGAAATCCTGAATAAAAAAACCTTTTTTAAAAAAATTGTTATTGATTCGATAAAATACTTCGCAACACTCCGCGAATGGTTACTTCTAAAGGTTTTCACTGCATGCAAGAAAAAAATATGAATGAATTTGAGAAAAAACCATGACCTTTATTGAAAAATCGACTCTTCGTGAAACTCGGTGTGAAACCCTCGACTTCTGAGTTTTTGAAATTCTTCAATCGTATTTTGCTTGGTCTGAAAAGCATCATCAATGAATAAATACAGTAAATTTTTCACAGCACAGAATGCACAAGTAAAAAAAATCATATTCCGCGACAAATCAATGAGCAACGATCAACTTGAATAAACATTTGTTTGTGCGAAAAAATATTATTATAGGTTCAAATAAAGTTCCAATAAAATCCACTGAAACAAATAATTAGCGAAAACATTATAAAAACAGAATAAGAAAAAGAAAAAAGGAAATAAAAAAGCGGTGGCCGAACTCTCCAAATTGTCTCCCCACATTTTGAATTTTTGGCTCGCCGCCAAATAGCCGCGTCGCACACGCAACACCTCGCCCTTGCCAACCAGCCCATATCACCTTTCAAGTCGGGAAACATTGACTATAGTTTTCGTCCTGTTTGAAAAAAACCTTTTTTTCGTTTTTTGCGTTTTGTCATTTTCAATCCCATCAATTCAAATTGTAGATATTTTCGAGGATAGAACTGATCTCCGAACTACAGTTTCATTGTTTTGTGCTATAGATTTTGAATTTCAATTAGAATGACGTCATTTTAAAAGGCTCAGTGGATGGCTCGCTCTCTGATTGGCTTACCACGCCATTAGGGGCGGAGCTTGAGCTTTTTTCCGATTTATTTTTAGCTTGTGCAAGGAAAAATTATGGTTTTACGACGAAATCCCGTTTGAATTGCTGTCTAAGCGCCTTTATCTTTTTCGTTAAATTTTAGAATCCATCTTTTGTTATAGTCTATTCAGATTTTGAATGTCAAGTAGAATGACGTTATTCGAAAACCCTCTTTAGATGGCTCGCTCTCTGATTTTTTTATCGCGTAATTATGGGCGGAGCTTGAATAACGACTTTGCATTCAAAATCTGAACAGACTTTACAGCTTCATTTTTTTTTACCCGGACTTTTCATTATTATAGTACTATTTATTCTTTCTTTTTTCGATGTAATTTTAGTGATCTTCACTAATTTAATTACAGGACTACGCAGAAGACCTCAACGGCGCGGCGGAAATATTAACGGTTCGGCTGAAGGACGAGAAAATTGCCGACGAGTTCAAGGCGACCATCGAAAAAGCCCAGAAGGATATGGACGCCTAAAACTTGTCTCCGCCTCCTTTACTTTCTTTTTCGTCTATTGTTTATTTGTTACCCTCTCTAAGAAAAATAATTAGAAACTCAACTGAACTATTCATTTCTCTTTTGTTTGTGTGTTGTCTTCGATGCGTTTTATCTTCGTTTTTTGATCCACTGCATTACGAGATATTTTGACATGTAAAACTGAGCTAACATTATTTATTTATTGATTCTTATTTTCTCTTCCTCTCCCTCTCGCCGCTCGGTGTTTGAAGAACGGAAATAAATTGTCGAGAATTTATTCCCAAAAAAAAAAACATGATAATTAGGTGGTATTTATCGTTGAACTTGATCGTCAACGTGTGTGAGATCCATGTAGACGAGCACTTTTGTCGGTAGGACGTTTTGTGGGCATAGAACTGTCATTGACGAGGTCTCCATGTTCACCTGTACTTAGATGTAGGTAATTAATCAATTAGGGATCGAAATATTACCGCCGTAACCAAGATGAAGCCCATGACGCTGGCTTTGGTCACCGCCGGGCCGATTTCGGTACAGGGGCTCAGGGCGAATAGGTGATGAACAAGGTCAGGAGCCAGGCTCATGTCGACCACCTGAAGTATTACAATTCGTGGCTCGACGCCAAAATTCTCAAGATATAATTTTTAAAAAAGCAATTAAAAATTTGTTAATCTGCTTTTTAAATTTTCAAAATTCGAACCTTCGTTTCATGATTCTCTGGCTCGACGCCAAAAGGTAGACACGATTCGGGAATCTAAAGAAAACCCATTTGAATTGAAGAAAATTGAAAAAAAAACCTTTTCAGTCCCGATTTTGCACAAAATCACATCCGAGACCTGGATATCAAAAGTGAAAGGAAATAGATGATGAGATCGGGTCCCGTAGAAGTACTGGAAATGAAAAAAATTCATAATTTTTTTGGGGGGTTACGAAATGAACGTTTTGTACATCAAAAAAACTCATTTTTGATCCCTAAAGGTTCCTAAAAGACTGCAAAAACAACGATATATTGATCGAACTTTACGAATCCTGAAAAAAATTCATTTTTTAAAGCTTAATGAACCAAGTTGGGAGGCTTAAAATAACAAAAATACCCAATATAACGGCTAAAAATTGAAAAATGAGTGCTTTAATACAGCTTTTGTTCAAATTTTCCACAAAATACCAATTTTTACCCTGTGAATCGAAGCCGCCCTCGCAAGCACCCTAGATTCCTTGGATCTGGTTTCAACGCCTCCAGATTTCGGTTGATGGAGAAGCTGAACTCATTTTTTCGAATATTTTCTTCAAATTAATGAAACCTTAACAAATGGCGGTAAATCGCGACTCAAATCGTTGTAGAGCCTTTCATGGTCCAAAACAACAATCACATCGACTTCGAAGGCCGAGGCGGCCATGCTCAGGCAGGAATATCTTGAAAGGAAAATGTGTTTTTGGGCTGTATATGATGAAAAATGACTTTTTCTTTTGCATTTTTGAACATAATCTGTTCAGATTTTGAATGTCAAGCTGTCGTTCAAGCTCCGCCCCTAATGAGTAAGCCAATCAGAGAGCGTTTTCGAATGACGTCATAAACACTCAAAATCTGACCAAACTCGAACATTTCGACATCCAAAAAAATAGAAAAAGTTTCAAAAAAATTTTTTCGCAAAATTAACGATAAAAAAAGTAATTTTTTTGCTATGGTATGAAAAAGACCAGCGAAAATTCAAACGGCGACTTTTTCCGATTTTTTTCATATCGCTAGAGAACTTTCCGACGGCCACCTTTCCGACGAAATTTTTTTCCGACTTTTTTTCTTGATAAAATCTTTGTTTTTAAATCTTCCTATATAAAGTAGGTAGTTGGTTCATGATTAAAAACACAAAGAAATAGGAAAAATGTAAATAGACGTCTTATAAACCGAAAAAAATATAAGGGAAAAAAAGTCGGAAAAAAATTTCGTCGGAAAGGTGGCCGTCGGAAAGTTCCCTAGCGATATGAAAAAAATCGGAAAAAGTCGCCGTTTGATTTTTTTCGCTGGTGTTCTTTTCATACCACCCAATTTTTTTGCTTATTTCTTCTAATGTTCTTTCGAAACTAATTTTTTATTTCTGAAGTCCTTGAAATTCGAATGTTCTTCAGGATACCTTCCCCAAAGATCCACAATTTCATAATTTTTCTTTTTCCAAGACTAAAACTCACCCTTCACCCGTCACCCAGCCACACGTATTGATAATCATCCCTCCGATTCGTGCTTCATCGTTTTCTGAGACCTGAAATGTCGGCTTCCTTCATCCATTTAGACACAAATTTTCATTTCAGGAGATTTAATTCATTATAACTATCCGTAGATCCATTTACTGCTTTTATTTTTTGTTTGAAAAGTTATAGTCGATTCAAGGCTAGCTTGGGACACTAAGAGGCGTGGCCTGTCTGCGCTCTCCACCACAGGACACCATTTTTTTTTATTTATCGTGTCAGGACCAATTTTTCGTTGGCTCAAGTAAGCCTTGAATCACTTACAACATAGAAGATAAACGTCGCAAAAATCGAAAAAAGTTCGCTTTTAAAAAGTGAAACTGAAATTTTCTATTCTTCTCTGATTTTCTAGTGCTTCAAAGTGATTCCACGGAATTGAAAATAGCTGTCAGAGAAAGAAAAGATAACTAAAACTTGGAGAGTCAGAGATAAATTTGCGTTTTGCGGACATCACTTTGCTAACGGCATAAATTACGTTCAGATTTTGAATGTCAAGTAAAATGACGTCATTTGAAAACGCTCTATGGGTGACTCGCGCCATTAGGGGCGGAGCTTGCCGACTTGACATTCAAAATCTGAGCAGACTACATACTAACCTGTCTCGTGACGGTATCGGCCAATTCTTTCACCAAAGTTTCATATAACGAAATGTTGGCCGACGGCGTCGCATAGCCAAACTAAAAATTCCTCATTTTCCATATTTCAAAAAAATTCAAAACATTATAAACAAGGGGATGTTCCCGTTCGAATCCTTCCACAACATCCGCCGTTTTCTGTATCAATGTCGCCCCAATCGTTCCCGGAATCGATATTGAGCCCTTGAAAATTATAATTCGTGTGGAAGTATAATCATTTTAACCTGCCCCACATCAAGATCCACATAAACTGGCGTTCTACCTTGCCGAACTGCATAGTTGCACAAAATTCGCCCCACCGTGCTTTTTCCGACGTCTGTGGGGCCGACTGGAAGGAAAATTGAGTGAAAATGCAGAAAACTCGAAAAGTTAATTCCTCTTCTTCTGCCAAACCTACAGTACTGGCCATAAAGATATGCCTAACTGATTTTTGGCTATAACTTCGGTCTAAACGATCAGAACATACTGAAATTTCAATATGTTGTGCATACTAACGTCTCAAACAGATTAAAATAACATTATGTCATGTTCAAGTAAAAAACTGTTGCTCTGCATCACTGAAAATGTCAAAACTCTGGATTTTTCAACTTTTTTTCCATAAGATTTTTCTTGAAATTACATGGTTTCAGAAAAAAATTTTTCTTATTTTTAGTTGTATATTTTTTTCTGGAATATCGAAAAATTCAGTGAATTCTGATTTTCTTTAGCGAAGTTGTAGCCCAAAAAAACCAAACAGGCATATCTTTTAGGACCAGTACTGTAGCAACAATTTTGATCATAATTATCAAAAATTGTTTGAGATGGAATTTTGACTTTTTTGACCAATTGACCACCCATTGAGAACATTGTTGAGTATAGAATTTCAACAGAGAAAGTTTTTTTAATCTTATGTTTATGAAAAAAATTAAATCTTTTTTTCGGCTGCGCATTTTTTTGCCAAATTGATATCTACCGATTTGATTTATCAGGAAAAAAATTCTCCAATGCTTAAAAAATAAGACAGTTTTTAATCCAGGTTTAATAAAGTTTCATACAGCCATGAAAAATTTTTTTATTCATAAATACAGAAAGTAGAATTTCTTTCTATTTTACTGCAAAGTTATAATATCAATTTTAAAGCAAAAAAGTAGACGAATCTTCTCAGAAAATACACAATTTTTGGGATGAATAGGGATTTTTAGGTGACAAAAAAGTTCAAAAAGCTTGCGAAGTCAACAAAAATCCTTGATTCTCACCCAGCATAAGCCTCGGACCCTTCGATAAACTGTCCTTGGTTTCTCGGTGCTGCCGAACTTGTTCCATTGCCGCGTGGGTGTTCAGATAAATTACCTAGATTTCAAAACTTTGTATAGTCCCTTCCGCGCCAGCTTGTCACGTTTTTTTTTTCTTCCCAAACGACCGTATACCAAATTGGATTAAATATAACAAAATTTCGCTTCAAGACCTTTGTTTTAGATGTCATTTTTACACTTAACTTTGTTTAGGGTAGAATTTTCATGGTGTTCTAATAAAACGTGATCGGGAAGGCACTGTAGAAACCTTCTAAATTATTCTAATACCAACCATTGGCGTGTGTTTAGCGACATAGGCACTTTCTGCTGGTCCGACCAGTTCAACGACGGCTTCTTTCCACGTATAAACGGCTACTCTAGTGTCTGAACAAAAAGAAATTACAAGGCAATCGATTTAAATCACGATTAGAAATTGAAATTTTGAGATAGGATTCGAACAAAAATTGCTGTTTTAATGCAAGAAAAGTCTTTTTTCAACGTGAAATGACTGAAAACTGAGTTTTAAACTGTTAAAAAACTTTTGCGGAATTTTTAAAATTACAAATAAAACTCTCCATCCCGGGAATACACGAGATTAACACAAAGAAGTGAAAATTCACAGAAACCTTTCTTCAAAAAAACCAAAACATCTCGCATGCTGAGCAGGTGTCTCAACGGGTGTACCCTTATTAAACCCGTGTTTCTGAGGTTATTTTAGTCTCAGTTGGGCTAAAACGGGGGAACAACGGGTGTAAGAAAAATAGGTAACCCAGCTGGGCTAAAGCGGGGTCTCAGTTGGGCTAAAAACTGCCAAAAGTTCTATCAGCTGGGCTTATACGGGTTTAATATATGATTATACGGGGCACCCGCGGAGACCCCGTGTTAGCACGGCTGGGTTACCCTGCTCAGCATTCGAGATGAAACTTACAAGGCGGGAAAGCGTATTTCTTGTTCTCCTGAAGGTCCGTCCCGAAAACCTCGGCGCAACCTTTTACTAATTCCAAAACGACGTCTTCATCTCCAACCTAAAAATTTTTCTCTCAATTTTTCCTCAATTTAATCGAAAAACCTCAAATCGGAGCTCTGAATCTTCTGTCAGTTCAAACTCTTTCACCTGAGTTTCCTCCGCCATACCCTAAAACTTAAAAAATAAGTTTCTGATTTTTTTAAAACTAAAACGCGAACGAAATTATTCTAACGATAATTGAGAAAACTGTGAATTATATGAAAATTGAATCAAAAGTGCTCAAGGTTCTCGAACTTTTTTTGAAATGAACGTGAAAAAAAAAATCAAAAAATTATCTATCTTCAAAAGTTTACGAAGTGCGAGGTTAAAAATATTGAATCTCATTCTGGGAAACTACCAATATTTTGCAACTCCTAAAGGACACCTTATATAAATATCGTTTATTGCAGAGTCAAACAGAACAAATAACTAACAATCCTAAAATGAGACTAAAACGTGGGGGAGCGAAAACAACGTGATAACAATTCATCAATAAAATTCAAAAAGATCTATTGGGAAATGAATTTCTTGATCTTCTCCAAAAGACCGACGTATTGCGAGTGTTCGTAGTGGGTGGCGTAGGAAACGAGCGTCTTGCAGAACTGCGCATCCAATCCTCGCTCTTCAAGGTATCTGACGAACAATAAATCGTGGAGATCCTGAAAAATTAAACTTTCATTTCAATTATGTTTACCAAAAACTAACAGGGTCAATGTATTTTCCGCTGCTGGCATAAACTTCCGTTGGAACATCTTCATTTCCACCTTTGACCGCCGGGGCAACGTAGAACTCTTCAACTCGGAAGTCGTCTGAAATTATAAAAATTAGCTTAAAACTTCTTTCCGCCTGGAACTCACACTCTTCGGGCTGTTCTTCGGTTTGAACGAGCTCCAAGTGGAAGCAAAGCCTTTGGTCTCCCTTGGTGATTTCTACACTGAAAGGCGGGAGAGCAACTGGCACTGGAGCAGCCTGAAAATGGAAGAAATTCATGAATGTGATACGAAATGAAATCAAACCTGCTGCTGAGCTTCATCGTCATAGCCTTCATCCATATCAACAGAGTGGTTGACATTGAAAACGACAAGGATACTAAAATATATGAATTATTAACAAAAAGGAGGAATCTCTACTGAAAACGAAGCTCTGAACTATCTGATCAAAGGGAACATATACAAAACAAACTAAGGAAAATGTTTTACACTATAAAAAACAAACTTCTCATTTCCTTGCTGCTTCGTAAGGCGGACTTCAGCTTCTTTGACAGTAAGGTTGAAGCCGGGAAAAGAAGAAGTTGCAGAGCTCTTCAAATTTTCTTGGCTGAGCTTCTGCTCGGCTTCAATTTCTCTGCCCAAAGCCTGGGTGAGTTCAGGGGTAACTGACAGAACTGAAAAAACATTATTAGAAAAGACAAAGATGAAAGTTAAATGAAAACCTTTAGTTGTGGTAGTGATGAAACGGTTTGCAGTAACATCACGAGCTGCCAACTTTGAGGAGTTCATCACCAATCGTGTAAGAGATCGAGCTACCGCGTAAGACTTCATGATTAAACCTGAGAGCATTTATTCGAAGGTTGTCAAAAAAAAAGACGATGATGCAAATTTTTGAAATATGAATTTTTTTCGCTGTGAGCATTTTTTAGCAGCTGAAATCGACTATAACAAGTAATTTCAAAGAAATATCAGCGTAATAAACGACACGATAATGCAAAATCCGAGTTTTGAAAGAAAAAGCGAATTTTGAAATAAATTCGAACGTTCAAATAAATCCAGAGAGCCACGCCACGGTGTTTCGCACTTGAAAAGAGCTATGCGCCTTTAATAGTGGAAAAGCGGGTTTTTTTCACCTGTCTTTTTATCTCTTTTTAAATTTCTTTTCAAGTTCGTTTTTTTCATTGCTATATATGCATAAGAATGATCGCTGGAGGTAAATGAGATTTTTGCGAGTTGTAAATAGGCTCACAAATCCGATGAATTTAACTCTGAAAAGTCTTTTGAAGCATTTCTCTCTTTATTCTTGCTTTTGCAGGTTATATTTGTGAGTGTTTTTTCCTTTTCTTCGAATATGCAGGAAAATTTTTTAGGTGCTCTCTTTTTTATCAATTTTTTTCAATTTTTGGAAGTTTTTTTTTTGAATCCACCATCATATACTCTTTCAAGTCGATTGCTAGGAGTTGTTGATTTATATTTTTTGTCGGTTCGAGATGTTAAACTTTTCAAAAAGCATCAAGGAAATTTTCTTTTGGTTGACTCAATCGATTTGGGCGCGTCGTGAGGCCTCTTTTCCGGATGACTCATTTTCCTTTTCCCGCGGCTGTCTTTTTTTTTGGTTTGGCGTTACGATTCCTTTTTCCCATGCGTTCCCATTTGCAATTCGAGCAATTCCAACTAATTTATTGGTAGATTTGAAATTTAAAGTTTTTGTTTTCTCTCTGTTTCTGTTTGCTTTTCAATGCTCTCAAGTGATAAGTAAACTCAGTCATCTGCAAATATTTATACTCTTTTTTGAAAGTTGTTTTCAAAGGTACCAAGAAAAGAGTTTTTTTCGGAAAAACTGTGAATATATGAGAGAATTTATTATCCTCTAATCTTACTATTGAGAAACAAGCTTAAAAACTTTAGATAGTTATTGAAAACCTGACGGAACAGCCTAAAATCTTCGTTTGAAATGGTAGAAGAACCCGAGAAACACTGACCGGCACGCACTTTCCTATTATACCAAGGGTATGTCCATTGTTGTCGCTCGCGGCTGCTGCGAAAGGATCAATCGATCGCAATCTTGACATTTGTCCTCGGAATTCCTCTCCCCAACTATTCCTTGTGTGATCCGTTTTGACAAATTTCCTTTTCAGTACTTTATTTTTATTTTATTCTATTTTTTTTTGATATGATTTCTTTGAAAAAGCTTGTTGAGGTGTATTTTTCGTAGTCTCAAAAACGGAAAATGGTAATTACGTCCTCAATTTCAAGAAAATCTTTTTCTAATTTGATATTCTAAAAAAATGTTTTAGTTATTTGAAGCTGCGCAGTGTTTTTGAATAAGATGAAATTTGAATTTTTCCCGCCATTTTTATCCATATAGGGTTGGGTGTGGTATCTCAAGGTCTCCCATTTTTTTCCCACCTGTTTCAAAAAGAAATCTTTATATTTTTTTCTTTTTGTAACTGTGCTCAAACATCAAAACACGTATGAAAATGGCTCAAAAATCAAGAAATTCCGAATAAATTAATTGATTTTATTGATTTCCGTAAACTCTTCGTTATGTTCGGTGAACCCGAAAGGATTCAAAATGATTTTTCCGAGTAGATAAAGCTTTCAATTGTGTTTTTTTTTTTTTTGATCGTTTTAAAAGTTTTCAAATTGATTTTTAAGGTTTTTTTCACGCTTTAAACCAAGTTATTGCTTGAATTTGAGTTTTAAATTTCTCATCTTTTTTTCTGATATTAAAATATTTTTCTCAGCTTTTTCCTCAAGTTTCAAGCCTCCTAAACAAAAAAAGGAGCAAGACGGAAAATTCCATAAAAAAATCATCAAATTTTTTTCTCTTATCATTCTTCGCGTCCCTTGCTTTGTGTGATTTTTCCCTTGTTCCGCAAAATGTTTTAAAACAAAAAATGAGTCATTTCTCCACGTCCTTTTGCTTTGCTTTCTCCAAAGATTTTTAGAAAATAACATTTTTTCAGTAATTTTTCAAAAATGGCCTCAAGAAAGACCGTCAACCGACGTCAGCGTCCTCAGAGGGCCACCTCCAATGTCTTTGCCATGTTCGATCAGGCTCAGATCCAGGAGTTCAAGGTTTGAAAGTTGTTAAGCATTATTATAATTGGAAAATAAACATGGAAGATGTAAAAAAATATTGTGGAAAAATTGGTTGGAGAAGAAAAAAAATATTTTTTTCCAAAAAAACTTTAGATTCAGAAGTTCAAAGTTAACAATTTTTTTGGCAGCGGTTTGATGCTGAAGTTTTTCAAAATTAAAGAAAAGGTTTTTTTAAAATCAAGTTATATAAACAGCAACAATCCTGAAGAAAAAAACTCAATAATTCCCATTTTTTCAATCGGAAACTTCAAAAATAAAAATTTCCAGGAAGCCTTCAACATGATCGATCAGAACCGTGACGGTTTCATCGATCAGGAAGATTTGAAAGACATGTTCGCCTCACTGGGTACTTTCTTTAGGATGAAAAAAAGATGAGAATATTTTTAGGAAAGGAAGTCGGGGAGCAGTTCATCGAGGCGATGATCCGCGAGGCTCCTGGCGGCCAGCCAATCAACTTCACCATGTTCTTGACGCTTTTCGGAGAGAAATTAACGGGTAAATAATCTGGGAAATATCCTGAGACCTTGGCAACATAAACGGATGTCTCTGAGCGCTTCTAGGGATCACTTAAGGGTTTAGAGTTCGCTAGAGGGCTCACTTGAAGTTCTTAAGAATATCCGGTTCTCGTTGCGAAGGTTTGCGGGAGGCGAAAAATCCAGAATCACCCCCTCCTCTCCGCGTTCTAACAAGCTCCCCCCCCCCCAAGCTAAGTTTCGATCTTGTGGGGAGGGACAACAAAATTTTTTCATGAAATCTTTTTCATTTCTAACTTTTCATGATACTCGGCCAGGGACACATATTATAAAAAAATTGTTCGATTTAAAAAAATAACGATTCGTTGCAAGACCTATATTTAGTGTGGGGATCTAGGTATTTGGGGGGCTTTTTTTCGAACGGCTCGTAGGGAGGGGGAATGGGGGAAGCGATATCCAACTTTTTGGGGGAGAGGGTTATATACTGTAACATACCCGAGATTTTGAATTTCAAGTCGTCGCTCAAGCTCCGCCCCTAATGAACCAATCAGAGGGTTCAAAGCGTTTTCGAATGACGTCATTGTACTTGACTATCAAAATCTGAACAGAATATTTCGAAAAATAAACGAAAAAGATAAAGGCGCATAGACAGCACCTCAAACGGGCTTTCGACGCGAAATCATAATTTTCCCTGGCCCAAGCTTAAAATGAGCGTGAAAAGGCTACAGAGCTTTTTCACATGAAAAATTGGCAAAGATTAATTTTTTTGAAAGGAAGGAGAAAAATGAAACTTAATTTCAATACTTTCCAGGCACGGACCCTGAAGAAGTGATACGGAACGCGTTCCAGTGTTTCGACGAGGACAACTCGGGAAAACTGAACGAAGAGCACCTCCGTGAGCTGCTGACCACCATGGGCGAACGCTACACCCACGAGCAGGTCGATGAGCTCTTCCGAGATGCTCCGATCAAGGTGATTACCTACATAATTATTCTAAAAGGGGTCTTTTTTGTTAATAAACCATAAATAATTACATTTTTTTTCTCAATTTTTATGTAACTTTTTTGAAATTCGTCTTCAGTACTTTGCTTGTTCTCATCGTCATATGGCTTCATTTTTCGCAGAGTACCCAAATTCCAAAAAATCGGTGTTTAACATTTTTGAGGGCGTCATTTCTCTTTTCTTGGAAAGGAACTAAGAAATCGGAGTTTCCAAAAAAAAAAAAATGATTTTGAAAAATTCGGTGAGAGTCCAGGTTCAGTGAATTTTAAATAATTGTATTGAAGAGCTATTTTTTCTTTTCTAGTGAGGACTTTTTTTGATTTTTTTCCTTTTGACTTTTTTTGCAACTATCTGTTAGTTTCAATTAATTAGGCGTAACAATCGAAAAAAATTAACTAATAATACTCCAGCAAAACTACATATTCAGACCATTTTTTTAAAGGCTTCCAATCCATCCTCCTAAATTTCCTTAAAATTTCCCCCTCTGAAATTGAAACCTGTTTTTACTTTTTTGCGTCATCACCTCCCTGAGCTTACCTTGGTTAGAATTCATTTTCGTAGTTTTGATTAATTAATTTTTTTGAGCCAACCCCTCCTGAAATTAAATTCTATACTTTCCCATGTATGCTCATCTTCTATATTGACAGAAATTTCAAGAAATAAATTTTCAGAACGGCCAATTCGACTACGTCGAGTTCACGCGCATGCTCAAGCACGGCACCAAGGACAAGGATGAGCAATAAATGAATAATTCATCCGTCATTTTTCCCTCCGGGACAAACGTTTCACTTCCTCTTTTTTGTAACACTTATGTATTCATACTTGATAAGTTATTTATTCACTTGGATATGATATGATGTGAAAAAAGCTTTCTTTTCGGATATAAATATTGCTTGAGAACAATCACTGGGTTGCAGAGGTTTGTGGAATTAAAATTAAGTTTTTTTTATCGTTAGAGCGCGAATAATCCTCGGAAAGAGCTGTTTTTTTCAAAGATCTATCACAAACCCACCGATAAGATCACAGGAAAATCGATTGCAATGGGAAATACCTAATATTCCTACAATAAAATCTAGAAAGCTAGACTAAAACATCATTTTGAAGCGGTGATAATATTGCTCTCGGATTGCGCAGTAACCCCTCGTCGATTGCTGAAATTCGATCATTTTTTTTCCAGAATTTCCTGATGAAATAACTGACTAGAAAGGATACTTTGGCATTGAGCCAAGGTCGAACCGTTGAATTTGTACTGATTGCAGAAAAATGTTAGGCAGGCGGCGTGGAGCGCCGAAATGCTCGGATATAAGCCGTTTTCGTCGTTTCCAAGCCTTAAAATTCGTAAATTTTGCCGTAAAATTCAAAATTATCTCTGACCCTCCAAAATTTAGTTATCTTTTTTTGCTCTCTGACGGTTTTTTCGAAATTCGCGGAATCATTTTGAACACAGTATGGAAATTAATAATGAATTTTTAAAAAAAGTTGCTAAATTCTATAAAATTATTCAAACTTACTCAAGATGATAAATTGAATTAATTCTCGGAAAAAAATTAGGTGAAATTTCTATTCAGCTTCATATTTCACTCATTCCTACCTTTCAAGACCTTTTTCATCCATTAAAAACTCACGAATTCAAATTTCCGCGCTTCAAATGCGACAGAATTAAGCCCGTAATGTTAAGAGAGACGACGGCGAGTGGAAAATCCTAAAATTTCTAAAAAAATAAATTCTTCCAATGAAAAATCACATTAGGTTCCGAACGAGATAATTTGACAATGGCTTGAAGTTTTTCTGGATTAACTCTCTGTGAGAAGGAATGAAGTTGAAGTAGTCCAAAAATGCCGCAACCACGAAAATCGGTGGCTGGGTCGTTGCCTGGAATGTAAAATAGTTTTGGATTGAAAAATCGCAAAAAATTCATTTTTATAGTTCGTTCCGGGTGAGATGGCCGAATTTGAAAAGAAATTTAAAATCTTTCAAATTTTAATCGGGTGATCACGCCTTGAAGCTGTTTTTTTCCAGAGGAAATGTCGTTTTTTTAAAGGGAACTTTGAGATCTTATAACACAAATTTCAAGTTATAGTAATCTTTTTTTATAAATTTTATATCACTAATATGTTCCATTGAAGAAAAAGAAAATATTCTGCCTTTTTTTCGCATCTTTTTATCAGGCTATATTGACTACTTCCCCTCCTTGAGCCTCAAAAATCCTTGAAAACTTGAGAAAATTAAGTATAGTCCATTCCACCTTTTGCAAGAACAGAAAAGAAGAACTTTTTCTCTACAAAACTGCTAAAAAAAAACAAGGTCTTGAAGCGAAGATGCTCAATTTTGATCTAATGTGGTACACGGTATTTTCAGCGAAAAGAAAAAAACGTGACAAGCTGTCGCGGAATGGACTATACCCAATTTTTCTCAAGTTTTCAAAGAGGGGAAATAGTCAATATAGCTGATAAAAAAATGCAAAAAAGGCAGAATATTTTATTTTTCTTCAATGAAACAGATCGTAATCACCCGAATAAAATTTAGAAGATTTCAAAATTCTTTTCAAATTCGGATCCAGATGCTCTCTTCCTAAACTTGTATACTTCCAATGTCTTTGTGAGGAATAAAAAAATAGGAAAACTAAATGATAATTCTTATACTTCTTAATAGAAAAAAACAAAGTAGCTATAAAACCGAATAAGATTCAAAAAAAAATTTTTTTGAGCGCCCCAGGCAGCATTTTTTTCCTGAAAAACCCGTTAAACCATAATTTTTAATTAAAAATTCACGATCAGTACTTTTGGATATTAAATTGAACAAAAAATACGGAAAAAGCTACTCAAAAGCTTTTTAAAAAAAAAGATCTTCTGCGGTCCCTAAAAGATACTCTTTTAATCACACACCCTCAAATAATGGAAAAACGCTGGAAAGCAACATATTAAAAAGAAGGTGGTATGAAAAAAACACCAGCGAAAATTGAAACGGCGACTTTTCCGATTTTTTCATATCGCTAGGGGACTTTCCGACTTTTTTCCGTTATATTTTTCGGTTTATAAGACATCTATTTACATTTTTTTTTCCTATTTTTTTGTGTTTTAATCATGAACCAACTACCTACTTTATATAGAAAAATTTAAAACGAATATTTTTATCGAGAAAAAAAGTCGGAAAAAGATTCGTCGGAAAGGTGGCCGTCGGAAAGTTCCCTAGCGATATGAAAAAATCGGAAAAGTCGAAGTTTGAATTTTCGCTGGTCTTTTTTCACACCACCGGAAAAGGAGCTCGAAAAACCCCAAGATTTTTGAAGTTTTCAGGGGAACTTTTCAATTTCTTGGAAGGCTCCTAAAAGGAACTTTACCGTTTCGTCCCAAAAACCCACCTTGAAACCCGACGATTTGCCAATGAGGCCCGGTTCTTGGACACTGCACCGCCATTGAAGACGAATTCAAAGCGATCGAGGCTATTGATCGGAAATATTCATAGAGAAGAAGCCAATGCGTTGGGTTGTCGTTTTGGTAAGGTACTGGAAAAAAAATTGGTTTTTGCGCCTAGTGGTCTTTTTCCCTCCCTGCAACATCACCATACCATCCCGATGTTGCGAAAATAAATAGATTGAATGAAAAAAAGGTTACTTTTGAAAACTTTGAGTAGGAAATTAATTTCGCATTTTGATTCTCCTTGAAGGCCTACTGTTGAATAGTTCAGAAATCGTCAAAGCTGATTTTTATCACCATTTAACATTTTTTGGGCCAATCTCCTTATAAATTCCGATGTGAATAGAAAAAATGAGCTTTTCAGATTTTAAATATGAAAATATCCTATGAGATTTGAAAAATAACGCTTATTGAAACTTTCCGAGATTCTGAGACACTAAAAACCAACGTTTTTTAAGCGAATTTTCAAAAACTTTTTCGTAAGACTTTCTGAAAATGCAAGTTTTGACTACCAGGAAGAAGCTTCTAAAGAGAAATTTTGACGTTTTTCGAATTTGTTCAAAAATACCTTCACTAAGGGATATAATCAATGCTTTGTGGGTATGAGCTAGTGCTGGCAAAACCGCGGGCTCCGGCCGACACAGACAAACTCTCAAAACCCGCTGCCATGTGGTGGATTCCGACGCCGTGGAGGTGGATGGCTCATCGGAACTCTGAAAAATCGACTTTTCCCAATTTTTCTGTAGAGATAACCTTCTGCAACAAGGTATTCTGGTTTTCAGACGCGACAAGTTTCGGATAGAGGACTTCGAGCGGCGTTTCGACGCCGACGTCGTCGCTTCCGGGCTCGTGAACGATGTCCACCTTGAGAGCGTCCCGGCCTCGGAGTTCTATCTGAAAATAACTTTTATCACGTTTCTTGACCCCCCGCTTGAACTTTTGATGAATTTTGGTTCAAATGCGACCTCCTAATTCCAGAACAAGAGAAAGTTCTCGCAATAGCTCTTTTTACCAAATCATAAATCTTCAACCCTCTCAAATAACGCTTTTTCCACAAAAATAACTTTCATCTCAATATAGTATGTTAAAAAATCATATCCAGGGGTGCCAAAAATCTTTCCCATGGTGTTTGAAAGAAGTATCACTGGAAAGGTCAAAAGTACCGAAAACGAGATTTTACACCCCCCTTTTCAATTTTGAAAAACTTTGAAGGTTCAAAGTAGTTGAAAGGTCTACTTAGTCTTATGGAAGGGCGCAAAAAAATAGAAAAGGATTTCCCCCTTTTTTTCGAAAAAAACTAACGGAAATGCTATAACGTTCCACACGACTTTGATAAACAATTTTCAAGAAGGTCTCAAAAAAAAATATTTTCAATGTCATCCAAGTTTTTTGCGCCTAGGTCACTGATTCGAATCAAATCTTATTCAACTCGAATTCTGAGAAATCCATCAATATTCAGTGAAAACGAGGATGTGTGTTTATGATAGCAAATCAAAAACCAAGAATAAAAATTCAAAGCTGTAGCGAAGTTTAAAAATTAGCATAAATGTAATAAATTTCAAGCCGCAAAAAAAAAAACTAAAAGTAACAAAAAAGAACAAATCGTCGTAAATCCTGCAGCTCCCACCGTACACTCAACTTTCCAATTGGAGCAAAATTACTCATTTCCAAAAACAATACCTCGCTCCACACGTCGAGAACTCGCGACCGTTCATTTTTCCACTTCTCTCGCTCCTCGTCGTCTTCTTCTTCCATACTAAACTGAATAGTTTTTTTCAAAGGATGGAATGATATAGTTCAAAGATGAAAACGAGAAGAGAGAGACATAAAATGACCAAAAAGGGCTGTAGAAAATTATCCTAGCACTTCTTTTTTGGCTTTTTCCACAGAGATCTTTCTTTAATGATTTTTGGAATGAAAAAAACCAAAAGAGGTTCAAGAAAAAAATGTGAAATATGACAAAAAAATAATGTAAAAAGAATATGAGAAAAAGCCTCCATGCATATTTTTTTAGTAAATTTTTAAAAAAATTTCTCGTTTTCTTTTTCAAGTCTTCGAAAACACTTTTTAACTAAAAAGCAATTATGAACTTGAAAATGCAAGAATCAAAGAGGAAAGTGTGGAATCAGCTGGGAAGCGTTATCGTTGTAAAAATTGTCGGGTTGCAATACGAACGAGAAGAATTAGACGCAGAGAAATTTTCAGTTCATAGTACGGAAAAAAAAATGGGGAAGGTCTGAATCTAAACGAAAAAATGATTAAAAATAAAGTTGAAGTTGAGAAAAATGGCTATTTCAATCTATCAAAATGCTTTTTAGTGAGCAGTAAATAAATTAAAGTATTGAAAAAAAAAAGATGAAAAATTTATTTTTCTTGATCAAAACTAGAAAAATGGCTACGAACTTGCCTTTTTTGATACAGAGAAAACCTTTTTTCAGGCCTTTTTCCCATTCTTATTCAAATCGACTGGAAAAAAAAAGTTCTGTTACAAAATCCTTTCTAAAGTGCTTAAAGGAGCACTGTGGACGAGAACTAAATAAAAAAACCTGCGCCTTTGAAATCATAATCGTATAACTTATTCCAATTCATCTCACATGTCTTACACATGTTAATAAAATAGTAAAACGGAAAATCAGGGAGGGAAAAAGTTGGTTTTAGAAATGGGAACGGAAATTGCAAATAAACTGCCAACATGACATGAATATTGCACGGGCTGTCCATCAACGAAATTGGGTCGCAATGGGGAGAACTAGGAAAATAACTCCGTTTTGAATAAATAATCTATTCTTTAAAAGTTAGACATATAAAACCCAATTTTCTGTCGAAAATTTGAATGTCAAGTCAAGTTTTTTTGCTGCCAAAATATTAAACTTGAGTTCAAAACAATTTCACGAGAGAACAATTCTTCGTAAATCGAGAAATGTTCGATAATATTCTCAATAATTAAAATTAAGAAGAATAGATGGATATTTGTCAAGATTTTAGAAGAAAACCGACAAACCCGATAAAATGCAGAGTAGCTTCCTAATCGTTGCCGCGGTTCCCATGGAAACTGACTCAGAAACTGAAAAAAAGATTCAATAAAAAAATTAATAGAAAAAAACGACGGTTAAAGTGCTTTCATGAAAAAGAAGAAAAAAATTATGAAACATGAGAAAAATTTTTGTATTTCTATTTTTTTCTCCTTTTTTTGTTGTTGAAAATAAGAAAAATTGTTTGAAAAATTAAATAATTTTAAAAAAATGTATATTCATCGAAAATTGAGTTTTAGCCCTTTAGGGGCTTAAAAAAAGCTGCAAATGCCATGGGGCGCTTTTGAGCGTCACGAAGATTTTCGCCGACCGATATCGATCGAATTTTTTTCTTTTTTGATTGAAACGTTCAAAGTAATCATCTTCCGTGCAGAAAACTATCAAGGAAGAGAAGGATAATCGAGAACTCGAACTAAGGAGCCAAGTTCTCTTCATTTGCAAGTCAACTCCACTTTGGGCCTAAAATTGTTTCCTTCAAGAACAGGTAAGATTTTTTCTTCTTGTGTTGTTTCATCATTGAATTAATATGGGAAAATTTTTCGGTTTTCTATTACTTTTACAGAGCTGCCAGAGAATAATATGGTAACTGTAGAAGGAATTTTTTTCCGGTGGTGTTTTTGGACTTTTTTTGAAGTTTTTTTGAAAAGAATTTTTTTCTAGTATATTTTTTTCTCTTCGTAGAGACATGAATATTTTTCAGTGGACAATCAACAAGAAAAAAACTCAATGAATAAAACCTTTCAATGTTTCTTTTTGCAAGAAATTGAGAGTTCCTGATTTTTTTTTTTGATTTTTTGTCGAAGTTGAATAATTTGTTTTTTTTTTCTTGTAAAAATGAATCGACCTGAAAACTGTTTGCCAAAAACGAATACTTTCATTTTTCGACATACTTTCCGCGCAAAAATCGCTCAATTCAGACGTCCCTTGGGGCTTTTTTCCTCTGGACCAAGTTCTCAAATGTCCTCCTGGCACGCTTTTTTCGCCGTTTTCAATAAATTTTCGAAGCTCCAAGGGATGTTTCTCTCCTTATTTGAGGCGTTTTTTTGTGGGGAATTCGGAAAAGAATGACCTTTTTTTCGAGTTTCGTCGTGATTTACGATTTATTTCTTGTGTTTGAACAGGAAATCTTCGACAAATTGGGCGCATTTCGGCTCTTTACTCGTTTCATTCTGTTCTAAAATTTTTGCTAAGGTTTTAAAGGCGCAAACGCCTCCTCGCTTCGAGACCAATTTGATCTTTGTTCACGCTCCTTTAAATTAAAACTTCAGCAAGTTTCTGAAAAGGCTTCATTTTCTAATATAACCGTTTTTTTGCATAGTAAGTCGCTCCAGGACCCTTTTCCTGACGTTCTATAAATCGATAAGTATTCCTTAATTTTATAACACAGTTCTTGCTTCTGCAAGTGAAACCAGTAGAAAAAAAAATGGGATGCAAAATTTATTAGATCGATAAAGATCAGCATTCGTAATAATTGCAGTCAATGTCAAATTGTGGCGGATAATCTTGCTTGGTTTTAGATTTTCCCGCTTCGATCAGCGAGAAAAAGCTGATCAGGATGACCAAAACTGGAAGAAAGACCTGAAAACTTACTTGAAATTAGTAAAAATTGCAGGAAACTAACCTTCAGATGCATTTTCCTTGTAGAAATGTGCTTCTTTTCAGTTGTTTCACTGGTATTTATAGGCTTCAGGGTCTCAGGAATCGATTTTGGAGGGAAAATTGTCTCATGAGAACGGTTAAAGACTTCAAGAAACAGTTTTTCCTCTTAGATTCTCAGGCTCACGCTTAATATCTCTTTTTTTTAATTCTGGTAGAAATTTTCAAAAGGCTGAAATTTTTGTAAGGGGATGAAGATTCGAAAAGTTTGAAACATTTAAACTTCTTGATTTTTTTGAAGATTCCGTCGAGCTATTTTACGCATATTTTTTTAGTTTAATAATAATCTGGCCTCTAAAAAAACCCAGTGAACCTTTAAATTGTAACTTTATTGTAATTAGTTTTTTTCCCTGGAGAACTTGTAGACTGGTTTTAAAAAAATTGATTTGAATTTATTTCCAATATTTTTTTCAAATGCACTTTTTTTCTACAGTTCTATTGCAACTTCTAGTTCATTTTTTTAGCAGTTTTTTTAATCTCAATTCAAATTAAGAAACGTCTCGATCTTTTTCCTAGTTCAATTATAGATTTGCTCGATAGGTTTGAGTTTCATTTGTTGTTTAGAAGGCCTTTTTAAAAAGGAAAAATCTATAAAAAAAGCTATTAAAATAATTATAAATAAGTTCAGGGCGAAAATTGACTTTATTTCCTCATATTCGGTTTCAAAAGATATAATTTTTTTCAAAAAAACTTTTTTTGTTCCGCATTCCAGTCGAGTTGCCGATTGTGAATCACCCAACAAAAGTTTAAAATTGAAAAAAATAACTGCGTTTTTGAGAAAAATTCCCATACTGCAAAGTTTTGTCGGTCTGGTGATTTTTCAAATTTTAATTTATTTTAAAAAACAGTATTTTTGAAATTTTTTTTTAAAAAGGACTGTCAGAAAAAGTGAGAATTTAGAGTTTCAAATGAAAAATTCCAAGACGAGTCATTTTTTTGATGGAACTTTAGATTAAATTTCTAGTTCTAGTCCGAATTTAGTTCAAAAGTTAGCATTTTTGATGAAAAAGTATTTATTTTCATGTTCTTGGAGGCTCAGATTAACATTAAAAACTGTAGGATACCGTATAAGTCTCTCGTTTTCACAGGCTATTTCTCCCATCGTTTCAGGACCTTTTTCTTGGTTTTTTTTTCTCAGAACGCCAGTAGTAATTTTAGGGCCTAGACCTTGATTTTATTAGTTCAACTGTACTATGACCCCTCTCAGAAATGTCCATGGAGCGCACAAAAACCGAGAAAAAGCGCCTCTCGAGATCTAATCCATCAAAGCTCATCCAGTCTACAGAAATCCTCCAGAGACTCTGGAAAAAGTTAAGCCCTCACCAAAATAGACGAGAAATGAAAAAAGGGGGGAAAAAAACAAGGAAGAGCCTGACACAGGGCGGGGAGGCCGAAAAGCCTTCACTTTGGAGCACATATCGATCACCGGCCTTTTTGCTCCCCTCTCACGAAAATTCCCACGTTTTCCTCTTCAATTTCCATCGCCACTTGCTTTTTATTGCCCCTTTTTAATTGTTAGTAGAATTGGCAACATTTCCTGGCCTGTCATTATGCCGCATTTTTTTCTTTATTTATTTTTCTCACAGAGTAAGGCTTCCTACTGATAAGGTTTCTCTCGGAAAATCCAACTTTTTTTGAAATTTGGATCATTTAAAGCAGTGCATAAACTCTATTTGTTAATTGTATATGGATAGACTTTTTATTTTGTCTCTTAAAAAGTTTTTTTTTTGAAGATTTTCTTGTTCTTTACTTTGAAATTCTGAAAAAGTTTTTTTTTCGTTCAAATTTCCAACATCCCTTGCTTTTTATTGCTCTATTTTTAATTGTTAGTGGAATTGGCAACATTTTCTGGCTATTCAGAATTATCATTATGCCGCTTTTGGCTTTATTTGTTTTTCTTTTAAATCAAACAATTTCAATTTAAAGCTTCCTACTGATGAAGTTTCAGTCAGGAAAGTCAATTTTTGACATTTTTAACTATATAAAACAGATTTTTCTTGGTTTTTTTGCTTTTTCTAAATCTGAAAATATATATTTTTCGTTCAGATTTCCATCCTTGCTTTTTATTGACTTTTTTTAGTTTTTCAGTTTCATTGGCAACATTTTTCTGGCTATCCAAACCTATCATTATGCCGCATTTGCCTTTCTTCGTTTCTATTTTTCCCTTCAATCAAACAATTTGAATACTAAAGCTTCCTATTGATGAGGTTTCACTCAGGAATTTCAATTTTTTCGATATTTGTAACGTTTAAAACAGTTGAATCGACCTTTTTTGGAATTTTTTTTGGGTTAAATCAAAAATTTCTTGGTTTTTAGCCTCTAAAAATATTTTATGGAGCTCTTTACATCTATTTTATGATTTCTTTCAGCTCATTCCAGTTTTTTTACCTTTTTTTTGACAAGGTTTCTTTTTATGAGATTTATCTAGGCTTACAATTTTTTTAAATATGTATTTCCAAGCGACTGATCTTTCGAAAATAAATCAGGGGACAGTATAATAGTCAAGTTTTCACGCTGAAAAAGGTCAATATCTCAGAATCTTTCGAATATTTTTATGTCCTTTTTGAACTTCCCAATGCCAATTTTTTTAAGGCTCTTCTTGTGCTCAAAAAATTAACATTTGTCAAATGCGAGCAAACTTTTTATTTTTGTAGGAAACATCTTCCCCCAAGACATATCATATTGGGTCCTACGCAGTCGCGATTTATTTTGCATTGTTTCGGTTGGAATCCTGTCGTATGGATTTTTCTGAAGCTTTTTTCCGCTTCGACCCTTGAGAAAAGGCTAATGAGGAACACCAGAAGTATGAGAAATAACTGAAAACTCGGTTTTAAAACAAAAAATCGGGCGAAAACCAACCTTTAGATGCATTTTTCTTGTTGAAAAGTGATTTCTAGACGATTTTACGGCTATTTATACACGTCGAGGTCTCGAAAACCATTTTGAAGTGGAAATTGTTTGATGGGAATGTAAAAAAGGTTAAATTTTGGGCGGCAGGAAAAAATCGGAATTATTTTTCTCACTGTACCTTGCTATCCAGAAATGGAACCTTTTTCGAATTTTACTGATTTTTTAGCATCTTATAATAACTTTTAGTATCCTTCACATATGTTTTCCTTTCTATTTCCTTTGTAAATTATTCCCTTTTTTTCAGATTTTTCAGATTTTTGTTGGCGCAATGAAGTTATTATCATGAAAAGGGCCTTTTAAAATATATATACTTTACTGGTTTGATATCATTTTTTGGTATATGACAAAAAGAACCGCGGAAAAAAAGCCATGAAAAAGATATAGTCGATTCACGACTGAGGGGGCGTGGCCTGTCTGCGCTCTCCACCAATCAGACACTGTCTAAGTTTTTCCACGCGAAATTTATTCCAATCACGAAATAAGTTAGTGAATTCGAGGCTTTTAAAAAAAGGATCTTTATAATCAGGTTTTGACACAGAAACATGGAAAGTAACTGAGAATAAAGAAAAAAAATTCGAAAGATTTATAAAAAAATAAATTTGGACTCGTTGTCCATGGAGCGCGTTTTCAAAACCATTTTTTTGCCCAGACTAACGAAATTTTTAGCGTCTCGTCATTCGAAGCTTTTTTTCATTCACGGCATTTTTTTCGTTGGCTCGATTTTTTTGCAGCTTTTTTTGAATAATATCCCCCATTTTTTTCAAAAAAAATTTTTTTCATTTATTCCGTACTTTTTTGCAAAAAAACTTTTTATAAAATCAAATAAATATTCTCGATTATCCTGGTACCCAGGTCATCTCCTCGCAATAGCCGTTCTTCTTGCACTTTCTCGCGCAATCTTTGTCACTTCTGCACTCGTAAAACATGTAATCTGTAAAGTAGATTCAAGAGAATATGGAAAATTCAAACAAACATTTTCTTGCCACCGACGGTTTTTTAGAGAATTCAGCTCCAACTGGCGTTAGAAGGCCGATAAGGATCACTAAAAGTGGAAGGAAAATCTGAAGATGATTTTATTTGAATCAAAAGCTAGAAAAAAAAAAACCGACCTTCAGCAACATTTTTTCCAGTTTGGAACTGAACTTTCGACGTTTTTAAGATTATTTATTCCTTTTAGGGTCTCAAGAAACAATTTTCGACTTCAAATTGTTCGATGAGAATGAGAATAATCTTCCCAAGGAGCGATTTTGTTGATGAGAAAGTTTTGGAATTTTTTATAGAGCTCTATAAATCCTAGAGAAGGGATGGACTAAAAAAAATATTTTAAAATTGGAATTAAAATTAATTTTCAACCACAGAGGTAGTATCTTCCCCTTTATGCTTGGAAGGTTTTTTTTTGATCATTAAAATTTTAGGTGGTCTTACTGGCAAGCATATCCTAAAGAAAACTATTTTAAAGCTCGATTTTAAAAAATTGCCACCATTTTTACTATATAAATCTTATTTGTTTTTTTCTCCGAAATTTAAAATCTAATTGACTTGGGACTTCAAATGAACAAATCAAAGAATCGTTCCGTGACTCATAAAAATAAAATTAACTGTCTTGTGGATCGACCGACCGTGAAACGACTTACGCGCGGTTGACCTTGCTGGGTCTCTATTTGAAAATTTATAATCCGAACGTCTTTCGAAAAAAAAAACCATTTCATAATTTTCAGTGTGGAAATTAGGGGAGAACTGTGCTAATAATATTAATTTACCAAAAAAAAATAAGGTTTTTTTCTTTTTTTCTGATCGGCGAAAGAGGACTGATGAGGATGGCTAGAAGTGAAAGAAAAATCTTGAAATGGAGCTTCGAAGTTTGAAAAAATTGCAATGGAAAAGTCAGTGCATTTTCCTGGTTTTTAACCGTCTTTTTTGGATGTTTTACCACTTTTCATGCTTCTACGGATCCCAAAATATAATCAAATCGAATTATTCGTTCAGAAGAAGAAATATGTTCGCAGAAAGAAATTTGTTGATCATGAAGTTTTGAAATTGGGTTAAAAGGGTTTTTTTCATCATTTGTAGTTTTAAGCGAATTATGAGGATTATAAATAGGAAATTCTTTCAGTTACATTATTTTTATAGCTCATCCAAGTTTTTAGTTTATGTCTGTTCGGAAATTTCAAATGACCTGCAATTTTTGATGTGCCCAGTTCTGTAAGGCGATTCTCGTTTCTTGTGTGAAAACTAGCTGGATTTGTTGTTTATTGCATCTTCAATGTAAGAATACATGTGCAATCGACTTTCATTGAGTTAACTGTGTTGCGGCAGGAGCTGTGACTCAAGCTGAGAAGTTGTGAATTTCGCTCGTAGAACATCAGGTACACGAGAGGTCGTAGGGAGAAGTACGGTGCCGGTTTTCCAAAGGCCGATGCCAGAGATTGAGCTTTTCATTGCATGCAGCTCCCAATTTTATCTACCTGGAGGGATGAAAGGCTTGGTCGACCTCGGGGGGACTCGAACCTACGACCTCGCGGACGTTGCAAAGCCATAAAGGTCCAAAAAAAATGTTCCTTTTAAGGTGATTTTTGCGCTTTTTTCATAGCCCATACTGCTGTCTCTCCCTTTCTCCACCATTTCTCGAGCCTCTAAAATCCCAGGAAAATGGAAGGCTTGATAGTGGTACCCTTTTTGCTGCCTTTCTGCAGCCTTTTTGCTCCTTTTGTGCGACCTTTTTCGAGCCTCTCTCTTTTAACGGCCATTATTCACCATTCCAACTTTGCCTGAGCAAATATTTGAAAGAATCTTTTTCAGTTTAAAAAAGTGAAGTAAGCCCAAAAATTATGCCTCTTTTCCATGTTTTTTGTTTCATGTTTGGTACTTTTTCGAAAATTAAATTGAAGTATAGTCTGTGTGCCACGACTTGAAATTTCATCGAACGACATTCCGCTGTTCCGCTGCGCGCCTTTGCACGCTTTAACTTTTCATTTTATTCAAGAACTCGAAAAACATGTGTTCCTAGTGAAACAGTCCATCTATTAGAAATAAGAACCAATTCAAAGCGAATCGAGGCTCGCAAAGACGCTTGACGCAGCGGAACAGCGGAATGTCGTTCGGTGAAATTTCAAGTTGTGGCATGCAGACTATAATAAAACTAATACAATCGAAATTCAGCTATTGAGATTTTAAACTTCTCAAACTTGCTCAAAATTTAAAAAATTTCAATATTTCAAAGAAAAAGGCAGAAAAAATGCAAAAAGCGCTCATTCTTCGACTTTCGTTATAAAATTTCTTATCACAGATCATAGTAATTACGAAATCCGTTGCATAAGCAAAGTCCGAGGGGCCCTGCGAGGGTCATTAAGGCTGCTGGAAGGCTCTATAGAAATGTTCCTTTAAGGGTGATGAAGGCTCCCTTTTTACTGCATTTTTGCGTCACTTTCTCAGCCCATATGCACCATTTTTGCTGCCTCTTCCTTTTTCACCATTTCTTAAGCCTTTTAAAATCCCAAAAAAATGGAAGGTTTGAGGAAGGGACTCTTTTTGCTGCCTTTCTGCCGCCTTTTTTGAGCAACTCCCTTTTAGCGACCATTATCCATTCCAACTTTGCACGAGTTTGAAATAAGTCTCTACCAGCTGAGCTAAGCCGCCACAAACCAAAACTTTTTATTACTTTCCAAGATCTAGAGGTATACATTTTTCAAACAGGCAAACAACAGTAACACCGCCTTCGCAGTCCTTTGTTTCCCTGCAAGGAGGATGAGGAAGTCTTTTGATCTCATTCTTCGAGATCCTTTGAGCTTCATTCGTCGAAAAAAGACCGATCAGGACTAGCAGAACTGAGAGAAAGACCTGAAATTTGAGATAAGATCAAGAAAATGACAAAAAAACGAACCTTTATCTGCATTTTGCTTGTTGGAAAATGGTTTTTCAGTGGATCCACTGATATTTATAGGCTACAGGGTCCCAAGAAACAATTTTGATATGGAAAGATGGGATAGTGGGAAACATATTTCTCAAGAAATTATTATTTTGATGAGATTTTTTTTTTTGATACAGGGTTCTTGTATAGCTGATTCACGGCTAGCTTGAGACGTAAAAAGGCGTGGCCTGTCTGCGCTCTCCACTGACCAGGGCACTGTCTCGTCTCTTTTCGTGGCAGGACCCTTTTTTCGATGGCTCAAGCCAGCCGTGAATCAGCATTAGTGAAGCTTCAGTCTTTTTGAAGGCTGTAAACAAAAAAAATAAAATAAAAAAGCGCAATTTTTTTTCCCAGTCATAGTTTTTCACCTAAAAAGGATATTTGTACAGAAACCTCTTATGCAGTTGTCTGAAAGGTTCCTTTAACCGCTATTTTTTTGAAAAAGTGGACCTAAAAAGTACGGCCTCTGACTAGTAATGAAAATTGCAAAAAGAACCTCAATATTCAATTTTGATAAGGAAAAAAGTGCAAAATCAATCGAAATAAGCCTTTTATTTGTTCAAAAGTGAATTTTAGTGTTTTCCCTGGTATCTATAGGGTAAAGGGTACCAAGAAACAGTTTTCATGTTTAAATAGTTCCATGGAATCGTAAGAAAACGTAGTTCCCGAAAAAATCAAGTTATGAGATGTTTTCGAACATTTTTCACTGTGTTACAAGTTTTGAATCTCTGCAAATAGAAAAAAAAATCAAAATTTTCACAAAAAAACGTAATCCTCCATCTTTCGCATCATTAAGGAACTATTATGAGGCGCATTCGAAATGAAAAAAAAAAAAGAAAAGGAAGAAGAAAAAAAAACCTAAAATAGACCGAGCCCAAAGCAATTTAGTATGCGAAAAACAGCGGCTTTTGGCTCTCGCTTAACTTCTTCCCATATATATGAAGTATATATCCCCTATCCCTCGTTTTTTCTCTTTCTTTTTTCTTGATGTTGGCTCCTAACTTTGCCTAATTTGATTTGTTTCGTTGCCCGTAGACTTGAGTCAACTTTCTTGCGACGTTTTTTGCCAAGTTCTTTTTTCATTTTTGGTCTTGATAAAATTTTTTCTTAAGCGCCTTAAGGTATTTAGGAACTTAAAAACCTGAAAAATTGACTGCTTCGAATTTTTAAAATTATTTGGAGCCTCCTTTTGATTAATTATCATGTGATAAATCAACTAGAAGTCAACCTAGGACTAGTTTTTGACCAAATCTACATTTTTTCAAGTCGAAATTCCCTTGATAAATCGAAAAAGTTTATTTTATTCTTTATTTTATTTATTTTTACCTCCTGAAAAAAAAAACTAAAGGTACCCTCTATCAAGTTTGGACCAGATCTGTGACCAGGAAAATTTTTTTGATCGATTATTATCTTATAAATCAACTGGAGGTCTACTTAGGACCAATTTGAGATCAGATCTAAATTTTTCTGGTCGCAATCTTCTCGATAAACCAATAAAACGTTTTTATTGATAGTTTATCTCCTGATGAATCAACTAGAGGTCTTCTAACCACAAAGTTTGGACTCGATCTACATTTTTTTGATTGAATTTTCCTCGATAAACCGAAAAAAAAATTTTTTTTCGATTGACCATCATGTGATAAATAAACTAGAGTTGTACCTACGACCAACTTTAGATAAATCTAGAAGAAGTTTCTTTTTGGTTCATTATCATCTGATGAATCAAATTTTTCTGATTTATTGAAGATAATTCGACTAGAAAAATTCAGATATTTTTCAAAAGTTGGTCCTAGGTAGACCTCTAGTTGATTTATCAGATGATAATCAATCAAAAAACATTTTTTTTCGAATAAATTTTGGCCAGGACCAATTTTGAACTAGATCTTAACTTATTCAGTCAAATTATGTAGACAAAAGTCGGAAAGGCTGCAAAAAGGCTCCATTGAAATCTTCCTTTAAGGGTCTCAAAGGCCCTTTTTTGCTGCCTTTTTGCGTCTTTTTTGCTCCCTTTTTGCTGTCTCTCCTTTATCCATTATTTCTCGAACCTTTAAAATCCCAGAAAAGATGGAACTCTCGATAAAAAAGACTCTTTTTGCTGCCTTTCTGCGACCTTTTTTGAGCCTCTCCCTTTTAGCGGCTATTATCCACCATTCCGACTTTGCCTAAGTACCTCCATTATATCTAGATAAATATTTTCTTTGATTGATTATGATCTGTTAAATCAACTAATAGTCTACCTAGGACCAATTTTGGACCTGATCTGCATTTTTCTAGCCAAAGATAACCTTGATATATCTTTTATTCATAATTTATCATTATCATGTGACAAATCAACTATATAGCACGCTCTCCCTTGGTGGCGGATTTTCTTGCCTGGATGTTGTGTTTTCCTAACGAGTCCATCCGTCGACGACAGATCTCGGCCGAGGATTACGAGTTGTTTGAGGCGTTCCCCGGGACCTTTTGTGGCTTATCCCTCACTCTCCGAGACTCTCTTGTCCAATCCATCCCTTCGACGCGCCAAATCCGTCCTTTTCTTTCCGATTTTTCCCTTTTACATGTATTTATAGAGGCAGTTGAGGTCTGGAATAGTAGCTTCTTGTCTTTTTCTGCTCAAAAAGGCCATTTTTATACTTAATTTTGGTTTCTGAAGAACTAGAGGCGTTTTTCGAACGGATTTGGTGCTCCAATGAAAAATTCCGATTTTCACCTTCTACATGTATTTATAGAGGCCCTTGAGGTCTGGGATAGCAGCTTCTTGTCTTTTTCTGCTTAAAAAGGCCATTTTTATCGTTTCTAATGAACAGGAGGCGTTTTTTGAACGGATTCTGTGCTCCAATGAGAAAATCTAGGTTTTCTCCTTTTTTCCTCTTTTACAGTTACTATAGAGGCTGTTGAGGTCTGGAATAGTAGCTTCTCGTCTTTTTCTGCTTGAAATGACCATTTTTTGTTTCTAATGAACTAGAGGCGTTTTTTGAACAGATTTGATGCTCCATTGAGAAAATCGAGGTTTTCAACTATTTCCCTCTTTTTCATATATTTATAAAGAAAAAAAAATGGTATTTTATTCACTCATTTTTGTTTCTGAAGAGCTGGAGGCGTTTTTTTGAACAGATTCGGTGCTCCAATGAGAAAATTCCTATTTTCTCGTATTCTTTTCTTTTACAATTATGGCCGTTGAGCTCTGGAAAGAGTAGCTCCTCGCCTTTTTCTGCTTAAAATTTATTTGTATTGTATATAATAAACTATAGGCGTTCCTTGAACAGATTTGGTGCTCCATTGAGAAAATTCAGTTTTTTCCTATTTATTTTTTTTCATGTATTCATAGATTTTTGTTAAGCACCGGGAAATTTTTTCTTTTCCTGATAGAAATTGTGCTAACCTTAAAAGTCTAAAATTTCGATACCTGACGATTTTGGGGACATTCTGATCAATTGTATGAAAAAGAAATTGGCACGAATTAAATTCTGAAAGTTGAGTTTTATTTATGGTTTCAGTTCTGAACTCGTTCAACTTTTTATCAAATTTTTGGATTATAATGGATCGAAATTCTTTTTTTATAAAATCCAACTTGGACTTTTTAATTTAAAAAGGAAAGAAATAAATTTTTTTGAGAATTGGGATCCTGGAGAAATCAGTGAAGATTCAGAAGGCCTAACATTAAATCTATCGTGAGCTGTATATATATTTTTTTATCATTCCAATTTTCATGTTGTACTCCTGCCTTTTCGATTATAAAATTGTTTTTGATCCTGTTCATTTTCAAAGAAAAGGAAAGATATTTCTGGCCTAAAACTCATAAAAATGTACCTTGGAGTACAAAAATTTGCAAGTACGAATCTTCAGACATCTTTTTCTCCTTTATAAAATTCGACTTTGTAGATTGAAATCTTCGTTCTTTGTAATCGCTTTTTTCCGAGTCACGTGCACTTTTTCATCAATTTCAGTTCCAACACAAAGTATTTGAAAGGCAGAACAAGTGGCAGCTGCTTTTGCAAAACCGCTGAAAAACGTCACAAACACAGCGTTTCGAGGTTATTTCCTAGTATCTTTATTCAATTTGTCTCATCTTTTCCCGTCTTTTTTTTTTGAAATCAGAATGGGAAGCTCAATTGTCGTTTCTGAATTATTTATAGACTTATTTTTTGCGCTTTTCAGAGAAATTTTGTAGTGGGCACTATAGAGGCTCGCCAAGGACTACTTGGAGAGGACACTAAAGTGGCCCCTATTTTCCGTTTTAGTTGCCACTATAGAGGCTCTCCATTTAGTGGCCCCTTTAGTAGTTTTTCATCCAGTATTTCTTCCAGTAACTCTGATAATAAAAAAAACAGATTGGACAAATTATGTTGATCTACTGACCCCTAAAGTGGCCACTAAAGTTTTAAGTGGTCTAGTAGTAGCATTTAGACCTCTATAGTGGCCACTAATTTTGAACCCCTTAAGTGGCCACTAATTCGACTACTATAGTGGCCACTAAAACGTCAAAACCCTATAATGGCCACCAAAAAATTTACCAGTAGAGGTTTTTTTTCGGTTCCTAATATTTCGCTCTTCATTCTCAGACTTGATTTCAGCTTCCAGGGTGATAAAAATAATTGAGTTTCCTTTTTTCAACCTTTTTAATGATCGATTCCATTTTTCTCATCATCTTTCTGTAAATAGAATTAGAAATCTACTTATCTCTATTTGAAACTACTTTTTGACACATTTTTTTCGTGCTTTTTCAGGTTTTTCAAAGACATTTTTAAAAAGTCGGTTTTTTAAAAAGATCAATCTCTAGTTTCTCAGAAAAAGTTTTTTTCTCTTATTTTTTTGACTTGACTAGAGATTTTAAGGTCTTTTATGAATGAAATTATCTAGTTATGTACTTCTGAGCTTCTTAATTATTTATTAGAACTAAATACAGATTTTTTTCGACTATATTTTTCAGATTTTTTTGTTATAAAATTCAGTTTTTAAAGGTAATTTTGTTCAATTTATTTCAATCCCTTCCATGAATGTGAGCTTTCGAGCTTTTGAAGTGCTGAGAATTTATAATTTAAAGTTAAAAATTGATTCATCCTTTTTTTTTATTCATTCTAATAGTTACAGGGTCGAAAAGTTGGAAAAAAACTCAGTTTTACCAGAAAAACTTCTTTTCAAACTTTTTATAGAAACTTTCCATAGATCATTTGAAAACTCGAAACCAGGAAAAAATTTTTTTTTCCCCAAAAAAATAACTTGGCTAGAAATTTTGAATTCGCGCATTTCAATGGAAAATAAACACGACCCACGCGTTTTTTCCATTTTTTTGGAAGTTGACCCTATTCATGACAAATTTGTGTGGGTGAGATTCTTTGAAAAGAATATATTTTATATATATATATCTTTTTTTCTTGAAATGTTAAATTTCAAGCATCGATCTTTCTATAGGTTTTTCGAAAAGTTACACGTTTTATTAAAAATTTGAACTTTTGTAACGATTGGATAGTTTTATTAGGCCTAAGAATTCAAAATTTTGGAGAAATATTATACGTAGAGAATTTTTAGAAGTTGACTCGTTAAGTGACAAAAAAAAGATCGAAACTTGACAATAGTTTTTTAATTTCACTTTCCTTCCATTGAGCCAAGCTAAAAAGATTACGAAAAAAGGTTTGAAACTTGTTCATGACAAAAAAGACAAAAAATTTGGAACGCTTCACGAATTTGCGTGTCATCCTTGCGCAGGGGCCATGCTAATCTTCTCTGTATTGTTCCAATTTTAGTATATGTTCTCGGAAGAACGAGGGGACACCTGGCGCGATCGTTTATATAACCCTCTGTTTGTGTGCGCCCGACTTGCGACGGTTTTCGCATTCTACTAGCCTGGAGCAGGTGAATGCGGCGAAATTGTATCCACTTTTAATGGTTTCGCGGGGATTTATAACAAAATAATGAAATCTGAATGAACCCTAACAAAAATTCAAATACCCTTTAAGGGAACACCTAAATTTTACCCTTATAGGGCACTTTTGTCTTCTAAACCTTATAGGGCCACTCTGGCGTTTCTAAGAACGAAAAAAAAACGGTATTTGAGAATCCGAACTGGACCAATCGTTCCGTTTGTAAATCTCAAAAACAAAAATTTAAACAAATTCCGAAATCAAGGATTTAATAATTTTCATTTCATAGTTAAATTACTTTATTTCTTCTTCTTCAAAAAAAAAATTAAAATTTTTCATTTTCGAAGTTCCTCAAAAAGTTCCTTAATTGATTCATTCAGATTTCATTAGTTTGTTATAAATCCTCTTGAAACCATTACAAGTGGATACAATTTCGCAGCATTTACCTGCTCCAGGCTGGTAGGGCGCGAAAACCGTCGCCGGTCGGGGGCAGCCAAACAGGGGGATATATAAACGATCGCGCCAGGTGTCCCCTCGTTCTTCCGAGAACATATACTAAAATTGGAACAATACAGAGAAGATTAGCATGGCCCCTGCGCAAGGATGACACGCAAATTCGTGAAGCGTTCCAAATTTTTTGTCTTTTTTGTAATTTTATTGAAATTACTTAGCTCTCTCTCTCTCTCTAAAATTTTCAGCTTCTAGCTATTTTGATAGGAAATTTCAAGAAGAAATCGGCCAGTTTTCGTGTAGCAATTTTGCCTATAAAATTTCTCAAAAAAACATAAAAAAATCTAGATTGAGAAATCGGCCAGTTTTTCGTGAAGTTAAATTGAAGACCATCTTCATAAAAAAATAAGATAAATTAAAGACCATCTTCATAAAATATTAAAAAAATTCACATAAGAACAAAATAATATATTTTTGGAATTGATTGCTCAAAGACGCGAGATTTCGATATATTTTCATGAAAGTTCTAGGAGTTTCTGTGAAGTTCATCCCGCAATTTTTATTGATGAGAATGTTCTTAACGTCTTATTCACGAGGCTCGTTATTTGAAAGCTTTAAAAAACTCTATCGAGACGCTTTTCTTTTGTTTTCATCAAATCAACTCGACGTAAATAATTAACATTTATTAGGCGATTTTTCTCATCAGTAAACTCTGAGTAATAACTGTGATCAGAGTTTCATCAAACTAGTCAGACCAAATGCAAAAATTAAAAATTTCATATTTGCAATCTTCTTTTACATATTTCTCCGCGATCGGTTCTAATATTTCCGCTTTTATCGGGGAGAAAAGGCAGATGAGGACCATCAGAAGGGGGAGAAACACCTGAAAATTTAACTTCAAGATGGGAAAAATTACGGAAAAACCAACCTTCAGATGCATTTCTCTTGTGAAAAGTGAAATTTTAGCCATTTCTCCGTTATTTATAAGGTTACAGGTAGAAACATTCGTATTGTTTATCAATATTGAATCATCATCGTCATCATGAATTCATCAATTATAAACAATCTGTGTTTCAATCGCTTTCTGATTGTATGCGATTCTTCTATGAAAGGCGTTGAGAACCGATTGTTGAAAAATGACTGATTATGGTGATTCATTTTCATAAAACAATAGGTTATCAATTCAAATAAACTTTTTGTTTAAAATTATTGAAGCTTGAAGTTTTTGATTTTTCAAAAAAAGTTTTTTTGAAACAGAACCTAGTAGAAATTATCACGAGAGGTTGCAGAAATATCAAAAATGGTTGATTTTCGATTTTAGAGCTTAGAAGGGGAACTTGAACTGATTTTTTGATTACGTTCTATGAAAATTTGATTTTTCTTTGTCTTCCGATAAAGGCGATTCAGATCAATTTGATCGGTCAAACTAACTTTTTCCGACAAAATTTTCTCCGATCTGATCGAAATGGAGCAAAAATTTATTTTACCTTCCTTTGTCATATTCGCCTAGTCTTCGTCGCAAATATTATATTCTGAAAGGCCTGGAGACCCTTAGAAAAGAAATCATTGTCGAAAAACGTGTACATTTCCCACGCGAGAACTGTTCCTTTGAACCCTGAACCGTATAAATAACCGAGAAATGGTCTAGAAATCACTCGTTCCGCTGGGAAAATGCACCTGAAGGTTGGTTTTTCGCACTTTTTTCCATTTTGTAACTGAATGTTCAGGTCTGTTTCTTGATTCTGGTGCTTCTCGGCTTTTTTGCGCCGATCGAAGCGAGAGCTCCTTTTTTGAAACGATGGGGCTCTTTCTGCCGTTCGGAAAGCGATTGTGGTTGTGACCAAGTTTGCGAGAATAATGTGTGCGGATCGAATCCCGCCCACTTTTACTGCAACACGCACAAAGATTGTTACTGTAATAAGGCTTGCCTCAACAATATGTGCTTCACTGCATGAATCCGATATAAATATTGTTCAATCAGTCAATAATTTATTATTGTGTTGTTGTTTAAATCATTGATGAAATCGACACAATAACTTTTGAAGCTATATCCAGGCCCCGCCTTGTGCGAAATAGAAGTCCAGACATGTGCATGATCAAGTTGGATCGAAAAGCAGACGTGAAGTTGATCAAGTTAGACCAAGAAGTTGAGTAGTTGATCAAAATGAACCAAGATGTCCAGACGTGTAGTTGATCAAATTGGGCAAAGAAGCCCAGAGCTGTAATTGATCATGTTTTACCAAGAAGTCTAGACGTGAAGTTGATCAAGCTAAATCAAGAAGTCCTGAATTGTCGTTGATCATGTTTAACCAAGAAGTCCAGACATGTTGTTGATCAAGTTGGACCAAGAACTTCAGAGGTGTAGTTGATCCAAATGAACCAAGATGTCCAGACATGTGGTTGATCAAAATGGCCCAAGAAGCCCAGACTTGTTGTTGATCAAGAAGTCCAGACGTGTAGTTGATCAAGTTTAACCAAGAAGTCCAGATTTGTAGTTTATCAAGATGAATTAACAAACGTTCTCCGACAGAACCGATGAGTTACTAAAACAGTGAGGCACTGAAAATCCATGTTGCTTTTTTTGAGATCATACTTTTATCAAAACAACTACATAAAACGAGAAAAATGATAAGATTGAATACTTTGAAGGTTAAGCGATATTTTGAGAGAAGAATTTTTTCTAGAACAAAACGAACATTTTTTTTCCCAAGAAAATGATGGATATAATCTCAGATTGTGATGTTGATTGAAAGAAGTGCAATTGAAAAAAGATATAAGCTTTTTTCTTGCCTGATTCGGAATCAAGTTTTTTTGAAAATTTCAGTCAAGTTTCATAAAATTCCCAACCGGGCATTATCTGCACTTCTCTCCTAATTGCGGTCTTTTTTTATTGATTTTTATTTTTTTATATTTTTATTTAATTAATCTGTTATTGATTGAAATAACCTTTTTTAAAAAGCCTGTTTTCGTTCTACTGTGTGCAAACTGGATAAAAAAAACTGCGAACAGAAGATTTATTAATAAATATTCATGCAGTGAAGCACATGTTATTAAGGCAACTCTTACGGGGTTCACAATCGCGGTGAGTATTGCAATAAAATTTGCTACGTATACGCCTCTTCGCTTCCAGAGGCGAGAAAAGGCCGATGAGAATCACCAGAAGTGGGAGAATGGCCTCAAAATATGCTTTCACAATGGGGAAATAGCAAATAACTAACCTTCAGATGCATTTTTCTCGTTTAAGTATGACTTTAAGGCTGATCTGATGTTATTTATAAGGCCGAGGGTCTCAAGAAACAATTTAAAGTTGAGAATCGTTTGATGGGAATGCGAATGTTTTTGAAAAGGTGGTTTTGTCGATCAGAAGATCACCAGTTTTGAATTAAAGCTTGAGTGTTTCAGAGTATTTTTAGGAGGACCTCAAGGTTCTGGGAATAGTTTTTATTTCATCGTATCTGGGCATTTTACTAGTATATTTGGATAATTATTTTGAAACGGTTCAGTGCCCTTTGGGCGCCTAAGGAATGGCTCAGAATTTAAAGACAACTCCGGCTTTAAAAGTTAATAAGCAATAAAACGACCTGCGCTTTTAAAAAGCTTTAAAGATATTATAGGTGTTGGCAAAAGTTCGTCAAATTCCACCCATTCATATTATTTATACATTTATTCAGTCTTCAGAGAAGATTATTTTCTAAGTTGGACAGTTCTTTGTCGGTTCGCGAAACAGTCGTTGATCAAGAACGGCGCGTAGATCATCTTGTTCTTCTTCAGATAGTAGTAGGCGAGTTCTGAGGATCAGCTCCTCTTCCATTTAGTAACAGCACGGCGCCTAATTTGTCCAGGGCTGACGAACGTCGGATCAAATCTCCAGGAGAGCGGAAATGAAGACCGAATTGCCGGAGGTGGAAATAAGATAATAGTCTGACTGTGTATTTTGAAATATCTTGACTGCATTTTGAATGACTGAGTTTTTATCGGTTGCGATTTTCATAGTGGAATAGCGGGGTGAAATACTCTGAGAGCTTGGAAGATCTTTTTAGACTTGTGCTTTCGTCGTGTCTCTAGAAATGTTCAAATATTCTGCATAAACGCTGGAAAAAGAGTCGCGGGATTCTCCTTGGTCGCAATATGAACCGGGGCAATCCAGGTTAATATAACACGGCTCTATCGGCGAGAATGGCTACTGAAGAAATAGAAAAATAATAAAAGAGAGGCTCGCCCGACCATAAAACGGCTTGGGCTTAGAAGCATAAAAGAACTCTGGAAATAGTCCTGGAACTGAGACGCTACCGCGATGCGTCGCCAAATCCACCTTTCACAATGACTTTTTTTAGCGAAGGTTTTTTTTTCAATCGTGGTTACGTGAGGTTTCCAAAACTCCTCAGCTCGGTAGCTTCTTCATTTTTTCATTAAATCAATTGTTGTTTCGACCAAAGCGATACATTTAATAGGATGAATTTCGAGGGCTACGGTACACAACAATTGTTAACGCATCTTAGCCAATAAAGGCAGGGCCTTGTTGCGTTGCAAGGAGGAACGTAAGGTCTTCTCGGCCAAATTGAAGCGATCGGGGGGAAAAGGCCGAGGAGAACGACTAGGAGAGGAAGAAATACCTAAATTTTAGTTTTGAAAAGGAAAAGTTAGAAAAAAAAACTAACCTTCAGCAACATTGCGCTCATTGAGAAGTTATTTTTGACGGGTTTCTGAGTTATGTTACTTGTTTGGAAGTTAACTATCTCATGGGAATTGTTGAGCTTTTTTTTCGTTCCCATTCCAAAGTTATTATTATTTTTTTATTCCAAAGTTATTATTTTTTTACGGTGCCGTCTAGCCTCATGCACTTCGGTGCGTAACTTGAGCGTGCTCCGTGCAACATCGGTGATTTTTTGATGCGACACGTGTGCATAGGTGTCAAAACAGTGCTTTTAGCGTGCTGCACCAGTGCGGCACCGAAAAACCCCCGATATTGCACGATTCAGGCACAAGTTACGCACCGAAGTGCTAAAGGTAGGACCGCACCGTGCGCCATTCTGGCAGAGTAGTCAGAAAGTTACACTGGAGGAAAAGAGCCCGACGATGAAACGACTTGCGCGCGGAAACATGGAAGAACTAACTAATTAACACAAAAACTCATTCAGAAGTTAACTATCACATGGGAATCGTTCAGGATTCTGTTCATGTTCCCAGTTATAATTTTTTGGGCCCATTTGATTCACAATGTACGCATGGGGAATGGCTCGCCATGTAAAGACTATCAAGAGGCTGACATTGCCAGAAAGTTACATTGGAGGGAACTTGCCCGACCATAATGCGACTTGCGCGAGAAAGCATATGATAACTTTGAATAAGGCAGAAAACTGAGAAACATTTCAAGCTTCAACAAACGAGCGACGCCACTGCGAGTTTTAGCAAATAGGTTTTGAGCGCGACGATGAAACGACTTGCGCGCGGAAACATGAAAAAGTCGGGAGGTAGTCCTGGAACTGAGGCGTCACCGCGACGCGTCAAGCCATCCCACCTGTCGCCAGCCATGGCTTTTCATAAGAAGATTACAAAACTCAGTTGTGTTTGTGTATGGCTTCCAAAACTGATTAGTTCGGTATCTTCATTTTTTATTAACTCAATTATTTTGTTCGCCAAAGCGACATGTTTAACAGGATGATTTTCACCGGCTACGAAATTAAAAAAAAACTGTTTATTGCATCTTCAATGTAAGAATACATGTGCAATCGAATTTCATTAATTTTTACGAAATTTATATAGACAAATATTTTTAACACATTCTTTCGATGGATGGCATGGTTTCGTAGCATTGCATTGCGCAACGAAACGTCTTCGCGGAAACGTCCAAGCACCGGTCGGTAAGAAAAAGCCGAGGAGAACGGCTAGGAGAAGGAGAAATGCCTCAAAATTCGAATTTGAGTTGGAAACAGGAGAAAAAAACTAACCTTCAGTAACATTTGGCTCGTTGAGAAGTGATTTTTCACGGGTTTCTCGGTTATTTAAACACATCGGGATCTCAAAAACTGATTTGGAAGTTAACTATCATATGGGAATCTTTGAGCGATTTTGTTCGTTCCCATCCCAAAGTTATAGCTTGTTTGGGCATACTTAATTTACAATTTTCGCATGGCGAATGGCTTGCCATGGAACGACTATCAAGAGGCTGACATTGCCAGCAAGTTACATTGGAGGAAACTTGCCCGACCATAATGCGACTTGCGCGCGGAAACATGAAAAAGTGTGGAGGTAATCCTATAACTGAGGTAAAAATATAGTGTACGAAAAGTAATAGATAGCTTAAGAAATAAGAGCTACTACGAGACTGTCATAGTTCATAGAAAACCTTAGAAAGGCTCGTCCGACCACGAAACGGCTTTCGCAAAGCAGAACAAGTAAGCATTGAAGAGCGTCGAGCCAGAAAGCCCAGGCGTATCGTTTTCGAATCTCAGAGATAAAAATGACACGTCTTTTTACTATGAAGGAGCGAAATTCTTCAGCTCAGTGTGTTTATCAATACAATTGACCGGAAAAGTTTATTGAACAAAATTGTTTCCAAGGTGAAGCTTATTGACGATGGCAATAATTGTTAACGCATTCGTACATTTCAAGGCACGGCTTAAATTCACCGCAAGGCCGAAGGAAATATTCCGGTGACCAAGCTTCGATCGGCGAAAAAAGGCCGATGAGAACGACGAGAAGTGGCAGGAAAACCTCAAATTCTGTTTCAAGCAGAAAGTTTGACAACTAACCCACCTTCAAAAGCATTTTGTTCGATGAGAAGCGACTTTCGGGAGGTTACTCGGTTATTTAAACCCTTGAGGGTCTCAGAAAGTTAACTACAAGATGGGAATCGAAGAAAACCTTCGACTCCCAAAATATGATTTGATAAGTTAAACATCTTGTGGGAGATTTGGAAGGAATCTCTTGGTGTCAGGGAGAATGGCGTTCCGAAAATGGGCACAACATATTGTCGAATTTCATCTTTGAAGGCAGTGAGAATAAAATTGGGGATGTAATATTGATAATAATTAATTGTGGACAGCCTCGCGGGTTCACTTGGATCTGAAATTTGAGAGATTACATTGTAGACTCAAGCGTGGGAGGAAGAAACATGAAGAACTTGTATGATGGGAGATGTAAATGTTCAAAGGCTTGAGGTAGTGGAAATGGAAAAACTTGTATGTTGAGCGAAGAGGGGGATTTTAGTTCATTTAAAGTTTAAAAATTTCAAAAAACTGATTAAAAATAATTTTTTCTTCAGTTTCACGTATAGGAAAAACTTTAATTTCCGTTTTTCAAACTCAATTTAGTTTCTCTAAAAAAATCTAACAGCTTCTAGGCGTTTCATGGCACTCAGATATGAACTTGGAGGTTTTTTTCAAAACGAAAAACAGCCATGAACATTTTTTGAGTTATTTTGATCTGCTAGAATCAAAAAAAGGACCTAGCTGATGAAATAGAGTCAATAAACATAACCACCTAATCAAAACTAGCAAAATAATGACGAGAGAAAACGGGTTTAGTATACATTTCCGTCATTCTCAACTCGATCAACTCAAAACGCGTCATTGGGGCTTATTTCCGGATTTTCGTCGCCGGCGGCGACGATAAAACCGCTTCAAAACGTTCATTGACAACGATAACGCCCCATTTTTTTTTCGTCTTGTTTGTTGAAGTACAGTGACTCATTTGACGCTTTACGAGTGGTCGAAGTTTTTTTAGTACTTTTTCGGAAGTTAATATTAATATTAATAATAATAATAATAATAATAATGATAGTTTATTCACTGCCAAAAAAAGCTTTTTGATGATATTGACTTTTCAGTTCAAAGCTCTGGAGGAAGGTCATTTTATTTTCCTGAAAAATGGCCGGAATAATCTTTAATGTACCAGATGGATCCTGAAAGCTTCAACTTGCATAATTATTTAGTTTTCAAGAATGTACACCTTAGAGAAATTTGTAAAATTAGACCATTTTTGGGCTCTGAGCCCTGATTTGAAGAAACTTAAAAAGTTGTGCAGGTTGACACTTTCAGAATTTCGTTTTGGTATGTCAAGGAGTGCTCCGGCCAATTTATAGGAAAATCCCAACCGCAAAGTGAAATGACCTCCCTTGTCCGTTAAAAAAAGACTTTTAATTTTTTTAAAAAGGACGCCAAAAATTTTATCCAATTTTTAAGTATAGTCGATTCACGGCTGACTTGGGACGCTGAGGGGGCGTGGCCTGTCTGCGCTCTCCATCAACCAGGCACTATCTCTTTTTTTATCGTGTCAGGACCCATTTTTGATGGCTCAAGCCAACCGTGAATAAGCTATATTCAAGAAATTCAAAGATTTTTTCAACTTTAGAAGCTCTTTTCGAATTTATAATTAAGTTATCAATTAGCTCTATAAGAATTCAGAAGTGGATAAAGTTGGAGTTTGTGTTTTGATGTTAGAAGTTGGCTTTTATTTCAATATATCTTATTTTTCTTGTATTGAAGATTTTTAAAAAAAATCGTAAACGGAAAAAAGCGGAAATTATTGTGAAATAACATAATTTTCAGTATAATAACGTTTCTTTTAGAAAAAAGAGATCAAAAATCTCAAATTTATTTCTCTGTTTAATTTCGAACCGTTGATTTTCTCCAATTATCAGATTAGGTTTTGCCGTTAGTAGTCGTTAATTAGTGTCTTTTTCAGCATCCTCTTTGTTCTCCACTTCATTGAAATAGACGTTATCATTTTTTTTCCCCTTGTTATTAGGAGTAATCCATTGAAAGTGCCTTTTGAGACTCTGGAAGTCGTAATATTTTGATATTCTGGGAAATTTTTAGTGGTCACTATAGGGTTTTGACGGTTTAGTGGCCACTGTAGTAGTCTATTTAGTGGCCACTTACGGGGTTAAAAATTAGTGGCCACTATAGAGGTCTAACACGGGAAGTGCGAAAGGTCGAGGTATTGGAATTTAATGAAACTTGGTATATAGGTACTACCGAACAACCTGAATCCAAAAAAGTTGAAAAAAAGTGCGCCTTTTTGGTTTTAGTCGAGTTAGGGCGCCTCAAAGTTTGCACGCAAAAAATGCATTGGAAGGGAGGAGGGAATGTGTTGCGGCGGCTAACTCTCGCTGCCAGCAGGCGGCGTGGTGTAGTGGCTAGCGGCCTTGCGCTGTGAAACCTATGATGAAGGTTCGATCCCTTTTTGGTGAAATTTTTTTTGCCATGAAGTTTTTCGAAAAATTGATGAATTTTTGAAGATGGAACGAAAAAAACTGTTCAAAGTGTTAAAATTCACTATTTTATGTCGTTTTGAGAAAGACTTTCAACAAAAAAAATTTTTTAGTCTTTTTTTGTCCTGCTCTGTGCAGGAAATTTAGGCGTCGAGATTATTCTTGCGAGAGTTCATAGGTTTGTGATATAAATAACAACTCATTGTAGTTCTATGCTTCTATTCTTATTCATCAAACGATTTTTTTCTTCAAAGATGGCGGTTAGTTAACCCTTTTCCTTGTCTTTTTTTTCATTCCCTGCAGCATCGCCATATCATCTCGATTGTGAAAATAAAGTGAAGCTGGACTTTGATACACATTTTTACACACATAACGTCATAAAGGAAGGAAAGAAGAATAAATCTCATAAAACTTTGATTTTATTGGTTCATCAGAAATTTTTTTGAAAGAATGGGTCGACCATAAGCCTTATGGTTAGGGACCGCAAAGCCACGCCCCTTTTCGCGATAGAAAAAGTGGCTTTTTTTTGGTTTTCAACTTTCATTTTGTTGTAGTTGCAAAAATATGTGGAACTGGCGAATAAAATTTGACACACATGTACAGAAAAAGCTTCCTCTTTCGTTTAAAAAAATATTTCACGCTTTTTTTGATGCGTTCTCGCGGAATGTCGTACAAAAAAACGTGAATGGAACTAAAAAAATTTTGTCATTTTTTTGCTTTTTTTCATGTGTTTTTCAGGTCGAACGCACTCTTTCTTTTTTTAAATAATGATTTTTGATTCAAGTAACGAAAATTTTTAAAACAATAAAATAAAAAAATTCGTCTTTGCCAAAAAAATTTTTAGGGAGCGCCGAAAGTCATAATTCAAAAATATCGTTAATAAGCGAATATAATCAAGTTTTTTTGTTTTTTTAAAAAAATTTAGATCATGGCCTTACTTGAATTTTTTTCTTCACAGTATCTGTGCTTGAAATAGTTGTTTAATACGCAAAAATGCTCTTGAAACTAGAGAAAAAAATTAGCGGCGTTTATCACACAGAAAGCGGTCGAACGCAGGTTTTTTAAACGATTATATACATTTATCAGTGAAAAAAATCTTTCAATTAAAAAGAATAAAATAAAAAAATTCGTCTTTGCCAAAAAAATTTACGGGGCCGTTTTAAGGCAGCGATCGTTAAACGAGGAAAAAAAGCACTAAAAAAACAGTTTTTTTCGAAGTGAATTTTCACGGAAAGTTTGAGTAAAGATTTGCGAACATATTCTGATAAAAAAATAGCTGAATTACTTCAAGTTTTTTTATTTTTTTGAAATAGGCAATCTGTGCTATCTAAACGGCTCAAGGGTAAGGCGGATGGAAGCTCCCCTTGCTAGACCTAGCAGCTTGGCGCAGCGCGTGCGCTGCGATTTTTTTCATTTTGAGGTCGCGAGTTCGATGCCCGCAAGCGTCAGTTTTTTTGTTTTTCTGGAAAATACCGACTTTTTCGGCAAACTAGCTGATGAGCATCATTTTAGCACTCTATTATGATTTGTTACATCATAATAGACCAGTATCAAAACTTGTTCTAGAAGAAAAAAATCGAGAAAAAAATGTCAAAATGGATAATACCAAAAATTTCAGTACTAAAAAAATGGTGCGCGGCGCGCCACATTTTTTCGTCATAACTTTTTCATCCTCAATCTTTTTCGAAAAAAACTAAACGGTTCTGAGTTTTGAATCGAAACAGCTATCAAACCATACAAAGCTCAATGCTGAAAAAAATTTTTTAAAAATTGGTCTGCGGTCCCTACTTATGGTTAGCCAAGGAAAAATGGAGCAAAAAAATTTTTTGTCGAAATTCTTTCTCAGATGGGCAAAAAATGGTGAATTTTCAAAATTTTGACCTGTTCTTTCACTTCATCATCAAAACTTCCTCATTTTTCAAATAAAAAAAATTGGCAAAAATAAAATTTCACCAAAAAGGGACCGAACCTGCATCATAGGCTTCACAGCGCAAGGTCGCTAGCCACTAAACCACGCCGCCTGCTGGCAGCTAGAGTTAACCGCCGCAGCACATTCCCTCCTCCCTCCAATGTATTTTTTTGCGTGCAAACTTTGAGGCGCCCTAACTCGACTAAAACCAAAAAGGCGCACTTCTTTTCAAATTTTTTGGATTCAGGGTGTTCGGTAGTACCTATATACCAAGTTTCATTAAATTCCAATACCTCGACCTTTCGCACTTCCCGTGTAAGTGCTACTACTAGACCGATAAAAATTCAGTGGCCACTTTAGGGGTCAATGGATCAAAATAACTGGTCCAATCTGTTTGTTTTAAAATTATCAGAGTTACTGGAAAGAATATGAAAAACCACTGAAGTGGCCACTAAATAAAAACCTCTATAGTGGCCACTAAAAATTTTTCCAGTTACCTTATTTTGAAAGGTATTGAAGGTTAGTAGTAGTTGAAAACATGGAAATAAACTTTTTTTTATTCCTTATCCTTTTTGAAGCAAAAAAAGGAATTTTTTGAATTTGACCAAAAAAAAATCTTCAATGTGGTTTTGAATCCTTGGGAACAACTTTTTCGGGTGCTATTTTTCGAAATCATTTTTTTTTTTGCCTCTGATTTTTCGATCTCAAACCACCAACAGTATTCTGAATAAAGATGCAACTTTTGGAACGAGTTTCTGTAATCCTTCAATTGTTGGATCGCCTTTTTGGTTCAAAGTAGTTGATTTATGTCTTTTACTCGACGTTTCTATTCGATTTTTCCTCTTTTTCCCGATTTTTTCTCGATTTCCAACATTTTCCCGCTTACTCTTTCTTTTATTCCTCTTTCTAATTTTTTCTATCAAATTTTCTTTTTTTACGTTTTTCCATTATTTTTATGTTTCTTGAAGCTCAGGTGAGCTATTATTGCATTAAATATGAAAAAAGTCTGATTTTGATCGTACTCTTAGCAAATTCAGTAGAATTTTTATATTTTTTCGAAGTTCAAAAACGTTATTCTGTAGAAAAACTGTTGGAAAATGAAAAAAGAAATCGAAAAATTAGCCAAACTTTTGAGAAAAAAAAAATGAGAAAATCATAAAACTTATTCCAACTTCCATTTTCTGGCCGCATGGCTACTGAAGTCGTTTTTGGTCGGATGCATTATGATTAGATGTCAGCCGAGCCATTCCCCATGCGACCAGTGTATTATAAACCCTATTTCGACCACTACAAACCCCACAAACCTGATACTTTTATTTGTTTTTGAACCCAGTGACATCACTTTTTGGTTTTATCTATACCGTCTCAAAAATAAAAGAGGATCAAAGGACATGAATCCCAGTCAATTACAAGAGACAAACCAAACAAAAATGCGTATAGAATAAGAGAATGTTTCTCGAAAACCAGTCAGATTACCGTCTCCCCACCAAAAAAAGAAAATTTTTCGATCCTCTTCCCTCATTTTCTGTCTCCCTATCCATTCCAATCATGTCGTCTCGTGTGGAAATCGCTTCCGCTTTTCATGCCGCTTCGAGGTCCGCAATTATTGATTTATTGATTTCTTATCGATTTTTCTATCGATTGATAGCTTTCAGGATCACAATTCCAACGGAGCACGTGCTGTCGCACGCGAACAGCGTGACGACGAACGCGTCGACCGCTGCAAGTCGAAGGCAAAGTCTCAAAGTAGGGATGATAATCAATCAATCAAATAATGAGTTGCTAATGAAATTATAATTAAAGCTGTGCGCTGGGCAGGTCGTAGTGCTGCAACGCGGTCGCGAAGCGGCCCAAAATTTCCCATTTTCCGAACTTTTTCGCTTCGAAACTTCCACAGTGCAAATCGGGGTGTGGGAGATTGAAAATGTGTTATAGTCTGTGTGCCACGACTAGGAATTTCACCGAACGACATTCCGCTGTTCGCTGCGCGCCTTTGCGAACCTTGGTCGCGTTTTTTATTTTTTATTAATTTATCAAGGTGCTCTGCTTTCATGTGCTCCGAAAGAAATAATAATCAAATGAACGCGTGACCTAGATTCCAAAGACGCTTCGCGAACGCACGCAGCGGAACAGCGGAATGTCGTTACGTGAAATTCCTAGTCATGGTACACAGGAAATAATTACCAAATTATAGGATTCAAATTTCAGACGAGATGAAAATGTTTGCATTTGTGAGACAAACCGGCCAATACGGCCAGTTCTGGTGATAAATCAAAGAGATTTTTTTTCCAAAAAAAAAGCCCTAGAAAGAGTTTCTGAGAAAAAGGCCTCATAATGTTTACGAGAGAGTTTGTAAAATCCAGAACTGGTAGCTCCCTTACACTGCGGAATTTGAGTAAAAGTACTCATTGAAAAAATTTTTTTATTTCGCATCGAATTCAAAATACAGTATCTTCAGAAAAGGTACCAAAACATTTTGTGCTCACATCTTCCTCGTATGGAGCCCAGTCTTTTTGAAACTCTATAAAGCTGGCTTTTTTTTCTTCGAACTGAAATTCCAAGTTTCACAAATTTTAGCACAACTTCAATAATTTCAGAAAGGTTGGACCCTATACGAGAAAGTAGGGATCAAAAATTGTTTTTTCGATCTTTTCTGACCGAACTGTATAAAATTTAATTTTAAAGGTGTTTGGAGCTTTCTTCCGGTTATTTAGTTTATTTTTTCTTTCCAAAATTACTTTTTTCAGTTTTCATTTTCTTCGAATTCTCTATAAGATTTTTCTCGTTTTTTCAGAATGTGAAAACGAAGACGGCGATGGGGGAAGACGTACTGACGGAACGGAATCAGTTGTCCCGACAGGACGCCTCTTGCTTCATCGATTCGCGTCGGAGTCCACTCGGAAGGTGCGCATTTTTACTTTTACATGCATTTTTCTACTGAATATTAAAAGAACGGGCTTGAAGGAGGAAAAATTACGGGAAAAAATTGAAGTTTATTTTTTGAATGATATAAATGGAATTGGGGCTTCAAATTTTTTTTAATGAAATTTTTCCTCGTTTCTTAGGAATACCAAAGTGGTCCCTATATGGGTTTAGGGGGAAAACAACTATAGGCGCCAAAAAAAAAGTGGTCTCTATAGGGGTAAAATTAAGGTGGTCCCTATAAGGGTTTATGGTCGGACCCCTCAGCCCCTCGAGTGGAGCCTATAGGGGTCTTTCGATTTCATTCAGAAAAAAGCTAACTAAAACCCCGTAGGGACCACTTTTGCAATCTTTAGTGGCCCCTATAGAGGTTGGTAAAGTGGTCCCTAGAGAGAACCCTTCAAAGGCCCTAAGGTTGCCCCTATAGGGAACACTCTGGAGTTTCTAAGTTCATCGAAAGCCGTTGGGAAGGCGGACTTTTTTCTTTCTGAAAGGATTTCTAAATTTAAATATGTTACGAATTTACTCTTTATGAATACTTGAAGAAAAACTACGGACAACTTGGGAAGATATAAATATTGCAGTTTTATCTTTTTTTATCAGCATGCTATCAAGAACTTATGTGAAAAGGGTTTTTTTTTCTGGAAAATGTCATATTTTGAAAATTTATTTCTTTCAAAACTCAGTTTCAAACCTTTTTTGATTTTTTTTTAATGATAGAAATTAGATTCCAAAGCACATTTCTTCGGGTCCCACCACGAACAAGAAGTTAATCAGAGAAGAGATTAGATAACCAGGAGTAAGTGACCTCATTTCCTCTGTTCCGCTACAAGTTTCATAATCAAACGTCAGGTTATCGCATTAAAAGAACTGTTGCGTAATTGCGAAACATTGCGCTCTGATTTTTCTGATTATATTTGACGAGGACTTGGTCTGCTTTTTGTTGGGAAATATTGTGATTTGATGGGAATTGGAAGCTTGCCATTTTCTGGGAAGCAGAGAAATGAATGAATTTGTGGGCGTTTAAGAAAGCTGGAGTCTAGTCAATTTTCAAAAAAAAATTGGTAGCTTGCATCTTCAGCTTGTCCTTGACAATAGTTCTCATCGATTCTCGACTCGTATTCTTTTGCCATCTTTCTCATGCTTCTTTCCGGAGTGCGTCTGATTTTCTCTCGAACAGCTTTGACTGCTTCTGGAGTCGTGACGGTGACTGGACGTCCCCTTCTTTGCATGTCATCTGAAGTACCGAGACGTCGATAGCGTTTTGCAGTTCGAAAAACGAGAACATGAGACACTTTCAGCTTTTTAACTATCTCTGAATTCGTCATTCAGCTTTTGACACAATCAATGATTGCGGTACGGTACGGAGATGGGGCCACCATTACCTGAAAACTGAAAAGAATGAGCTGTAACTTCAAACACATGATAAGTGAGCATGAATGAACGAAATAAACAAAAAAATTCAAAGGCCAGTCCTTTGTGCAAAAAGCAGCGATCAAACAAAAAACGGTTTCAATACTTATTGGCCACCCTGTACATTCTTGGCTGTGGAGTTGTTGTAACTGCGCACTTCCATTTTCCAAGCAAAATCAGTGTTTTAAAAAAATCTTAGTGACAGAAAAATTTTATATTGGTTCTTCCCCTTATTCTATTCATAGAGACCATCTGACCGGTGATTTATTTGTTTTCACACTTGGAAATAGTTGGAGTCAGAGTTTTGATTTTGATATTTACCTCTAATTTTGGAGATGTAAGGTTCTTTTATGAGTTATTATTTTGCTCACTCTATAGTTTCATTTTTTTTAATCTTTGCTGTCTTTCAAGGCTAATTGATTGTAATCTAGCTTGGTGAGGTTTTCGGTGAATTAAAAAGGCTTTCAACTTTGAATTATTCACGATTTAGTCGGATATTAATTAATTTCCATCTCGCTGAGCACTTTTTCATGATTTTTCTTCCGGCAATAACGGCGTTTCCAGCGCTTTTCTGAAAACTTCAGTTTTTGGCTTGAAAAAGTACCTTGGAGGGTTGAAGCATTTTTATAAGTTGGATTCTATGTTTGGTTCGAAAAAAGCAGATTTTCGACTTCTTCGACTATTCCTCAAGACTTGAAACTCAATGAAAGTTTATAAAACTGGACTTTTGGGGATTTCTTGGTCGGTCGAAGACTGAAGGATTTCAAAAAGGTCTTTTTTTCAGCTCCGGAGGACTTTTGAATCAGTTTTCTCAATTTTTTTAGAGTTTTGAATATTGAGCGACACTTTTTTGAACCATTGAGCTGCATAAGAAAAAGTCAGGATTTTTCAAATTTATTTTCAAACGGCTGTCAGCTTCGCTTTTTAAATTGGTCTTAACAATCGATGATAATTTGAATCGAATCGGTCTGAATCCAGGTTTTTCTAGACGAAACGCTCTGAACTTGCAAGGTTCTGTTGATTTGGAAATTTCGGATGACTAATATTATACTCCTGTACTAATCTTTTCACTCCTCTCCCGCTTCCGCTCCCAAAACCGGTCAAGGTCTGCGGCAAGCGCAAAGAACGCGTTTCAAAGGCTTTTATAGCTTCGAAACGGCGCTGCTGCTGCGAAAAAAAGCAGAGAAGAGGAACTGAACTGATAAGCGAGACAGACCCCGCCGCGTGTTGTGTCATCAAACCGGCGACGCTTTTTCTGTGTTGGCTCAAGGGCTATGGCGCAGCAGCGGCGACTGACGCGTTCGGATCGCGTCCCGCCGTCGCCGATCGCCGAAGACGTCGCGACCATCGTCCTCATGCCCAACGTGCCGACCCATCTGCGCATCGAGGTCCCATCCTCGTCGGCCCCCAAACATCGCGATATCGCCGAAGCGACCGAATTCGATTTCCGCCCTATTCAGGAACGATACTTGAAGATTCTGCAGGACTTGTAAGTGACCTCTTGAGGTTTTTTTTTTGTAATTTTGTGCTTATTGGCTATTGGTTCATTTCTGAATCGAAATGTTCAGGAATTTCCTGGAACTTATCTTTTTTATGTACCTTGTAGTTTAGTTTAGAAGCTTCAGATGTAGAAATAAACTACTTTGAAGTGTTTGAGATTAATTTATACGTTGAAAGAGCTTCTGAGTGACTTTAAAAAGAAATTTTCTTTCTGGATTGAAATTATTTTTGGTATTTTTCTTTTTGAAACAGTATTTCTTGCTGGAAAATATTTTTTTAAGGAAAAAGAGTTTTTTTGTGCATTTTTGAAAAATTTTTCAAGTTTTTTTCTTCATCAGACTCTTTGAAGAACTGCAGAAAAGATTTTAGAACTTAATATTTATTTTTTTGGATCTTATAACTTGCTCAAAAAGCTATAATTTTTTTGAATTTTTCAAATGTTTTTTTGTTACTATGCGTTTTTTTCACAAGCTCGTTTATTTTTTTATTTATTTATTTTTTTACTTGATCATGTCACTAGAACGATTATTGCTTTTGGAGGGGCTCTCGTTTTGATTTTCGTACTTTTTTTTGAAACTATAAAAGAAGAAAAATAACTTTTTCGGGTCTTTTTAGAGCCCTTTCTCACTTTTTCAATGCTTTTGCGTTAAGTAGGGAAATATGAAACTCGATTTATTGATACAGAAGTGAGCTTTTTTTGAGGTATTTTTCTGTAACTATCCATTTTTCTTATCATATTACTCTTCAAAGCTTTAACTTGGAAAATTTTATCTTCTTTTTAGGTTTTTTATTCAAAAGTCTGTAGCATAAACTGTTTGAAACTGCTCAATTCGGTGACAAAGACGCAAGACTAAGAATATGTGACTTGTTCGAAAGTTTTAGACGTGAAATTGGCCCGTTTTTGAAGTAATTGAAGGCTTTGAGCGGTTTTCGTGACTTCTATTTCATGGTCTTTATGTGTAGAATCTTTTTGAATTAAAATCAAGAAAAAGTTTTTATTTCCCTGTACAAACCTATTGATATAACAAGATAAATTTTTCATTTTTTTCAGCTCTGTTTTTTTTCGAAGATCTTCTGAGCCATTGATTTTTGATACATTTTCCCATCTCTCGTGTTCGTATCAGGTGTTAAAATGAGCGGATTATTTTTTTGTATGATAACGATTTTGAGCAGATAAAAAAATTTGGAACTTGAAAAAAATGGAACTACAGAATGAAAAGAGGGATTTCATGAATTTTTTAGCTTTTTTTATCCAGAAAAAGTGCATAAAGTACTGTGAGAATTTTTAGTGGACACTATAGGGATTTGACGTTTTAGTGGCCACTGTTGTAGTCAAATTAGTGGCAACTTAAGGAGTTAAAATAGTGGCCACTATAGAAGTTTAAGTGCTCCTACTAGACCACTAAAACTTTTAGTAGCCACTTTAGGGATCAATGGATCAAAATAACTGGTCCAATCTGTTTGTTTTAAAATTATCAGAGTTATTGGAAGGAATACTGGATGAAAACTACTGAAGTGGTCACTAAATAGAGAACCTCTGTAGTGGCCACTAAAACGGAAAATAGTGGCCACTATAGAGGTTGGTTTAGTGAACACTTTAGTGTCCTCTCCAAATAGTCCTTTGCGAGCCTCTCGTGGCCACTGAAAATTTTCCCAGTGAATCATGAAAATATTCAAATCGACAATGGTCATTTTTTTAGTAATGCCGCTTTTTCTATTCAAAAAGTACACACAAAAGCTCAACAAAACAGTATTTGTCTGTGTTTTTTTTTGTTCCCTCTAGGGAGAAGAAGAACTTTTTGCGTCATAGCACGTCCCAGAAGCAAGAGTTTTAGTTTTTCTGTGGTTTTTTTTGGGTTTGGTGCATTTTTTTTTGAGCTTTGAAATGCATTTTTATAGTCATCAGGAAATTTTGGGCTATTTTCTACCTACAGGGAAGCCATTTGGGGCAAAAGAATTTTTCAAGCTTCTTTTTATTGGTTTTTGAAAGAAATAGATGAATATTTTTTTCAATTTTTTTACGCTATAAATTGCACGTGAAAGTGTCTCTTTCTGTATTTTTTTGGTCTATTTTAAATATAATAAGGTTATTTTTTTGCCTTCTCTGGACCTTATTTTCAAGGAAAAATGATTTTTTTGTACCATTTTTTTCGGCTGCAAGTACTTTTTTTCAGCTTTTTATTCAGTATTCAATCACCTGTTATCGAGCAATTTTTTTCAAGAAATTTCTTTTTAAAATGTCGAAAAGCCATTTTTAGCTTCCATTCCTTCCTTTTTCCGGAATGCATCGATGCATGCTGGAAAAGAATTGCAATATTAATTTACTATTCATCAGGCACCAGGCGGAGAATTTAATGGATTTTTCCGTAATATGGAAGTTTTTTTGATTTAATAGAATATTGGAGTTGTCTCTAGAAGATTGACTTGAAAAAAAAATTTTTTTCTTCAAATTTTTTTACGATTTCAAGATTTTTTGGGTATGCTGGAAGAGTCAGTCGGTTCGGTCACTTTTTTATAACGCATATATTTTTTTAAAGAATTTTTTTGGACTATTTTTTTCGGCTGAAAATACTTTTTTTAACCTTTATTCAGTATTTAATCACCTATTCTCTTGTCCCTTTTCTAGGAAATATTTTTGGAAAAAAATGTTTTACGACTTTTTCACGTTTTTTTGAGATCTTTTTGGATGTGCTGGAAAAAGCGTTCGGCCACTTTTTTATGACACCTGTTTTTCAAAATTTTCAAAGTTTGAAAAGTTTTTTGGGCTTCATAAAAGGGTTAAAGGCTCCAAAGTAATGGTTTCCTCATTATAAGACGAGTTTCGAAGTCAGTTTTTTTCAAAAAAATATGACCATTATATTCACAAAAATTCTTTTTGAAATTTGCTTTTTTTGCCAAAAAAATTCTATTGAAACTTAATGAATTTCGCTTTTGACACGTTTCGATTTCGGGTCAAATTAAAAGGATTTACATGAAATTTATTCAAAAAAAACACAAAATCTCTTATTTTTGAGCCGCCAATATTTGTTTTTTTCGAAACCTAAAACCTAACCAAAAATCGAGGATTCTTCGCATTTTGGACGGTTAAAAAAATTTAGAACTGAAAAAAACTTTGAAAGTTTCTAAAAAAATGGCCACTTTGAAAAAAAGTGAACGAACTTTTCCCAGCATGCCGTTATTTTGGAGCTTTTCTGAAATGATTTTAGAGTTTATAAGAAATCATTGACTAAGATTTTCATTTTATTTATATTTGTGTTTGGAAACTGTAACTTTTGGTTATTGACCAAGAATGCTAAATAATTTTTTTGGCCTCTTGAAATTTTTGCCTCGGAAGGTTGTGAAAAAAAAATTTTTCAATTTTTGCAATTTTTAAAATTGAGATTCTTATCCAAAACTCAAATTTTTTTATTTTTTTGGTTTTTCATTTGCTGAGGTTTTTCATTCTGGAATTCGGATAGCCTCTGTTTTTTTCTGAAAAATTAAAGCTTTTTAAGATAATTTTTGAATTAATTTATCAGAAAAAAATTGATTGAAAAATCGCTTCGAGACCTATTTAGAATATCATTTCAAGTTGGTTTCATTTTCGGCCAATTTTAGTATTTTTTTTTTTTTTATATGCTGAGGTTTTTATTCTGGGATTCCGATAGCCTCTGTCTTTTCCTGGAAATTTATGATTTTTAGTCAATTTTCAAATAATTCATCAAAAAAAGTGATTGAAAAATCGCTTCGAGACCTCTTCAGAAGATCATCTCAAGTTGGTTTCATTTTTGGCCACATTCTTGATTTTTACGACGTTTAAAAAATCGATTCTTGGACTTTTTTCCGTGAATATTATAACATCTAGAGGCCAAGTCAAGGCCTCCGAGCAAAAAACAAGGAAAAAAGAAGCTTCATCAATAAAAATGGGTGAGCCTCCGAGTTTTCTGTGTCTGTGTATGCGAGGGGGACGCTTCGTAATTAAGCCAATTTCTTCTTTTTTCCGCTCTTTTCCGCAGCCTAAGCCGCTACTCGGCTCTTCCGATGAGTTCTCTTTCCAGAAACTTTTCTTTTTTGGAGAAAACGATTGGTCTTGACTGGTTTTTTCGAAGTTTCGAGTCGATTTTCGGAGTTTTCCGAGTTTTTTATGAATTATTTGATCTCGGAAATGTCAGATCAAAAAGAAAAATAACAAAAAAAATTTTTCAAAGATTTTACTAGAGTTGTAAGCGAAATTTTGGATTTTTCAAAAGCTTTTCAAAAATCACGTGCTCCTTGTAAAGGCTGAAAAGAACGAGAAAAAAAATTGTGAATTTTTTTGGGAGAAAAATATTGAAAGTTTTTGTTTTACCGATTTTTTTTTCAGAGTTTCGAGCCGAATTTCGGACTTTTCCGAGTTTTTTATCAGTTTATTTGGCTCAGAAAGTGACACTGGATTCCAAGAGATTTTCTTAGAAACTCCATAACTCCCCTCTAGGGACCACTACACCAACCACTATAGGGTTCACTAAAGCTTGCAAAAAGTGGCCCCTATAGGGGACATGCTAGTCGATAAATTTTTATGAACTCTTAGTGAAGAAACATTTCCATGGGAAAAAAACTAAATAAATAAGCGTTTTTTTGGATGAAATTGAGAAAGACCCCTATAGGGTCCACTTGAGGTTTAGGGGCTGAGGGATCAGACCCTGAACCCCTATAGGGAAGACCGTAACTCCTATAGAGGCCACTTTTTTCGGCCCATGAAGGGGTTAATTTTTCCCCCTTAACCCCTATAGGGGCAACTGTAAAATTCCTTAATTTGTTAAAGTTCAGGTCAAATTTGACAACTCCTTAATAATTTTTTAGCTTGAAAATGACACATTTTGGAGATCTCTGTTGAATTTTAAGCAAATCTTAAACTTTCAACGAGTAAGCTCCCAATTTTTAAATCCGAATTTTCAAGATTTTCTACAATTTTCTGAATTGGACCATTTTTCCTTTAATGATAGCGAATAGTCAACTTCTTCATGGTCCAATC